GCGAGGGGGGATCTTCATGTAGTGGCCCAGCTTCAAGTCGGAAGTGAAGGTCAAAGCTTGGACGTTGACGATGTAACCGTAGGTCTTGAAGGTGACATTGGCGATGGCGTGGCCAGGTAGCATATAACCGATAACATACTCTGTGACAATGTTGAGACCAGGCTGCTGGTTGGTCACAGCCTGGACAATACCGACAGGAAGAACGAAGAAGATGGCGATGGCCAGTGCCAAAAGGACGGCCCACCAAGGCATGAAGTCCCAGACAACGCAAGTAACCAATGACAAAGCGAGGGTGATGACAAATAGAATGAGATACCACCAGTCCGGGACCTCAGGATAGACACGCATCAGGCGGGAGTGAATATCCTCATTCTCAGCGCGTGCAGACTTCCAGCGAGCGGCCATCTCCTTGCCGTGATAGAGAATGACGTGGACGACAGTAGCAGTAAGACCGGCGAAACCAACTCCATAGGTGAGGGCAAAGAACGAGTCCATGCGGACGGGACCGTAAGCCAGATACTTGGCCTCATCCAAAACATTGTTGGTCAAAATCTCGGTTTTGTTGTAGGGAGTTCCATCTTCACGGAACAACGCAGCCGACAAGATGGGGTAGTTCTTGGAGTTCCAAAGATCAGTGTAGTAAGCCCAAGGAACCATGATATAGGCGACCATGATGAAGCCAATCAAGATGTTAACCTGGGCGAACCAAGGAGTGACCAAGGGCTGCACGTAGTACGAAGCAGCAGACCAGTCGAGGGCGATGGTACCGATGCCCAGACCGTTGGAACCCGTCAACTGTGCGAGAATAATGTTGTCAGGGTTGATCCAGCAAATCCAAGAGATCATTCCGATGGTTGGGAAGATAAAGCCAGGGAACCAGTAGTAGATAAAGGAGCCGATGCAGACGATCATGAAGTATTTCATCCTCGACATACGACCCTCGTCATCCTCTTCAACCGAAGCGTGCAAGGAACGGAAGAGTGAGGCAGTGACGAGGGTCGAGGGCCAAACCATGTGGGCGGGGCGGACCAAGAACCGGCGGATGGCACCAGCAAGAGCGAATCCTGTAATCTGCGTGGTCCAGACGAGGAGCAGGCCGGCGATGAAAGGCTGCTTGTCGCCGTAAAAGATGTTTTGGAGAATGACAATGTCGACAGCGTAGGCAGTACTGGTGTTACAAGCGACCATGGTGCCGATCAGAATGTGCTCCTTTAGAGAGAATGGACCAGGGTTGAGCGTAAAGCGAAAACCAAGGATGCGGTACTGACGAGTTGGTAGAACCTTGGCCATCAAATGACCGATGGGTAAGGAGATGAGAGCGACCACAGAATAGCCGATCGAGATCTGGGTCTGACGAAGATAGAAGAACTGGTTCACGAAGGAGACAGCGGCGGTGAACAAGAGACCGAGGGACCACATGCGAAAGGTGTTGCATGGCATGGAAGGATCATCATGATCTATTTGAGGAAAGATGGATTGGTTGTCAGAGCCATGTTACACGGTAGATGAACATGAAGTGTGCAGACGAAGCCAGATACATACTGGAGACGGTGACACGAACTTCCTCGATAGGCGAGTTATCCTCCTCCTCGAGTTCAGCGTGGCTCTTGGTATCGTCGACACTGTCGGCATACTTTTCGCCGTATGGCTGGACTTCAGCCTTTTCCATGGCGAGATGTGTCAGAGGGTGTGGTTGCGAATGCCTGCTTTGGAAAGATGGGTAGAGAAGGCCACAAGAGAGAGGCTAAATGGAGACGAGAAACTAAAGATGGGAGAGGGTGGGTGAAACGGTGTGAGATAGGTGAGAAAGGTGAGATAGGTGAGATAGATGAGGGAACGGAGCGACTGTAATTCACGAATAATATCCAAGACAAGAAAAAAAAAAAAAAAGAGCATCATGGCGGGAGGAGCAGGTCTTTATAGATAGGCTGGTCAAAGCCATGTTCCCAAGGTCCATCCCCCATCTACGCCTGTGAACCATGCGTCCTTTTGAGTATTTACAAGCAGGCTAGAGGTCGAGCATAAGGCAGCTTGGTCTGCGTCCAATGACGACGAGCTGCAGAAGCGCCAATCGTCGCCACGCCAGTCGAGCAAATGCGGACTCCGCACGACTCGTTTTAGCCAGATTTGGACCCGACGGATCAGTTCCCATTCGCTGGTGCTTGACCTAACCATGCTGCAAAATGAGACATTTTACTTCCATTCGAACTAGGGTTTGCTAAACGCGCGCTCGGAAACAACCTTTAACGTGCCCGTCGGCGATGTCAATCAATATGGACATGGGGAAGGTCGGAGGTCAAGTGAGGCGTCCTTCTTTAAAGCTTTAAAGCCATGTCGAATAATGCCCTGACAAACCAAACACAGGAAATGAAGACAAATTCCGATATTTCACCACTCGTTATACCAACAATGGTTCCGGCTTTGGTTCGGGCGTGGGAAGCCCATTCCTTGCTCATGGGAAAACGGCATGCCAAGTGCTTCCGCCGGGGCAGTGCCGCAATACGCGGTTTTAACCAATTAAAAAGTATGCTACTTCGGGTCTATAGCCGAGAGGCCGCTGAGCTTTGAGCTGCGGATGCCATACTCCGAAACTGCAATAGCTCCAGCGATCTGTTCGGATGCAATACCTAGGTTCAATCTTCCCTTCAGCAAGTTGCGCACCTGAGTCATTCGAGGTATACATAAGCAGCGGCTAAATGTTTACGTTTCTGTAGATGCGCTGGCAGCTTCAATCCTAAAATGATGCCAGTAGGACATGTCTATGCTGTCATTGTTGTTGCTTCAATAGACAGACTCCACAGCATGGTGGGAGAGAGGCAACAGCGCATTTTTAGCACGATCCAAGAGAATGCATCATGGCCAAGGTATTCTACAAAAGGAGTCCAATTGATCACATGACACCCATCACGGCGAACCACGGCATCACCGAGATCCACTTGTGGGATCTGATTCTCGAGTTCATAGTTCACACTCACACTCCCACACTACTTTTGAAAAGTGCTTTCGGCAATACACGGCACTGCTTCCAGACAAGCATTAAAAGGTTGGTTCATCCCCATTCCCAATCACCGTTGAATTCATGCTATGATGATCATAAAAGCTAGTCTCGATCAAACCAGCCGGAGCCCGGCTTTGCGCAAGGGCTCCAGTCTAGTGTTTGAGGTGAAGACCGCGTTACACTTGACCTGAGCATCACTCCACTCTACCTACAGTTTCCATAAACCTCGCCCTAAATTGCAGTTTTATCATCAGTCGTGGTCATTATGATGCTAACACACACTGCTTTCTAGTGCCCAATGTTCAACATAGTTTACATGGGCTAGGAACGATAGAAGAGGGCAGATGCACCAACGATAGTCAGTTGACACAGCCTTGTGGTACCCTTTTTTTTTTTTTTTTTTTTTTTTTTGCCGCGTATTTTTTACTTAGCTTGCTTTCAGGAACAAAATAGCAATGTAATTTCTGCTGTACCGTGTACCGTTTCACAGAGTAGCTTTGGTAGCTCTGATAGGATGTTGGTAGCCAATAAAACAACTTCTGGAACCAGAAACAGCTCCTATGTGGAGCCAGGGCCTGAGGTCACCCAACTCGCGCGGTTTTATGTATGCGAGCGCAGGGCCTGAAGAAGTGGGAGGGCCAATGGCATTTGAATACAGGGGTGTACGGCGAACAAATGGGCAACTGGGCAAAGAACACCGAGACATCCATCATCATCATGAATCAAAGATAGGGACCACATAACACTCTTTCGCAACTCTCCCTTCCATCACTCAGAAAACCCATTACCCTACATTGAATCCCTTTTTTACTCGCTCGCACATGCATCTTCTCTCTTCTGTCTCGCTTCGCAACTGTTCTTCCATCTCCCTAATTGTCCCTGGGATCCTCGTTCCTTCAACACCGCTCATCAGCTTAGTTCCTTTGCCTAGCAACACCTGCTCAAAAAACATCCTCGTCGTTGTGGTAAGTTGATAAATCTAGCCGACACTGGCCCCTTCTTTTATGGTCCTGCTGTTCCGAAATATCGGTACGACTTGCCTTGTAAGCCATCAATACCCATCATCCGCCCTGTTTTTATTCACTCATTCTATCCTCAGGAAAGGTATCTGTTGGTTACTTTTGGAAATCACATTCGATGTGAGCCCACAAACCCATTCCGTGATATGATCCTGGTCGTCCCTTGGCCAGTACGGGCTTCCCATATCTCTTTGTATTTGACTTCTGTGAGGCAGAGCACCGCTTCCATGTCTGTTCTTTTGAGGCGGTTCATTGCCCCGGAGACTGCATACGGTAGTTGATCTCTCGAAGTGGAGCGCAGTTAGTTTACTTTTGTGTCCACACTGTCGTGAGATTCCACTGTAAACGCTACTCTCGATCCTGTGTATTACAGAAAGAAAGAGGGGATCAAGGCTGGAGGGATTGGGTTGGGCTATCCCTGAGTTTTTTTTAGTTCTTCAGGCACCAGTAGAAGGTTTCCAGAGTTGCGTTGCGTTGTGTTACGTCTTCTCTATGCACGATGCGATTAGTGCGGGTCCAATGCACTATGCGAAAAGTGAACATGTGCGATTAGATATGGTTAGACGGCGCCTCTGGTGTAAACATATTGCAATACCTACCACTTTGTTGTATTTCCCTTCACGAGCGCTTTTGTTGACAGTTGGTAATCTTACAGGCGAGACCTAGACTACGCGCTTTTTTTTTTTTTTTTTTTTTTTTTTTTCCTAGCGGTACGCTAGACTGGAGTGTACATCATCCTCTATATAAAGTCTCAACATGATCCCCACCTCTCTCCCTCAACATTCTTCTTCTTTCGTGCTTGACCGAACAAAGACTGACAACTTCCTTTTACTCACCATTCTGTTTCTGGTACCATTATTGACTATCCTACTATTCTACCACCATCTCCTACACGGTACCCTGTCGTACAAAGAAACATAGCTACGGCCATAAAATTATATACCTATAGTCCCTCTCCCAACACCCTACGTTAGTCCTTTTCAATGGATATCCAGTACCAATATCCGGCTCCGGCCCCTGTCCCTAGCTCTGCTCCGTACTACTCCCAGCAGTCTCAGCAACCACATCAGCAGCCATATGATCACTACTATTATGGTCATGCAGATCATGAAGGATATCCCAGCAGCAACGCACACTACAGCAACACAGAGTATGATATCCACAGCAGTAAGCAAGCAAGCCCATCCCCTTTTAATAACGGCAACAGCAACGAAGGCAACATCAACAATGAATTGGATGCCGCAAATGACGGCCAGACCTCCAAGGCACACAAAGGCAAGATCTTCCAGTGCACTGGCTTTGGCGACTGCCGCATGGTGTTTACTCGGAGTGAACACCTCGCTCGTCATGCTCGGTAAGTTCTCGTTCCTGAAAATTATTTTATTTGAGCGTGCCGACGAAGGGGGCCGTCATCTTGACGACACCGGGATAAGAGGGTCATCAGTAGCTATTGGGGATATATCCTCGACTTGGGGCCGCTCACGATTATGTCATACTCTTTATCCTCGTCTCCTGGCTGGCTGGGGGTATGTTCTACCCGACTCCGCTACATCCAGCATCCAGAGCATTACCACCGCATTTTTTATTGCTGCCGCAATGCACATTCAGTGGATGCGTTCATGCCTTTCTTTGCATTTTATGATTCTGCTGTCATTCTTATTTTTTGTTTCCCGCATCTGCTCTGAACACAGCAAAAGCGAAAAGAAAAAAAAGAAAAAAGGGTTTGCTCTCATAGCACGCAATGACATTATCTACCACATGCTATTGTCCCTGGTTACCGGTATTCTGCGCCTCACCTTCACTCCTTGATGTGGTCACCACTACCTACTCTGATAAGGAGCCCTCCAATCCTTTGTAGAGCATGACGTCCTCTCATCTACGATTATTCTCCTCCCCCTTATTCCTATCATATACTTTGCTTCATTGTCCAATAATGAACTACATCATTCTTCGCAAAGCTACGCGATGCTTACCAGATGCGCTTAATTATTATCATTTACAGAAAGCATACTGGCGAAAAGCCCTTCCAGTGCGTAGTCGAGGGATGCACGCGAATGTTTAGTCGATTTGACAACATGGTGCAGCACACCCAGACCCATACCAAGGGTGCCCATCCAGAGACCACAGAGGAGATCGCGAACAAGATCGCAATAGAGAGCCGTAGAAAGAGCGAAGCCGGTCTTCTTGGTGGATCGACTGTCCGTCGAGCAAGCGTCAAGGGTCCTAGGGCCAAACGAGGCTCTGTCTCGTCCGCTTCCGGCTCAGAGTCACCCCGGAAGAGCCGCCATGAGCGGGTGCACTCTATGCCCATGCTCAATATGACGCCAGCCTCGCAGGACAAGCGATCCTCTACTCCTGTCCTCTCCTCGCCCATTACTCCATTGTCGTCCTCTCCATTGTCTTCAAAGAAGGAGACACGGCAGCGCTCAAAGGTCATTGCTATGGAGGCTAGCAAAAGACATGACGCAGTCAGAAACCGAAGGGGATCCTTGGACACTTCTGTCCACCTCGCACCATCAGAATCTTGGTATGCGTCCAAGCTGCATCATAGACCCAGCCTTGACTTTGGACTCGATCAGCATGCATTTTTTGCCAACAGAGAGGCCCGTAATGATGTCAGTCGCGTGAACAACCACTTGCCGTCCACAAACACTTCTTTCGCCGGTCAGGGCGGCTCGTTCGGTCATCAATCATCGTCATTCTCGCGACTGAGACATCCGTTGTCCCCGGAACACTCCTCCCACTCTGACATGGACTCAGACGACGGCTCCGTTCATGGTCAGTGCCCTTCCACGGAGGACACTGTCAAGCCTGTTCCTCGCGCGAAGACAAACACCGACGCACGCGCTGTTGACCCTTGGGACAACTGCACCCTTCCACCGTTGCGTACCTCATTATTTCTGCCTGAGGTTAAGCCTAGATTGCCATCAATCTCCTTCGGTCGAATTCGCTCCCAGAGCATCACTTCCGGTGCGCTCGGGTATCTCACAGAGCCTTACCCTGTCAGCAAAACACGTCGATTGTCGCTCGTGGATCTGAACGCACCCATTCAGGAGGCGAACGTTGCCGCTCACCATTCGATGCTGCCGCACACTGGACGCACTCCCGGAGGCGTGAACGTGTCAGAGGATGAGGTCAAAGCTCTGGAGGCATTTGGTCAGCTTTGGTCTCAGGGCCGGGATGTGGAGATGCGTGAGCAGCGTCAGTCGACGGTACCACGCATCAAGACAGAGTTTGCACCCTACGAGGCTCCTGTGCCTGGTCCTGACTCTGGACGTCGACCGCGGTCTGGCAATGACGACACATACGAGCATTGCCGCCCCGAGACGTCCATGCACCTTGACTAAAAAGGGCGGCACAATGCGCGCATGCATATCTTTTCTTTCATCTTTTTTGGGTTTTTTTATCTTCTGTTCATTGCATCATATACTTTCTCGCCCTTTTGTAACATTTGTGCTTTTATTGCCGCTGTATTTGTAGGTTGTTGTTATTTTTTTTGGTTGCCATTGATATGCTTGCGCTTGGAAATGTAGATATTTGCACACTAGTGTAAGGTCGCTCGCTTATCTCAGGCACAAGCGGGAAGGGTTTTTTCTTTCTTTCTGTATATATCATCTTTTTTTTTTGGTCCATGTTATTTGTTTAGAGGGACATGCTTCATTACAATAAAGCAAAAAAGAATACATTCAATCTCAGGTTTGAATTTAAGGCGGGGTAGAATGACATGTTTTGTCGCTTTACTTTGTACGGAAAAGGCTTGGTTCTGTCCAGCGCTTTTGTTTGTATACCAAACTTGTTTGCAGTATCCAATCGCATGGTCAGCATAGAAGTGATTGGAGGATGCGGACAAAAATGTGTGCATGTTAAAAAAAAAAAAGGTCTATAGTTTTGACATTATTTCGATCAACGTATTTGGCTTGCAGGACTTCCTATCTTTTTCTCTCCCGCAACCCTTGAGAATAACGTCACACGAAGTAGGAGAAGAGCTTCAGAACAGGTTTTTTTTTTTTTTTGCAAAGACAAGATAGTTAGTTATCCATAGTTTGCTCGAGAGTGATCCCCTGCATGGTAGTCTAGCTCTTCAGTAGATATATCGGGAGAGATGCCCCGATGCTAATTCATAATTTGAGATGTCCTCCTCTGGCATATATCCATGATGATCGTCCCTGGGCAACCTATTATCTATCCTTCTTTGATTTCTTCAGCGCTATGCAGTGTTATTGTGCTGCCGTCAACGAAAAAGAAGCGAGAAACTCACACCACAAGTAGTCTAGATAGTTCTACTTTCTGCCGTCTTGTCTCCTGTGCCCTTGCCCGATCTGCAATGACGCGATATGCCTGTCATGTTATTTTTTGATATTTGCTTGCTCTGTAGTAGCGATTTGGTACATACAGAAATTGTGCCCGTGGACTGTAGGAAAGAACAAAGTTATCTGATGCAACTCCCCTCTTTTTTAAGGGGCATGCTAAAATCCATCTCGTCATCGAAATTTTTTAGCTCATTAAGGCAAACGCGCCGGACGCCTATATGGCCTACCGTAGGTGTTCCCACTAATTCCTAGGCGCACCTGCACGGTTGGCACCGAATGACATAAAAAAAAAAAAAAAAAATACGCAAGATTGCTTATCGTGATCCTCAGGGACAGCTAATTTTTTTGCAAGTATTTTTTCTGGTCATTTTTCCTATGCGGGCCCAGCTATCCGGTTACGTGTGCGAACGATAAGTTGGAAGTAACTCTCTGATGTTTAACAAGTATGTATGTAAACTGCTTCAGCATGGCATCCAATCTTGTGTATATGAGGCAGTAATTGAGGGGCCATGCACATTCAACTGAACCTTGATCCTGATAGAGGAGATGAACAATAAAAGTGACAAAGGCCAATGGAAGCTAAATGAAAACACGAAAAGTATAGAAACGAGGTGAGTTGTGGGGCGCTTTATATACAGCAAGAAGGCAAGTGCTAGAAAACTACAGAGTAAAGCATGGATACAGCCATCTACTTATGTATACAAAATAGATCCGCATTCATGGTGGTCTATAGTTTCGATAAGGAACATCAGAGCAGGATCCACAAAGAGGACCGTAGACACGGAACAATCCACTATTTCTCTAGAAAGGTATATGTTGAGTGTGTCGCTCTCTAGGAGCCTGGTCGCTGGTCGCTCGAACTCGCGACAACCTTAAGGCATGCGCATTCATTTATTGAAGGCAGATACGACTGACTATCAATGAACTTCCTAGTTCAGGTGTTTCTCAAAGCAGGACTTCATCTTATTATCGGTAGGAGTGCTGCTGTCATCCAGCCAGTCCTTGATGGGGGTCTTGAGGATACTCTCCGCGAAGGTCTCTGCATTGGCCACCAAGACGGCTGCGTTGACCTTGAACACGGTTCTGTTGATAGAATAGCTCTGCTCGGTGTAGGTCTTCTTGCCGCTCTTGTCCTTCTTCATGTGGAAAGTGGTGTAGAAAATACTGACATCCACAGCGGTCGAGGCAGAAGTTCTCTTGATAGCCATCTGGTTGAACAGCGATCTCGATTCATCGGCATGAGACTGAGAAAGAACGCTGTTCGCCATGCGTTTAACAGAATCAACGACCTTGGTGACATCCACCTCGACAACGCCCTCGTACGCGCTCTTGATATCCCCAATCATTAAATCGATGTTGACACTGGACTGGAAAGATTGGGATCGTTCGTTGAAGGTAAGAGTGAATCCGGGGAAGGTACTGATCTTGTCGATGTAATTATCGTAGCTTTGGGCAGCTTGGGAGATGTCTTGCGTCGCTGGATGGAAGTTGGCCTTGTTTCCTGCAAAGGTCAGGATGGATGCAGTAGCGTCGACGTGGTTCTTAGGATCGCGGAAGATCTCAAGGGCAGATGCCGCGGGGTCGGAGGTATTCACACCGCTGAAAAATGGCTGCGAAATCGCCTCATCGGCATTAGGGGCCCTAGGAGCCCTAGGAGCCCTAGGAGCCATTGGAGGTGCGATTTTGTCCTCGAGCCATTGAAGAACTTGATCCCTCTCAGACATTTTGTTTGTATCGAACTTTAATAGCTACAAGTTAATTAAGTTAGAGATGTTTGCTCACAAATGAACACAGCAAATTCTCATTCCACGACAATAATAAAAAAAGAGCATTTACCTCAGGGTGCTTCGAAATTTTTAGTGGAGGAGCGCTAGAGATCCTGCGAGGAGGCGTGAGGGAACTTGGAGAGCTGAGAGTAGCAGTTGGGTTGTAGCGTTGGAAGCCTGCAAACACGACCTCTTTATATACGCGGGGTCAGTTATCTTCTCCGACTAGACTAGATCGACCAACTTGAACCATCCTTTTGACCTAAGGCGTGAAGTGTTACTCAGGCTACTGCACCTGCTCCGTCCAATGTTGTCAGCGTTATGAACAGATAAATTGACTATGCGATATGCATTATGCGCATTATGTTGCTTAGGTTGTCGTATCTGCATCTCAACAGATCAAAAAGAGCCAGGGATGGGAGTAAGCATAGAAGAAAGTAGGTGCACCAGATTTTTTAGATTGCTTCTATCATTAGAGGACGTCGATCAGGGGCATGGGAACGATAATCATACTGTGCTATTGATTCGCATAACAGCGCATATTTTTTGAGCTCATGCAACCCCTCTCGATTTGCTGGAGTTGCAAAGGTTTCGTTTACTGTGCTCTCGATTAATATTCTGATAATCTATAATCACTCAATTCGGATGTTGACTACTCATGTTTTGTGCGAGTTTTTTTCTCTCTTACACATGCATACATGCATGCATGAGTAACAAAAACCACATAGAGCTTGGAAACGCGTCTTCACGAGCTACGTAAGGAGACCACGCCGCTTCCTAAACATGCCTAATTGGACTATACCCATTTATGTTTTTTTTTTTTTTTTTTTTTTTTTGCATGCAGCAGCATCTACATCCGAAAGGAAGCCAGAGAGGACAAAAGAAATTATAATGATTTTCCGACATATCAAATCAAGCGAACTTTGGCAATCGCCAACATTGTAATCTATAGATGTCAGCATCATAACCTATCTTAATACAGCTATGAGATGTTCTCACGCACTTAGTTCAGTCCTCCTCCGCGTCGCTCAAGTATCCACTTTCTAGGTGAAGCAAGTCGCGTCTGATACCTGCTATTGTCGCACACATAACTCCTATTATGTATTCCACAGTACATATCGAAAAATGTAGTCTAGATTTCTGTACATCGCTCATTGACGATGAGCGTAGCAGTATTTTGCTCAACGATATATACATGCTTTGGTTCAGCTTTGTAGCGACGTGTACTGAAATCAGTACGCATGACTCGGAACCAAAAGACCTGATACTCCACTCTTCATGTGCGGGCTCGACATATATTAAGACACGCGTATTAATTGAGCACTATGCCCTATGATTACATGGTCTCAATCCACGACACTGCCTTGGCCGTATAGGCTACCCCGCGTGCTCGGATATATCTTTACTCATCTAACCTTACCCACGCATTCCATTGACGCGATACGATCAGATGCCACTTTTGCTGTACCCATAGTACCATAGTGGACAGTATAATGCCGTTGCTAGATCCATGTTACAAGAATTGCAGTAAATGAATTGGTTATCGATCCATGGCGAGATGCTTGCATTCTTAACGAATGTTGGGTTCATTACTATTATCACGGCGGGAGCCGGTCTATAATGTGTCACTTCTTTTCTTTATTTTCTGCACCGAAAATCCAAAGCAAATAGACAAAGGAAATAAAGAAAAATGAAAACAAAACTACTCGGATGCTCTGGATCCACCTCATTTTCTTTGCTTGAGCGGGAGAACGATGGCGACTGGGAGTGGTGAGGAGGGACATTATAGATCGGTTCTCCCGGACAATATGCTCTTCTTTTCATATTATTCGAGATCGTTGTGGTAATACCGCAGAGCACGCAAGGAGGCTCACTATCTCTTTATCAGCTCGCTTTTGACACGACTCATCATGACCTGGAGTAAATGTCTGGTGCTGTTTGACCAGGTGCAATGCTTAGTCTGCCTCTCATTGAAGATGTATTACTTCTCCCCACTTTCTTCAACTTGCGGAACTAAAAAAGAACACGCATTCATTTATGGAATCTCCTTGTTAAAGTACTCCTCAAAGCAAGATCTGATGCTAGCGTTAGTGGGAGAGCTATTGGCATTCAGCCAGTCACGTATAGGGGTCTTGGAGACCATTTGGGCGAGAACCTCTGCATTTTCCACCAAGACAGATCCGTCGACCCTGAAGGCGGCTCTGTTGATGGTATATTCCTGCGAAACATAGGTATCCTTGCCGCTTGTCTCCTTGCGCATGTGGAGTATAGTGTAGAAAATACTAATTCTCACGGTGTCCGAGGACGGGTCCTTCTGCACTGCCATCTGGTTGAACAGCGACTTGGATGCATCAGCGGATGAGCTAGAAAGAACGCTGTTCGCCATCCGTATAATGGAGCTAATAACCTGTTGGACGTCCACATCGATAACACCGCTGTATGCACTCATGATGTCAGAAATCATCCTCATAGGGTCGTAGCTGGAGCGGTACGGCTGGGGTTGGTCGTTGAGTGTGAGGATAAATCCAGGGAAGCTGCCGATCTTGTTGACATAGGCAGAATAGTTTCTGGATGCCGTGGTCATATCCTGCCATGCCGGGTGAAAATTTGTCTGGTTTCCCGCAAAGGTGAGGACCGATGATGTGGCGTCGACATGGTTCTTGGGATTGCGAAAGAGCTCGACGCCATCTGACCCTGGGTTGGATGTGTTGGTGCCTACGAAAAACGGCTGCGAGATCACGCTATCGACACTATTGCCACTGAGATTGAGGAGCTGTAGGTTTCCGAGGAGTAAATCGTTTCCTTGGAGCCAGTGAACAACTTGCTCTCTCTGGGATGTCATACTATGATAATAGAGTTGATGGACACGTAATGTCAGACAGTGATCGACAGAGCATGGTTACAGTCCGTAAATGTAACTGCAGTTACCTTGCAGAGATACAGGGTTCGGTGGAAGGATAGAGGCTAAGTACTTAGTGTCAGGACGTGTGAGGGTTGGTGGAGTCAAATAAGGGACTGTCTGGTTGAGTCGTAGTGAAGCTGAAAGGAGGGCTCTTGCGCCATTTATGTACTTGATACGTAGACCAGCCTCAGCCATGTTTTCTCTGTCCAGACTATCTTTTGCATTATGGTAGAGCGAAAGTGAGATATGCACTATGCGCATCTTGCTAAGAAAAAAAAACCACACGCCAGCACTTTAGCTTAATAAGGAGAGAGGGACGTCATAGCATTAGAAGAAAATTAGAGCTGCCGATCTGCTGTGCACTTCGGCTGCTTGAAATGAACCATCGGTCAGGGGTATGAGAACAAACCACAGAAACAATGCTCCAAGATGTCAGTAATGTTTGCGATGCTTCGATTATCAGTTGTTAGACCTATTCTGATAGGGATCTTTTGTACGCACAAGGAATGCGCACGGGACTAGGTCGGAGCATAATGACGCGCCTTCAGGGGCTGAAGCTATTCCTGCTACTCCCAGACCCCCGAGATCATTAGAAATTCAGCTAGTAGCTATACTCAGGAATCTTAGGAATAAAAGCGTACTCGTTTACCGGACATATTTTTTATACACTCGTGCTGAGATGTCGCTCAAAGTAAAACTTGATCTAGATATCGATAAGAGTGCTGTTATCACCCAGATAGGCACCAATAAGAGTCTTGAAGATCTTCTGCGCGAATGTCTTCGCATGAGTCACCAATGCGAAGGTCCCGACCCTGAACGCACTTCTGTTGATAGCATAGTCTTTCTGGGCGTAGGCCCCCGGTATTCTTGCTGGTCTTATCCCCTTGTACGTGGAACGTAGTGTAGAAAATACGAAGCTTCGTGATGGTCGAGTCAGCAGCCATCTGGCTAAACAGCACGCCGATTTCATCGACATAGTGATGTGAAAGAGCGTTGTCCGCCATGTATATGGCGAAACCACGCTTGCTGGCGCCTACCTCGACAACGCTGTCGTATGCACTCATGTTGTCCCCAAGTATCAAGTCGATGCTGGCAATGGACTGGAAAGCATATGATTGCTCATTATAGGCCGCAGTGAAGCTAGGGAAGTCTGCACTTATTATAGGTTTTGACAGTCGTAATGATATCCTGGAATACGTGTTGGAGGTTCGTCTGGTTTCCTTCAAAGGTCAGGATGAAGTGGCGTTGACTTAGTTCTTGAGAACGCAGAAGACGCCATCAGCTGTTGCAATGAGGTCAGAGGTGTCCATACCGCTGAAAAATGGATGGAAAACCGTTTCATCGGCATTGATACCGGAGTCGCTAGGAGGGTTGGGTGCGAGGCCGGCTCCATATAGTTGTGCATTCCCGTCAAGTCATCGAACAACAAAGGGCTGCAATTAACACAAGTTATGTAAGACTGCACCTTTTTTGTGAAGGAGTGTTGGGGGTCCTGGAAGAATGTATAGTAATACACATAGGATCTACCATCTTCCTCCTTCGCGTGAACCAACCTGGACGATCACCTTTGTTTTGCGGAGCGAACGTATTACGCAGAGCCAACAATAATTACATGTCCATTCAGTGAGAAAAGAGAGAGATGCATTATGCGCATACTATTGGCAAATTCACGCTGTGCAACGAATCAACTGAACCGCCGGGTCAGAGGCGATAGAGTACGACAGATTACAAATAGTACTGGTTACTTTTATGACCATGGGTTTGTGGTCTAGAGCATACGCTTTTGAAAGTGCAACTGTAGTCTAACACGCCCTTTTTTGTTTCCCATGCATCCCACCCGCCAAGCCAATTTGAAGCACAACGACGCACCTTCACGATCTGCAGCCAACTACTAACAACAGCAAGAATAAACACAGTTGCAGGAATGAAGCTAAAGAAACAACAAGGAGAACGGACAACAAATTGAATTGAAGATTAACGACGCGTGTTCACGAGTAGTTTCCTACAAGGCGTGACTCCGCTTACTCGGGTGTAAAGAAAATGGTATTTTCAAATCTACAACACCTCTAAGTTAGTCCAACCTCACCACATTCTTGACATCTTCTTGCGAACTTGGACTCGGCTACCTTGCTAACAGTCTACCAGTGTGCGAGTTTCTGCAGTTCTCTTAGCCTACTTTTCGTTTAAACCTCTGTTTGTCACTTTTGTCGTCAGTATGTCTGGCTACAAAATTCTTGATAATGCCTAGTCATTTCAGGGTTCCGCTTCTGCTGCTACTACAGCTCGTTCACTTTGACTGAGAATTTTCCCTAGTAGTATTTCCTGAATAATTAATCTTCCAATCGGACCTATTTTCGCTGGCAGGAGCTCATTCCTACATTGAAGCTGAGGTCGTCTTTCTGAACGTCTCCGCAGACATCTGCAAACATCTGCAGAAAAAAAAATGGCCGCAACGTGACAGGCTAATGCGCAAGTTCACCAATTTGTTCTCGGGATGCAGTCTGCAGGTGAAATCGCGGTAAACGTTAATGCTGTGAGCAAGACTCTGTCCAAGAGGCGCTTCTGGCCCTCTTGCGTGTCCTTGTTCCGCGGAATTTGTAGCGCTACCTGTATGGAGGTTCTAGCGATCTCCAGGGTTGTCACTCTCGTTTGGGTAGGAAACCTTGCACTTGTCAGGTCATCTGATAATTCGCGAACCTATTGACGGCCCGTATCCCTTGAGGTGAATATTATTGTGTGCGCATGAGCCAAGGCATACTGGGTAATCCAGGATACCACCGATGTCGATGCCATATAATCTGAGGACGCATCGGTTTTTGGCATCAGCCAGCGAGTACCACATCGAGCCACTACACATCACTAAAGTGTCTCCAGCTTCCTTCACACCCTCACCGGGTGATACCACAGAGAGTCCAAGGATATCCGGCCCGCCAACTGCAATCCGCATCCCCTCTCCACTGCTCTCACCTGTCATTCAGTCAACATGACCGATAATCCTGAGATCACTTCAAACACCGATTCAGCAATAAGCATCGTGAAAATGCGACCCCGACTTTAGCGCACCAAACCAAGAAACCACGCATCTGCTACGGACTTTTTTTCAAAGAGTATAGTATAGCGTAACGAGCAAGAGCTACACAAGCTCCTTGCAGACGCGGAGCCGCAAGAACAGCAACTACAACAGCCAATACAACCGTTATCGCAACCCCAGTAGCATCAGAATGAGCGACAATCTCAGCAGCCACCACGGCACCAGCTCTGTCAATTGCAGCAACAGCAACAACTGCAGCAAATGAGATATCGAAACCGGCAGCCGAACCAACACCCTAAGTTAGAGCTACATATGCCATAATAGCAACAGCCGCATTCGATTCGGTTACCGAGACAACCACCGCGCCCTTTATTGTCCCAACAGTTCGTGTACACACAGCAACAGTCGTCGTCGAACCCACCTCCGTCAGTATCGCAGGTAAAGACCCATACAACGCGCTTTTGATGGAGCAGGATGACTGCAGCAAGAAACTAATGATTTCATATTTTTAGTACCACTGTAGCGCGTTGCTGTCAGATAGTCCTTCGCCCGGTTACGGTGCTTTGCATTCATGGAACACTGGACAGTCGCCATACGACTGTTCAACATTAACTCAGGACCTTTTCGAAGCTGGACCGGCGCCAATGGGTGCTGCTACAAGTAGCGGTAGCTTTCCATCGAATTTCCCCATGGCTGCCTTGAATTAGACAGTGCACTCCACCTCGGATCTCGATGTTGCAACTTCCCGGGCCCACCCATATTCGAGTCTCATCTCTTCTGTTCTGTCAGACACGCCTCTGACCATATCGCGCTCCCAGAAACGGAAGTCGCCTGAACCAGAACCTGCTTTAAGGTCGATTCCAGCACTTGCCGACGACAGAAAGCCGCGCAAGCATAGGAAAGATCAGGGGAGTTATCTGGCGGGGCTGGTTTGCACCCCAGAGACTTGGGCACTTCTCGAGGGCACAGCCCCCAGCACGAAGAAAAGCCATTACATCTCCAAAGCCAAGATTCACCGGGAGTTGGCCCAGAAGATGGATGACAAAAAAAAATATCGTCAAGGAAACAGAGCTGGTTGTGGTATTCAATGACGGCTAGATATTGCCAATATGTATCAACAAACTGTCATGTTTGCAGGCAGCACTGGTCAAGGTAGCAAGGACAGTCTTACTTGGACTGATAAGGTCTTGAAGAAATGCCATTTTTATTACATCGTGGACCTTATATGGTCAAATTCCTGGGCGTTGAGTCCGAGAACACTGATGCACTCCATGTCCAAGCAACTCAAGTAGATGATTTGCGACTCAGATACAAACGGCAAAAATGAGAACGATGGGGTGGTGGAGGTTTACAGGGAGGACAGCAGCGACAGCGAGGATAGCGAAGGTACTGCCGCTTCGCAGTGGAACCTTCACCCCAGAGCGGAACAGGGGCATTCCGGCAATTGTCCATCTGCACCAACGCGAGACAAAAAAAAAAAAGCGAGAAGCCAGTCATTTTGAGAGCCTTCTAAAGATATTGGGTACACAGACTTCAGCTCTCGCGAATGGACAGGAATTGCAGCAACGGAGGCTAGAGTTCGAAATGAAGAAAGTCGAAGCGGATAGGGATATCAAAATGGAAGGACTTCGTCCCAAGGAAAGGCAATTATAGTCTCAAGAGGACCAAGAGGACCATCAGTTGCTTCGAATGAAGATTTTTGCGGCATCACAGAAAGCAGCAGAAATTACATGCGTTTGACTCTAATGAGTCTTTTCCAATACACAGCCTTGACGCTCTCTAATAAAACATTCTATGCCGAGCACCATGTCCATGAGTGAAAAACAGGAAGCAAGTACTGAAAACCCACAGAGTAAGACTGCAGATACGGCCTTCTGTTTATTATAAGCGGTATACCAGCTAGAGTCCTCGTCAGAAAGTTCCGTTTAAGGAACTTGGAATTGTACTGAATAGCGAGGTCGTCTGTCTGTTTTGTACGCAGAATCCCTTTGCTTTGCATGATCTGCAACCCTATTGAGCCGGCATCGGTGAGAGGTAGGAGGCAAGGGTGTCATGGTCCTGCATCTATTAAGCTAACATATACAAGCAGACACCATAGAGATGCATGCGTCAACCAGCCTGTTGTGGCATTCGAGTCAGGTTTACCTCTTCTTCCTTGAATGAGAGAACAAAACGGCACATCTACGGTATGAGGGCGGCAATAGATGATCGCCATGTTTTCGACAGCACAGCCATTCTTTCCTATTGTCGGACGACCCTCCAACGATCTTTCTCCTTTCCAGACGCCACCAACTTTAATGGTCTTGGATTCAGTCTTTGGAAAGGGGCTCCTGTTCGCGTCGCGTGTGCCTCTCGTCAGGGACAACGACATCACCAAAGGCCGTGCCGAGCATGGCGACAGCAAAATACAGCAGACCATCGACAGCAGCTTCATCCAGCAACCAATTCGTTCATGGGTACAATATATATGGCATAAGGATGAACTCAATTATCCCATGCTGACACTTTATTCTGCTATCAGTCATATCCTCCCCAATCCACTTTCAACTCCAAACGTAAGATAACGCGAACAAGACACAAACCAAATCCCAGAATCGCACGTGCGGTGTGTCTTCTCTGTGTTCGATTGAGAATTACCACCAGCATCAACTCTTGACCAGGCCATCAACTTGGAATCATCTCGGGCGATTGGACACTTCATTCGGGCACTATGACCATTACAACAGGAGAGGAATATCCGACCTCACAGTCATGGAGGAGCCGTATCCCAGATAATACAACAACAACCTCAACGCCGGGATCTAGCCATTATACCTCCAGGATAGTCGTCGCTGGCATGGACCAACCACACCCTGGTAGAACAAGTGTTGGTGCTCCTTCTACAAAGGCTGTCCCACATAGCGCTCGACCCAACGCATCGCCTCGTTCCACACACCTTGTCGTGGACTCGGAAGCTCTTGTTACCTCACCGACAACCTATCAAGGAGAATCAATGCGACAGTCGTTAATACATCACACTTCCCCGTATCAGGCAAATTCGATGCAGGCAGAGCCACGAGGTGCCGGTAGCACCTATCCGCCAATAGCCTCGAGCGCTGGATCATCATCACCAACATTGCAGTCGCAGATGCAGGGCTCGTCACCATCGGCAAGCACAGGAGGAGGACTATCACGAGCGAAATCAGTGGCAAACTCGAGTGCGGCGGCGAGGCAGGGGCTTTTGCAGCAGCAAAAATATCAGCAGCAGAGACAGGAGGAGTTCATGCGATTAACCCAGAGTTATTCCAGCAATACGATTCCTACGATCACGAGCCAGGCGGAACCGAACGCAGACGCGAGTGCGCATGTATCACCATCTTCTTCTGAAGAAACGATGTCAGCACTGCCAGAGGAGTCAGTAGCGAGACCTGCAACATCAACAGGAGCCACGGAAATACCAGCATCGTCATCACCATCATTACCAAGGGCAGAACCACGGTCAGGATCAATATCCGAACTACAACCAACCCTCACCCCAATTGCTGCGACTTTTCTGCAGCAACGCGTGCCCTTACCAGACAGCATTGGGATGCTTGGTCATGGTGGGCAGGCTCGCGATAACCCTCCAGCGAACTTGAGCTCGGCCCCAGCAGAATCCACTCCCATGACGCGGACTCGAGTATCGACCATCCAGCTCGAAAACACTCAACCACCGTCATCATCGCAGCGTCAAAGGCAGGGACAGCAGCAGCAGCGTAGCGATACCTTCGGATCAGGACTCGCCCGAGCAGGCACGATCTCATCCTCGGGGAGCGCAGCAGCCAATGCTAATTTCATCACACATTTCGTGCCGAAGAAATCTTTAGAGGATGTCCAAAGAGCGAAGGAACTCTCGCATATCGAGGAAGGGCCAGGACCAGTTATGTTAATTGCTATTGGCAAAACTGGCCAAGGCAAGTTACCCACGAGAGCGACACGATCTCTTTTGATACCAAAGTCCTCTGTGCAAGTGGAATATACTCATTGTATTTCCTTTTTTCGCCGTTTGATATCGTATATAGGAAAGTCGTCGCTTCTGAACAGGATCATGGGCACGAATGAGTTGAAAACGAGTGCTTCAGTGCGGGTACGATCTCAGTTTGATGCAATATATCATACCTTTGTTTGTCGTCACCAAGTACTCATTTCGTACCAAAAACTTGAAACGTATAGGCAGTGACCAAGGGCATTGCAGAGCGCACAGGCTGGGCAAAGTTCGAGGACAACAGACGATTCTTGGTGACGCTAGCCGATACCCCAGGTTTGGCAGATACGGAAGGAGATGACGAAAAGAATATACCCATCTTGAAAGACTACATCAATTCTGTCGGCACCCGTCTTGGTGTTACGGCGTTTCTTCTTGTCTTCAAGATCGATTCTAGGTTAATATCGTTTCATGCAGCATCTTGCATCTTTCAAGTCAATTCGACAAAGCTTGACGTTTTTTTTTTTATTGCTTGTCTTTGCTCTTTCTTATAACCGTAGTGTCGATAATATCATGGCGATCCTTAAGACATTCAATGATATCATGCACGATTTCCCCAACGTCTGGGATAATGTAATCCTAGTCTTCACAGGATGTGATTACCGCCGAGAAATCCTAGATACGAAGCAGCTGCTGCACAGGGAGCTCAAGAAGCAGATCCTTGAGAATATCTTGCAGAATCCGCCGCCGCGCCCGTCCGTTCCAACAGAACCTTCGACCTCTTCAACTGCAACATGTTCAAGCATGGAAGGTCCTTCGGGCTCCACCTCCAGCCCATCTGCCTCACGCTCCGCAACAACGTTTGAAAACACCGACAGCGCTGTAGGAGTACCCATGGTGTTCTTGACCACCGCTGAGAACATCTGCCTCATCGCTCTTGGAGGCGCATGGTGCGATTGTGAGGAGCATGCGCAGTACATGAAGACGGCTTTGAAGCGCCTGTGGTACGAAGCTAGGAAGATGAAGCGCTGGGTAATTGATGCGGACGAGGGGGATTATGAGTTCATAGGACACGCTTGACGAAATAAATTTAAATCCAAAATGATATGCGGATGGAATTATGTTTTATGTTGCGATGATATGCCATGAAACTGAATGCTATGACAGGACCGTCAGCTTCGCAAGCCGGGACGCCTTGCTCCGAACGCTTCGCACGAGTACAAGCATCCTGGGGACCTTTAGAGGCGTCCCTACTGCGCTCTTTTGAAGCTCCAGCCGCTGTCTAGTCTCCGCCGCAATGACATGTGCTAGTCCGGTTGCAGAACAACATCCGATACCATAACTCTTTCCCTCGCTGTAGCAGTACTGTCCTGTAGTCACATATCCAAGAAGTGTCTCTGACGGAGGTAGTGCCATCTCCTAGTAGAATTCACAAGGACAGCCAATGTAAGTAAAAATAGTTCAAACGTTGCATCGAAAATACTTTTACTGAAAGATAGCAGTTACTCACAAGATCGTCAAGGTCGGTATCGTCCTCTTCCTTGTCCTCCTCGTCGTCGCTGTCAGAGTCTACCCAAGATTTGACCTTCTTCTCTTTGCGAGGGTGCCCCTCCAGTGTCCTCTTGCCCTTCAGCTGGACGCGTGCAGCCCATTGCTTATAGTGCTTCTCTGGGATAGCATATACCATGCCGTTCATCCCAATAGTCCCCCGATTCAAGAAATCGATGCCAACTCGGATAAGCGCCTCGTCTACACGAAGCGAAGGCCGATCTGTGAGCGATGTTACGGTTGGTCTAAGTAGTCTCTGCAAGCACTCGTTCAAGATACCATTCAGTGACTCCACAGTCAACTCTGAGGCCATTTCCTCCGGGGTCCCACTACCGGCTGCGCGTGCGGCGTCCGTTATGGCTGCGATCAGTTTTGGCGTTTGCAGTAGCCATACCCTATGTTCATCCAAAGCCGCCAACGTGCTCTCGTCCCCGCCTAGCGTCTTGATTCCTGCTTGCAGCGCTTTGATCCATGCTGCCTCAAAAGGATCATGCACCCCCAGCTTTGCATAGTTGATCCTCTTGGGGATAGGCTTGCGGTCGTACTTGGCCTGTGCCTCCTTCTTGTACTCGTCTGCATACGCGAGATACGCCGCAGTGCTAGGAAAGTCGTAAGGGAAACATGACTGACGCGTCTCAAAATGAAAGCTCCGTCGCTCTCTTAGCCCTCCAGGCCGCGCGCCCGCAAAGATCATGCTCTTCCAGAACGGCATTGCCCAGCCCTTGGGTAGAATCAAGCTCCACCCACACTCGTATTCGCTGCTGCTGCCACCAGGTGCGCGTCGGATCTGTGGTTTCCCTTCTCGTTGAAGCAACAGCACTGGGATACAAGAGTCGGCTTCTGTTGGAGAGAGCTTTGTTCCAGGTACCAGATTTTGTGCACGACGCTCATTCAGCTTGGCTTCTGGGGTCATGGAGCTCAGAAGATGCTCGCGTTCCTGAGAATCCCAAATTGATGACCTGGCAACGTTGGTGGGCCAATTTGTGGTGATATCCTGTAGGCTTTTGCCCAGGGCTACGGGTATAGAGGCCGGTCTAGGCTCAGCCTTGTGTGGAAACCTAGTGAGTGTCGTATATGGATGTTAGACCTCCTTCTGGATACCGAAACGAAACTGGAGCACTGAATCACCAACTCTTACGTTAGTCGAGGGTCGTCCACCAGAAGACCAAGGACAATACCTGGAGGGAGTGAGGAGGAAGTTCTCAAACTGGAAAGGGTCTCCCATGCCTAAGTGGAATGATGGCACAGTCTGAAGTAAGCACGCTGACTTAACAAAAAGCAATACGTAAATAGTTCTCGATCATTCAAAACCATACCTTGTGTGCCTCCCCGTACTGTGCCGCAGCGTCTGATTTGGAGGGCTTGAGGACAGCTTGCAGCAGAGCAGTCGAGCGAGGTCCTGTGAAATCAAACATCACCAGTGAATTCTCCAGATCAACAGCATTAACGCTGTTTACCCTGCCTGCTTTCGCGATCGCCTCCTGGACAACCGTCTTTGCATGCTCAAAAGCTGAGGGGTGCACCCACATCCAAAGTTGGCCTTCTTTGGATAGCTCGTCAATATCCATTCCGCTGCTATTAGCATTATCATGCCTCCAGAGAAACATAGCGGGCGCAATCATTCTGTGTGGGAAACTATCGAGGCCATAAAGTTGTAACGTGAACTGCCTTGTTCCTGTGATGTATCTATGTTGGCATCAAATGCTCCCTTTAGTTTCATCTCGTATAAAGAGTATGAGAAGAATAATGCTTAATGCGGCTCGATTTCTTTTAATTACCTTGCACTTCCCACAGTTGGTGCTGACGGATCCAGTAGATGGTCAAAGACTTCTACAATGTGCCTCTTGTTTCCTTTAATTTCCAAGCATCCGTTATATGACGAATCCTGGAGGATACATTGATAGTGGCTCGATTTGTACGCCGACTTGATTCCATGCTCATTCGAATGTTCTGCCTACACGTGGATCCAAGGTAGTCATTAACCGTGTATCCTGCATGTTATGATGAGATACCCTCGAGGAAACGATGCGCGCGCGTATGCCTTACCAGCTTGTATCCCCAGATCTCGACCATCTTCATTCTCTTGGCGTGCCAGATATGTGTTTCTAGCCATCGCTTCGTCCCCTGTCTCCTGAGATACTCCTGTGCGATAGTTCCTGGCCGCCTCTTCTTGTGTCGATTATCCGGTTTCTTTCCTTTCTTTACTGGATCGGACTCAACCTAACGGATCAAACTATTCGTGTCAGGATGATTTGATATTTCGGAAAGATAGATACAGTAAACAAAATCTTCACCAGTTCCTTTTGGCGTTCCTTACCTCTCTCATTGCTCGTTGGCGAAGACGAACTGGCAGCCGCTTAATATTATGACTCGCAGCACGACGCCTTAGGTTGCGGGGCAAACTCTGGAAGGCCCTCTGCACTGCCGAATCCTTTGATCTTTCCATAGCTGTGTGCATCGCATTAATTTCGAAAGCGCGTGCCTACAATGTCGATCAAGTTCCGGGTTAGCCGTCTGCTTGTTTATCCGACTAATTTTGATCCCTGCTACGTATTTCTGCATAGGAATAACAAGGCCAGCGATTGTTCGTCGTTGAAATAATGCTGATCGAGGCGTACCTCTGCGAAGCTGACGACATCCAACGTCCTTACGGCCTTCAACGAGCCTAGCAAACAGAACCGTCAACTGAGAGATCAATACAAAGGATATCGAGGATATAATTGAACAACGTAAACATATAATCAAATAAACACTGACCTGCGCCGCCTGTAGACGCCACTGGACTCTGATGGGATGGTGAGGGCGAACCTTGGGTCGAGATAGAACGCGCTTGCTGCATCCTAGCTAGAAACATTCGCCCACGAGAGGACAAAACAGGTCGTTGAAACAGAGTTCAGTCTGCTGTGAGGAATCCCATGCGACAACTGTTGCGATGACATCATCTCGTTAGGACACACCTCGTTTCTTATCCTTCCCCGAGGCTTCAGACGAGCCTGGCCGCTTGTTGCTATTCCCTTTGTCCATTGTAGTGATGGTATTGATGCCGAGGATGGAGCTTGGAGGTCAAAAGCAAGGTTCTCAGCAACCGTGTTTTCGATTCCTCTGTGGCTTGATAGGATATGTGATAACAGTCCTCAGGTCCACGCTGAATATTGGAGCCGGCCAGTGCGATTTTGTGCTGTGCGCGGCAAAGGATGTCCTCCATCACTACAGTGCCATGATGTGCCTGTATCGCGACAAATACTATCTCTTCGCTCCAACGTACGCTTGATCCTCGCTTAGGGACCATCAGGCGTCGTATCGATCTGTAACTGCTGCAATATCCATAACCGCGAATGCATACAATCTCTTAAGAAGTCGGCTGAATCACCCCCTACCGAGCCATCTTCTCGTGTTGCTCTCGCGAGTTGCATTGGTTGGAAGGAAAGATCTCCAAGTGCTAGTTGCAAAAAAATTATAACCGCGTCGTGGTTTTTCCTGAGTAGAGTCGCTCGAGTCCTGCAATCCTGCAGGATTGGCGCTTTGCAAAAATGCAAGAAATTCATGCACGGGTGTGTGTGCCCGAGACTGACTCTCTCCGCTATCCCAGCTTCGTCAGCCCTCAGCTTCTTATTCTTCTTTCTTTGTTCTTCTTTCTACATACATAAATTAGCAGCCCTTTTCCATCCCTCCCACTCAACAAGACATTATCCTATTTCAAAAGACCAAAAATGGCCACCGCGGAACCCTCTCTCACCCCCGAATTGTCCAAGGAGCAGCAGCCCAGCAGGCACGAGGACGACATCCTTGCTGAACTCGATGTTGGGCCAGGCGCAAAGCCAGTTGTCCCACCCCATCTCCTCGCTAGACTCCAGCAGCATGAGACCCCAGACAAGTAAGTACCATATCGTCAGATGAACAAGTTGAGACAGAATGGACATGATGAAAATAAAATACAAGCACAGACGTTTTCATTGCGGTGATAAGATGTTATGAGAAGGTGTTACTGATAGCTGGAACTTCCTTGAGCATTAGGACTCAACAAGATATTGACAACAAGCTGGCAGAGGCCGAGGAGAGACGCAAGGTACAAGATAATATCATATTACTCATGCAACTGCATCCCTGAATACTAAGCAGGACTTTTGTATGCTAATCCATCTCAATCCCCAAACGATTAGAAATTGGAGGAGGAGCGAGTCCAGAAGGCGCACGAGAGCGTGAAGCACGCCAAGCAAGTCTCGGAAAAGAACAAGCACGATGCTGACTTGAGCCGGGACGAGTCCATGGACCGACTTCGTGAGAAGCAGGAAAGTGCCGAACGAGCTCGTCAAGAGCAGGTAAGATACCCCAACTGTTTCTTCTTTTTACTTGATCGCCATTGTGCTTGCTTGTGAGACAGCACGGAAGAGGTCATCATGCGAACAACACCGCATGACTATGTTGTGCAGGCGTAGTGGCTAAAATGCAGTGCGCATTCGTTTGTCGACACGACAAGGAAATATAAGCCTGAAAAAGACAATGGTGCATGATGACGATGGTGCTGCAGTGATAAAACATTCTTTGTTGCCAACGTTGTCTGGTCATTCACATCTTGCAATGTTTATGTATCTTCTGCTTAGGAGCGTCAACGTCTAACCAAGTTAGAGGAGCATTCCGCAAAAGTCGCTGGCTTCCACAAAGACGAGAGGTAAGCTCACGAGAAGGAATTATGTCCATCTCATAACGACGCGCGTCCACTTATATAATGCCAATCATATTAACGAGCCGTGTTCATCCGGTCTTTTCCTTCTAAAAAGCCAAGCGCGCGACAACGAGATCCGAGAGATCAAAGAAAAGCTGGAGCAGGCCGAGGCCAGACGCAAGGCTCTCGAGGATGAGAAGCGTCAAAAGTTGGAGGAGCGTCTTCAAAAGGTGCAGTCGGTTCGTGATGCCGACACAGAAAAGTCCCAATATGAGCAGCACAAGGCCGAGCTGGACTACAAGATGAAAGCCGTGGAGCAGCGTCGTCAGGAGCTCGAGAACTCGTTGAAAGAGAAGATGCAGGCTAGACAAGCGCTTGCAGATCAAGTCCGTCAGCGTACGTTTCTGTACTTATCGTGTCTAACGCGCCCTTTCGTTGATGTCGACCATTGAATATTCATAAACGATGTACTTTGTTTTACTCGTCTGCTTCTATATAGGCCAGCAGCAGGAACAGGCAGCAGGAAAGAGTGCCGCGGCAGAAGACACCAAATAAGAAAACACCACAACTAAACATATCTGGCTACTGCAATGGGCACAGAAGACTGTTCCATCTGTGATATTATCTGCATGAAGCGAATAAATAGCAGACGCCATTTATCATTTTGATTGGGTTTATTGCGCTTTCACTATCAATGTCCTCGTTTCCGACCCTTGCTCAACAACCTACGATCCGCGGTAGGTAGTGTAGGAGTAAGGGCTGAGAAGCAAAGGAATATGGTAATGCTGCTTCTCTGCACCAGGAGCGATCTCAAAGATGATCTAGGAGTTCAAAAGGCGTGGGAAAAGCACGCATTGTTAGCAAAAACTGATGCATCGATACCTATGGTTGTTTCTTCAGAATCTTCATAAAGGTATACCTGGACATATGGGTGAAAGTAGCCACTGACACCAACCGAGGCCCAATAGTCGGCAGTCTGGAAGGTCATGCGATAGACGCCCGCAACGAGTTGGTGCGATGGGTCCAGCAATGTGCTCACGCGCCCATCCGCATCGGTCAAACTGCCACACGCAATTGAAGGATGATTCCAGAGACGAGTTATAAAATGTGGGGACAAGAGGGGTTTCGAGGTTAGACGTTATTGTTATGACAATAAAGCAAGGCAACGCAGACAGGCAGGTAGACGGCAATGTCCGCTTACCCTTCGGCGAGTCCGCTCCAGGTGTTATTCGCGGCAGTGTTCAGTGCCTCCAACTTGACGGGCACGTTGCGACCAGGTCGACCGTGGGTCGAGTCGAGCACATGGCACGTAATGGGACTACGGGCAGCCATGAGGTGAGGTGGAGTGATGGAAAGAGAAAAGGTCGAAGGATGTGTAATGAGAGAGATCTGCCTTCCTACCTTTTTATACGAGGACTATACATCGATTCCCCGAACTGCCCGCATTTTGCGTGTTTTTATCACTGGGGTCAGTCTCGTTTCACATCCTCCCCGCACTAACTTCTGCTCTTTTGGTCGACCAGGTTTGCGCATAGCCACCACAGCCATTGGCAAGTCGAAGGACCCATTTGACAATACAAGATTCCACATCAAGATCATATTACAGCATCGACAGCAGACAAGGGAAGTCTGAAATGTTTTCTTTTCTTTCGCACGTAATTTAATTGTATAAAGATCGTACAATCAATTTACTTCTTAAGCTTGCGGATGTAGAAAGCCAACTCCTGACCCTCGAGAATGTATCCGTCAGAACGGCCGGACTGACCAGGGCGCGACGAGATGCAGGCATAGAGACGACCGGCAGCGAACTGGTGGTCAAGAGCGGGGTCGACCTTGGCCTCAGCCTTGCGGGACTCGATCTTACGCTGGACGTGGTTCGAGCGGGCCTTGTTAACCTCCTCGGACTCGGTCTATTGTTTGTTCAAAGCAAACATTCAAAGGTTGGTTAACATGTTCCATGTATATTGAGAGCTGGAAATTGACAATGCTCCTTCCTCCATGAAGGAGCCCCTCCATGCCGAGTTGTCCAAGCTGCCCCGCACTGTTGCCGATAACGCGGTCCATTCCAGCGGGTTTCGTTCCTCAACTAAGTGGTACTCCTGCTTCCTGCATTCATGAAATCTGACTGCGTCTACTGCAGTCGAACCGCCTGCAATATCGCTCGACATTCTCACTTCAAACCAGCAATAAGCACAAAAAAAATAAAAATAAAAACGCATTGGTCTTTACCTTGACGGCACCCTTACCCTTGCGGGCACCAATGGGGGTGGCGTAGTGGGACTCGTACCACTGGCGGAAGGGGGTAGCATCGATCTGGATGATGGCGTTCTTGACCAAGGTACCGGTACGGACCAACTCGTTGTTGGAAGCGTTGTAAACGACAGCAACGATACGAGTCTTGCGGGAAATGGCCTCGGAACCCCAGGAGAAGTTGCCGGAATCCAAACGCATGGCACGGAACTTGCGGTTGCCTCCACGGGTGCGAACCTCGTGGATGCGCTTAGCACCGAGCTTGGTGTTGGCAGCCTGACGACCCAACTCGAACTTTCTCTTCTTGCGATATTGGGCGCGCTTGGCTCCAGAAGCGGAGCGCTTGTGGCGGGAGTCTCTGCTGATACCTGAAGTGTGCAATGATCATAGTGAAAAAAAGTGGTAGGTGATCAGTTGACGAGCTCTCCAGAACGAGTTGTTCGCGAGTGATGCGGTCCAGTCGTCTTTAAATCCTGAGCTAGCTGTAAAAAAAAAGGTTCTGAGATCCTTCTTGGATTCTATTGTAGTTGCTGATCAACAAATACATCCAGTTTGCTGATGATGGCTTTACTCTTGCCATGAACACGTATGGAGTTATCGTCCATGTCGCCAATCCATGCCATATCTATAATACTGTGCAAGAAGCTGCTGCTCCATGGCTGAATCTCACGACTGATGCATAAGCCATCTTCTCTAGGATCAGATCCGATTTGAGTAGTGCTGACTAAAGTGAGATATCTTGCTCCTCCCTCCTAGCCCTCAAATGAATTGTTCTGGTCCTATGAGCGATTCAAAAGTCGGTTTGGATCCTGGTGGTCAATGGTGGACTAATTCCTGAGATGAGCGTGAGAGTGAGCTCTAAGGCTCCTCCAAATGGTCTCCATCGACCGTGGATGATATTCCAGATGTATTGCCGAATGGATCAATGGTCGCTTGTTGAGATCGTTAAGGATGTCGAGATGGATGGCTGGGCGGTATCAATGGATGGCTATTTCTCCAGACAGCCTCATCAGCCTCAGCAGCGAGACTCACCCATAGTGTAAAATCAAAAGGAAGGAACGACTCTGGATCCACTGCGTGTGCACAGTTATGCGAGAAAAAAAATTGAGCCGCTTAAGGGTGTACAATATCAGTTTGATGACAATGAGAATGAGAACAAAGATAGTCGATAGACCTTTCGCTTCCGTCTCAAAATCAACCATCGTTTTATGTGTAATGTCGACGAATGTTACTCGATAGTAGCCAAGTCTATTGTTGTAAACATCTTTAAAATCCGATGAAAGTCGGCGCTCTCCGTCGCCATACGCAACTCACATTCGTGTTTTGTTTTCAAACACAAGAGGCGCTCGACCACATGTTAGAGCAGTTCCAAAATCTGGGTTCCATGGTCCTCTGATCGACACAAGAACAACGGCCTCAACTTTATGGGATGAGCTGGGTAGCTGGAGTTTTCTGCACACGCACGCGCTGCTCGAGGTATACTCTTTTTTTTTTGCCAATAGAGCGACCACAAACGGAGGCACAGGTGATATGCTCAATATATATACATGATCATCGGTGCCAGTAGGGATTCAGTAAGAGTTGATCGCCCTAATAGTACCCCTCCACAAAGTCCTGCATATGTTTTCTGTCAGTTTTGCCATGGTCTGGAAGCTGTCAAGTTCAATCAAATACTGGGGACCATGCTAGACCGGGTTCACGACGTAAATCCCGCTCAATGTTCCGACAGTTGAAACGGAGCAAGAACAAAAGAGGCCAATGGCATCAATAGTAATGTTCACTGCGTCAAGTCTTTGTTGCGCACTAAACATGTTTGTTGAGGGATTAATGGATTTTATTATTTTCAAGCGAGACAGATTGGTGCACTCCAGACTAGTAAAGATGTGCCCGCATCGTGAAGAAAGCTGAGAAGTTCGCCTCGCTTGAGGTTTATCCACTCTTGAACAACAGAATCGCAATCTGGTCCAAATAAAAATAGATGAAGTGCTTGGTTTCTATACATCATAAAACAAAAGAGCCATTTCAGTCTTCATATCATATCATTCACACAAAAAGAATGCCAGCTTGTAGAGAAAAAGAAAAAAAAAATGCACGTACCATGGGTGACATAGCTTCCAAAATTGCGTCCGACAATGCAGTGCCATGTGGCGCCGTATTTCTTGTCAAACTCCTTCTTCATGTACGCGGCAATGTCCTTCTCGACCGTATACTTTTCGAATGCACGGACCGCACACTCCACAGCCTCCTGTTGCACGTCCTCGGGCATGTCAGCATTTTTGACCGTAGGTTTGAGATCCACCATGTTGGTTTCGAATTGGTTTGTTGATAGTTATGTGTTGCTATCCCTGAAGTTAAAGCAGGTCGTCCTGAGGTGGCGAGTACAGCGAGAGCCGAGGAATGATGTTCAACCAGGCAAGGATGATCTAGATCAATAAGTAGATCATAGTAAAAAGGAAAACGGCATGTTAGTTACTTGGCACTGCATTTAAACGAAGGCCGTTAGATGCTAAGGCGGTGTCGATGACTGGTGGGGCTGACAAGCCCTGTCGGCTGGTACGATTATGTCGGTTGTTGGGGATATTAATGTTCAAAATCACAATCCAATTGCGACCTTTTGTTGTATGAGGATCTTTTCCATTGCACAATGTCCCCAAAAATGGCTCGCGATAAACGTCTTTAACCATTTTCTACTCAAGAGCCGAGTGCCAAGACCCATTCCGAATCCTATATTACTCCTCTTCCCATCTCCCACGTGTGATCCATAACCTATATATAACATAGCCTTCTGAATAAACTAACATGGGTACTTTCTGGTGGTGCGGTTGATGCGCTCGTGCAAGTAGCATACTTGGCCAGTTTCTCCCTCATCAATGGTTGTTGCCGCCTTTTGCGCCCTTTGCGCTTTTTATCCCCTTTTCATGCCCTTCAGCTCTCCGCGGTCGTATACCTCTGTTGTCCCCAATTGATAGAGTCGCCGACCGTGGATAAGAACCCGCAACATCTTGTTTGCAAAAGAAAATGAAGGCGAAATTGTTGTGCGTGGTTCACTTAAGTATGGCTATGCGCCTCACTGTCTGCAATAAATACTGAGAATATGTTACCTTTTGCGAGGGAGGATTGCACCAAGTAGATGAATCGAAAATGAGAGGATGAGTTTAATGAAGAAAGATGATGATGGTTCAAAAAAAAGCATTCACCTTCGAGATATGCTGCTGGGCAAAGTCAGGGGCAGGCTATTTCCACTTTCAGAGTACAGAACAATTCAGGCTCAAATACGTCACAGAACGCATCCTTGCAAGAAAGTACTGCATCTGAACTGTTGAGTGTGCTTGCTGGCTGACACACATATAGCCTTTAGTCGCTTGGCGCCAAGGGTCACCATCCCTTCCAAGGATGAGGTTGCTCGCTTGCGTCCTCCAGCTCGTCCTTACCCTTGCCCTTGCTCTTGCCCCACCGTGCTACTGCTACTCCAGCTTACATCCAAGTCAGGTCCTGCAATAATCCGTGGACCCCAACTTCTCCAACAAACTGGTCATACTTCGGACACTTCGATATAGCCAACGGACCTAGTCTAGCAACCGTAAAGTGGTGTCAATCGAAACTTTTATCAAAGCATCATGCAAGTAGGGCACTACAAAAAGGCAAGAAAGCGCTTCAAGAGCTTATACAATACAGCACAAACTCGTATATCAATCGACACACAGAGGGGTTTTTTTCTTTTATTTCATGAATTCATTAGTTGACAAAAGACCGAAAGATGCCTTTTTGCTGGAAGTGGTCGATTACTTGGCACCGACGAGGGTCACACGAGCAGACTGGAGAGTGCGGGCAGCAACATCGCTCATGGAAGAGTTGACCTCCTGGACCTTAGAGAGACCGCGGTGGACGTTCTCCTGAATTGAGATCTGGTACTGCAGGAGCGACTCCCTGACGTCCTGAGCAGCGTTCTGGAGGATAGGCAGAGTCTCCTCGGTGGTGAGGTGCAGGATGTTGCGAGCCTTCTGGATCGCAGAGACATCAGTCTTCACCATCTCGCCCTTCATGGTCTCATAACGGTCGTTCACGAAGCCGACAAGGGGCTCCAGGCGAAGCTGGACGTATTCAGGAAGCTTAGGGCTGTGTTCCTTCAGGTACACAGAGAGCGAGTCAATCTCGGATAAGAGGCTGCCGCTGAGCGTCTGGACACGCTGGCTGGCCTCTCCAGGGACCTTTTGTACGTTCTCCTGGAGCTCCTTGGCATGCAGACGCAAGGACTCGACCAAAGCACTCAGACGGAGGTTCAAGGCCTGGAGCGACTCCTTGGACTTGGCCACGGCAGCGTTGTTCTCGGCAGCCTTGCGCAAGTCCTGGGCAGACTGGGTGATGGGAGCAACGCTGGCGCTCATGCGGCGAGAGACACGCAAGGAGGCATTACGGGTAATGTCGACAACACGAGTGGCCTGGTTGCTCTGTCCAGTGGTGCTCTGTTCGGCCTCAACATCGGCAGGCAAGTAGCGGTTGACGATGGTCTCGAAACCGTCTACGAGAGGCGCAGCATGGGTGTTGACCGTGGCGGCAATATTGGTGGCAGTTGTAGTAGCAGCAGTCGTGAGCTGGTCGCGGGTGGTGGCGGCGGTCGTGGCAATGTTGGAGGTCACAGTCTTGACAGGGACCGTGACACGGGCATCGATCGTCGACTGGATTTGGGTATAAGCGTTCTTGGAGGACTCCTCGACATAGACGATGGGCTTCTTGACCTGGGTCACGATTTCAGAGGTGGGCTTTGTGACAATAGGGAAGGTGTTCTCCAGCAGGTCCAAGGACTTGTTGGCGATCTGGTCGACCTTGGAGATGTGGGGCTGGAGTCGGCTCTGATAGCCCTCGGTGTACTTGTTGACGGTCTCGACAGCAGAGCCAGCAGTGTCGAGGGCGTAGCGACTGTACTTGTTGTCCTTGGCGATTGAGTGCAGGGTCGAGACGCTATCGTGGATCAGGGGGAGAGAGCTGACGCGAGCGATAAAGCCGGTCGAGGCGGTTTCCTCCTTCTCTGAACTATCAGAGCTGTCAGAGCTGGAGGAGACTGTGCGGGTGGCGGTGGTGATGGTGGTGGTGGTCTTGCGGACGGTACGGCCGTTGGGAGCCTTGATGACATCCTCCTCGACAGACGAGGTGGAGGTGCGAGAGTGGTTGCGGTCCTCGATCTCGGAGCTGTCGGATTCGGACGAGCTGTAGCGAGTGGTCATTATGGATATGTGTGGGTTGAGACTAGAGGCGAAGAGGGACAGAAGATAAGAATAGATGTCAGAAAGAATGAGCTGAGAAAGACACAGACTTGGACAGGCAAACACCAGACAAACACCAGACACCACAGGTGTGGCGAATTGCTACTGAGAGGGCATGGCGGATGGTGGATGGTAAACCACAGCATGGGCGGGATAAACATCCACAACACCCACAACAACAACAACAACAACAACAACAAAAAGTCAGGGGAGGCATGTTCTTGCGCATCCTTTAGTGGGACTGAGGACAGAGCGCGCAAGTGACCAAGAGAAGAGGCACACTAGAAGGAGTTGTTGATGTGGGTGCTCATGTGGGTGTGAATGGTACAGGGTACAGGCGCAATACTGCGCTGCGGCAGTATGAAGGAGGAGAGAGTCTTCAGGGATTGTCTAAGGCGCGAGTTGGATGAGTGCAGGAAATGAAGGGTATAGTAAAGTGGCATAGGGTGGAGGGCAGAGATGGACAGTGTCGAGGGATAATGAAGTGTGGGAGAAAACAGACGGAGGATGGGAAGATCGCATACTGGATAAGGACAGGACAGACGCGTCTGAGGGAGACCCAACAAGGCGGGACAGAGGATGGAGACTCTGTTTGATGCGTTCTGGCACAGTCCACGCCCTTATCTGTGCATGCATCCTCGCATGGAGATCTGTTGGGGAGAAAATCAATTTCTGATATTGTTTCTTACCAATTTAAAAAAGAGAAAAAATGCGGAAAGGAAAATGCGTTCACAGTAGAGAGAGTGAAGGGGGGTATAGGCTGCAGTTGCTTGTCGAATGCAATTCAGAATGAGGAGGCGAATGAATGTGAAAAGCGAAGGGAGGAGTTCAAGGTCCAAGGGCAGAAGGGAGGAAAGAAGGAAAGAAGGAGAAGACCGCAGGTATATATAGTATATATAGTATATATATAATGTCTGTGGTAGTGTGATATCGCAGAGAGTGAGTGAGTGAGTGAGTGAGTGAGTGAGTGAGTGAGAGCTCCGGCGAGGAGGAGAGTAACACTCTATTTATCCAGAAACATCCCGACAGCAGAGTAGCATGACAGCGCGGTCTTTTTACACTACACTTCACGCTCAAAAGGAGCGTGATAATGGTGCGGCTGACGACACCGCCAGCACAACCAGGTCAGCAAGCATGCGAGACAACCACACAACCAACACAGGCATGGGTTTGAGTAATAAATGAATGTGAGAGAATAGATAAAAGGATCGGTAATTCAATCGCCGACTTTACTTTTAGGATTGCCATGTGCGATCGATATATAGACTACGATCGATGGCAGCCCGTCAAAGTAAGGAACGATCAACAGCTGGAAACAAAACGGCAGATAAGACGCGTTGCTGTATTTTTGTCCTATGTCTTGTTCTGAGAAGCTGTTTACAGCTGGCTTTCCTCTCTCTCTTTCTCGTCGATGGCGTAGCTCGTACAACGAACGAGCTCCGTTCCTGAATTTGTACCTGTTCAATGTACTGGTGATCCGTGTGTCGTTCCTTAGTCCACGGCAGACTATGCAATATCGAGGACATATATTTCTGGTCACCCATCATGTCCTCTTGATCTCTTCTTTGTTCCTTCAAAAGACAGTGGGTGTGGGAAGGGATTGCAAGTGGATCGAGCTGAGAATGGGTACCTATGCTCGTGATAACCCAACAACGCTTTGACAAAGAGGCGCTTGGATAATCAGCATGCGAAGAGCTGGCCATCATATGAACAAGTATCTCTACATTTGGCATAAGCAGACGCTTAAGCAGGAAAAGAAATCTTGTCCTTAGGGTACTTTTTTCACATTCATGCGAGTGTAATGTGTAGTCTGAAAAGGTGTCTTCAAGGATAGAAAGTGGCCGCCAAAAAATGCAGGTGGTGCATTTTAAATCTCGACATTCACGCTCAGATCATCGTGAGCAAGGTTAGCCTTGCGCGCGATTAAGCTGTAAGAGCCTTCCATTGGCGATTTTCACATGTAAACATTTCCAAAATGAAAAGGACTGCAGGCGATCGATTCCCCCCTCCCCCCACTCTCTTTGTTTGTCACTCTTCGCGGCAGTCCTGCATGAAGACACCGTTTTCTCATGAAGGAGAACCGGGCCAAGGGACCTGATAGGCTAATGCAGTAGCCAATGCCCAGCCTCCTTTTATCCGCAGACATTATTTATTCTCCCCTCGATCCTCATGGATAGCATTGAGTGGGCATCCTTGTCTCGACACCACTCCATAATAGACAGCGAGCCATCCTAGAGCCTTCAAGATACCTGACTCGTGTCTAACTACACGTGTCAGGTAAACGAATATGGAAGGCTTCCTCGGAGAATAAAAGCGACGAAAAGATGTCGGATCCAACTTCACGATTCATCGTTCTAACACGAGTATAGTACGCACTCGAACAAGGCTATGATGTGCTATCAACATCTTGACGCTGGAGAAGCCTGTTAATAGCATGCGGGCAGAACTTTCGACCACTTTAGCGTTCTCAGTATTCTGAGTAGCAAACCTACAAAAGGCAGCGTGCATTCGGAGGCTAATTACGAACTGCAGGCAACCGTCGGTTCCCCAGCTTGAGCCTGTGGACCGTTGCCGTGCAGCCTTGTGGTATCGATTAGAATACACGTGCATAGAGTTTTCTTGTGTGTTCTGATAGGAAGCGACCCCCGCATGGAGAGTATGCTGCACCGCAGTTCTCATGAGAGTGCCCATTGGGTTGCTATTATCTACGTGATAGACCCTGTTCATGAGTATTCATATGGAATATCCTCAAGCGCGCATGTGGGCCCTCGCTGCCAGCATGTGCAATTAGATCATGCTCTCTTTAAAGCGTAGTTTCACCATGGCTGCATCCTGTGGGGCCCCACTTTGTACTCTGTGGAGGGCTCCTGCATTTGTTACAGTAGTCTACATAGATACCAACTGTGACCGTTAAGCTCTGCTTTTGAGCTTTGCTGATGTCCCCCAATGATCGTCTTGTTAAAAGATACAGATACAGAGATGGGGCACATGCATGCTTTGAATGCTGCACCAACAATGATGGTGACACTTTATGTTCCTACATATACTCACGTTTACAATGACACTCTAATATAAAAACATCTCAGCCCTTCTTTGCATTCACACGAGCAGATTGTTCACTGCCATAAAAAAAGAAAAAAAATGCGGCGGTGGCTATCTAACAAGAGTGGACAATGCTGCATTCGCACCAGAGAAAAGACAATGTCATTGGCCTCATTGTCCTGGCCACCGACCACAGCACCTTGTTTTTTCCCCTGAACGTGTTTTGGTGACAACTAATCAATCAATCTTATAGTTGGGCGCACGGATGTTTTCCCCTCTCTCGTTCCAAAAGGATGTCTTACAGATAGCGACATGGCATCAGGTCTGCAGCCTTGATTCCAATCGTGAGAACATTTGCCACATGAACAGTCCCAGCACTGCGAGGCTCATGCTGGGAAGTAGCGTCAATGCATAGGGTACACGACAAAAAGTACCAGCGCAAATAATTTTACAATAAAAAATGCCAATTCATTCAGCTTCGTTCTCCACGTGAGGGATTGTTTTCACGTACACTAGGAACAGAGCCAGAGCACTCACCCATGCACATGCAATGCCAATCAGAATGGCCATGGGAGTCATCATGATGAGGAGACCGACGAAGAGGACGAGGAGGACGAAGATGAGGACGGCAACAATTCGTCTAGCGAGGTGGACGCGTCCAAGAGGCAGAGAATGAGAAAAAAGGTCGTGTACCTAACAATCTCTTCGTACGTAAAATTATTATTAGTTCCAAAAAAGAAAGTTATTTAATTTCAATTCATTCTCCAAAAAATTATTTGCGCTGGCACTTTTTGTCGCGGACTCTAACCAGCAGTAGATGCGACTCACTTCGATCAGTATTCATGGGCGCTATCTTTTGGCCAGGATCGATGTTGCACTCCGCATATCCGGACTATTATCAGTTGGCACAGCTCGCTATATCGCTAGCTATCTCTATTCAGCATTCCCAATCCCTTCATTGACCTTACCAACAATCTGTCTCAAGGCGGTCCCACCTTATGAGCTTTCATGTTCTCGATAGCAGACAGCCGGCTATATCGGCTGTAGCAGCCAAGTTCATTTGGGAAGGAACATGCACCGGCGTCTCAGCACACAGTGAGTCCATAGACAACATTGATGACAACAAGAGCAACATTGGCTCCGTGTATGTTTTGCCATATCTTCGACAAGTAGTCCATGGACAGCACATGCTAACGACAATGGTGATGACCTAGTGCTACCTTTTTTTTTTTTTTTCAACACGTGTCCCTCTGCAAGTTGTTACGATAATTGATGGCATGCCAAAGGAACGTGGTCCGAATATGAGCGCGCATTGGACCGAGAACACCATGTTGAGAGTGGACCCGAAGCATTCATTATATTGAAACTCCATATGCTTTATTTGCATGAGAAACAAATTCCAATGAAGGAGCAACATCAGAACGGCTTACCCTACAGGGCGACCAGACCAGATATAGGTATATAGGTACCGTTCCTTTGGCATGTTTTTCTTATTCCGTGCCCCGGTTTAATTTACATCTCGTCAACAAAGCAAAACAACCATTTTGTTTTATTATGCCCTCTGTGTTATTGTCTCTAGATGTTCAAATTTAGAAAAAAACGTCCAGCGTGCGTTCTGTCTTTGGTAGAGATAGGTCGGTTGGGTCTAATTGATTTCGGTCCGCTAGTCGGTCAATCCGTTGGTCAGAGTACTCAAGTAACGAAAGCCAGTCGTCTTGCTTCTGTCCCAGTCCAGTCTCAAATCCTCCTTGTTCCTCCACCTCGACCTACTTTTTCCTTACAAAGCGTTGAGGACAGCGGGGACGATGACCAAGACTACAAAGAAGACTGACAGCTTCTTCTGGAGATTCGTTGCGCCCGAGGGCTTGGTCGTCGTCGTCGGCACAGGGACGATGGTCGTGTGGGAGGGCGCCAAAGTTGTTGTGCTCCAGACGGTCGTCGTGTTCAAGGTCGGGACAGATGGCGCCGTCGTCGACACGGTCGCGGTCTCGGTCGCGGTCACGTTCGGGCTAGCGGGAATTGGGGAGATCGACATGGTGGGGTCGGACGAGGGAAGGACTGTAGGGGTGGGGGAAACGTCGGCCATGGTTATGAAGAATTAGCTATGCTGGTGAAGTGTTGAATAGGGTATTCTGGGGGTGTAAGGGGTTTGGGTTGTGGAGCTGGGTGGGAGGAGACGAGGAGAGGCTGTATTTATACGTGTGAAAGGAGAGGACGGCAGTTGGAAAGCCGGCGTGAGAGGAATGTATACTTTAGCACTGCCCAGGGGACAACAGGGCGACAGACGTTTCATTTGTATTTTGTACGATAGCACGGCGTTCTTTGATAGGACCTCGCATGACCCGGGGCATCGAGTAGCCCCCAAGGACATATAAAAGAACGCGCTATAAAAAGAAAGTGCAATACATATTCATGCGGGACATACTGGAACGAACAAATGGCGAAGCCGATAAGGAAGAAAGACGGAGGAGGCTTTAAGGACATAACATCAACCAAGGCCGTCGGTAGGGCTCTGCACAGCCTCAGCAGCCTCAGGAAGTGTTTTATCCATCTTTTGTAGCACCGCGGAAGGAGCGCCTAGACTCCCAATGGAGAAGGCTCAATGCCCCATTTCTCACGCCTAGCACGCTTCTTTTTGGGCTTTTGTTGACGATGGGTGAACCCTTCATCGCGCAGACGACCCAGTTATTAGACTACGCAAGTACACAAACGTACAATATGCTTTCGCGAAATAGTCCACATTTCATAGGAAAAGTGTGCTATTTCCACTGAATTAAAAATATAAGGGGTGTTATTCAGTTTTGTGACGGCGGTGACCCTACCTTATATCCTCACACTTTTTCCCTCTCTCACTTTTCCTCGAAAAGCAGCACGATTGGTGGTCCGCAAATCCAAGCAGAAATAAAATCTCGATTGAATAACATCCCTTATATATTTCAATTCAGTTGACAAAAGTCGATAAAATGCATTTTTGCTATGAAAAGTGCATTTTATGGCAAAAGGGAGTGTAGGTTATCAATAAACATAATACACTAAGACGAAAGGGTCCTTTCATGTTCCGCTAACCCTGCATGGAAACAGCCCCCACTGAGAAAAAATTACACAGGATGGCTCCATTACACCCCTTAACCCTCGCTTCAGGTCTGTAACGATCTCAACATCGGTAGAACTGAGGGAGGTTAGTAATTGTTGTGTGTTCCGACGAGGACTTCTGTTCACTACTTGAGCTGTCTCTGCCACGCGTCACCATCCAGCAAGAGTTCCATCGCTTCATCAACCTGCCTCAGTTGGTGGCATGCGGGGTCAGAGCCGTATGGAATATGCATTATGCTTTTGTGTTGAATGACAGCCCTATCAATAGTGCTGGGGTGGCGCGATCTATGCGCACCAACGCACTCCGGATAGTTGCACAGCACCAATTCACATAAAAAAAAATAATATATTCCTAACATAGACTCCAGTTACATGTCATACGTGGCTTTTCAGATTATTCACCTGGGTTTAAAACAAAAAAAAATTGTTGTGTGTGCTTGTGCTTGCGCATGGCTGGACTGCCTGGGAAAGAAGGCGATGGGAAACCCATTGAACCTTAACGACAGGCGAAAACCTTAATAAACGTGCAATAGACCATTGGACCATTGTCATATATCATTATTGGTTTGCTTTATTTCAATTCGTAGCCTGCGCCATTACAACTTCATGACAGGCTCTATACAGCTCAGACCTGGCCTGCTTGCTTAGCCAGCGAGTAAAAGATCGACGATGGATTCCCAAGCAACTTGGCTGGTGTGTCAAACTCGGCCACCCGACCCTGGTCTAGTACCATGATCCGGTCACTGTCCATCACTGTGTTGATCCTATGTGCGATCGTCAAAATCGTGCAGTCGCTAAACTTTCTACGGATAATGGCCTGCACTAACGCGTCCGTCTCCAGATCGATCGCTGCCGTAGCCTCATCCAAAATAAGCAGGTTGGTCTTGCGGAGAAGCGCACGGGCCAAGCAAATCAGCTGGCGCTGACCCACGGAAAAGTTGTCACCACCCTCTAACACCATTGCGTTCAGCCCACCTTCCATCTGAGAGACATAATCCTTGAGGTAAGAATCCTCAAGCGCCTGCCACAGCTCCAAATCCGATTTCGTTCCAAGCGGATCCAAGTTGAACCGGATGGTGCCTGCAAACAGGACTGGGTCCTGTGGGATTATCGAAAACCGTGATCGGACATCATACAGGCCTAGAGTTGAGATATCGATCCCATCGACAAAGATCTGTCCATGCACTGCCTCAATAATGCGGAACAAAGACAGAGTAAGGCTTGATTTTCCTGCACCGGTTCGGCCACAGATTCCAATCTTTTCGTGCGCCTGGATCGAACAATTGACTCCTCGGAGGACCAGCTCCAATCCTGGACGGTAGCGCGTCTCGTAGTTCACAAAGTCGACACGACCCTCAGAAGGCCACTCTTGTGGAGGACGATGGTCTGGGATGATCTCGGATGCCTCGGGCTTTAATTCGACGTACTCTTGCAAGCGTTCCACCGACACAATGTTGGACTCAATCTCGGTGTACTGTCTGACCATCCAGTTCAGGGTCTGTGTAATGCTGAGTGCATATGTCAACGACAATCCGACCAGACCAGGGTCGACGGCAATTCCTCTTGATAAAGACACCACCGCCAAGAATGCGGATCCAAAGATGACGATCGAGCTCAAGGTCTCAAGTCGGAAGGCCAACCAACGGTTGCCGGCGATGCTGGGGTAGTACGCACGCAGGTTCTGATCCAGACGATACTCGTTACCCTGGACGAAGCGGTCCTGCTGACGATAAGCCCGAATAGTGCTGATGCCTCCAAGGGTCTCCTGAAAGTGTGCAAATACGGGCGATCGAGAGACAGAATCCAGGCGACGGATTTCACGAGATGTCGCAAGGTAGTATCGCTGCAACCACAAATAGATAAAGCTAAAGGGAATGATGACGACAATAAAGCTGGGTGTTGAAAATGTAACGACGACCAGGACAGACGCGACCTGGAACAGCGTGCGAGAGTAGCCCGAAAAGGAGCGCGGCAAGACCTCGTCAATAGTCGATTGATCCTTGCTGAAACGGTTGAGAATGCGTCCCATGGGCGTGGTATCGAAGAACATCATGGGCGAGCGCAAAACGCTGAGTAGCATCTCCTGGTGCAGTACGCGTGCTGACCTGATACCACAGTGGACTTGAAGGATGATCGACTGGAAGACGGTCAAAAGCGAGTACGACATGCCCAATGCAGCGTAGATACCGATGTAGTACATGGTGCTATGCTCACGCTTTCCTGCATCGTTGTCGCTGCTCCAGTGTGTCAGCCAGAGAGAAGTCGAAATTGAGGCGCCCTGAGAAAATACCATTGAGAAAATATACAAGAAGACGGAGGAATATGAACACGCCTTGGCATACGCAAGGTAGACGCTTCTATGCACGCTTCCCTGCTTCATCTGCTCCTCGGTGATAATGTTATTGTTGGGTTGATCAGCCTTGGCGATCTTGCTGTTGCGTTGCTGAACTGAAGCCACGGAAGGACGACGGAGGGTGCGGACACTGTTACTGCTACGAATACTGTCTCGACGAGCAGAGCGAGGAGTGGTCGACAACAACGATGTTTCTTCCGCGGGGAAGTCATCTGTACTCACTACATCCTCCTCAAGATGGATGATTTGTTCGACCATCAACTCGGTTTCCTGCTGATCCTCCGCGTACCCTTCCTCGTTCGAATCATTTCCGTACTCAGAAACCAGCTGATAGACATCCGACTTCTTTCTCATCAGTTCCTGATAAGTACCCTGCTCAACAACCTGTCCTTCGCGAAGCATCATGATACTGGTCGACTGCGCCAAGTACTGGATCTGATGTGTAACCAAGATACGGGCCTTCCCTGCCAGCAAACCCTTAGGACCAATGACCTTTTCAAAAATGGTACGACCGACATGAGCATCCACAGCAGAGAGAGGATCGTCAAAGAGGTAGATATCTGCGCGGGCATAGACGGCACGGGCCAACGAGATTCTGGCCTTTTGACCTCCGGACAAGTTAATGCCGCGCTCGCCGATCTCGGTTTGATCGCCACCCAGCAACATGTCGAAGTCCTGTTGCAGACAGCACGCCTCGATTGTCTTCTGATAAAAGACAGGGTCGTACGAGTTACCGAAGAGGACGTTGTCGCGCAAAGTGCCGTTCATGATCCATGCCTGTTGTGGGACATATGCCACAGAGCCACGGATGCGGATCTCGCCCGACACGCGCTCCAGATCACCGCAGAGAGCTGAGATGAGCGAGCTCTTTCCGGAACCAACACGGCCGATAATGCTCAGCAGACAGTCCGTCTTCAGGGCGAGGTTGATGTCCGAAATGACCGGCGTAGAGTTCTTGTACCAGCCATAGGAGGCATCCTTCATCAAGACGGCGTACTTATCCGAAGCACTGCGTCCAGACAACTTGCGAGAGTCTTCGATGATGATAGAATGAGGATCTACTTCTGCACTGGTCAAGAACTTGCGTACACGACCCAAAGCGACGTAGGCCTCAACACAGGAGCTATTAAGTGATATTGAAAATCCACTGTTGGTCCACATTTCTCATAAACAGATCGCTCAAAGTCTAGGAGAGGGAGAAGGCGTGCTTACCTGATGACGCTGGGGAACATGGAGAGAGGGAATTGAAGTAAGTTAAACAATGAGATCGAAGGGAAGACGATGTCCGTGGTCATGGGCTTCTTCATGACCAACGCATAGACCGAAAATGTTGCAAGCGAGACCAAGAATGGCGTGCAAGCCCAAGTGAAGCTCTGAACTGCGGAGAGATATCCGATCTTCTTCATGGTGGCCAATTCATGATCGTTCCTGACGGTCAAGACCTTTTGCAGGAATGTGTTTTCCCAAGCATATAGCTTGATAACACGGATGCCGTTCAGCAACTCGTTCATCAGCTTAATACGCGTGTCCTTGTTCTTCATTTGCTGCTGCTGGAAGTTCTTCATAAACACGGACAATCTTGCGTTAAGGGGGATCATCAGGATCATGATCGTTACCCCTGCGAAAATAGCCCAGCTCATAGTATCGAAGAGTAGATACAGCGCGATTCCGATCTGGAACAGTCCGCTCCAGACGACGTGGAGATAGGTGACCAGGTCCTGCAACCGCTGAGCATCGATTGACATGTGGTTGACAATCTCGCCTACAGTGAATGTCTGGCGGGCCGAGTTGGATAGCCTGAGAGATTTTTGGTAGATGGCGGTGACAAGTCCAGCGCGAATGTGCATTCCAGTCCGGAAGCAGAGGTGGAAGTATTGGTGCAGGACCGTCGTCTGTGACACACTGCACGCAAACATGAGACAAGCAATGATGTATCCACGGTAGATTGGCTGAGGGCTGTCGGTCTTGTAGCTCATGACGAAGCGTAGCATCTCACGCAAAAGCACAGGTTGCATAAATCCAAGAATGTCGTTTACAGCCTTCCAGATACCGGCAATATAGAATGGCTTTCCAAAGGCTGCAGAGATGGCGTGGATGAGGCTCGGACTATAATAATGGTGTAAGACGTGAGACATTGACACGAGATTGGTGAAGAAAGCCCTTTAACTTTGTTTCAGGTGCTTATAGTGTACCTTTTCTTCTTGAGCTCCCTCTCCCATGCCTCCTCAAAGGTGATCGACACATTCTTGGATTGATCCTCCTTTCGTAGCACCCAGAGATCATCAAACGTCAGCGGATTTGCATAGCCCTTGCGCATTAATCCCGTCACCCAATGGAAGGAGGCAATGGAAAAGATGTTGGCCTCGTCCTCAGGGCACTTTTGCTATTGCGAATCCGAGGTGTACATAGCATACAATGAGTACGAGAGCAGACGGCATATTGTTCTAGAAGGTGTCTATCGTTCCCTTCTTGTCGTTCAAACTTACATAATCATCACCATCGAGGCGAATTCCAGCATCCTTGCGAACACATTCCAGTGCAAAAACCACGATAGCTAGGATCAACTTTCCAGCAGTCAAATAGGTCGTGGTCAAATCGCTAGGAGGACATCCCAAGGCCAATGTGCGAAGTTTGATTCCTGTGCTGCCGATCAAGAATAGCCAAAAAACCAGGAGCACGTCAGATGAGAAAGGGCTCTTTCGGTTCTCGATAACTGTGTGCAGAAACGCAATGGCCAAAGCTCCGAGTTCAACAATGGCGGACAGGAATTCGATGCTGAGATGCGCACTGCTATCCCTGCGCCATCCTTGGACAATGATAAGGGCAGTGACAATGCTCAAAACGATGATCCCGATCTGTGTCAATAGCGGATGGTTATGGACAGTTAGTACAGATAAGTCTGCATATAAAAAAAACTATTTCTCAAGTAGATAAAAGACATTTGATAGCACACTCACTAGCTTAAGGACCTGGCGCCAATTTTTTGAGGGATGGGTCAAGGATGATTGCTTCGACAGCTTAACCAAGCGAGGGATGCCTGCGACCAGCAGAAAGACAACCGGAATCAGTCTGAGAACAGTGTCTTCGAAGCACGGAGTAAAATCTGCCGGGCAATTGGGGTTGAAAGGGCCCTATTCGATCAGAATAAAAAAAAATGAATTCGACGAATGAGCTCATGACTGAATCAAGATCGGGGATGGAGTCATTTCTTGGGTTCTGAACTGAACATACCCAAGAGCCTTCTTCTTGGCACTGCCATATAGACATAGTAGGGGGATCAGTCTTTATCCTGTTGACGCTGTTGCTCTGTGTGATATGTTCCTTTTTCCAATACGGTTGCCGTCCTTTCCTGATGCGATGTCCACTGTATGAAGATATCCGGAGAGCTCGACTTGGTTTCCAAGCGTGCTTGATCAACGATGAGGAAGAGTGGGGAGTAAACGAGAAAAGGAGGTGGGAGAGAAAGGAGCGGCGTCGGACAGGCGAAGGTAGCGAAATCGTGTCAAGAGAATCAAGGGTTAATATTTATATGTTTTTTAAGGTTTTAAGGTGGATAAGGTGGATTATTCAGCGGCCACAATGGTCAATCGATCTGAGCTCAGATAAACGCGAGAAACAGAGCCGTATTGAAGATCACGATAGACCACTCACGGGCCTGAAACCACACGCCGCACCGACAGAAAATGGCGTTTGGAATGCTCATGCCAGGAACACAAAGCAGACAAACAGACAGAGCGAGGGGCTATGTAGACATATGGTTATCCACGCCCATCCTATCATCTCGCGTCAGTATTGACACTATGCATATCTATGAAAGCAACGGATTTGTCAGGAAAATCCATATTTCAGCGCAGACGTTGCTGCGGCGCATGTCCATGGCTAGACTGTCTATTAAATGACTTCACTTGGAGCTAATTTACTATGCAAAGAATGGGGTTCAATGCTCGAGGGATGGACACCGTTGCGCAGTGGCACTCGCAGCATAAAATCTGAAATTGAACATTTAAGGTTTGGATCAGCACTGACAATCAATTAGAAAAGGCACACAATTCACATCTCATCAACTGCGTTCCTGAGTTCGCTCGCTCCATCTACTCATCCTAACCGAATCACTTTAGAGGGGGGAAGACCATGGACGAGCTCAACAGAGAACTCTTTGGATCCTCATGCAGCGATTCCGAGTCTGAGACTGCACCGGAAGATACAGCGATAAAGACAGCACACACTACTTCACAAGCGATGCAGGAACGCACACCAACAGAAGAACACTACCAGGTCAAAGATAACGACCACGGTGATTTGATCATGGGTGCATATCCAGTATTCCGAAGCATCATGGAAAGTCGCGATTATGATAACCACGGTGATCTGGCCATGGATACAGATCCAATATTCCAAAGCATCATGGAAAGCTGCGATAATGACGCGGAAACCCATTCGAGAGATAACCTCCAATCCCTTGTTTCCCCGCCTCCACGTCATGATCCGCATCCTCACATACCTGGACTTTGTCTTCACACAAACATACTTTCCAATGCGGATCAAGCCATGCTAATGGCCCAGATCACCGAGAAGAACTTCTTCAAGGGTGGTCAACAGAACCAGGCCATGTGCTTTGGAAGGCACGATCTTGCCTGGCTTGCATGGTTGGAGGAACGGATGATAGAAAGAGGTGTGCTCTCAGAACCCCACTGTCGCACGGACTGGACGCGTCGTACACCGATCTTTGATCAAAGTATCATGAATCTGTACTATCCAGGTATTAGCGATATTCCACATTAAATATTGGCATGCAATATAATTAACTGGCAATGGCTAACTTTGCTCGTTGATGACGACCTGCAGGTGACGGTATCAAGGCCCATGTCGATCTTGCACGGTATGGTTCTATTCCCTGCTAAAAAGGTGAAGGATGGAAGGAAGGGACGCAGTTAATTGCTAATACCAGGTCCCTAACGACAAATCCCTAGATTCGAAGATGGTATTATCATCGTCTCGCTCTTGTCCGCGATCAACATGAATTTTTCCCCTGCATTGATACCCATGTCTCCCGATGACCCTCCCGAAGGTACCTCTCCTGCTGCTGCCTCAAATACGTACGCCTCGAAGCCTTCCAATCCTCGTGTCAAGGAACGGCAGCCCAATTTCACTATTCGTCTCGAACCTGGATCGGTTATCAGCATACAAGGCCCTGCTCGCTATGAGTGGGAGCATGGCATCCAAGAGACGAAACAGGATCTGGTGAACGGCGAGTGGGTGCAGAGAAGGATCAGAGTGAGTGTGACACTGCGAAAGATGCGGTCGTCTTCATGGGAAGTCGGGCCAACTGCGCTCGAGAATGGAGTTGCGGATAGAAAATAAAAAAGTATGGTACAATTGCAGCGCTCCTGAATACTTGCTTACATGCAAGAATGTAAGATATGACGCAACTGCATGGATGATATCCGATGAAGTATGGTTCTGCAGAGCAACACGATCAGTGTATTGGGATAGAGCCATCGCCTAGATCGAACCAGGATGATCCATGACACCAAGCTGACTGTCTGTCTTAATGCACTTCTAAATCCTACACGATGGAATAATGCAGTATCCATCCGTGTAACCATAAGAGTGTTTGATATTGGATCCCCAGCCAGCGTCCTGCTATCGATACCTGACAGCTTTATCACTCTAAAAGATCAAATGGAAAGAGCAAGGGGACGAGCACAGAGGCACTCGCTTAAACACTGTCATCTCATCCGTCGACTGAACGTATCGAAAGCTCAGGGCACCAGAATAACTATTTCGTGGTGTCTGGCTAGCGCAGCCCGTTCCGCTCTCTACGCCGTGTTTCCTGCTAAATGTCTCATAGGCCCAGCACCGCAAGATGCTGTCGAGCGCGTATGCTTCTGACCTGAAAAGAATATAAGTTTCCGCTGCTGCTAACATCATTATTCTTCTTCTTTCCGTATCCTTGACTATTCAAATACGCACCTTACCTTTTGACCATCATACTACACCGACCATCCAGGCATGACCCAGGTACAGCCCACTTGGCCGGTTTCATTCCAGCTGAAGGAAAACTATGGTCGCCTTGCTAACACGCTCCATACTTTTTACACGACTTGGAGGTTGTCCAGCAAGGACCACATCATTCTTCTGAAATCGATGGCCATGCAGAAACTACGACGCCATATGAGGATCAGATACATACTTATAGAGATAACGCGCAACCGGGACCTAAAACAGTTAAAGGATCGGAGTACGCGGAGGTAGAAGTGGTCCTTCCTTATGTAAACCCAGAAGATCGATATTCAGACCTCCAGCCGATTCCAGAGGAGGAAGAAGAGGAGGGAGCTGTTGCAGAATCGCCCATCGATGGTCTAAGCAAGCCCATGGAGTTCTTACTTCAAGTCGACCTCGGGAATGAACTCGAGAAAATCAAGGAATGGCTATCTGTTCTTTCAAGGTGCGTTTCTATATTACTTTCGCGATGATCATCATGATCATCAATACTCTACTGAACTATACTCTGTAATATATAACCGTTTTTTTTTTTCCAGCGGCGGTAGAAAACTTGAGTATGTGAATGAAATAGCCAATCTGCGGGAGGTTAGGACGCAAAATACGCTCTGCTTTGTATATTCGAATGGAAAAGACGTAAAAAAAGGTCTCTAAGCAAGCATTTTATCCATCTTGCTACTACTAGCTTGAAAATTTTACCCAGGCGTTAATCGAGTTGCACAGGATGGTGAATGAGAAGTATCGTCAACTTACTTTGCTCCATATCAACGACAGCCGGAGGTAGGCGCAAATCATTTCGGAGTTTCCCCTATACTTGGGGACGGATTGACCTCTACTCTTACGCTTTTCTCTTCTACCATGGCATCTAGACCAAGCCTGCAGGCAGAGCTAGGCCAGCTGAGCGATGATACAAAGTCCATGGAGTACCAATGGAGCACATTCATGGCGGCCTACCATCGAGACTTTGTTGTTATTGCCGCCGCTGCTGCAGCAAAGGCCAAAGCCTTGGCTGATGCTGAGCTCAAAGGTAAGGCGTCTTGGACTCAAAATATGTGCAGTACGATTGTTTTTGGCCTTCAGCTAATCATCTTCAATTGTTACTACCAGCTCAACTGGAGCACGATATCAAAATCCTCAAGGACCAGATCACGGACCTACAGCGACAGATGGATGCAGTTGCAGCCCGCAGGAAGCAAATGCTTGCAGATGCAGAGGAGCAAAGCAAGATTGCGCGACGAACCACTGTGCTAGAGTAAAACGCAGCAAAAACTTTATCTGGGACAAGCAGACATCACCAATGGGTTCGGGGCGATCGCTTTGTGCTTCGCCCATCCCAATTTTGAATAAATGAATGCCTGAAGCAATACATGAATTGGGCGCCTCTTTGTGCACGATTTTCCGATATACACAGTATTGTGTTTATTGCCCCTTCTGCCCAGTGCAGGAAGCGTAGGTATACTCAAGAACGACGCTATATCGTGCAAATAACGTAGGAAGTACCATATTTAGCGACAGCGGTTCTCGGTACCCAAAGGTGGTGGAGGCGGCATTCTTCCTGCTGATAACCCTGCAAAAGATGTCAGATCTAGAGGAATGGCTGATCGCATACAGAGAATGAAAGATTGTGCTCACAATTAGCGCTGTATCCTTATGACCCTTAACCATTCCGCCGAAAAGTTCCAATGCGTACAAGTTCCTGTGGAGTTTCCACTCGGATATGATCTTGGTGCGTTGCTGAGTCCGAGTGGAGGCGTAGGAAAGTCACCAACAGATCTAAATGCCCAACGACCCTCTATCGCCGGCGGCTCGATTGGTTTGAGTCCTGGGCTTAATGGTGACAATGGTCGGACATCGACTCTTGAAGAGATGCCACTGAGTAGTGGTCCAGGAGCACCAGGTGCTGGGCGTATACCTGTGACTATTGGTGGTGGTGAGGCTGGGCCTCTTCGGTTTGGAAAACCAGGTGCTGGTTTTGATGTCAGAGTTGGTGACAGTGCTCCGCTACCTCTTGCAGGTGGCGGTGGCGGCGGTGGCGGTGGTGCTGTTTTTCGCAAGTGGGAGCGCTCCGCCGAACTTTGACCTGGTGCACATGTAGTTGTGGGTGCTGCTCCTGTGGTGGAGTTGACGCCTGAACCGTGGCCAGCTATCGGTCAACGAAGGAATATGCAGGGTTAAGACGAGAGGTCATGGTCCTGCTGTCCATGCAGGGGGAGCGAAAGTCATCCAGATATAAAATAAGGAGTCAAGGGAGCAGAAGACGACTCGTGATGAGCTGCCTCTCCCACTCCTCGATCTCATTGCAATCTACTTTCTGGGAGGAATGAGAGTCGGTGACCAGGTCGTAGATCGCTTTCGGTCCAGCTGTCAGTTTCACGCTTATTGCTGGGGCTCTGTCCTTTACAGTTGCCTGTAAAATATAACCCTGGTAGCTTTGGTACCATTTGTGTTGGCATCACCCTCCAGAATAGGATCTCTGAATCCACTGCCACTAAGCATCCCTCCTGTTGGGCCTGTACCTGATTTTTGGGCGCCTGTAAAATTCAATGCCACAGCCAAAAAGTCGACCCTGTTTCTGACTTTTAAATAACTTGCCTGTAAAAGGCGCAGAGCGATCGTCGGTAATTGCTGGCCTAAGTCGTGTCCCGCTCAATATTTGAGAAAGAAGTGCGCCTCGGTCCTTTAGTGCCTCTGAGGTGGGTTGTGCATTACCTGCGGAAGGAGGGGGTGGAGGCGGGGGAACTGGTGACATGTTTCGTTTGCGGTTGACGGAAGTGAGGAAGGAGCTGATAACGAAGGTGAACAAAATGCAACTTAGGCTGAAGAGCTGGCCTTTTATCCCAAACCGTTTTCCATCACGTGTACCATCGTGGCCTTCAGATGATGCCGATACCACCCCCTGAACCATAACCCACGACGCCTGGGCGTCCTGAAACGAGCTGCTTATGATAGGAGGGGGGGTAGCAGCCAGCATCGGGATGAGGGTGGTTCCAAGGCACCGGGGAAATGCGAATGAATAGTCGTATCGTGCGCATGGGCCATGTCTTACTCGAGAACGTCAACGACGCGTCGGGGTTGAAACCCCGATCTTTGTTATTCGTTGGAGTAGACCGTGTGTGATGGCAATAATTGCATTTGGCTTGTTTTATTTCTGTCGTTATAAAGATAATAGTAATAACAATAATACAAATACAAGAGGTGGTAGACTGATAGGTAGTAATAAAAGTGCCGTTCTCTCAAAGCCAGGGCGTCCACCCTTCATACATGTTCGCAAGGTTATCGACACTGGTTGCCTCCTGGATAACACGGTCGACTTGCTCCGTCACCTTGCACTTCTTCACCGCCTCAAAGTCACGACCTTCCAGCTTGTGCCGAACGCGTCGCAAGATATGCACTGCATATGCGTTTCGCTGGTGCGGTTGTATTTGTTGGCCTTGATGCTGTTGTTGTTGCGCCTGGTTGACACTTGTTCCATTCGCAAGATTCATTGCGGCCAATGACGGTGTCAGCTCTGCCTGGTCCCCTCCTGTGGTGCTCCACCGCTTCGACGAAGAGTCGACTGTTGCTGTAGACTTGATGCTTATGCTGCTTATCGACGCAAGACTTTCATTCGACATGCGGCGTCGACTACTACGTGAACGTGTCGAGATGCTATTATCAAAGGACGACCTCGAATCCTGCTGATTGACTCCAGATATATTGCTGCTCTCGCTCTCGCTTTCAGCGGCAAGTCCATGATGGCCCTCGCGCGGGTGTCCTTGTCCTACGTCAACTCCAGCACCGCCGGCACCGCCTTGCGGAGCTGTTGCCTCTATTTGCCAGTCAACCAACGGATCGTAGACAAATGCCTCCAGCAACGTAACCAAGATCTCCTTATTTTTCCGCATCACCTTCATGGTCTGCTCGCAGCCAATCCTAAAGTTGCCCTCGACTCCTGTCACTCCCAGACTCGTCAACATGTTTCGACTCAGTCGGAAGGGGACAATCTCCGGGATTCGCAGCCGCTTGCCTTTTTCAAAGCAAACATTGTAGTCGATGTGAACTAAATCGCCAGTCGTGAAGTCGATCAAGATATTGTCCAAGTGCCGGTCCCCCAATCCAATCACGTAGCCGATCATGGACATCACAGCGGTCGATCTTGCGAAACGGACCGATTTCCGCCACCATTCCTCCGCAGTAGGGCTTGAGGTCCAGATCTCGCGCTCCAGCAAGTCCGCAGGTGTCTCGTTTGCCATCTCATGATACAGATCCAGTAGCATCGACTTTGGCCATTGTCGCCTGGGGAGATTGGACGGCTGACCAGCCCTCTTTAGCGCAGCAGCCGCCTTTTCATGGTAAATCTCTGTAGCACGCTGAGGTGCCTGATGGGTTCCTGCCGGAGTGTCATCGTTCATCCATCGTGCCCACATTAGCTCCCGATGTTGCCACTTGGCGATAATGGTGAAGATCGAGACAGTATTCTCCACCCATTGAATCATGCCCGAGTTGTCGCTGAGAGGCACCACTGCATAATGACGCGCGCTCAGTTGCCTCGAGTTCGATTCTTTGTCCCGCTGCAGCATTCCATTTGTGATGCGAAGAAGCTGCATCACACGCTCGTCCAAATGAAGATCCTCAAGACCCTTGAACAGATAGGTGTAGCGCTTGCCATCTGATCCGACGAGAGTCAACTTCTTGGGCTTGGTCTTTGTCGGGATGACGACCACTTGTTGCTCAAAGGACTGGATGGTGACTCCAGACTCATGGCTAGGACTTGGGATATCGATGAGCGACGACTGGATGGAGGCCAGCTCCGGGCTCAGATTAGACAGTTGCAGGACTCTGGTTCCAGAGAGCTCCTTTCCGAGGTCTATGTAGATCTCCTTGAGCATGCCCAAGCCTTCAAAGAGGTTGCTCCAAGCCTTAGGTGATCGCAAGCACTCCAACGCCTCTTGTATTCTGCTCCTGAACATCGAGATAAACCAGCGCTCATGGTTCGATTCCGGGGTTGCGTTCGAGTCCTGCAGGCTCTCAAATGTTGCTAGCAGAGGGATCACAGACTGCTGGTAATTGTCCGACATAACCGCATCCTTATCTTCTACGCTCAACCCTGAAATCGCATCCAGTCCCTGATACTGCTCTGTCAGCTCCTGTAGCGTATTCTTCAGCTCCGGTAGGCCAGCCATCATCTTTTTGTACCAGACTTCCTCCCACAGGACTGTGATTCTCTCCAACTCCCGAATCAAGTGTTGGACTTGCAAGACCAGTTCCGGATGCGACTTATTCAAGAAGTCACCGATGGAGCACAATAGTCGTCGCTGACAGGCACTGTTGTGAGCCGAATTGGCGCCGACGACACAATGGAAGACGATGAGCTGTGGATACTGTTCTCCAATCTTGCACAAAAGATCCGCGATCAAAGTCTGGACCGGTTTCTCGGGGTGGTCGAGGCGGGCAAATAGCTGAGGGATGATGTTGGCCCATGGACTGACATTGATGCCAACCAGGTTCTCATGGAATGCGTCGTAGAGCTGTCCACCATGTTTGGCAAGGAGTCGTAATAATCGCAGTGTCGCCGTAATTTCGTCTGACACGGCTAAATGTGATAATTCAATCTCTGCCTCCTCCTCCCCGGACGTGGTCTATGGCGCCATCAAAAAAGGTGATGACGAATTACAAAGATGGACATTGGTAGGGGGCGTAATTTTTAACAGATGTTATCTCGTTACCTTTGTCTTTGGCTTATGGCACTCGAACTCCAACGCTGCAAACTGAAGGAACCGAAAGTAGCCGTGGATCGCAAGACGATACGCCTCAAGGATCTGCTGAAGTAGCGTCTGGAACAATTTAACAATCTCGACCATTGCGTTCTCTGACGCTGCTATCTCATCGATCTTCAATAAATGAACGCGGATGCTCTCATACACCGTTGGTTCGTCGAAAGGCTGGCCTGAAGCACAGTGCTTGACAAAGACACAGAAAATGTCCTGGTAATAACGTCAAATAAAAAATGGAAGGTCGTCAGCATTTTGATCGTTTTTAGCTGTATATCGGCCGTTCCTCCGTTTGGGAACGTGCGCATACCTTGGAGTGCTCCTCTAATTTTTCCACCCCAGATCTTTCCAAAATGCTTTTAAGTGTGTCATTCGCGACCATGGCCACTGGATGATGGAACCGAAACGACCCAAGCTCATCCAAGATACCCCACCCTTGTTTGTAGTGGTGTGTGCCATATGCGAACCAAGATTTCCTGTAGTTGGTTCCAACTTCGATAGCCTTCTGCAGACAGGTGGCTGTGATGGATTCAACCCTTGCCTGCACGGAATGCGTTGTCTCGTGCTCCAGGCTCAAGATATCCTCAAACGCCATGATGTTGCCCTCTGAAAGTTGGGGTTTTGTTGAGCGTGACCATTTCGCCATCTTGAGATAGATCTTGCTCTGAAACACAGCCATCGTCTGGTCGCCCCCTGCCGTCTGCGTAGAAGACTGGATTCTGCCCAAGATTCGGTTTGAAGCGCTGAGCGCTGCTGAATAGTCGTGCTTAGCCACTGCAGCTTTTGCCTCTTCAAATTGAATCTCTGGTGAGAGCGCTCCTTCCCAGGTCCGAGTGATGCTGCTGGCGAAGTCGTGGCATTCAGACCGACGGGCGATCTTGGATAGCAAGAATTTGAACTCATTCGATTGCTTACGAACCAACGAATCCTCATCTAGCACTTGCCTCTTGGCCAAGTTAACCAGAGCATCCAGGCGTACCCAGTACCGAAGATCCTTGTGAAACATATTCATTCTCAGCTCGTCCGGAACTAGAGCCAGCTGGTCCATGAACTCCTTGAGCGCCAGAGGAGTCGCAGACGTCGCAGTTTTGAGCATCATGGCATCAAGCAAGGTCGCGCTAGCGTGCTCCAGCCCATTGTACATCAGAAACTCTGCTGATGGCTCTAGGATATGCAGTGCTTGCTGCCGAATACGATCCAGCTCTATTGGCTGCAGTCCGGATTGCTGATGCACCTTGGTCGCAAAGAGATAGTTCCGCCCCACCAGTCCACTTCGATCAAACGCAAACATGTCCGGCGTTGTCCGTTCCTTACCAAACGTTCCATAAAACCCCTCTAGATATTTCCATGCCTTAGTTCCTTCATTGCTGCAATACTCCTTCAAACTCAGGGTTAGCGTATCATCGCTCCACAGCATTGTCTGCTTTGCGAATGTCTCGATGGAAATGGAGTCCATAAATTTCTGCAGTTGTTGGTAACTGTAAAGATCGCTCAGGCTATTTGATATCCCCTGGCAAAGAAAATTTGCAGGTGCGCTCTCATTGTCGGCAAAAGATCCCATCAAAGACATGGCTTCCTTTGCAGATTGCTCGTACCGGTTCTATGTATATCATGCCCAAATTACAGGAGTATGTTGGTAAGAGAACATGCTCAGAATGCAACACCAAGAAAATAAAATAGTCTATAATACCTGAGCATGCAGAACAGCAACGTTGATCCAATCCAGCGATACTTGTGAGAGAGCGAGGGCCTGGCCATCGTTAAGGCAAGCATTTCTGTATCTTGGATCTGTTGTTGAAACAGTTATTAGATTACGATTGATGCCATGCCTTATGCAACCATGGGCGATAAAGACATAGGCTTACATTGGGTAGAACGCTCCGAACGTGAAGTTTTAGATCTGCTGGAGTTCGACTGCCTAGTCATATCTTTGATGGCCCGTCGACACCATACGTATAGCCCTGAGATGGCATCCGAACTATTCGTTGCGACCAGTGCCTCGACTAAATGCAGAAAACCAAAGCAATCAGCGATATGCACCAAATGCTCTCAAGGACGCGAGCATATAATATGCAGTTCAGATTACCAAGATAAACCAACACGCGCTCGAATTCATCAAGCCATGGCAGAATGTCATTCACAGCCCCTCGACAAAGCGAATTAAATTGTTCTACCAGCAGCTAGCGCCAAGATCTTAGTTAGTCCAAGCAACTAAATAAAACACCATCTGTATTGCATACATATAAAAAAAAAAAAAAAAAAAAAAGGTAGCAAGACCCTTACCATGTATCCATTTCGAATGATAATTTCATGTTCGCCAATCGCTCTAGCTCCTGCAACAACACGACTCCTTATGCGTGATAACCAGTCATCCAACATTTTCTTGTTGGATCTGACGAACATAATACTGGGTTTCGGTGCCAGAGGGATCACACCAAGCGCTGTTCCTTGTTGTGCATTGTAGAACTGCAGCTCTATTCGATCCAACAACGAAAGGAAATCACGCAATTTGTTCTGTCTGCTTCTCGCAGCAACAATTATGCTATGCGAAAATGTGAAATTGTGAGATTGTGAGATTGTGAAATTGTGAGATTGTGAAATTGTGAGATTGCGAGATAATAATCTCAAGCGCGGAAGGACCATTCAAAAAAAAAACTTGATTATTACCCTGAAGCGTCTCCCATATACTTCTGGTCAGACTGCATGAGAGCGTTGAGTTGTTTTTCCAGAGCGTCCAGCGTCTGTTGCGGACCTCCGAATGGAGTTCGCAGCCTCGAAAGCACGCAGTATCTCGCGGTTTCCCACAGCGACCAATACCTCAAGAGGTTGAACGAGTGCTGGAATATCTCCAATTGTTCCGTAGCAATTGTTTCTAGAGTAGAAGCATCAGGCACATATGAACATGCGGCAGTGCGATTATAAGAGCACCAGCAGAAGCAAGAACTAACCTGTTCCATACTCCGAATTGACTTTGGCGAGAATGTCTTGTCCTTGGCATGAATGAAAGAGCCGCTGTAACATGTCTCCATCTTGCGGGAATCCAGTGCTCTCATTATCAGCGACATCTATGAGTTCCAAGTTCTCCTCGGCAGCCGCTAATGCGGAAAACACGGTGGAGAAATGTGGGTATCTAAATACTCCAGAGTTGGGACTCCTCAGGACCAAGGTCTATCATCACAGCGGTTAGGATGCTGCTCAATGTTTCGCATTCCTAATAAAGGATAAAAATGATGCATAACTCACCTTCAATGCCCTGATGATGTCTGTCTCCGGAATGTCATAGCACTGGAACGCAAACGAAAATGGATTCGCCTGAAAGGCGACCCTCTTCCATACTGCGCCTGCAATGGGCGAAATATCAAGCGACCTACACAAGCACGACGAATAACGTTAACGATAATGTACTTGAATATTGATGAGATGATGGACACAAACATAGATACACAAATGCACTCATTCTACGTACCTGTCTGTCATGGTAGCCAGGAACTGGGGCCCGAGGCTGAAGGAGCCGAAAGTACCAATAAAGCTCTCAAAGATAATCGCTATTGAGCCGCGCACCAGCTCATCCTCGTCGGCACCTAAAATTTTTTAGCTGAGGATGAGGAACGATTCGGGAGCAGACATATCGTATATGTATCAGAATGAATTATTCAAATACCTGCGATTGTTATCAACTGATGGAGGTTGGATGATATAGCCCTCTTCAGAATGACCCACGATCTCGAAGCAGATGATGCATCCCGGTAAGGTCGCATGGCTTGCAAGATACCCGAGCCCCAAATAACTATACATAGCTTTATAGACAGCGGAAAAAGCTTCCAGTGGGCTACAAGGGTCTGGACAGCCTTGAGCGAGATCCCCGCAGTAGTGACATCCAGACTGTTCGTGTCAATTGAGGTCGCTGGAGCGACATTGAGCCAGTCAGGTATAAAATGCTCCTGACTAAGATTGATAGAGCTAGAATGTTAGGAACCCAACCAAATGCTTACATGGTAAATTTCCAGAGCCTATTCTCAAGCCAAGTCGTACCTGGCAGAAATCTCTCTAAGCGCTTGAATAACTATTGCCAGGCGGGATTCGGGTACAATATCCAACGTTCCCAGCAAGCGTATGAAGATCAAATCAGCTTCACTTGGCCATAACTTGGCCATCTCCACGAGCAGCAGAATATCGAACGTCATATTTGAGATCGACGTGTTGGTCGATGCCCCAGTACGGCGGCAATCCGCTCGCTGAGTTCCGTGGTATTTTGTGCCTATAAGCCTTGAATTTTCCAGTTCATTCTTGCGGGCGGCTTCCGCGGCCTCTATGACGGAGCCCAGACTCTCTGTTTCCGACAAGCAGTTACCCAAAGCCAAGGATTGCAAGATGGCATCGACCTCATACATGACGCTGCTCCAAGTTTGCAAAGGTGTGTCTGCATACTCATGAGACGCCAAGGAAGCGCCCACCGCCGGTCCAGGGACGCATAAGAGAATAATATCGAGTAAATCCTGAGCGCAAGTAGATTTCATCGGCAGAAGCCAGCGCAGACGCATCAAATCGCCCTTTGGATGCACTGCCTCTAGCGTAACATTAGGGTGCATTCTAGGTTTCCAAGCTGCTAGAATCTAGAGACTATATATTAGGAAATATGCTGTTTGCAGTCAGATGAGCGAAGGGGCTGTGCTGCCATGCGTTTAATGTACCTTTCTCAGGATAGTTATCTTCTGTGTCCACGTTGCATTATCGATCTGTGTATTCTCGAACTGGGAGGCGAGGTAATGTATAGCCACCGGTTGTTGATTATAGAATGTCGACGGCTCGGCAAGGCTCAGCGCGAGGATAATTTCATTCCCTGTACAATGGGAACTGCCATATATCAGCCAGCTGACATTAATAATGCTTAAACTAGCATTAGTCATGTAAGTTCTCCTCACCTGCCGCGTCCAATGAGCTGGACAGCTTTCTGATGCTGGTAAGCGTGCTCACAGCGCGCTGTTGAATATGTACTATTCGATCCAGTTCTTGCGAAGCGTGTGCAATTAGAGCCTTGGCAATAATATCAAATGAGCTGTGGTTGAAAGGAGAGGCAGCACGAATAAGATACAGCGAACGCATGGCATTCAGAATTGGTCGTCATTCAAGTGATCATTTACCTAAGCAGCAAGCGTATGATATCAATTGACGACAATAGATCGCTTGGAGTCGAGTCCATGATAACTGTGTCAATATCCTTGATGAAGTACTCCAGAAGATCCTGGCCAAACCCTGCCACTTCGCGCCATTGTGCTGAAAAAGATGAGAGAGCATCTACAGCAGCCAGAAAGTATAAATGTATAAATTCACTATGCCAGTCAGACACATCGTCCCCACTCTGCACCTGTATATAATACGATCTGCATTTCTTACCTGCAATGTGCCGCCTTACAGTCTCGTTCGTCCCCCGATCTGTGTGCCATCCCACCAACAAGTCTAGAATCGACTTCATAAGAACAGAAGAGAGTTGAAAATATAGATTAGTTCGGTTAAATGTAGCGGATCGAATTATTACAGTCGACCGCCGTGGCAAGCCAATTATGGATAACATTCATTACTTTGAAATGCGGTTTCCATGCGTTAGGATGTTGTCCTGATAGAACAACAAGCTGATCTAGTGCGGGTGAAATTTCCTTGCAGTCCTTTGCATTGTCGAGAATATGTTGAATGTCCTCCAACATGACCTGTGTCGATTCAAAGTCGTATGTCGTTTTGACTCCTACAACAGTATAGCATTTAAGACGTGCATCAATAACCACTTTGTATCACACATTCCTGCCAGTTTTTAAGTTTGTCATGACCATTTTTGGTTACCATGACTGGGCCGCAGTCTGTCTGGGTCGCGCGGGTGGGAGGGTGCTGCTGTATGTGAAGACACCTGAGCAAGATGCTTTTGCTGTGGGCGACGACGCACGTTCTTCTATGAGAGGACAAGTGGCCATGAGGTGTAAGCCAAGTTGTCGAGTTGTGCCTTGAAAGGCCAGTCTCGCGTAACGAGGCGCCTACCATTGGCTTGGAAGATCAAACGAGGATCTGGCGGCCGTACGCTGGCTTGTGAGGGCGGTGTTGTCGCTTATTAAGAGCGCGAGGGAGTTAAGGTAGCTGAGTGGCAATATATGTGGTGATCAAGTTTAGGCAAGGGCAGGTTCGATTAAAAGTAGATGCAACATCGTTGAACTGGGATTAGAGAAATATTACTAGCCCAGGTGACGCAGTCGGTATTTCTTCCCTTGACTCTACTTTCCTCCACCCAGCTTGCACACACGAATCTTTCACCGTAACCTCTCTACATCTGTCAAAGTGGCTGCCAGACAGGAACTACGACAGGCCAACCTAGGGGCATGGCTACAGAAGCCTGGTATGCCAACATGATCATGCTTCGTTGAGGTGGTGCCTGACTTGGATGCGGATCGTGCTAACAGCGTGCTCCGGAATCATAGATACCTCGGCCCTCAAGAATCTGGACTCGAACATCAAAAAGAACACAGCGTTCATCAAGAAATGTAAAACAGGACTCACTGCCGATGTTTCACCTCAGTTGCTGAATGACATCAGGAAGCTCAGTCTCGAAAAATACATCTCAGAGATCGTTGCCGCCATCCTAGAGGGACTCTTGCGCTGCAAACTCAGTGCCGATGTCGCCGCCGCAGTGGAGGTACGGCTAAACAGAACAACATAACATATATTCAGACTAACTGTAGAAAATGCATGGATCTGATGCGTATATCATACTTTGCCAGGTTATTTCGGCCCTACATCAGAGATTTCCAGACACTTTTACGCCATTGTTCACATATCATTTGGCAAAGGCACTCGCCCCATCGCCAAAGCTGACACATCAGCAACTAGCACAGGCAGGATCGACACCAGAGCAACGTGAAAAAGAGGAAGTCGCGAGAGTTTCAAGGCAGCGTATTCTATGCCGTGTTGCTACGGATCTGTGGCTGGTTGGAATCTTGCGCAACGTTGAAGATGGTGTAGCGACTCTGAACGCAGAGGGCACAGCAGGTGTATCCAGTAAGGCGGGACAGGTAACCAAGGACAACGTCGTTGGCCTATTGATCAATCCGAGCAAGGATTCCAGAGGAACCGCTGCCGATAGTTCAAAAATGTTCCCCAACTTTATCTTCACCATTCTGCATGACCTGGTACGGAATATTGTTGTTAGGGCAATGCCATGTACACTAGGATGGGGCCACTTGTAGAATGGACCATTGACGCTTCTATTTTTGTTTCACTCAGCTTGCTGGAGACAAGGACCATGTCAACCTTCCCATTTTGTTGACAGTGCTGAAAATTCATGGCAAGGATTTGACTGGGACCCTTCCTCGAAAATCAAAGACGTCTGGCGACGGAAAGGATACCGAGATAAAGACTCAGGCGCCAGAGGAAGGAAGCGTAGCCCAGCCTGACAACTTTGTACCTGGGGCTCAGCAATCAATGTTCAAGAACATGTGCCTAGAGTATTACAGGAATCTGGAGAACCATCTCGTTCGCGACCATAAGGTAAGACGAAACTTTTGCATAGAGCGATCTCTGACAGGTCCTTGAGATATCAAAGGCATAAAAAGAAGATAAACCAACTAGTCATTGATCATCGCTCCCTGTATTAGGACTTGATAAAACTCGAGCGAAAGAATGAGGCGTCCCTGTTTTCGCGTGGAGAGCTATCAGAGGAGCGTCAGCAGCAATACGAAAAACAATACAAGGCGTTTGAGAAACTGACAGCATCGACCCAAACAGTCGCCGATGCATTAGACGTGGATATGCCTGTGCTAGAGGACGAGAAGGAGGACCTGATTGGCATTGTCGAGTCATCCGGTGGAGCGGAAGAGAAGGGATCCAGTAGCAGCGTTTTTGAAGATGAAGATAACATTGTGTTTTACGAGCAGATTCTGGATCTTCGTACGCTTGTCCCGAAGATTTTTTTGGAATCATCAAAGTCGAAAAAGGACAAGAAGGACGAGGGCAACGACGGCGATAAAGATAACGATAAGACTGTAAGCAAGGATGAACACTCTCCAGCAGAAGTGGACAGTGGAGCAAAGAACAACGCTCATCAGCTGGACGATCTCGACGAATCTGCTGACCTCATAATGGAGAGCATCGATGCAGAGCTGGAGGATTTGAATCTGGATGACCATACTGGGACGGAGTCGTTTCTTGCGGAGGAGACCGTATCGACCATTCAGGAGAGCTCGACAACTGCCTCCAAAACTACGGCGACGCAGCTGGATGCATTCCTGGCGAAGCTGCCTTCGATGTGCAACAGGGATATGATTGACCAGGCTGCGGTTGACTTCTGCTATTTGAATTCGAAGCTGAGCCGCAATCGGCTCATTAAGGTTGGTGTCTGCTTGCATACTAATTTGGTCCGCAGTTGCGGATCTGAATTTGAAAGATGAACTCGACTTTTTTTTTACAATATATGCCTCTATCTCGTGGTTTCTAGACGCTCGTCCAAGTCCCTCGTGACAGACATGACCTTCTTCCGTACTACTCGCGTTTGATTGCTACATTCAAACCATTCTATCCGGATGTGGCTGAAGAAGTCCTAGCCGCTCTGGAGCGCGAGTTTCGCGGACTGTTGCGCAAGAAGCATCTAGACCTCTCCGAGTCCCGCGTCAAAAATATCAAGTTCCTCTCTGAGCTCGTCAAGTTTAGCATTACGCCTCTGCCAATCATCTTCCATTGTCTGAAAGTCTTGCTTGAGGACTTTGTACCTCAAAACATCACTGTTGCCTGTTCACTGCTGGAGACGTGTGGTCGTTTTCTCAAGCGCAAAAGTACGGCTACATCCACTCGGTTAGATGCGATGCTGGATATTCTGAAACGCAAAAAGGCTGCACTCCATCTTGAGCCCAGGTTTTTGCTCATGATCGATAATGCCTACTACCAGGTAAGCCAAAAAAGGACAAGAAGCCCATTAGTACACGTAGCTGCGCTTGCTCGACTTATGACTGTAAGGAAGCTAACCACTATGCCTATTCGCCTCAGTGCAATCCCCCTGAGCAAAAGACAAGGCAAAAACGTGAAATCCCGCCTATCGAGCAATTCATCCGCAAGCTGCTTTACCTGGATCTCTGCAAGAAGAATGTGGAGACGACTCACAAACTGTTGCGCAAGTTGAACTGGGACAACAAGGAGGTGAGGACCAGCATTGTATACATTTCGCTCGTATTTTGCCAGGAAGGAATATTGCTAACTAACACGGATGTGTTTGCTATGTTGTCAGGTATACAATGCTGTCTTACGCTTGTTCAGCAAAGTCTGGAAGATCAAGTTCAGCAATATTCATCTCGTGGCCATCCTTGTTAATGGTCTCAGTCGTTACCACTCGGACTTCTCGATCGCCGTTGTTGATTCCGTGATCGAAACGATCAAGGTTGGACTGGAGCAGAACAATTTTCGACATAACCAAAAACGCATTGCCGTTGTCAAGTTCTTGGGGGAACTATATAACTACCGTGTGGTCGATTCTCCGCTCATCTTTAGCACGCTGGATACCCTTATCTCAACAGGCCATGGTATGTTCATCCCTGATTTCTCTATGCGGAGGAAAGGAGGCGCATCATGGAGTCATTATGTTCACTCACGGTTCACTGTCTCTATATCTCAATAGAGCAAGGCAGAGCTTCCCCAGATAGGCCTTCTCCAATCGATGCGCCAAACGACTGTTTCAGGATCCGTCTGGTCTGCACGCTGCTGGACACCTGTGGAATGTGCTTCGACCATGGAAGTTCCAAAATTAAACTTGACGCGTTCTTCGTGCTGTTTCAAATGTATATTCTCTCCAAGGAGGCAGTTCCTTTGGAGATTGAGTACATGATCGAAGACACCTTCACGGAACTTCGCCCTAAACTGAGACGCTTCCAGTCCTATGAGGAGGCGTTCGCAGCTGTCGAGGCTCTTCATGGCCCGCTTGGCAGCGCAGACCATTCTTCCATGGCACAGAATGATGATTCGGAATCTGAGGAGTCGGAAGGGGATGATGATGGTGATGACGATAACCAGGACGAGGATGAAGACGAGGACAGTGACGAGGAAGACGATGGCCTTGATGACGAGGAGGAGACACATGCTATGAGACAACCTGACGATGAAGAACAGGCTGTTGTCCTTACAAACCAGCACAAGCCTGTCGAGGCCGTGGACGAGGATTTTGAGCGCGAATATCTTAAGATGATGACAGAGAGTCTTGAGTCAAGAAAGTTCGAGAGAAAGCATCTTGCGCTTGATGTTGCCATCCCAGTTCTGAGATCTGCAGGTGCGTTTGTATCAGCGGGAACGGACTCTTATTGCGTCCAGATGACGCAGTGTAATTAACCCTCGCTATATTTTTCTTGCATCCTAGATCGTCGTGAAGAACCGACTTTCAGCAATCCGGATCATGTTGCGTTCACACTTCTTACCAAGAAAGGCAATAAGCAGCAACTGAAGACTGTTGGATTGCCAAGCGACAGCGCCCTTGTCATCAATACACGGAACCAGCGCGAAGCCGAGCGCGAGGAACAGCAACAGCTGAAGCAGCTGGTTTTGGAGTACGAAGTACGAGAAGAGGCGAATCAACGTGCAGGTAAGGATTTGCTCTTGATTTGCCTTTAGGCTACAAGATGCGCAGCATTGTTTTCTCTATTCAACAGCTAAAATCATGTCATTGTCATGCTACACTAGCCCTAGAGCAGTCGCTGCGGAATCAAGGAATTCGACTCAACTTTACAGAAGATAACAGGCGTGGCGGAGGTACGATTAATCGAGATCAAAATAATGCGCGCAACGATCGAGTTGATCGCGTGGGCTTTGGACCAGACCCCATCAAGAATAACTCGCGATGGGCACGCAACCAGGCAGTCGGCGTGGGTGCTGGTTTCGGAACCGAGAGCGCACTCACGAATCTGGGTGTCGATGGTTATGAGAGACGACCCACTGGAGGACAGACGAATCGAGGGCGAGGCTCAGGAGCGTACGGAAGGTAGGTTTAATGGCGATCGACATTGTGCGTTATGTTATTGTTGTACGAGCTGGCGGACCAATTCTAAAATGCTCTTTTCATGTTTTCTTATAGACGCTGATACACCTTTGAGGTTCGACTATTCGCCTCAAATGAGATGAGTGTCTGAAATGGTTTCCTCTCTCTCTATTCAAAGTGGCCTCCTTTTATTTGCATCGATCCTTGGAAGAAACCTTGGACAATGCTCTGCGAAACTCTACTAAGGGAGCAAGAGTGCCAGAATTGTTCGCTCTGCACTAGTTCGTGTCGATTGATATGGTGCAATCGAATGGTTGTCCTTGCAGCCTACAGCACCTTTTACGTCTCCTGCACATGTCTTCAGCGCATTTCCCATGCACACATATTGCGTCTCTGCAATCCTCATAAAAAATAATAAACACGGAGAAAATGTGTTTTGTAAAGCGTATGGTAATTCGTGTTTCACAGAAATAAACAATGGATTTCCTCATGTGGGATCGTGCTTTCTTTGAGGCCATGGTTCTCATCAGCAGCTGACGGAGCGTAGCGGCTCGTCCTCAAGCAAACAATTTTCTCCGCATACATCAAGCACATCTACCGGACTGAGAACGTATATTGGGTTGCGGGCTCGCCAAGAGGGTGCCGAGGAAGAAGGTTGCAGAGGCATGAATCGGGACGTAGAGCAAAACTACTAGCTGCATAGCTGTCCACACCAGTTTTTGGTCCCATTCTTCGCTTCTATAGACGGATTCATCCGGCAACCCGATCCTCAAGCAGATGCTGTGTCGCAGCACGCGCTATGGTAGGAATAACTATTGTTATGCCATACACCACACAGAGTGCAGCTGAATGCGGCGTGTCGATTGTAATCAGAATGATACATATTTTGTTTGCTCAACGTGCCTCACATCAAAGACACAAAAGGCCACTAGCCCCTCGTCCTCCACGTCGTGAGGTGAGCAGTATTTTTTCATCCATTCCATTTCAGTTCCAGCCATATACTTTGTGGAAAGAGTGTTGCGTCTTTTTTCAGAACTTGAATGTTAGTTCTCGCCACAGGTATTTGGACTAAGCAAGGCGGGCCAATTAGAGAAAATGAGCGAGAGCTAAAGCAACGGTGTTGCTCGTTGTAACGCGTGCTTGGCCATGAGAACTAGACATACAAATCCCTAGTCCGAGGAATAAACGTACCACTCTCATACTGTTTTATATGCCCTCGTTTTCAGATATATAGGCGAAATGAACTGAGGGAGCCGTTGGGGCTGATTTCGTATAAATAAAATACCACTCACCACACACCCATCTACGCCTCAAGTGCCAAGACGCCCGAGCCACCACGATGAAGTCTATTCTGGTTGCCTCCGTCACTGCTACCCTCTTGATGAATGCCTCCTTCGCTTTTACTGATTCTTTTGGGCGCAGAAACAACACTAAGTTTTTCCTCTCCAACTTCATGACCTTTATGAGGGTTACTCAGAATTGACGGAACACCCTGTAGTGGTGAGCAGCGCGACTGTCCGCGCTCTTTCTATGGACTTTACTTGCTTCTCAACTGTTGACACTTCACCGGTCAAGCTTCTAGACTGCAGAGATGATTTGAAGACGCTTAATACCAACATCAACGCGGCTTGCAGTCCTTTCGTGAACAGCAAGGGCCAGATTCCTTCGGGTTGCTTTGCTGCCAATAATTTAGCGAATGTCACCTTCGCCCGCCCTTTTAATCTCTAGTCTTGTTCGGACTATCCAAAAAATATGATTATTATTCAGAAAAATAGCATTATAGATGTACAAGTGTGTGAATGGGAACTATTTGGCGACCAATAGCTTCTCTGCGACCCAGGCATCGTATCTACAAAAAAATGGAAAGAACAACAGTCAACTACTGCATGCAACACACTCTCACGGCTCAATCCTATTGTGCAACAAGAACGAATAACTTACCTTGACGCGTATCCCTTGTAGTGAACCTTGTACTCATATGCACCCTGCTGAGTTTTGCTGTCTCGAATCGCGGTGATCTGGGCTTCAAACGGTATATCATACTCCGCTGGCGCCACCACTTCGTCTCCAGTCTTGAACTTTGGAGTCGTGATGCTCGCGCGCTTACCCCGTTGTGGCCGCCTGCTACGGTGCATTAGAAGTTCAATAGCGTCGTTGACGACTGCATTGGCTGCGTCCCACCTTGGTCGACCTTTTTCCCGTGCATTGATTTTTGATACATCTTGAGGAGCATCGGAAACGTCCTCTCTGTAGTTGTCCTGAACCTGACTGTCGTTGTCTTGAATCTGACTGTCGTTGATATCGTTTTCCTCAATCGTTTTCTCAACTTCCTTCTCTGGAAACTCTAACACAACCTCTGAGAGATCACACAGCGACTCACTGCGGCTGATGGTGGAGACGCAAGAAGATAATGATGACCCGAGGCTGTCAAATTCAGATACAGTGTCGTCCCAAGGATCTGGATTGGATGCGTCCTCATCAGAAAGAACCGGATCAGGTTCAGGCGTCATTGCGATCGTCGCGGAAGGAGCTTTCTCTACAGCTGCAGCATCACTCCCTGTAATATTGGTTCCGCGCTCTTTTGTGTTTGGTTCGCTAGCCTTCTTGGCGATAACCAGAGACGCAACCATCTTAGAGGCTACCAAAGACGTGCCATCATCCATCGAGGATGTTCTTGGAGCTTCGTGCGCCTCTGACACAGGCTCTGGCGGTGATTCTTGGACGACTGAATTGGTCAGGGAGGCTGTAGTTGGTCCTTTGTTGGAGTTCTCGGCAATGATAAAGTCTGCGGATGATCCAGAGGCATGTGTTAGTAGCGGAGGCGTTGAGTCGGTGGCAGTCCTCAAAGTGGGATCAGCGATAGGATAGATCGGCAGCGACAATTCACGGTCCACAGCACTTAGTGGCTTGACCTCCTGATCATCCGTCGATTGATTGGTCGATATCACGTCTGCTGTATTGCCTTTCGTCCTGCAATCAGACGCCTGCGACGAGTGAGGAACGGATACAATTTCATGAGCTACAGAATCCACTGTCTTCCTGCGCTTGGATGGCTTGTTAGCCTTGGCATCAGCAGGGCGAGGGTCAGTATCTGGCACTGACTGACAAGTGGATTTTGAATCTTGACGTGAAAATGCCACAACATGCGAAGGATCTGGTGTCAGGGCCGCGGCTCTACTCCCATCTCCATTCACAGAAACTGGCGCCTTGGCACGAGAGCGGACTGAGCGCACGTTTGATCCCAGATCAAGCATAATGGAACTATCCTTGATGGTCCACTGCAAAAGACCCTGAAGCTCTTTGCTTCGTATCAATGTCAAAGCCGCTTCGCTATTTGAGGCCGCCATCACCGCCGCGGAAGTACTTGATTCGGCGCCAATCAATACGGGAGACTTGGCAGCGTTCTTCCTGCTCGATCTAGCCGACTCTGGTATTTCTTCTGAAGCCTTGGCGATGGGACTCTCGACATCGACATTGACAATGACATCTTCGTCGTCATCGACATCGACGTCGACGTCGACCTCGATGGTAGGGGCTGGAGAAGAATTATGGGCTTCTGAGGAGGTCGATATAGTGTCGACAGAGGAATGCTGTTCAGTTTTGATGCGTTTTGGTGCGGGGGGTGACGCTTCGGCTCTGTGTTCTCGTTTCCTAAGTCTCTTCCTCTTTGGCCCAGCAAGATATCCCTGTTCGATCGCCTCATCTTCATCAGCACCAGCTTCGTCCTCAGGAAGACTGTTCATAATAGTCCATTCCTTCAGCCGATCCAGCTCAGATTTTGATTTTTTGACAGGCAGGTGCGCTTGCGGTGAATGCAGTTTTGGCTGCAGCGTTGATTTTAGCGTTGGCTGTAGCAATGGCTGTAACACCGGCTGTAGCGGCGGTTCATACGGTGGCTGTCGTGACAGATCCTGTTGCTGCTGTACTCGATGCTCTGGGCGAGGGCTTCGAGTTGGTGTGCTGGAGCGATTCCTGACTGAACCAGGTCCATCTCTCGGCAAACTGTCCTTGATGGTCCACACCTGTAGTCTTTCAAGCTCCGTTCGATAATGTTTCGATTTGGTACGACTCTTGTTAACGCCTGTGTCCGTCTTCCCCCTAAATGAGCGTTTAGCGGCAGTTTTGGTACCGGCACCTTTCTTTCTTCTGGAGGAAGTCGAGCTAGAAAATGGTTTTGGTGGCGTAGTTGAAACACATGTCTCCGATTCTGCCGAGACAGCAGAAAAATCGCAAGGTGAGGAAGGTCCTGTAATGTCAATATAATCGCCATCATAGACCTCTTCAGCAGGAGAATTGGATGGATTTGGTGTCCCGCTCCTACGCCTCCAGTGGACTGTCTCAGTCGATGCGGTTGAGACAGGCGTGCCGGAACAACTTTCGTCACTCACTTGGTTGCTCGAGGTGGCGGTAGGCAGGATACAGGCCCAGGGATCAGCCTGACTTACGTTAACGAAGTCGCCATTGCTTTCGAGCGTTGCCCCGAGGACTGTGAATTCTAAAAGGCGATATGCTAACTCAAACTCATCTTCTGCTGTCGCTGACGATTCTGGCGGTTGCTTTGCGGATAAAAGAGTGGAGAGGGACTTGAAACGCGGAGGAGCCTTATTGACGACCACGCGGCACAGCTGGACATTCGTATTATCGCTCCGTGGCTTGAGACTACCATACGGGCGCGTTTTTCGAGACAACTCCAATGGCCACCAAATGACGGATCCTGGTTTCGCCCTGCTCTTGCTTTTCTTTGACGCCTTGAGTTTTAATTCTAAGCCAGTGGGATCCTGTGCTGTGATAGTGCCTGCTGATTTTTCCAGTATCGGTGCTGTGGCGGTGCTATTTTTTCCAGCACGTGCTGACATTGGTTTATATATAAGTGAGGATGCTGAAGTAAACGTCGTCGTAACCTGCAGGGCAGTAGCCCCGAAAGATGGCATGGAAACGCTCAAAGCTGTAGCGTCCTCGTTGTCCATGGCCTTGAATCGAGGTCGCGATATAGTCGTCTTCCCTGTAAGCGCTGCCTTCAACTCCGCTATTCTTGCCGCAGCTAAGACAGCCGACGCTGAATTGCCATGTTCCTGCTGTCGTGTGATCTCCTCGATCTTTTTGAGTATAGTTTTCTTGCCCACTCCACGGGGCACCTTATTCTTCGAAGTTCGCTGCTGTATACGTTGCTGCCCTGATGGTGCAAGATCTTCCCATTGCTCTTGGTCCTCCAGCCCATGTTGCTGTTGTTGTCGCTGGCCATAACTATAGCTGTGCTGCAACTCCTGTTCATACGGCCGATCTTGATAAAGCCCAGCTTGGTGCTGTTCAGGCGTCATAGGCAAGAGATGCTGTTGAGGACGCGCGTGTTGTGTATACGAGTCATTCCAGTACTGTTGTTCTTGGTATTGAAGGTCATAGGGCACGACTTGCCCCGACGAAAAGTGAAGAGGTTGCTGCAATGACTGGCGATGGAATTGGTGGTTTTGCAACTGCTGGACGAGGTATATGTGTTCTTGAATGCGCAATTCGGTATTCCTTGTCGCCATCGCGACTTCTGGTAATGATAATTGATTATGGCATGACATCAATCGCCAGGGTAATCCTGAAGGAACATCGCCGCTCAAATACGCCAATGCACGTTTTACACCTCGATTCTTCATGAACTCCCTGCCATAGAAACTCACATAGCCTCGATAGGGCTCTTGTTCGGGGTGAAACAGCTTCAGACCTGAAATGTTACATATGGAGTACTTGAAGTCCTCAAGGAACCGCACGACTATCAGGTCTGGGTCCTTTGAACCGTCTTCACGAGGCATGATCTGCGGCATTGTGGGATCCATCTGGCTCCTAGGGACTGTCACCGCGAGCCACCAGAATTTAGCCGCTCCTCCATCCTGCGGGTCGACGAAAACGATATAGGGCGCATGATGAAAGGGATGATCCACACTGACGATTGAGCTGATGTCGAGTGGTATTGGTGTCGGCATAGGCCAACTGTATTCGGCTGCGCATGTTGTTTGTGCAGGATGAGGCGAGGCAGCACGGGGCATGAGCGGCCTAAATGTGGGATAACGGAATCCTGAGGGAAGTAGATCGAACGTTGAACCCATCAAAGGATATGAGCTATGTGCCGTGTCTGCTGATCTCGAGGTCTTCTTGTTGGATAGTTGTCTTCGTCCTGGCTTGTCTCCCTCCTTCTCCCTCGCAACGCCCATCTTCAACTCTGCCCTGATCTGCTTCTGCCTTGCCTTGGCTTCCGACTTTGCCGTTAGCTTTTGTTGCTTGAGCCTCTCCGCTTCTAAAGCACTTTGGGCTGCCTTCAGCTCCATTGCCGCCTAAGTCACCAGATATGCAATAAGAGTATGATGATTAGCCGACCTATGATGAGCCAAGACTGCTTTGAGACTCCAACCTTGGCTTACCTCTCGCTCAGCCTTGCGTATCCGCGCGACGATAGCATCACTGCTCCTAGATGGCCATGTGACGCCGTAGATGGAAAAATGTCGATGACAGCGCCTGCATTCCATCGATGGACCCATCTCATGCTTCGGTACAGTATTTTTGCAGGACTTACACCGGATGGGGCCGAGGCTGACCGTGGTTCCGTCCCCTGTGCTTTTGTCATTAGCGGACTCCTCGCTTTCGCTAGTCCTCCTCACGCTATGTTCTGATGCTGACGTATATGTCGCATCGTCGCTTCCCTGTGTAGTAGTCCGCTCCACAGACTTCTCAAGTATTGCTCGAGCTGAGCTGTGGCAGAGAAAGTCGATGGACATGCGGAAGTTTTTCGATGAGCTGTGTGAAGTTTCCGTTTCCTCATATGCCCCAATTGGTCCTGAGTCGTCCTGTTCATCGCAAGTCGATCTCCGCGTATGATTGTTCGAACGATGTTCGTCTTCCTGCTGCTCAATGATTTCAGATATGTGCATCGGCTCAAAATATGAGACTAGTCCTTCTAATGCCACCTCAAAGTCTTTATCCACGGCTTCATCATTCTCCAGAATTATTGAAAATGTTGAGCTTGGAGAGTCATTGCCAATATCACATGAAGCTTTTTGGTCTGGAATACTACACGAATTCTCCATGAGTAATGGTGTAGGTTCTGCCGATGCCGCTGAAGAGTCGCCCTCCTGCTCAATGATTTCATGGGCATTGAAAAAGGTTCCCTTGTCGCTGCTGGCAGCGATGTGAGTTTCCGACGTCGTAGATGTAGCGGGGTCATCTGCAGAGATCTCGGACCCGATCTGCGAAACTGGCGTGAGTGGCCCGGCTGTGCTCGGTATAGTGTCAAACTCGACAGGGGGCGAGGTCGTCTTTGGCGGTGTCCGTGTTTGCTTCGGTGTCGCCTTTGCTATCATTGTCGGGTAATAATTCACTAGTAATTGAAAGGCAATATGAGCCTGTTAATACTACGGTATTGCTCCGTCAAAACGACCAGCGCTCGTCAACGCACCATTTTTGCCTCGAGTTCTAAGTCTCCTGCTTAAAAAGCCATGACTTTCCGGCTTCAAAGTAGGACTGGCCGGGCTCACTGTCGTTGTGACCCTGGACTTGTTGTATCCGCCTTGACCACGGCTAATAGCGACATAACGCAAATAAGCGACTGAAATTAACGAGAGAAGCGCCAATGGCAAAGATATCAAATGCCAGGACACGGACGTACTCCCGAATGCTGCCTACCTTTCACACGTCGCACATAGACATTCCTGATTGTTGACCCCGAAGTAGTTGTCGCCGTAATGCGTGGTGATCTCATCGTTGACATTAATGCGTCTCAAGACTTTGAAGTAAATAACGTTACTGCCAGCAGACATGAAGCTGCAGTTAGGGTCGCAATCGTGCTATGCGCATAAAAATAGAAAAAACTGCTTTAGCACGCTTGGTGATTAAAAAAGGTACAGTGTGATTAATCAAACGACAATAAAGTACTGTACATTGACAAAGCGGGCAGGCCCAAGAAAGAGACATGTTCCACGTCGACTCGTTTTGATGACGCTGAAGTCGCTGGTTCTGTTCTCAAGGTCCTTCTCCTCCTGCTCGTTCAATATGGCGATAGTTCCGGCGCAATAACGCAGCTCGAAACCCGCTTCGAACGAACGGTTTGCAATCACACATGCCTCGGACTTGTTCGTCACTGCCGAATATCGATCCGTCTGCGAGATTTCGAACCCTGCCATTGGTAGATAAATGTTGAGATAGCGGCGAGCATGCCTATGGAAGCCATTGTAGACACGTCGTCGAATATCCAATAGTTAAGGTAGATGTCCTTTGTCCATTAGTATCCATCTGCGATTCAGCCGTAACAAAACGTACGTTGTAAAGTCCTGAATTTCTTTATCCGTCTTGAACAGCTTTTTGACGGACTCGATCCTAATCGTACGGACAGAAGAGTCAGGCGAGGGTGTTGGTTAGTCCTGTGCCTTATTACTAGCTACACCGGAAACAGTAGCTTCTTTGTTACAAGCACCATTGCATTCGCCCCTTACTCCAACAAATCCTTGACTGCCTCGTGGACTTTGCGATCCATAACGACCCTGCATTGGATGATGTCGAGGATTTTTTCTGGGGCAAGGCACATGGGGCGGTAGTCCTTGTTCATCTTGTGGGTCTGGAACCAGAGGTTGATTCCGTCGAGCAGGATGTCCGACAGGAGGTCGTCCAGCATGGAGAGTGTTTGGAGATCCATGTTTTTCGATCACCGAGCCGCTCTGCTCACCCGCACGACGTACGCGACACTCACGCTCCTGTTCACGCGCACGCACTGGTGACCGAATTGATGTTGAGTCGTAGATGTGATGAGCGCCAGCGAGGTAGCAAAGGCGGCTGAATGAAGCGGAAATCTAAGGACAAGAAGAGGGAGTGAGCAGAAGCAGGGTGGGTGGAGATATGGATTGAATTAAAAAGGCAGACGTGCAAAAATAATAACAAAGTGTATTGATAGAAAAGACACGACGTCGTAGAATGGAAGTGATTCCGTCGTGCTTCGCAAGGAAGGCACCTTCTCGCGTCTATCGCAGTGTTGCTTCGATGAGATCCGCTGGTGGGCAGAGTTCGACCTGCAATCATAAGAAGGAGCAAGGCGAGTGCCATCGAGTCAAGTGGGTGCCAATATCACTGGTGACTGTCTCTCCCTTTCTGATGGTGCTGCTTTTTTGGTGACTTGCGCTTCTTGCTCCTCTTGTCACTCAGCACCACACACTCTCCCACCCCTTCATTCTTGCTGCGATGCATCGGCACCACCAATACCAGAAACTAACGGGTGTAAGGGATACTCCGCTGGACAACAACGACGACACCATACACTCTCATGTCCTACCAGCCGATTCAGCCGTGCCTGCAGCGTCGTCGTTTCTGCGCCAGTCCAGAGGCAGCCTTGCTTCAAGTGCCCATTCAACGTCAGCAAACCAGGACCCGCCACTGATGCCCCTCTTCACACCTGTCCTGCAGGACTTTCAGAACCGCTTTGGTTCTGCCATCCTGCAGCATGACACCGACGAGCACGAGCACGAACATGAACAGGGCGAGAGCGACCATGAAGTGATGTACGACCATGGTGCAACACGGACACGGCTGAGACCGAACCTTGACGTTGGCACGGACCACGAAGCACCTGCGTCGCTCATGATCGAAATGAACCACCGCCAGCAGGATGACGACGAGGCAGCTGGGTACTGGAACTTTGGTGACAGGGCCCGGAGGCGGTTTCAATATAAGCGACCAGGCATGGATGCAGCCGAGCTGGCTATGTGGAAATGGGTTAATGTTGAGAACTTGGACAACTTCTTGACAAGAGTATGTCCACACATTTTTTACAAGAAAATTCAGCTTAGTCGAAAGCGATGGATCTGATTTTTTTTTTTTTTTTTTGGTTCCGTGCTTTGATCTCAATTGATAGGTCTATAACTATTACGTTGGGAAGGGCATGTATACCATCCTGCTCGAGAGATGTCTAAATCTGCTGTATGTGCCACATCGTTGCCATCGAAAGTTGAAATCTTATTCATGTTGTCTAATAAGTAGCTATCACTCTTTGGTGTGGCGAATCCGCTGTTATTTATTAGGACATTTGCGTTTGTCATTGGATTCGCCACATTCTTGGTCGGCTGTGTGGATTATCCAAGGCTACGGCATTCTAGACACCTTGATGAAGTCCTGATATCGCAGTGTGTCCATAAGTAAGCATTGATTTGCTTGCCAACGTTGTGCTTGGGGTCAACGGCGCCATGGAGACGTGGAGGGACTACGCATAAAGAAAAGATTGAGACTCCTCTCCCATTAATGACTAACGATGACCTGAGCATTTCCACTACATTGACGCTTGCTGTCTAGGCTTTCCACAGGAACGTTCGTGGTTTTATTACTGTTTGCCACATTTTGGGTCGGCCAGCTGACTCGCCTAATATACGATATCCCTGAGATGGTGGACATGTGTAACTTCTACACGTATCTCCTGCAGATCCCGGATGTATGAGTTCAACTTGTTTTCTTGTGGACTTAATTAGCGTACTCAGTTATGGAAAGTGCGTGTATTAATACGAAGGTCTTTCTGCCGCAACCAAACAGGAGGATATTCAGACTGTATCGTGGCACGAGGTCATCACAAGGATTATTAAAATCCGCGACAACAACCCGAACACGACGACTGCTGCAACCATTCAAACAACGGACATGCAGCGCCTGAATGCTCATGATATTGCCAACAGGATTATGCGTAAGGAGAATTTTATGATCGCTATTTTCAACAAAGACCTCATCGATCTGTCTCCACCAGTGCCGTTCTTGCGCAACAGGACCATCCTCACTCGAATACTGGAGTGGAGTCTGAGCTTTTGTATCTTGGGCTATGCCTTTGATGAACGTGGGCAAGTTCGGAAACGGTTCCTCAAAGATACGCGGCGAGGAGAATTGGTTGAAGGGTACGTACTCAGGACACTTTTTATTGCTATACTCTATTGAACATGGCTGCGGTTTGGTGTTGACCGTCATACCACGAATCCTGTGTTACCTCTAGGCTTAGGCGACGCTTCCAGTTTATGGGTATCGCTACAATTATATTTTCACCATTTATCTCCATCTATCTGATGCTCTACTTTTTCTTCCGATACTTCGAGGTAAGTGTTTCATCCATGTTTATATGTCTATCATCTATTCGTGTAAATCGAATTCGCCCTCGGTCTGAGACTCACTTTTTAAATTGCCGCACAGGAATACCACAAGAACCCAAGCTCAATCGGCACAAGACAATACACGCCGCTGGCGAAATGGAAGTTCAAGGAGTTCAATGAACTGCCTCATCTGTTTGAGAACAGAATTAATGCGAGTTATCCGTTGGCAATGAAGTACATCAACCAGTTTCCGAAAGAAAAAACAATCCTGGTTTGCAGGTAAGTCAATGGCCCATCTTCTTTTCTTTTCGTCTAGGTCGTCCACAAACCGTGGCATTCTCATAAGCTGACGCCTTGCAACTGGTATATAGGTTTGTCGCGTTCATCTCAGGCTCATTTGCAGCTGTTCTCGCCCTGATCACGCTTTTCGACCAAGAGCTGCTGTTGGGCCTCGAGATCACATCCGAAAAGACAGTGTTTTTCTACCTTGGACTATTTGGCACAATCATGGCGGTCAGCCGAGGTATGATTCCGGACCAGACGGAGAGCTTTGATCCCGAACTACTGCTTCGAGGAGTCGTCGAGCAGACGCACTACATGCCTAACGAGTGGCGAGACAAGCTGCACACGGACGAGGTACATAATCCCTTGAGACTTTCTGTAGTGCGATTAATGATTTTCATTGAACGGTACGCTAATGCTTAGAATTTATGATACTATCGGAGGAATAGGTCCGAAAGCAGTTTGCGCTGTTGTTCGAGTACAATGCTGTGCTATTTCTACTGGAGTTCATGAGTCTGTTTTTGACTCCCTTGATCCTCTGCTTCAGCTTACCGAGCAGTAGCGAAAGATTGATAGACTTTTTCCGCGAGTTCACGGTGCATGTCGATGGGGTTGGATATGTCTGCAGCTTTGCCGTATTCGATTTCAAGAGGCACGGCAACGTCAAGGTAATTATGGTTAAATCGGAGAAGGGCAAATGCATATGGTATCATCCTACTAAACATTCTTATCTTCGCTCCACTGTATTAACCCAGTATGGAGCGCCAGCGGATGCTATGACGGACCGGCGCTTTGTTTCGAATCAAGGGAAAATGGAGAAGTCATTCCTTAATTTTAAGGTGCGTTATGGAGTAACTTTGCATAGCTACGTGTCACAAATGCAATCGGCTGGTTGCCATTTGTTGCTAACACTTGCCTCTATCTCTTGCTCTTTTTCTCTTGCTTATATCTGCTAGCAAAACAATCCCGACTGGGAGCCCAACAATCCTGAGGGTTCCATGTATCTGTCTAGGTTACTGGAGGCGGACTCTGTGCCTGCTCATGGGCGTCATCCTCATTATGCTGGAGATCGCTTACAGCCACCACTTCCTTGGGGCCAAAGTTCGGCGTTTTTGCGGCCAAGGGGTTTAGCCACTAGCACCTATTATAATCAGGATCGACCCCTGTACAACGGGAGGAGTCGTCTCGGTGCTGAAGTTCGCTCAAGGAACATCGATGCAAGTGATGATGAACAGGAGGAACTGGACGAGGAACATGTACATGAAAGAGATGAGCAGAGCCCTGGAATCAAGTTCTATCTATCCACTAATCAGCGGAGTCGGGCGCAAAATGCGACCCAGATAGAGACAGATTCAGCATCAAGCACATATGATGAACCGAATAGCCTTGGTGCCAAAGGATTTACTACAAGCCTTGGCGACTCGTTCGTCTCGGAGATTGGACAGTCATCAAATCGTGCACGTGAAGGATCTGATAGAGGGAGAGGAGGGAAGGATAAAGAGGGCAAGCATCGGAGGGACGTGGATGAGATGTCGGATGCGGAGGACGAGCGCGAGGTTCAGAAGAAGGGTGTCTTTGGGCTCTTGAACCAAATTTATGAGATGAATAATGTCACTCGATGAACGCTACTAGCTTCCTCTGCAATAAAGTGCCCACCTCCTTTCAATGCTTCTTTGTTTCTTTTTGATCGAGGGATTACACTGGACTTCGAAGCCGCGGAATACGCGGCACTATTGCAACACCGACCAATCGACACGTTGCTTGAGGCACCAAATAAAAGAATACAGAGACATATTGCTTAACGATAACCAGTATGGATGTATTTTTTATTTCTAACAGACTCTCTACAGCTTGCTCTTGTTCTTCTTCTTGTACTTGTCCAAGAGATCGTTGACCTTCTGAGGCGCATCTACATGCTTCAGGTTATGTACGTTATCCTTACCCTCGGGCCATCCGATATATGCGGGCATGAGACTGCCCTCAGGATTGAACGCTAGCTCGTTGCCCTCAGGGAATCCCTTGCTCAAAGAGCTACCTCCATCAACCGCCAGGTTGACACCGCTTATGTACGAGGCGGCTGGGGAAAGGAGGAACACAACGCTTGCTGCGATCTCGGACTCGGTACCATAACGACCGCTGGGACTCTACATTTTTGAATATAAAAGCGATTAGGGAAAGAAACATAGGGTCGTGGGGTAGATCGAGCAGTGTTGTCCATTTGTCGATGCTGCGTGCTTACCATCCAATCCGTAGTGGCGATCATGTCAACAACGTTTTCAGGGTAGTTCTTCATGCCAGAGCTGACAATGGTTCCAGGAGCAACGCAATTGACACGAATGCCGTTATAGGGGCCCCACTCAACGGCTAAGGTCTTGGTCATGTTGATAATTCCCGATCGAGCAGCACCCTATATGTCCAAAGGCAAACATGTTAATACCGTTGCCGTCAAAAGATGGTGCGTGGGTTCGATCAACTGTCTTTCTCTCTTCCGCAGCAGACGAGATAACAACTGATACGTACAGTGTGAACCATTCTGGGGAAGCCATTGCGGCACTCGGCGACAATGTTTACGATATTTCCTCCATGCTCGCCCATGTACCCATCAAAGGCAGCCTTGCACATATTGAATGTGCCGTTAAGGTTCAGATCCACGACTGTAGCAAAGCCCTTGGGGGACAGACTGCTCGCGGGCGACATAAACTGTCCTCCGGCATTATTCTAGGGATGAGTTGAGGTAAGAAAAGAGACACGCGGATTAAATACGACAAACATGGTCGATCTTTTTTTTTTTTTGCACATGAACTAAAAAGAAAACACGGTACTTACGACGAGACAGGTCAACTTGCCATGCTTGGCGACGATGGCCTCGATCAGCTCTAGACACTTTGCAGCGTCGCGAATGTTGATCTGCATAGTGTCACATTTGCCACCGAGCTTGTGGATCTCTTCCGCGGTCGCCGTCAATTGCTCCAGCTTTCTGGCAGCAATCACGACCGTTGCTCCGAGGCTAAGTCGTTGCACAGGAAAATTAAAGTGATCGATCAGAAAATATCCAACGCGGAAAATGTGTGGAGCAATAAGAACAGAGAGTCGTCCCGGGAAGGTCAAGAAAGAAAGTAAGAAGATGAGATCGGGCATGATCCTTACCTAGCCATCTCGTGGGCTATGCATCGACCGATACCTATCATTTTTTTTTTTTTTTTGGTTCAGATCAAAAGCAGCCTTTTAGTCCTAATTGCTCTGAACCGAACAAAGCAATGCCTCCACATAAAAAGTATATTTCTCCAGAAAAAACATGAATATAGCGGAGATGAATGAACGCCATACCGGTGCCTCCTCCTGTCACAAGGACGACTTCGTCCTTGAAGAGATCCTTCTTGAAAATGGAGTTGTAGGCTAGGTAGCAAGAAGAGGATTTATAGAACGTTGGGATGAGTGAGCGATAGATTCGAATGGTATAAGACCATGTCTCATTGCCGAATCGGTACCTGACATCTGCGGCGTTGTGGAGTCTTTGTGACACAGGGGGCTCAGAGTCGGTGTCGAAGTGAAAAAAAGTAAGAGGAGAAAGGCACGATGAACAAAGGAAGGATGACAAATGAGGCAGACGTTGAAGATGCAAAAAAAGAAGACCGAGAGTTGCTCGCTCGTGCAAAAAGCAGAAGGGGTCCTCCTTCACCCCTCGGTGCATTCTATTTTATGGTTTTCGGCTGGAAACACAAAGCAACTGAGCAAAGTGACAATTCGGCAGGCACGAATAGTAGAAAACATCCGGATCCTTTGGGATTTTACGCGCGCCAGTCTGCTCTTGCTGTCTGCCTCCGTCCCCTCAGCACATTTATGGTATACACATGCACCATACTACGTACGTACAACCAGCGCCTTTCGCATACAGTACATGCCTATGTTGCTTAACGGTTCTTCTTCTTCTCCTCCTCGATCGGCCCAGAATTTTCTGGCGTACCAGGCCATAGGTAGTGGAGTTATTTACATTATTTGGGATCCTTGATCCGGCCCATTGCTCTGAGCCACGCAGCCAACAGCGAAGCGCGCTCCTCGGCGCGAGCGGATTTCGCGACTGAAAGGATTCCACTAGACTGGGGAGATCACACTATGTGCATTTTCGACCTGTTGGTATTCATCGCCCAACAACGTATTGGGGAGGGTGTTCTTTTTAAAGGTAAATCATCCACCGTGAATTTCGTGTGGGGAAGTTATCGCACACCAAACGCGAACAATTGCCCCTGAACAAAAGTACTTTTCATGCTTCAAGAGATTGATCTTACACAAGAATGCGTTACTTATATGCTCGTTCTAATCATGGTGTCCTTGAAAATAACAGATGAACGGTCTTCTTGACGTTTGGGAACAAACTCTGGTGGACCTGTCTGCACCCTCCTGCAGACTGTATGCAACAAATCACTTCTTCATGGACAATATGATCTTCTTTGATCCTTTCGGCTCGGTCTGCATCATAATGAGCACTGCGAATATGTCATTTGAGGCGACTGGCATCTCCTCACTTCTCTTTGCTTCTCTTTGTCCCGATTCACAATATTCACAGCAACGGCTGACTATTCTCACCGGCTGATCAGATAATACTCGTGGCAGGTTAGGTAGCTCGAAGGTCGTTCTGGCGGCTGATAGAACGGTTGAAGTGCATTACAGAGCATTCTGCTATTGAAGCACTGGTCGTCGTCCTTCTATCTTAAGAGCGCAACTCACTTCCCCAGCTACCTCCTACTTTTTCTGTCCTTTTTTTTTTTTTTTTTTTTTTTTTTTTTTTTGATGCCACAACTCATCAAAGGTGGTTGAGGCGGTAATTGCTTTGTAATGTAGGCAAGGATTGATATTTTACTTCTTCAGCACGCAAACCAAAAGACCATATTATTGCAACGGAACTTCATACGAACGCATCTAAACTACGTTCTTTGAATGAGCAAAATGTTATCTGCTTCAATATTCGTCCTTATTTTAGGTGCTATCCGCGGCCTTGGCTGTTGCAGCATGAGATCGGATTGGAGGGCTGCAGGAATGCAATGAACAGGAGGATATGACGAGCAACTTGGGCACGATATAGTTCATAGATCAATAGAAAAATAACAGCACATTTTTATCATTCTAATCAGCCGAACTCATCCATTATGGGAATCAGAGAAAGACGTTCTGGCAGCGTCAAGACTACATTCTTCTTTTTCTGGTGCCGAAAAGGCCAAAAATGGTATTCAGATATCATCTTCATGGAATGTAAAGAGCTGGACCAGAGGCGACGCTGCTTCTCTGGTCAGACGAAGAATGAATAAAAAAGAGGCAAAATATGTCTTTTTCCAAGATTGTGTTGTCATGCATTAATTTGGTCCGCCAGAAAGCAGTTCACGTAAATAAAAGTGGGCCAAATGGGTCATTTGCGAGGTCAAGAGAGTGGTCGAAAGCAAGCGGAAGGTCGAATATGTATCGTAGAACTATATGCACTCGGTTGTCTTTTGCAGATCATTTTCATTTTCAAAAGGCATTAAAATAATATTTTTCGCTATATTTGCCATTAACTCTTGCGCCTTCCGACATAAAAAAACTAAAAAGCAGAAGAGCATTCGCTGTTACCTCAGAATATTCACAACATAGGCCTTTTTTCGCTATCGCTGCTCTAAGGTCTTGCTTGGCTGTATCCATCGTCAATCTTCGTCGTGGCTAATTTTCACTTGCTAAAAATGCTTTAACATGAAAGTAGTACCTCCTATCTTTTCCTTCATCCTTTGTAACCGACAACTCCTTATCGAAATATGGCGCGAGGTATTTTTGATTGCGCAAGAGTGCTACTGAGTTGGAGAATCGTATTACCAATGAGTCGTACTCAAATTTCAAGGGACCTGCTCTTATGGTGGTCACTAAAGTGGGGTTCAGATCCAGAGTGGACATATCGCCGCTGTGGGCCTATCGAGATCAGCACAGAAGGTACGAAGTTATAAAGGTGCACTATGCAGACGATAATAAAGAATAAAGAAAGAGAAGAGGCAGCTTACCGCCTTCCACTCACGCTCGCGCATGGTTATTCATAGCTCTTCAAGCTGAGGATACTCAGTATTAAGAACCAGGAGCCCGATGGCTGTAGAGTTGCCTAACACTACGCGTAACATGTACACATAAAATTCATGTCCTTCAATCGCAAAGAGCGACAGTACACATACAAGCATAGAATCCTGCATGGGACTTATCATACATCCATCACTTTAGAAATGAATTTCAATACGAATGAGCGACGCGTCTTGATTGAGGGCTACCATACGTTCTGAAATTGAGCGGTCAACTCCCTGATTCTAAACTTGCCCGCATTACGAATCCACGCCGCCGAAAGTAGGTCTACTGTTACTGAAGAAATCGATTGAACTGATTGTGTCAGGTGTTGCGCCATACAAACAGTCTGCTACACCCTCTCAAGACACTGAGGCTCTTGAAGAGAGAAGTCTGGGAGTTGAAAAAAAAAAAAAAAAAAAAAAAAAAAGCGTATTCAGTAAGGTGAGTTTGCTAACCCACGTACATATACTCAGAAATGAAAAAAGAGGCGAAAAGTGCACTTTGCAATTTATAATAGCATTATGCGATATCAAATGCAATGCCATGTCCCTTCACTAGTCGTCCAAGTCTTGCGCGATCCAGAGTAGAATGGGTAACGAAGAATCGGTATGGGATGAAAAGAAAGCGTACGGGAGAAAGATAGGACATTATGGATGATCAAAATATGGTTATCATCATCACTTGTGCTATATCGGCGGTTCAAGTGCCTCCCTCCTCACACACATCGTGACTTCAGCTTGCCGGTGGATCAAAAAAAAGCGGCTGCGTAATGTATTTGAGAAGATAGGACCCCTGCCCCCCCCCCTTTTTTTTGTCAGCTGAAAAGGACGGGATAGGTTGAATGAAAGTTTCTCCAATCCAATGAACCTGCTATGGTTTGTCGTCAATCGTGGCGCAAAGAGAGGTCTTTATTCTACAAGCGCATGAAATCTAGGATAATGCTGCCTACATACGATTAAGGTATGGTATGAGGGAGGGTATGCGCGTGCACATTAGTACAAGGGTACAAGACTACAAAACTACATACAAAAATGTGGAAATAATGAATAGGACGAGAACAAAAAAAAAAACAGTGGCAAAATGCGACAACAAAGAAAAAGATGAAAAGATGTGGAGTAAGGCGAAGGAGCGAGGGAAATCATGAGAGCGATTTGATCCAAAAAAAAAAAAATAGAGCGGAATAGCCCAAGTGAATCATTGCGGAATCTCGAGTTCTTTCGAGTTGCGGAGGGCTTCTACCCAGGCGAGCGTCTGGAGCTGTCTACGCTGATGTGTCTGCGCCTCGTCCATGGCCTGGGCCTCTCTTGTGCGCTGCAGCAGGCAAAAGGCCTGGAAGATGCGATAGCGATGAGTGTGGTCCTGGATCATGTGCTGCTGCAACGCCATGCTATGACGAAGCTGTCGCTTATACCGCAGATCGGCCGCGGTGCGAGGCACAACTGTCGTTGTCGAGCTAGTCCAGACCGTCGTTTGGATTTGCTTCGCAAGCTGGGCTGCTTGGTCTGCGTCAGGGGACAAGGGAACTATGGTGGTGGTGGTGCTGTTTGAGCGCGTCATCTGAGATGCACCCTCCGCTGCGTTCATGGTCGCACAGGGCTGATGCGTGTGGAGGGCCTTTGTTGTTTTTGTTGCAGCTACTGCTTGCCGCAGACGCGCTTGGTATTTGAGCCTCAGATGGCGTAGTTTTCTGATCTGAGCAGGACAGGGCAGCGTGATTCTAGCAAGCTCTTGGATGCGACTTCGCCCTCTAGTGGCACTTGACTGGTTCATATTTCCAGCTGCGCCAAAAATCTCTTGAAGATCGAGACGAGGTTGGCTTGTGCCTCTAACAGGAATGTGGATTGTATTGGGGTCGATTTCCAGTTTGGCAATGTCCTCTTCGCTGACTGGGTCGATGCCCTGTGCTGGTCGCTGTTCGGATTCGGCGGTACTGACGGGCTGCAATTGGAGGCGATTGATCTTTTGCAGGTACTGAATATTTTGAATCTGCTGAGCATGGTAGAGCTGCTGCATCTGTACCATTCGCTGAGCCAACTGAAATCGCTTGATGACATGAAGAGGCTGCGGCTGCTGCTGCTGTTGTTGCTGTTGCTGTTGTTGCAAATGCAGAAGTTCGATGTCTCGCACGCGCTGGCAATGCATGATTTGCAGCTGTCGGTAGTACTCGAGTTGTGCGACCAAGTACTGGTGATGAAGCTGGGCAGATTCAGGGCTCGGGAGGTGAAGGGGATGATCTGCTTGCGAAAGCCGCTTACGCATTTGCTGTTGGTACTCCTGGTGTTGTGCAAAACTCGCGCGCAATCGCTGTTCTGCTAAGCATTGAGGGTCGGATCGCCGCTGCATGCTATATGCTGCTGTTGGTGTGGGCTGGGAATCGCTCTTGAACTTTGGCAGCTCGGGTGAGGGAGGCGGGGAGGAAAGGACGGTCGAGACTTGGGGCGACATTGCATTCGAGTCCGTAAATGGAGAGGATGGGGGAGAAGGCGCGGGCTGTTCCTGGGAGGGGAAGGTCAAGAATGGTGAGGGCGAGACAGGGGAAGTGTTCGCATCCAGACTCAGGGATAGAGAGATGTTCATCGATCGATCGAGTGAGAGAGTAAAGACAGGAAGAAGACTGCAATGGAAGAGAGAGAGGGAACGAACGGTAAGTAACAATGGTCAAGAAAAGACGGTCTGAGATGTGAGGAGGGGGGAGACAGTAGGAGATATGGGCTGGGGTATTTAAATGGTCTGTGGAGATTAAGACCTGGCCATAAAAAAGCCAAGGCTGAGAAGAGAAGAGAGGCTGTGCGTGCATGGGAGGGGTGTGAAGACTTCATATAATGCCCTGAAAAGAGAGTAGCGTCTTGGCAGTGCAACACAAGGACGGGATTTTCTTTTCTCGGCATTACATCTGAAGAAAAATAGCCTGCAGGCGAAAAAAGAGAAGAAAATCATTGCTGATGCCCAGATCCGGCTGTTGGCGCGGCAACCCCCCGCCCCCAAAAAAGAGGAGGCCGTGTGTATAGACGTATTCATGTACGTATGAAGCGTACATGAACATGTAGAGTAATGGACGTGTCGATAGATGAGGAAGATGTACGGGTACCTGTTGATGAGCCCTGAAAAAAGATGCGCGAATACAGTACTTGGATCGGGCGAAGGAATGGAGTGGAGCTGAGTTGAGTCGAGGGAGAGGGTGGAGCCACAGACAAATAGAGAGATAGGAGTAGACAGACAGATAGGACGATAGAAAATGGGGGGAAACACCGGGTATTTGTATAGCGATAGACTATGCAGATGCTACACTAGAGTAATCACAGCATGTGGAGACATGGACATGGACATGGTATGCCATGCCATAGGACCAAGTGTTGCAGCCCTGGTGTGTACGAACTGTAGTCCACTGGACTAAACTCAGTCAGGCAGGCAGACAGGGAGACCCTTGCATGGGAAGCAGACTGCGAAGAGAGGTAATGAATAAAGAAAGTCGTTTGTACAACGACGAGTGCGATGCGATGATGTATTTTGGTTACAGTAATCCTATTCTAAAAAAAAAAAAAAAAAAAAGGGCACATGCAGGTCCTTTTCTTTGGACCGACTGAAAAATATAAATTCTTTTTTGGCTCTCAGTCAAAGTCCGAAGAGACCATTGAACAGCACACCACCAATAGACCCTACACTCGCAGAACGATCTTCCTCTACACTCTACGGGAGAAAGAGTACAGTACTCCATCCATCCAATCCAATGCAGTCCAAGCTAATGGAGTACGGCGGCGTCATGATGCTACGGTGGTCCGTCCACTGGTGAGCAAAACACTCAACACACACGGCAATCAAGTCCACATCCATGCATGTAGTTATGTATCTAGCCTACCCATCTGATGAGGTTGCTGCCTGTTGTGTTGCCTGTCGCGCTGTCTGTACTTGAATGCGCAACGCGCTATGTTTTGTATGGAGTGTGTGAAAAAAAAAAGAGAAAACACGAAGTGGCTGTCTGCTCCAAAGGGCTTTGTCGAAATGGTGCCTAGTCCATCTTGCATTGATCTACATCGGTTTCATAGGGACACAGAAGGTCGGGTAGGGCAGAACATAAGCAAAGAAGAGCGAAGAACGCGCTGATTTAATCTACTCCTCCACCTCTTCCTCCCCACTTCCTCTTCGCCAGTGATGTTTTCTGTGGTGGTTTACATAATATGAGAACAGGCAACGGATAATGCGACGTCTCTGGAATATGTACGACATATTCGATTAAATGTATTCACGTAAATCGAGGTATATCGCGTTTAAGTCGAATCGGGATAGGAGGAGAAGGATAGAGTGAGAAAAGAGGCAATTGAGCCGATCGGTGATCTGGCAGTTTCATTCTTTAGTTTGATTGCCGTTTTTAGCAAAATATTCGATCCGCGGACATTCTTTGACACTGGCAGGCAGTTTGATCCCCTCGTTTGCGTTTATGTCTGCAGCTGCGTCTTTTGCAATCACTGTGTCCACTCAGAACAACAGCTCCACCATACATTGTAATCCATCCGGTGGTCCCTGTTCTGTTGTTCGTTGCGATGACATATGTCCGCCCTATCCTGTTCTCCGAATTGATTGCGTTCGTGACCAGCTACACCGACGCGTCCAAGGCGAGGAGTATCGAGCCTGAACCAGTGTGGAGAAGCTACGGGCGGACGATTGGCGTGCTGACGTCGAGTGTGCTTGGCGATCTGTTCAGTGTCCAGTACCAAAACATTTGTTTTCAGTACTCGATTCGCGCTCGTGGTGTTCTCAACAGCCTCATCTACCGCAAAGCCCTATCACAAACATAGGCGGACCACCCTCATTGGCTCGTGAATCACAGTCGCATTGGACCATCATCCCACTTCCCCTTGGACCGCCATATATATCCCTATTGAGCCGCTGTAGCAATCTCGTTGACTCGCTTCAGCTCTCGAGCATCTGTTCCTGGTATGTTTTACTGAAAGTGCTAGTAACTTACAGGTTATGCTGCTGTGCGAGGCATTTTGGGAAGAAGGAAAGGGAATGGTTGACCCATCCTAGGCAATCTTGGGCCGTCACGGTCCCCAGGGCTGTCTTAACGCGGCTCTCGACTGTCCCACCGGACGCGATCGCTCGGCTCCCAAAGTGGGACTTGACCTTGGACCAGCAGGCGCTCTCTGTGTGTGCATGTGAAGAAAGCCGCCTCGGAGATAAAAAGCGATTTCGACGAAGAAACAGAACGTGCCTTGACACCGGTTGACCAGTCATTCATCTGCCAACATGGATACTAGCCACGTAAGTGTGGTTGTAACAAGAGCTCCAGCTCGTGAAGGAGCAAGCTGCGCAGAAGAACAAATCTGACGTCAAACAAAGAGAGCAGGCAGGTCTCCCACGCCGCTCCACTACGGACTTCTCCACAACCTCGACTCAAAACACACGGGCGTTGTTCCTGCTCCCTCGCCTTATTTTCTGCTTTCCCGCACATCCCCTTTTTTTCTCGAGTTTGCGGCAATAAGAGTTGTTGGCTCTTTATTGATCCCATGGCTTTCTGCCGAACACTCGAACATTTTTGTTGACAGTGAACACGTATTGGCGTCAACAATGTGCAAAGGTGCCGAACAAGATATGCCTTCGAGGGATCCTGGTGAGCAATGGCCGCGAACGACTAAAACATATTGTTTCGAGTAGTGGGTGTGACCTTTGATGGGGGACCAGTATCAAACATTTCCTCCTCATCATCGTCGTATTCAATGCGGGGAGGCGTGTTAAGCAAGACCTCAGTGTCAATGCCATCCAAGAAATTCTGGGAATAAAAGAGACGCGACTTAGTGTACTGCGCTTCATGATTCATTACTTTGCCTCGCCATCTCTCTCTTGTTCACCGTAAAAAACTTGCCACGAGAGACGCCAGCAGGCGCAAACACGAAGGAATACGACCGGTATCGTTTTGATCGCAGGGCAAGTAGGCGAAGCATGACTGACACCAGTGGTAGACACCATTCCTGTAAATCATCGTGTGAAGCGTCACTTTGTGTCCTATAACGATGACAAAAATGGTCAGAAAAGCTCGAGCTCAAAAAAAAAAAAAAAACGCACCAGCTCTGTGACCTCCACTTACCAAAAACTTGGACAGCGGCCACCTTGCGAATATCAAATCCTTGGCCAAAGTGTGAGTTGATCGAGTCCTTGCAGAAGTTTGCAAGTTTTCAATGGTCCTCTAGGAACATGCGCGCGTGGTGCCCTTCCTTGAGAGGCTTGACCTCAACAAAAGCAATCTCCCTGCAACCTCGGCTGATGATCGCGTCTGGCTTGTACCCATTCTTTCGACGTTCCTTGGGGCCTTCTGTCTCTTTGTTGGCCCAATCAAGTACGTACTTGCCCTTCTTCGGGAAGTAGAGTGAGAAAAGAGTGTCCAAGGCGGCGTGACAAAAGGTATCCTCTAAATCTTTCTCGAAGCAATGGTACTCCAGGGAAAGCTTCAGAGCCCTAATATACATGAAAGACAAGAAAGGAAACGTAAACGATACCGCTATCATAGTCATATTATATCCCGCACCTAGGAGTGACAAGATGTACTTACAGCATCTCGTACAGCAGCTTGACGAACTTGAGTTCCTTGGTGTTAACGTCCACGTCAAAATTTACTCCATCGGACAACTGCTGATCAAGAGTGGCGCAAAGCTGGATGACATTAGAGCTCAGCGTCGCGCGTGGCCATGCGTACAATTGTCGGAGCTTCTCGTGCACGGTTGGCTGGACTCCAGGCAAGCTCTTCGACATGTCCCAAATATAATTGAGGGATCTAAAGAGAAAAAACATGAAACAAGATAATCAAGACGCTCTGTTCTACCACAATATTTATATTGTCTTTGAACAATCCAACCAAATCAAGCACTTACAAAAAGTTGTGGATATTCTCCAGCGTAGTTCTTTTGTCAAAGTCGCTCACAATGTCGATCGCGATCAGTTGAAGGTTATGGAACGATCGCCCAACATTGATGGATTCGACCAGGTACTTGTATGTGCTCAGAGAAGCAGAATTGACGTAAAGCGCGGATACATCAGCTGGATCCACAGGGGAGAGTGATGACCTGCGTCCATGGTCGTGTCGCGGACGAGGCGATGATGGAGACACAGCGGAGTTGTTGCGTGAGGCAGCGGATGGCAACTGCTGGACTGTGCTGCTGATAGATCTATTGACCATCAGATCTGCAAGGTAGATAACAATGAAAACAAGAGTCAGTACAGCTAACGTTAGGCTTCCCAGAAGCATGAGTACTGCCTATCGTACATAGACATACCCTCCGAAATTTTCTTGATACGTGCCCGTACACATGCCCGAGGTCATTCCAAACCACCAGGTTGCTTCCCCTTGGAGCCTAAGTAGGAAGATTGTAGTCTTAGGATGAATTACAATCCGAAGCATGGATATTTGGATGTGAAAATTGCGGATGAGTCTTACCAGGGGAAGGGCTGCCAATGGCTGGTTCTTTCGACTTCGCAGCAGGCTCCTTGGATGAGGCCAACAATGGCACACTTGATGACTTGTGCTCGAGGCGGGTCAATTTCACGGCTATTCGGAAGCGGATCGAGTCGTTCTGGTTATAATAATAACGACAGCTTTCCGGCCAAAGAATGAAGCATGTAGCTTACCAACTTCCACGAAGACATGTGCTGTGCTAAGCTTTGACAACTCTTGTTCTTACTGTCGGACATTACGCATCATCTCGGTAATGTGCTCGCGCTATATGCCACAAAGGAATAAAGGAATTGTTACATAACCTGTAGAGTCCTCGTCAGAAAGTCGCTGGCCCACATATTTATGAGCCCTTTCAATTGAATTGAATACACCCCTTTTTGGGAACATTTTTCACAAGACACCGCGGTCGCGTCTAGTAGTCCACTTGTCACCTATGGCTCTGTACCTTCGCCGGCGCCGTCATCTCTTTCATAATTGAGAATATAGTCAAAGACATACATGCAGAGTGGATGCGCCTGGCTGTCAGCTTTGTACGTGAAAAAGACAACCGTATTTACTGAATTGACCTAACTATTTTAAAAATATGTGGACCCGCGACTTTCTGACTGACAATATTGCCGGGCTCTTGGTTCGCACACTTACCGTCGCCAACCCCTCGTCGATAATTCTGTTGAGATCTTCGATTTTCTCTTTCGCCAGATGGGCACCAATACGCTTCTTGCTCGTGTCATTATGCGTCGTCAGGTATGGCAAGATCTTTCCCGTCCAAAGACTAATCAGTCGTTCTTTGCTTTGAATGTCCGGAAACTTCTCCATGAATGTCCTGAGTGAAATGCGTCGTGCCGCCGTCTCATCATAAAAGCGCTTATAGTCGACAGGATTGGCACCTCTTTCTTGTGGTTGTGGAGTATGTTCCGATTCCTCGTGCAGAATGACAGTAGACAAGATGTTAGTTTCACGAAGGACAAGGCTGATCTTCAACTCGTGGAGTGCGCTCGAGAAGGTTTCGATCAAGAGAATGCACGCTCAGATTACGCTGGAAGACGCACAACCAGCACCCAGGGGCCATCACCGTCGTCCCCCACTTGTCATAGGCAGGGAATGTTGACAGCTACAGAAACCGGCGCGTGGATCACAGCCTCACACATTCTCCTCATAACCGAAAATGTGCATAGCAATTCTCAAGGCGTTCCCCAAGAGTCTGACCAGGAGTGTTGGGGGCCCCGTCCAATCGGAATCGCGAGCAACATGGCAAGTGGAAGGAGAATGGACGCTCCATTACACAAGAAGAAGCACTACTTGTTTCCTTATCCATCACCAAGCTCCATTCCTTGCCGTAACGGAATGAGAGTTGGCTGCGAAATGCATGCATTCCGCGCTGGGTGGACCAGCTTCACACACCGCGTTTTCCGCATCGCGCATGTGCATATCCATCCACAGAGCTTTCCCCAAGTGTTCGGCTAGGAGGGCTTGGGGACCCTATCGTCCACATTATTTTGCCATGGTGCTCTTTCCCTAGTCTCCAAACACAGCAAATTACATAAAACGTACCTTGGAGGACATGGCGCGTAGTGGAAGATGAAAGTTCGACGCCCTTTGTCTGATGCATGAACCGTCACAATGGTGGCAAAAGACACACGCTGACACGAAAAAACAGTGGCAACACCTTCTCCCTCATTCCTCATCAGCTCTCCTTCACTTGTTCTCTTCCCTCATTCCCTTCTTTCTACTCAACACATCCACTCACTCAGTTACTCATTCTCTCGTTCAACCGCGCACCATCACCCAGCTTCACGTCCATCATGTCTCAGCTCAACCTCTTTTGTCTAGTCGATGGTGAATCCACGTCGAGAGCCTTTCCGCTGTCTGTTCCTTCGACACAAACGGTCGGTGGCCTCAAGAAGCTCATCAAGACCGAGAAAACCATTGCCTTCAGCGACATTGATGCAGACGAGATCACGCTCTGGCGCGTCTCGATTCCACTTACGGGTGACGACGATGAGCATCCAGATCCTCGACACTCTGAATGAGAAGAGGAAACTGCGGTCAACGACTCGCCTCCTCAGGATCTTCACAAAAGAGCCGGCTGAAGAAGCAATCCACATTATTGTGCAGCGACCTTCGCGAGGTAATGCAGCCTTGCTTTCTACTGATTAACTCTTTCTCATAGTGTGTCCATTACATGACGACTAATGTAAATATATGTACTCCATGCTCCTATGCTCCCTTTTGTTCAGCCCAATCGCCTCCTGTCAGCGATTACATTTCTCAGAAGAGGCCAACTGTTGAAGGTGAGAATTCTCCTAAAGGCTTTCGTGTATATGATTCCTGTTGACTTCGTGCTATGTCTAACCATTTATTATTATGAAATAGAACTGGATTTGCCGAGCAACAAAAAAATCCGTATAACCGAAAGCTGGAGATAATATACGGCCTCTGATGGAAAGGTTGTAGATTTGCCTCATCCTTGGATCGACTTACTTGCGAGCTCCGAATTCGAACCCGAATCGCGAATAGCATTTGATCACCTCAAGGACGACCTTCGAGCTGGCGACGCAATCATTATACCGAGTATGGGTCAAAGTCCCAAGGATTTTGGACTTCACGGCCATGGTCGCACACTTTTCGTTACGGAGCAAATGCTGAAACTTTGAGAGGATATGCGTGGCGGCCAAGAGCGTACATACAGACGAGTCCTGTCCGGTCCGATAGGCGTTGGCAAGTCGTACCTCTCTTATTTTCTCGCAGCAAAGGCGTATGCTGAAAGATGGCTCGTCCTCTACATATCAGATGCAGGACTACTGGACACGAAAAGGGAGGGCGAGTCAGAACTGGAGGTGGTCAAGCGATTCCTGGCACTCAACAAGGACATTTTGACCGGCGCCGAGTTGGAGATGCTTGTAAACGACTACGATGGCACACAGAGCCTATCAACGAACGCCATTTGGGTAATCTTCCGAACGCTACTTATGACGAGGGATCGAAAGACACTGTTGCTTGTTGACGAGCATGGAAAATTGTTCGAAAAAGAGCCTTACGTGCCGGTAAAGTTCAAGTCGCTGAATCCTCTGTTGTCGTACCACTGGTGGGGAGAAGACGCCAAGGGGTCCCGGGTGATTTTCACAGGCACCGCGCACGCCAAATACGAAATGACTATCCTGGACGAAAGCTATAGGCGAAGTCAGTGGTTTTTGTAGGACCCTTATCAAGGAATGTATTCTCCAACCTGCTGGACACGTATCCTCGCCTGAGAACACCAGCCATCAGAAGAGAAGTGACAGAAATCACGAACTGTGTGCCGCGGGAACTTGTGTATCTGTCAGCTGACGCCGAGGATCTCGACCCAATCTCCATGGACGACCTTCAAAAATGGACGGAAAGCCGAACCAAAGATTTCCTATCAATCGCAAAGACGTACTACGGCAGTCGCACTCCGTTTAGGAAGGAACGATTCTACAAAGCCCTCCTACAAACGTTCCTTGGCAGCACTAGCGCAGTCGATTTCGAATGGGACTTCATGGATCTAGGACTCGTTTATCGGAGCAAGGATGTCTCCCGGATTGGAACTCAGTACCACATTTTATGCCGCCCCGCCCAGAAGGCTCTTCTTGAGCTGTTCAAGACGCTTCCACTACCTGAGGATACCAAGAAACGAATTTGAGACGGCACTGTGTCATCAGCTCATATGTGCCACCAAACCAATCGTGCTCAATGCGACAGATCTCAACGGCAGAAACCCGACTATCATTTCACTGGATTTTTCCCACTGTGATACCCTCCAAATCGACAGGACTTCTCTTGGATCCGGCCACGAAAACGTTCTGACCCGCGGCTACGAAGGATATCCTCGGTTTGACTTCATGCTTGGACCGCTGTTCATTCAGGCATCCATCAGTGACTTTGGACAACACAATAAGAAGGACTCGGCAGATATCCGCAAGGCCTTCAACGACAGGGATAACGAGGGAACGAATCAGATTGAGCGTTACCTAAATGATATGTTTGGTCCCGGTCACTCCGCGAAGATAGAGGACAACAGGTTTGTTATCACCAGGGACGGTGTGCCTGTGCCTGGATTTCGTATAGTCTACATCCGTGGCTCTCCCGGCAAACCTGCGCACCGCGAGTGGGTTGACAAGCTCCCTGATCTTCTACATATCACCTTTGAGGAACTCACGGAGAAACTTTTCAAGAATATAGTTAGTCAGTCCTCCAGGGAGTAGAACTTTAATGCCTCCTCCAAATAATCCGAATGTGCATTGCCACGTTTTCTTTGCCACCGCTCCCATCCCTTTCCTTTGCTGTAACTGTGGAGAAAATAAAAAAGAGGAGAAAGTAGCGAAACATGGAAGCAGTTTTTCACGGTAGTGTATAAACAAGGCCCTACGTTCACTACAACACGTTTTTGCCTCAGTCTTTATTCATCAAAAAGTGCCCATAAACACTACACGCTCACTGCGTCGTTGCAATCAAAATGCCGATTCCTAGGACTATCAACAACGCATTCGAGGTGTGTATTTCAAAGCTGTCTCTGGAGCAAACACATATTGCTTGTATATGAGCATAGTGTCCTCAGCTGTGCTGATAGCCACATCTGAATTCTCACCATGTTAATCTAACCTATCTAAGCGCCGCCCACGTCGGCCAGGGCGTTTGTAGCTGAGGCAAAGGTTTCTTCCAGGACTTTAAGGATTTCCTGAACAAGAGCAATGTCCTCGATCTGGCCGTAACCTTCATTCTCTCGACTGCACTATCCACAGTTGTCAAATCGCTGTAAGCGTCTGGCACTCTCTCGGAGGCACTCCTGACACTTTGCGAGAATCGAAATGCTGACACCTTCTTCATATTCAACGTCGAGGATATCATCACGCCCATCTTCGGTCTAGGCGACAACAGAAGCTTGGAAATACCTCTAGTTGCAGATATACCACTAGAGCCTCTGCCAGTTGGACGGAGCAGGTTCATACAAGAAGATGGGGCGAAGCAATTTCTCCATGTTTTTTCTTGGAGTCTAATACCCTCCATATCGCAAATAAAACGCTTGGATGATGAATAGTAACCTGGAACTGGGGTCGCTTCCTCAATACTATCATCTACTTTATCCTTATCGGTCTCTTATTGCTCATCATCGTCAAAAGTGAGTTTCTAGATATCCGTGTTATATGCTACCGCTGCGATCGTGTGTTCCTTGAGACCTGGACGTCGTATACTTAGTACCTCTTCCCTTCTGCTCACAGTGTCTATGTTTTGAGACGAAAAACATTTGTCAAAGACAAGGCCTGTGAGTACTGTGGCAGGGCTGCCATCATTGCACTTCCTGGCTCTATCAAGATGTCCGCCGCAAGGTCGACAGCGACTTCAGCTGCGGATTTTCACGTCCGGCACCCTTGGAACACAAAGCGCCCTTATGAGAGAAAGCCCGCTAAGACCAATACCGGTATCGGGTCGGTACGCAGTCGAACGTAGATGGCATTTCCTATGCGGATCAACAAGCGAACTGGCGGACCTCAACAGATAGGCCTAAACAACAGCTACATAAGCGAAGAAGACCAGACCATGAACGGGATCCGCCAGCTTCGCACCTAAACAGTCAGCCCCAACACCCATGTTCTCTGATTTATTCATTTAATGTTAAACAGTGTGCTTCCCTCATTTTTCGGAGCTGTGCTTCCTTCCATTTTTTTTTTTTTGGAAGTCTATGTGTAATTTGTACGAGGCAACTGTCTATCTTGACGCCCAGCGGTCCAGTAGCCCAGCAGTGCACCCCGCAAGTGAGGAAACACGCTCAGTCCTCTGCGTCAGACATGCCTGCGCTTAACCCCGGATGATCCTTGCTGCCCTGTGCTTCCTTTCTTCAGTGCGTGTGTGGGCAAGTGGATCTCGAGGTCCCCCGAGCAGCGAGTCGTCATGTGACAGCCAAAGCTGGCTCCCCTATTCCCTTTTTCGCCTTTCCAAGCTGTCAGCCAGCTATTGCGACCTTCAGCCCTTCCTTATCCTCTTTCCTCATCATTCCTATCCCTCTCCTGTCCTACAGCACCTTTTCTGTCACTCGCCTTCACTTCTGCTCTTTGTATCGCAGATCGCGTTCTCTTTTCCCCGGACACGAATGCAAGCAGTCTCACTCTCTCAACAGGTACGGATGCTTACCATCTGTATGCACACTCAACCCGTGTTTCCACCACCAAAAGCGAATCCACCTTCAAATCAGACGCGTTCTTGTATTCACATTTACTTTCACTGTTGTTTGTCCTCCTTGCTTCAATGCAACACAGATCGCAGCGGTCGTTGTCGAATCGGCTTCGTACATTAGCGCGCTCCCATTCCCGCTTGGCGTAGCTGCAAGCCGATCGCATCACCACGTCCGCAATGCAACGTCAGCTGTCAAGGCTGCAGCACCCAGAAATGCCGCATCGATTGGGCATAGCCAGGTACAGATTCCTGAATGCCTGAGATTAGCGGCCGAGACAAGCACGCTGTCACTCTCGACCCTCCACCAAGCAGTCGTCGCCCTGGAAAAGAGCCCCCGCGCCGTGACCGCGGCCCATGTTGAGTCGCTTCTTCAACAAGTCAAGGGTGTGTGCTTTTGTTGATTCTCCAAGGGGTGTATCTGCAAACAGATCGCGGAATTGTGGAGGATCTTCAGCCTTTGATACCTGTGTCAGGATACCACCGGGATCGTCCGGCACGATTAAGCAGCACAACTCATGGAAAATTATCATGTTTTTTCTCACTGGGGTAGATCAATTAAGGCAACTCGGCGGACGTCATCCCACCTCATCAACCTCTGTTCCTGCCATTTCCCCTCCTGTTGCCTCAAGAGGTGCCTCAAGGGTATGGCTTCAAGGTATGTTCTGGATATAAGGCTACATGGCGCCTAATATCACTGCCATTTCCAGACGACTTTATGGCATACTTATCAATAGCATTCTCCATATCTGTCTTATATAGGTGGACATACTTCAGATTTGCACTTTTTGCACCACACGCCTTCAATATCATCCGCGAATAACCGAACTTTTGCACGCACTGGACACGGATGCCGCAATTACTCCTCCTTCCGGTTCATCAATCAACGCAAGCTGCAGAAACTGGAAGCTGAAGCTATGGCCAACCCAAATAACGCGGCAGCGCAGGCTGAGTTTTACAAGGTATGTGGTTCATGCCTGTAGCGGTCCAGCAATGCAGCGACAAGTCCCACGCACTGTTTCTGTTGACTGGCATCCGACCACTAATTTTGTACGGTTTTTGCATTTTCAGGAACTGCTGCGAATTGACGATTACGGCGCCATCATATCACGGTTCGAGTCAGGCAAATTCGCTAATTCAGAGACGTCGTTGCAGTACTATGCAATTGCCCTGGCACGGACCAACCAGGCAGAGCAAATTGTGCCAAAGATTCTTCAACGACTTCAGCGTCAACCCCTTGCAACAGAATCAGAGGCATTGATCAGCAATATTGGACAAGGAGTTCGACGTGCCAACAATCTTGGAGCTATGGAAAACGGTGTCACTAATGGTGGTGCGGCAGTCGCAGATGCATTGGCTGGAGCGGGCAACAAGGGCAATCCTATTTATGTGGTAATGGACGACAGCAAGAGTAAGTACAACCCTCGGTGCGGAATTGTCCGTGACGGGCATGTAGATGTGGATATGGACAGCACCACTAACATCTATTTTGCCTTTGTGCCATGTTATGCTAAAATAGCTACCAAGAGCTACATGCTATGGCGAGGCCTGCGATGGCTCGGGATAACTGTTACTTACGCGTTTTGCATCCTGACCTTCCTGTCGCTCGTGTTTGAGAACTCAGGATTGCTCAAACCCCCACCCAGTCAGACGGAATTTGAACCATCCGCGGACAATAATGTCAAGTTTTCAGACGTCCAAGGCGTGGATGAATCAAAGCAGGAGCTGGAGGAAGTAGTCGAGTTTCTGAAGGACCCCAACAAGTACAACCAACTCGGGGGAAAGCTGCCTAAAGGTGTTTTGCTTACAGGTCCTCCAGGTACGGGCAAAACTATGCTGGCCAGGGCTGTGGCAGGAGAAGCAGGCGTTCCATTTTTCTTTATGAGCGGAAGCGAGTTTGACGAGATGTATGTCGGTGTTGGCGCCAGAAGAGTGCGGGAACTATTTGGTAAGTTGGCTCCAATATCATGTTCATGAGAACCCATTTGATGCAAGCGCTCTCTACAGAAAGCTAACTACATTTGGGAATTGTTGGTTTTGGTATAGCTGCTGCAAGAAGTCGGGCACCCAGTATTGTTTTTATTGATGAGCTCGATGCTATTGGAGCAAGACGCAACCCCAAGGACCAAACATATATGAAGCAGACGCTGAACCAGTTACTTGTCGAGCTAGATGGGTAAGTTCACGGACAATGCAGTAAACCCTCGGACTAATGCTTGAAATATACAGAGACTAACTCCTGCGTTTTGATAACATGACGGTGCTTTAGATTTTCGCAGACGGAGGGAGTCATCATTATTGCCGCCACCAATTTCCCAGAGCTGTTGGACAAAGCTTTGGTACGACCAGGTCGGTTTGATCGCCATGTCAACGTACCATTGCCGGATGTTCGAGGACGAATGCAGATTTTGAAGCATCACCTCAAGAACATCAGCACCAGTCCAGCTGTGGATATCTCGGTCATTGCAAGAGGTACCCCTGGATTCTCTGGAGCTGATCTAGCCAACCTCATCAATCAAGCTGCTATTCAGGCCTCTCGGGAGGGCGTCAGTGAGGTCGGTATCAAGCAATTTGAGCACGCAAAAGACAAAATCTTGATGGGCGTCGAGCGTCGCAGCCAGGTTGTCACCATGGAGTCCAAACGTTTGACAGCATATCATGAGGGAGGACACGCTTTGGTGGCACTCTACACACCAGGCGCGATGCCTCTTCACAAAGCAACGATCATGCCTCGTGGAAATGCCTTGGGGGTGACTGTACAGTTGCCAGATATGGACAAGGATAGTTACACGAAGAAAGAATACCTGGCTCAAATCGATGTTGCCATGGGAGGACGTGTGGCCGAGGAGATGATCTTTGGACCCGAGAACGTAACAAGCGGATGCTCCAGCGACATTGTCCATGCGACTAAGGTGGCGAAGATGATGGTTACCCAATTCGGAATGAGCGATAAAGTGGGGCCAGTGGCACATGTTGAGGAAGACATGGCTGTACTTTCCACACCCACAAAACTGCTGATTGAATCCGAGACCAAGGGACTCATCGAAGCTGCCCAGACGCGAGTGATATTGCTATTGAAGACACACAAGGAGGAGCTCCATCGTCTAGCCAAGGCCCTTGTGGATTATGAGACTTTGACACAAGAGGAGATTCGACGGGCGATCGAAGGCAAACCTATTGTGCGCTAGGAGGAAATGGTGGAGAAAGCTTTTTTATTTTTTCCATTGTATTCCATCGTTTATAAGTAGGAGTTGAGCCATAGAAACGAATAGTACGCGTACACTCCATTCCATTGCATCTGTAGGGTAGTTTTTCTGGCTATGCTACAATTTTATTGAATGGTTTAAGACGCGGGGATGGTGTAGTAAAATTACATGTAACTGATTGAGAAAAGACGAAAGAAGGATGCGGAGTAAACTTTTTCGTTATCATACGCCTGCATCGGAGGCAGAAACCACCTTGTAACCGTCTGAGGTCCTTTGACGTCCATGATTCTGACCGCCGAGAACGCTAGAGCGTATGTTGGCTGCACGGCCGCTTCGGATGACACCCGTGCTCTCACTTGACCGGGTCTTTTGTGGCATGGCCCTTGATGACCGATCTGCAGGGATGCCATCGAAGGTGTCCATCAATAACTCAGCAGTCTCATCGAATCCATATCCGTCACTGTACATACTTGCAAGCGCTGCGCCCTGCTGTGAAAGATGATGTCCACTGTTGGCGCTGTTCTGGTTGCTGTTGTTGCTGCTATTACTGCCGCTGCCTGAGCCGTTATTGCTGCTGCCAGGGTTGCTGTTGCTGTTTGAGCTGTCGCTCCTGTTGTTAGAGTTGCTGCCCTGACCGTCTCCAGATCCGGACTGTTGGTTGCTGGCTCCGCCCAGCAGGATAGGCTCCATCTCCTGTTGCATGCAGACGTATTCGCCACCAAAAATCATGATCCCGGCAGTGGTACCATTGAGGGCCCACCAGAGGAAGGTGGTAGGGAGGTGATCGGAGTAAAGGGATGTCATGATAACGTGGTAGAGCAGCAGTGTGAGCGAGAAGTCAAGGACCAGGCGTGCACGCGCGACGATCTTTAGCAGCAGGTAGACCCTACAGAACGGAAGCGGAGGGTTGACAGCATGAATAGGATACTTATTGGTTAACGAGCCATTGAAAGGAAAGTCGACGTTACTGCAGTTACTGTTGCTGTTTGTCATCTTACCCGACAACAGAGTTGAGTAGCCAGGCCAGACCCAGGAGCATTCCTTGGGCATTATCGGCTCGGATCTCGCGGTAATTAAGGATAGCATCGAGAGTGATGTCCGACCCTGAAAACTTGAAGAGAGTGAAGACGATGGTGGAGATGGAGGTGTACCAGATAGCTTGTAAACAGACGATTTGCGACTAAGAAAGTGGAGTTGGCGAGTTAGAAAGACGAAAGGAGGAGTGTACATGTTAGTGGCTTTATATATCGCAGGAGCAAAGTCGAGTCTCATTTAAGTCAGAGATGACTTTACAAGAATAAGAACGGGATCCCATTGCGTGGCTCGGAATGACGAGTTGTTGGATGCCATGTGGGGTCGTGGTCGTGTCCTTGTCTTTGTCCTTTCTGTTGCAGGTCGTGTTATGCTCGTGTTGAGTATAGGGAATGAATGTGATGGTAGTGGATGATGGAATGCTACATGGTCTCCCGTTAAGAAACGTGGGAGACAGTGGCTTGAATTACTCCTGCGCTGGAAGACCGTTGGCTGCTCCTTATTCGTTTCTCAAAGTGTGCCATCATCCCTTTCCTCCTCGCACTTCTTTCATCACCCTTTTTTCCTTCCCTCCACTTCGCACCCAACCTTGAAAGGGAAACAAAACAGGAAGAACGTCATGTCTCAACTAGAACGTCGTCGTCCTACTGGGGATGCCTCCGCGGGAGCCGGCAGTGACAACACCGACGGACAGCCTGCTTCGACCGCAAACACCTCAACAGCAGGAGCAGCAGCCCGCAATGGTCAAGGACAGCAGCAACCGCAGGAGCAAAAGCAGACGCTCACCCAAACTCTTTCACAGATGCTTCTGCGCGCCATGATGGCCTATGCTGTCCTCACCTTTTTCAACGGAGGTATGTGAACAGCAGATCTACAACCTACCCTCAACGTTTCTCAGGATGAGATTTTTTACTGGCAACTAAAGAGCACCCTTCTGATCTATGGTTTCCATGATACTTGGACTGTAGGTTTCAGTGGAAAGAGCCAGGCACCATCACCCGCACCAGAATCGATTGTGACCACGACGACGGGTCCTGAGGGTGTAGTGCAGCAGGCCTTTCCTCAGATGTCCTTTGAGCCGCCAAAGCTCTACCCACTTTGGGCACCTAAAACCAAAGCCGTAAGCCATCATTTCTTTTTTTTTCAGGCAAGCGTCATGCTCCTAGCGATTTGGAAAACAGTGTGCTGATATGGTACTCCGTCTCTTATTCTCAACTCCCAAGGATATGTTTGTCTATCTTTCTGAGGAGCACGATTTCAAAGACTTTGACAACAAGGACAACCTCGTCTGGCGATCCAACGATATTGAACTCGGTGATTGGAGCGAGGACCGCGTCGTGGATCTTTCAATCGTCCCCTCCAAGGCGAGTTCATTTTTTAGAGTTCATTTTTGGTGCTCTCTTGTTGCACCAGGAAATTCGACTCTGTTATCTTGACCGATCACAAAAAAAAAACGTGCAGAAATTTCGTCCGCTAACCCTCAAATGCTTCTTCGTTCTTCTTTGTAATAATACCTTTGTCGAAATAACAGCATGTTCAGAACAATGGTACCCTATATGCCCATATCTACTTTGCGAAGCAGCCTGCGATCCTCGATCCTACTTCTGCAGGCTTCAGTGCCGACAATCGAGTGTACACCCGCAAGAGTAAGGATTCGTCTGTGAAACTGAGTTAAAAATACACAGCGCAAGGGTAGGCATGCTTCACTCTCTGTTCAGGGCTAATATCCAGGCTGGCCTTTGTAATATTTTAGTGCTGACCCGCTACTACCCCAAGAAAAGGGAGTTTAAGGTCAAGAAACTTGTTGGCGGCAAGCATGAGGAATCAGAATCCGGGAAGCAAGGAGTGGAAGACGTAATGAAATACCTTTGGACCTAAGAATTTCCGATTGTATGCTAAAGAATTCGCGTGAAGATGGAGATCTTAACTTCTCTATGATTTGTATTGCCGTCATAGACATCCGCCCCTGCCTCAACCATTGTCCCATACTGGCACCAGAACCTTACGCTTACCGTGTTGTCCGATCGCACCGTTGTTCCATATGCGGGAATCCCTCCAGAGCTGAAAGGAAGTATGTTCCTGGCATAGTGTTTCGTATCTATGATGAGCTGCTGAGCGCGTGCTGACCTAGTTTCTTTTGTTAATGTGCCTAGTGTATCAATTGGAGAGTACGGGAATGCATGACCAGCAAGGCAATGGATTCGTGCTCCCAGCTCTCTACGTAAACGACTTTTGGCTTTTGAAAGAGCAGATGACCCTCATCAACAGCACTGTCAAGTAAGACATGGTCCTTTTGGTTTTATTAGTGTTGTGACCTTGCGGATGATACTGTTTTTAACAACAACCAATTGCGTCAACCGTTCGCTGCTATAGAGAACTTCCTTTGAGGATCAACTTCTATCCGATCAGCTACATGAAGCTGCAGATGTACGCCTCTATGGATATCGGCATGAAGCGACAGACTGGAATGATGGGAAGCACCGGTGGGGAGTTGGATGAGGTCAAGCGCATGCTGATTGAGACCAACCCGTACCTCTTGATCTTGACAGTCATTGTCAGCTGCTTGCATAGTGCCTTTGAGATGCTTGCATTTAAGAATGGTAAGCACCAAAGAAGTGGACGGCGGATTAAGCCTATTGTCTTTTACTTAAACCACATATTCTAATGCAATTGACGTCCTCTTTACTCGATTAGATATTGCCTTCTGGAAGGACAAAAAGGGCACAGCAGGCCTGTCAGTGCGTTCGATCTTCTTAGACATTGCGCAGCAGATTATCGTCTTCGCGTACTTGATGGACAACAACCAGGACACCAGTTACATGATTCTGATCGGACAGGGTATCGGTCTCGCAATTGAGCTGTGGAAGGTCAAGAAGGCGCTCAAGATCGACATCGTTCCTGCCACCTCTGGGTTCCTTCCTTACCGCCTGCACTTCAACACCTCAGAACCCCTGACGGATTTGGAGTCAAAGACCAAGGAGTATGACGAGGAGGCGTTCAAATACCTGTCCTGGGCGGCCTTCCCATTGCTAGGCTGCTACGCCGTGTACTCATTGCTGTATCAGGAGCATAAGTCGTGGTACTCGTTCATTGTGAGCACCCTGGTTGGGTTCGTGTATACATTCGGGTTCATCAAGATGACACCTCAGCTGTTTATCAACTATAAACTGAAGAGTGTGGCGCACATGCCGTTTAGGACGATGATGTACAAGTCGTTGAATACGTTTATCGACGACTTGTTCTCATTCATTATCAAGATGCCGATGCTGCATCGTCTGGCGTGCCTTCGTGACGATATCGTGTTCTTCGTCTACCTGTACCAGCGATATATCTACCGCACGGATCATAGCCGCGCCAATGAGTTTGGACAAGTCGGCGACGAGGAGCCAAGCGAAGAGACCAAGCCGTTGTTGGAGGCGCAGGAGAAGATTGAGTCCAAGAAGGACAAGTAAAGCAGCTAGCTATACCTTCAATTCACTTTTCTAGACCTCTGTTTACTCGATTAAAAAAAAGTATTCTTTAATGGCATGTCTTAGTAGCCACCCTTGCGGTACACCTGGGTCCACTTGCTGACGATGTAGTCACCAAAGTTGATGTCGCCGTTCAACAGCTTGGTAGCGACCGATCGTGCATCCTGTCCGTCAGTGTCCTGAGCAGTCACCGTCGATCCTCCCTCGTCGTCACGCTGATCACGGAGGAGACTGTAGTTTCCAGAAGCAGCCTGGCCACTGACCTTGTCCTGGACCAGAAGCGGGATCTTGGCGGCGTAGTCTGGGTAGTAGAAGCAGCACATCGAATATCGCTCCTCTTGTCCGTTGCTAACGACGCGGTGCAGTGGGCTGATCAACTTGCCTCCAGTCAAGAGCGAAAGATAGTCGCCACCGTTGACGACTAGTGTGTTCTCGAGCGATGGAACGTCATGCCATGCGTTATCGTGGAAGAGTTGGAGGCCGACGGTCTTGGAGGGCGAAAGGATCAATGTGAGGAAGCCCCAGTCCGTGTGGGCGCTAATTTTTTTTTTTTTTTTTAGCCGATCGGAATAGAAGTATATTCGTTACTCGACGACGCAAACAAGGTCATAATAGTTCCCACGATCATTCTCTCCGGCATCAAAACTCTGTTTTTGTTATGATCCTCGGTTTTTACCTGGATCCGATCTGGGCATCATGGGCTTGATCGCCATAGGGCAAATAATGGAATAACCGCATGAACGAGATCGTCTCGCTCGTCGTACAGTACTTGGCCAGTTCTTCCTCCGGCAATGCCAAGGCCAACGCGATTCCCTTGAGCAGACCTTTGGCAACCTCACATACATTCAAATAAAACTCCTGCAACGTATGCTTAAACGCGCCCCTTCCGCGTTCTTCATCCAATCGGTCCAACGTCTCCTGGGTAGGCCAGGCATTCGGACCCTGCAATCCATTCAACCCATCGTCCCCCTTCGCCTTTCGGGCTTCCAATTCTGCAACGGGCCATTCGTATCCATACGAGAATCCTTCCTTGAGCTCCTTGGTCTTCGAGCCGGATTCGCCACCGATGGGGACGTACCCACGCGTGAACCCACCCGGTTGGATCTTGGGAATCTGGGCCTTTTGAGCGTCATCGAGGGCAAAGAGGCCTTTGGTGGCGTTGAGAATCTCCTTGGTTTTCGAGGAGGAGAAGACGGGGTGGGTTGAGGAGGTGATGTAGAAGACGCCATAGGTCGTGAAGGCGTTCAGGAGCGCGACGGCGACCTCTTGGCGCTGGACGACTGTTGAGCTCCGGCCGAGGAGTGGGGTAATGTCGATGGTTGGAATTGCGATGGTGGACGACATTGTAATTCGCTTTTTGTGGAGAAGAGAAGCGTGGGAGGATGTTGAGAATGCCGGAAGAATAGATAATATTCGCGAGCGGACAAAAATCGGGGATAATTGAGTTTGGATGATGCACACTTTATTTATTGAAGACGAGGCCAAGTACTCACTTGCCAATGGTGGTGCTGCCACTAGTGGTATTATTACACGTTCTGCCACAGGAACTACGGCACGACATTGATTTGGTTCCATCCTCGGTAGCATTCTTATCGTCCACAAGCATATCCCGGTACGTGATGCTGACACGCCTTGTCCTGACAATCTCCAGTCCGTCGACATATTCTACCAGATCCTTCGAGATGCTATGCTTGTAATCATATCGGCAGGATCCGTTCATGACCACAAGGGACCGCCTTGCTACATTGACGTAGAAAAGAGACGAAAAAAAAGGTATTAGACTCACCAAATCGCTCCGGAGCATACAACAAGACAACAAGGTGGTATATCATGACAAACAACATGGGCATCCTTACGCAAATAGATCCGATAAATGAGATCGGCTTCTTTGACATGTTGAAAGCTCATGATACAGTCCGAGAGTAGCGAGAGCGCTGTGATCGTCGATCCAAACAACTTGGGCGCATCTACATGTGGCATGATCCCCTGTCCAGCCTCGTACTCGTTCACAATAATACTGTTGGGGCTCTGAGAATAGATCCTTTGGTTCAGTAGCCGTCGCGTCAAGAAGTCGAACATACTCGGCAACGGCTCCATATCTCCCACAACTCTTCTATTGTAGATGGCAGGTTCAAAAGGTCGTTAGCAAAAAATGCACTCTGCACACAAGAATCGGCAAGGATAGAAATATGATCGCTTTCATGCTCGTTTTACCGGAGTCGATAGCTGAATACGCCGCCATAGTGCTGATGTCTTCGCTTCATTTCTGGATTAGGCTCGATGCCCTTGCCTGCCCAATGGCAACGATCGAGCTGTTGAATGAGCAATGTCTCTTCCTCCCCTGTGACGAAGTCGTATAATACTTGTAGTCCCTGCATGGGTGGTAGAGCTCCTATAAGCACTGTCTTCATGTTGCTCGGAACCGTTGCATCGTTGTCGGATCTTGCATTGTCTGTCGTGTGAAGGATTGTGTCCATATGCGCCAGCAGCAACAGTGAAATAAACACAGGCACCAAAATGAACTTTGAACGCCCACATCATTTTATTCGGGTCCGCAAAATACGCCCACTGAGAAACGATTGTCAATATGCTGGGACGTTCCCTATAACGGACAATGACATTGCCTCCAGCAAACAACACCATACACTCTACTGCGCGGGGCCAGGAGCGGGAGACAGCATGGTATCTGGATCCTGCGAATGTCCCCCTAGAGCGCTGCTATTGTCCTTCTGGTATGGGTTGGCCGTGAACAACACATTCTTGAGCACCTGCGAGATCAGACCATGCGTAGCCTCAACCGAGATCTTATTGCTGTCGCGGGTAATCTTGCTCAACTGGCTCTCCTCTTGTTTCTTCTTCTTGTCTTTTGAAAACTGTCCTGCCATCGGTCCAAACCCACCAGGTCCAGCGCGCGACGCCATTGTTGCAGTCATCTGAAGCTTCTCTGCTAGATCAGCCATTTGCCGCGCAGCGTATTCTCGATTCTATATCGATATATACAGTGCATTGTAGTGAGAATGGCACTTGCGTTATATCTGATGTATAAGAAACCCATTGCTGCGCCATGTGCAATTCCAGCACTTACAGAAAGCAAGGGCGACTGCGAGAGTGTGTTGACCCAGTACTTGTTCCAGAGCTGATCCAGAAGCTGGGTATCCAATGTCGATTTAAAGTGTGAAATTTCCAGAGGGTAGTACTGCTTGCAGTGCACACCGAAATCCTCAATCTTATTCAGCGGAATGGTCTGGTACTCTGATGGACCCTCATCGGGCGCTTTGTATCCCTAGAAAGAGCATAAACAAGCGTTATTAAATATCAATAAAAATTTGGCGAGGACAGCGGATGCTGTGTTGTACCCCGTACTCTTTCATACCTCTGGGTAGGTGCGGAAAGCTCCTATTTCCACCTTGCCTGCCGAGATAGTTCTGTTGGGATCAATCTAGTATTCAAGCACGGTTGAAAAGGTCGGAGCACGGTCAATCATTGCACCGAGACATGATTCCTGGGAACTCAAGGGAAAGGGGCATACTACAACGGCAATCCAGGGATCCTGGAACTTTTGGTTTTCCATCTGTGTGCCAACGTCAATACCGGACAGCCAGCATCCGTATCCTGGATGCGAGTGGTACCAGCCGATCGCGTTCTCTAGTCGACCAACCTAGAGACGAATGAACAGAATCTGTCAGTTTTACATGTGCAATGCCTAACCTCTTCCTCAGTAGTAGAATCGGAATTCAAGCGTACCTCCTTAATCTTGGTGATATACTGGACCATGTACTCATAACCCTCCGACTGGGCATTGACTCTGGTCTCTGTTCCCTCGACAGGCAAGGCAAATGCATCCATGATAATAATGGTGTTCCCTTGAACTTTGCCTTGCATCATACCCATGACCTCAATGCTGCCTCCAGACCGGGCATGCATCACCTAACAACAGACCCATTATCAGCACTAGTCAACAAGCCGTCGCCCAACAGAAAGCATGCGCTGAAAATGGCATATGCCCCCCTACCATTTTGATCAGGGCGACTGCCGAAATTTTGACATCCGTGAAGTAGTGTGGGCTATCAAGGACAGTATGAATAATGAAAACCAGGTTAGGCCCACATCTCTTACGCGCGTTCCTTCACTGCTGCGCCAGTTACGGTGCCGAGTGACGCGTCAGCAAAAGCATAGGTCTAGTTCTCTGCAGTCCGTAAAAAGACCAAATAAAAAACGACGTACTCTTTCTTCCATGGGGACTCGTTGAGTATACGCTTCTGCTCGGCCTCGTTGAAGTGATAGATCTGGTCCGTCTCTGGGTTGACAGACCTGATGTTGTTGATGAATTCAAAGTTCTTGCGTGCGTTGATGGCGTCCATGGCGTGAGAGTGATTTCGTATGCGTTGTTCTGCAGCTGCGTGCTGTGCTTGACAGTTTGCTCTGGTGCTTTTGATAAGTTGTTCTCGGCAAGACTGTCGAATGGTTAGGTTGAAGTGAGCAGGCGATAAAGAGGACGACGAGTGGTGGCAATGCAACGAGGGTAAGAAAGCAACACGCAGTCACCATTGACCATTTCTGCAGCGCTGTATCCTTTGTGCTTGTTGCAGTCAGTGACAAACCTTGCTCATTTAAAAACCTACATGTTTTGTAGCTGTGTGCGTGCGCATCGATTGAAATGTAGCATCTTTATTGTACTTTTGGGCAAAGCAGGGTGCTTGGACATGTCACGGAGCGGGCATCAACTGGCCAAGTGATTAACTGTTCGACTGCTTAGTTGATTGGTTGCTCAATCCCCGTAGAAGACCGAGAGATGGATATAGGCGCAAGAAAGGAAGCGTGCGCAAGAATTCGAGTAGAGATCGTGCATTTATGGAATCCATTTTTTTTTTTTTTATAACAACTTGTCTCTCGAGTCAATTGACTCTGCGAATCTATCAGACTAACTAGCAAATATCTACTATCGCTGTCCTCACCACCAAAGCGGAACCGATCCACAGTCGCCAAAAGACAGGTCACATTCCCCGGGCCTGTCCCTAGGGCCTGCGCAACAATTGCCACACCTCATCAGTGTGTTAAAAGCTGAAAACACCTTGTTACAAGAAGGGTATCTTCCCCATCCCCTCCATGGTTGTCAACCGCCTCCTCCCTTGCAGGCGATCCAGCAGCGTCCGATCCGCTGCGTCTAGGTCGAGCACGGGGCCAGAGATTGTGCATTTATGGAGTCCGTGCACTTAAAGAATGTATGTGCATTTAGAGAATATTTTTTAAGTAAACAAAAGTAAAGCTAAGACATGGCGGACATCGAACGAGGCTTTCTTAGCTCAGTTGGCAGAGCGTCAGTCTCATAATCTGAAGGTCGTGAGTTCGAACCTCACAGAGAGCAGCCTCTCTTTTTGCCCAAGTTGCTATTGATTCTCTTCTCTTTTTGATCCAATGTGCCCTGATGCGCCTGGCAAGGTCTTGATACCCACCGAACAGGCCATCGTCCCGCTTATTCTTTTAATGTGACGATAATGGAGTAGATCTTTCGTTTCCGCGCACCTTGGGACGAATACGCAGATAGTTGACGGAAGCCAGTTCTCCATCAATATTTAATGTTATTTTTTATGCGATGTGTCTATTGTACTGCTGCCATATTCGAGTAATGACAACTTTCACATATATTTCTCCACTACTGTGACTCATCGTAGACCGTGCCTTGGGTGTGGAACGCGTTCTGAATGGCTCCTCTTGAGACACACGCACTTGCTGCCAATTGCTGTCTGTACGATGTCGACACGCATAAGATTTGAGAGCATTCGCGTGTCTCGCGCGTCTCGCTGCATTCAGGTGACCCATATCTCGTGGTCATCCGCGGTGGACAATTGGCTGAATCGATCGAGTGAAAGGAATGCGACAGCGATGCATGATATTAGTGGCGCTGTTATCCTGTGTGCGTCTCGGGGATGCGTTTGTGGAGGTGGTTTAGTGTGAGTGATGCGGGGGTAAGTGCGTATGCCAAAGCGTGGTTGCAGCCCAAGGCCTAAGACGGGGCCTCGCAATTGGATCCGACGTCCAGGAACAACCACTGGGATCTGGTCTGTGGCCCAGACCAGAAAAAGAGAGGCCAAAGATGTACAAGTTTTCTGTATTTGGAGCGTATAGAAAAGGATATTTCCTTAACTTTGCTCCATTCATCTCTTTTCACCCTCTTCTGTTGCTTTGCAATGTAAGTCAGGAACCGATTCATAACAAGCAGGGGATTCAAACTCACCGACTCGGAAGATGTAAAACAGATCAAGCACGCTACACACACCCAGCCAGCCCAAAAACAACGCGCATACGCATTCAATATATATTGCAATGTCAACATTATTTTGCAGCCTTCTGGCGCTAGGTGTTGTTACCCACTATACCCATGTCTCCCCTTCATTGGATGTGTACATGCTCGTCGGACTTTTACTCCGACAGAGTATACCAACGATTCTCGACTTGTTCAATCCCTTACAGGGGTGGTTTGTAGCTGTGTCTACAACTGCAGCGGAGGGACGGAAGGGGTAATGTTTGTTCGATACATCTGGGGAAGTGTGTAGTCGTCTGCTCTCCAGCTGGACACGGCCTTCAAAGAGGAGGGGGAGTCCTTGTCGTCACATCTTTTTTTCTTAACTTACTCTGGTCTAGTTTCCCCCACTCTTTCCTTCTTTCTTTTCCTTGACCCATCTTCTCTTCATCCTCTCCCCTTCGCCCTCTTACCATTCTTCAACAACCCACAGCCAAAAACCAAACTAATTTTCGCAATCCACTTTCTCTCATTCTTCTGCCCCTCCCTCACTTGCCCGCTCACCTGTCCTTCCCTCATTCTGTCTGAAATAAAGCCGTCGCCACCACCCGATCGCTTCTTTGCACAACTGCAACAACAGCTCTCCCAGGCTGGTCTTTCTTCAAACAACACAACCAACAACGACCTTCCAAGCAACGCAATCGAACAACAAAAAGTAGTTGTATAGCATGGCTTCAACATCTCCCATCAATGGCGTCAAGATTAGTGGTAAGAAGGACTAGAGCATCATCGCGGACGCGCCTTTTCCAAATTGCTATGGTTCATTCTTTATGCTGACCTCGTTTTTCGTCCTTTCGCTCTTTCTTTTCTCTGAATCATTTGCAACGTATCGTGTATGCTTGGCTGTCCAGGCGAATCAGACCCCACAAAGATTATCAAGGTCTTGGCCAACGAGGGCAAGTCCGGAGAACCTCAGGAGCTCGCCTACACCAACTGTAAGGTCATCGGAAACGGATCTTTCGGCGTGGTTTTCCAGGCAAAGCTGGTCAGCAACCAAGAGGATGCCGCCATCAAAAAGGTGCTCCAGGACAAGCGCTTCAAGGTACAGAGTCATGGCCATCCATTGGAAACTACAGACATCGATATGTGCTCTTATTCATTGTACCTGGTTGGTGACCCTAATTTGAAAACATGTCACCATCTCGCGTCGTTTGATAGAACCGCGAGCTTCAGATCATGAGACTTGTTTCGCACCCAAACATTGTCGACCTCAAAGCCTTTTTCTATTCCAACGGAGAAAAGGTACAGTCGCCAAGACCGAGCAATTGAGCGATGGATAAAGTCGTCCAAGGCACACGAGTTCCTTCAAAATAGAGACCCATGACTTATTAATTATTTCCGGCAATCTTTATTTTTGTTACTCGTATAGAAGGATGAAGTGTTCCTTAATCTTGTGCTCGAGTACATCCCAGAGACGGTCTATCGCGCTTCACGCCACTACTCGAAGATCAAGCAGACGATGCCGATGCTGCAGATCAAGCTGTACATGTATCAGTTGTTCAGGAGTTTGGCGTACATCCATGCTCTCGGAATTTGCCACCGCGATATCAAACCCCAAAACTTGCTTCTCAACCCCACGACCGGCATTCTGAAGTTGTGCGATTTCGGAAGGTAAGCGGGATTGGCTCCACGGCGTCTTGCTGTCTTTCTTATGGGTTTGGACGCGACAAGGGCGCATGACCAGCGGAGAAGGAAAATGAAATTGGATCGAGTAGTGTGATTCTGCTGGTTCTTGTTTTGCAGATGATGGAAATCAAACGTTGTTGCTAGTGTGTGTTTGGTGTGAAAGAGTAGCTTGCATTAAGCCTGTTTGCTCACAATCAGACCCCTGCCTGCTCAGTTGTATCAGTTGTATCAGTTGTTCCTTTGTTGCAGGACATGTCTTTTTTTTCTCCGCCATTTTTTTTTCTTTTCTTGTAATGCCACATGATCTGGCTGGGATTGAAGTTGGGGTCTTTGTTCAATGTCATTGGCAGGAAGAAAGCAAGAGGCAGGGGTGTCTTGATTCCCAAAACACAGGACACAAGAAGAGATCAAAATGAAATTTGGAGATGCTGTATGACAGTTTATTTTTCAAACCCCACTCGCAGAAGGGGGAAATGGAAACTGGGAAAAAGGAAGGGCTGCGGTATGACAAGGAACAGAGAGATGGCACGGTGCATGGATGCAGTCTATTTTTTATTTATTGTTTGTGTCACCTGCCCGCACATCTGTTTTCAATCAGCGCTAACCACTGTCATTGCGCGTCTCAATGGGATTCTTGCTAGTGCCAAGATTTTGGTCGCCGGAGAGCCGAACGTCTCGTACATCTGTTCGCGCTACTATCGCGCCCCAGAGCTTATCTTTGGTGCAACCAACTACATGACCAACATCGGTAAGCAAGAAACGCGTATTACATTGCATGTGCAGAACGTTAGCATGTGTACTCACCAATTTTGTTTGCATCCTCTGTCTCTATTGCTTAGACGTTTGGTCAACGGGATGCGTGATGGCCGAGTTGATGCTTGGACAACCCCTCTTCCCCGGCGAGAGTGGAATTGATCAACTGGTTGAGATTATCAAAGTGCTGGGAACACCAACAAGGGAACAGATCAAGACGATGAACCCAAACTACATGGAGCACAAGTTCCCTCAGATCAAGCCTCACCCCTTCAACAAGATCTTCCGCTCCCGGACACCCCCAGAGGCATTGGAACTCATCTCGCGTCTCTTGGAATACACACCCTCGCGTAGATTCACACCTATTGAGGCCATGATTCACCCATTCTTTGATGAGCTCAGGAACCCAGAGACGAGACTACCCAATGGCAAGGAGCTTCCACCCCTCTTCAACTTTACTAGCCTCGGTAAGAGCTCGGCCTTTCTTTTCTTTTCTTTTCTTTTTTTTTTTTAATAATTCTTCGACAGTCATGTTCCTGAATGATTCGTAGACTAATATCTATGAAATCGTTCGCTATCTTTCTATGCTGTAATTAGAACTATCGATTCGCCCAGACCTTATTCCTATGCTTGTTCCTCGCCACGCCGAGGCTGAACTCAAGTCTTGTGGCATTGACGTTCACAACTTTGTACCAGTGCCCCCAAGCGCGACTCGAATTTCCCTGGATTAAGGATCTTCAGACGTCCGCATAATCCGCCCGTCCCTCCAGTAGCGGCTGACCCCAACCCTGTCTTTTGTTTTTTATTTCATTTTGTCCACAGTACGTTCCGATCCATTTGTTTCTTTTGCCTACTGTTCCCTTCTAGTTGTAATACTGTCGCTTTTGCTTTTATTATATTTTTATGTCGCCCTTGAACCACGTAGCGGGTTTTATTTGTTATTATTTTTGATTTCTGGAAGATGGAAGGGACAAGGAAAGATATGGATCGGGCTGTTTGTGGGGACGTCGCTGCTGTTAGTCGTTGGAATGTGTGGATGGCCGGTCAAAGAGATCCACCATGAACAAATATGAACAAGCAAATTTCAATAAAATGAACTCCAGTACTCTCGTATCATCCCCCCAATGGAGCATTCATCAAAGGTACTAGATGTCCAGTGCTGGCATCAAATTGCTTGTGGTATCGTTTGGGAGCCTCATCGAGATGACGATCTCACATTGATATAAGGTTCAATTGAAGAAGTGTGCCGTGCCAAAAGAGGGAGCAGAGACACATGGTGAGCATTGCTCCTTCTCGTCTCAATCGAATTCCCGCTTGGCTGCACCAAACCTGGCTCGATCACGATCTGCAATGCAAAGACGCGATTCAAGTGTAGAAACGCCCGCCCTGACATCTCGACTTCACTCTCTCCCACAGACACAGCAGCACCCAAGGCACTTACGGCGACAACAGACATCCCCTCCACTCGATACGGACACAGTTGTCAAGGGTGTCCCGTCTGCTTCTGGGGAAGCCTCAGGAAAAATTGTTGGCGTGCTCAGGACGACTCGTATACTAGAGCGGGACGTATCACTGGGATTACGCAAGGATGAGAAGCAGGACGAGGACGATGATGAAGATGAGGAGCGGAAGGAGGACGAGGATATGGAGCTTGAGGCAACCCTACGCGAATTGCGGCTTTCATCTGTTGAGGAAGCATTCGTTGCATTCAATCAGGGGCAAAGGACCGGCACCACATCTAGGAGCAAGACGAGTGGTACCAAGGAGTGCTCCTCTCGCTCCGATCAAAGCATGGACGGCATCGCGAGCGATTCGACCGGGGATGCCAATGAGGTGCCGAAGAAGACAAAGAGGGTCCTCAGTCAGTTAGATGTAAGCGAGTTGATCCAAATGAAGATCTCGCAGCTGGAATCTACATCAAGCGCTGAGGAGGACGAGAAAGCAATTGGTAAGGGGACAATATCCTTGTGCGCCATGAGGAGCATATCACCGATACGAAGCATTATGGCATTACGATCACGAGCTGATACTTTGGTAACTACGCTGGGATCGTTTTAGCCAAGGCGATGAGGAAGATGCACAAGGAGATCTCGCAGGTCGTCAATGGACAGGAGGATCATCTGGCCATGGTCAACTTTATGCAGCGCAAGTATCTGGAGATGGTAAATCATCGACCAAGGAACGTCCACTCTAAAAGGATATATATACGGCGGTGGAGTATAGAGAGTAGCTGACATAACACCTGATTTTCTTCATGCTTGACGATAGTTCCAGGACATGCGGAAGCAGGAGCGGGATCAATCGAGGATGAAGAAAAAATGCGAACTCCTGCAGCGGGAAAAAGATCTTTTACAGCGCGAGAAAGATCGCCTCCAGAAGAGCAGCGATGTTCTGATCGCTGAACGATCTCAGCTCCTGGAGGAACGCCAAGCCGGTATTTTCGACTTGTTCCGCGTGGATTTCAGCAGTCGTAGGTCATTCTCCTGATCGTTGGATCTGGCTAACATCCGCCTGCGTGTCATCGTCTAGATAAAATGAACCTCGCCAAATCCACTAGCTTGAACCACAAGCTAGAGGAGCTCTGTCGTCGACTCCACCGAGATAACAGGCGGATCAAGGTAACAAAGCCAGGAGCACTACGCCTGATTGAGGATTTAGTCATGTCAGTTTTCGATCTTAAATTTCTTTCGTCTCATAGGCGGAGGTCCAACAGCGTACGGACCAAATTTCTGGATCGTTTGAAAAGGCCATTAGCGAGTTCAAGGATAAGATGGAACACGATATTGCAGAAAGACAGCGGCTCGTGGAAGAGAATGACTCGCTGTAAGCGCAGCTTTTATATCGCCTGTCGTTTGCGGTACAGCTCTTTAGCTAATCAGTATCTTTTTTTTTCATTTCTTCTTCTTGTCTAGACTCCGGGACAAATTCCAAGGATTTTTGGAGCAGTACGACGTACGTGAAAAGCACTTCAACTCGGTGGTGAAATCTAAGGATCTGGAACTTCAGTTAGCACAGGCAAAACTGGAGCAACAGCAGCAGCAGAAGCGGCAAGAAACACAGAAGGTCGAACTGCTGAAATCACAACTAAATGCGTTCACAAAGACAGAGGCTGAGCTTCGGAAACAACTGAATGTGTATGTGGAAAAGTTCAAGCAGGTTGAGGAGACACTCAACAAGAGCAACTCGTTGTTCCAGACGTTCCGGAGAGAGATGGAGGCCATGTCAAAGAAGGGTGCGAACCTTGAAAGGGTCAACCAAACGATCAGGGCAAAATGCGATACCATGAACCGAAATATCCTGGAAATGGCAGAGGAGGTAGGGACAAGCGTGTTTTAATGAAAGAGGGCTTGCTTGTCTTTTTCCGAGGACTTCAAAAATTAACGCGGGTTTAACTATGGATGGTTAGCGCACGAAACATCAACAAGCTTTGGATGCTGCCAACAAGAAGCTGATCAAACTGGAGACGCTTTGCAGGGCCCTGCATACCGAGAGAACGATGCTTCGCAAGAACCTGGATCTTTATGAAGCACGCTACCCAGACTTCTCTCTTCCAACCTCCACCACCGCTGCGACACCGGAGAACGAAGGATGTGGGGAGGATAAAACACCGACTGATGATACTCTTCCCAGGACCGAAAAAGACGGCACCAATGATAGTTCATTATCATCACTGCGGGTCGCGATAGGAAGCGTAACATTGAGTCCTGCAGGTATCACAACACTGACAGGAAATTTATCTGCGATAGGCGCTACCGTTACGGGCTCATCCTTGTCTGTGCAGAATGGTGGTGTCAAACAGAGCAAGGTCGGCGGTCGACGGGCATCGGTTACATTTGGAAGGCTGCGACAGAAACAAAAGCGGCAGCACATGCATATGCTACTACAACGATGCGAGCAGTCTTCATCCCTGGCGGATGTTGTTACGGCCAAGCAACAGATGGAGCGGCTGACACTGATAGAAACACAGCGACAAGCCGATAAAACTCGAAAGCATGGCCAGGACGGCGAAGTCGGCAAAAGTACCTGTAACACGAGCATGGTTCAGGAAATCGTCGATTACTGAGAAGTATGACAGATCTAGACGACGTTGAGGAGGAGGAAGATTAGGAAGAGGAGGGCGGCAGTAAGTTGGGAGCCGAGTTCATTTGTATTATCATCGAACCAGGGCATTATCTTTTCCTTTGAAGACTACATCGACCCTGGCTTTGTTATCCCCCAGTCCGTCAAACCGTTATGTATCATAGACCTTTTCATTTGCTTCGTATGTGTGTGTTTTTTTTTTTTTTTTTTTGCTAAAATAAAAAAAAATGGTATACATTTTTTTACAACCTAATCTATTCTTTTGTCAAGACTCAGTCCCGTTCAGGTTGTTGCAGGGTTGATATCGTCGTTGCTGTCCATGTCGATCGAATGTGTCATGCTGGTTTTGAGGGATGATCCAGGCACGGTGGGCGACGCTGCGGATGCGGAAGCAGGTGCCGATGTAGAGGATGAAAATGCTGACGGCTTTAGCTTAAAGTGTGTCAGCCCCTGCTCAAAAATCCTTCGAAGGCGGTTGGCAGTCTGTGAACTGCTAGAGTAGATCGAGACGGTACGGGGCATCATGTTAGGCCGCTGACCAGGCATTGAGAGCGCACGCGATCGAGAGGTTGGTTTGTTTCCAATGGACTCGGGAGAGAGAAGCGACTGTTGTCCGCTGGAGGGAGTGGATGAGTTGTTGCTTTGCTGAGGACTCGGTGGGCGGCCTAGGGGCGAGAGATGAGATGCTGTTGGGTATTGGTTCAGATCCGGGCTGGACATGGTGCTGCTGTTATTGAGACTACCATGGTTTCCTCTCGCGGCATTGATGATGGCAGCCTGGATAGCCATGGGTCCCATGGGCAAGTCTGCATCCTTAATCGTACCCACTCGACTCTGCTCATCCAGAGTGTTCTCGCTAGTACTTCTCTGAAGTTCTGGAATGCCCAATCGGGACCGTGTGTTGTTGGTTTTTGTGCTGCGGTTGCTACTCTGGCTGGTTCTGCTCGAGTCAAGAACGTACTCATCCTTGACGTGGTCCATATGATCATTTATGTTGAAATTTGACGGGTGCAAACTGAGCTGATGCTGCTGCTGCCTCAAAGATGCTGGATAGTCCTGTTCGTCGGGATGAACCTGTCCCTGGATCTCGGAGGGCGCCATGATAATGGCCGAGCTGAGCGAATTTCGACTGTACTCGGTCGTTCCCGACATTCCGTCATTCGGCTGGAAACCGGGGCCGATATCCCGTCGAGTATGCGCTTCGCAAGGATAGCCACTGGCAGGCACAACGGCTAAGTCCCGTTCGAGGATGGTGCGAAAGCAATCCAGTTTGGTTCTTTCCAGCATCAGATGTCGTAACCGTTTCCCCACCACCGTCGCACTCTGCACGATTTTCTGTCGAGTCGAGTTTTGTAAAGGGATCATGACCTCAAGACCTCGAGCAAGCCGGAGTTCTGCAGCCAGAGATGCCGAGCAGGTGTTAACCTGCCTGTCAATGTCCTTCATCTTAACCTGAATCAGCTGCGCCCGACCATCCAGTGGTTCTGCAGCCACCGTAGCGTCGTCATGTTGTGGTCGCCGTCGTAGCTGATGGCGCCCTTGTTCATCCTTGATCCAGATCACATCCTTTGCCCAGGACACGCGATAATTTCTTAGGCGCACTCCCGCAGTCTTGAACGCGGAGGCGTAGTTGATCTTGGACATCCAGTCATTCATTTCGTGCTCCGAGTCCGCCCTGAACAAGTACTGCTTCCCGTTCGGACACACCAGGCGAAAGACATGTGGATACTTTTGATAGCTGCTGTCGACGACTGCGATCGAGTCCAAAGTCGAGATCAGTGCCTGTGGCATGGGCGGCATACCAGTGCCGAGATCCATTGCAAAATACCCATCCACCTCAGGTGGCGCCTGTGGATTGAATCCGATCTGAGCAGCCCTCTGTTGTTGAAACCAACCAATGTCCGTGAAGAACAGCAACTGCGATCCACTGAGGATGACGCCCAGCTCTCTCCAGCCTCGCACTGAACTTTTCTTTCCATGCTCAATATCGATCTTTCGTGAGAGGACACCGCTCTTGACAATCTTGAGTTGTGCGCAACCATCAGTCGCAATCTCGTCCTCCTCCTTTCCACCCCACTGCATCGCCTGATCCTGTCTCAGATCCCCGCCATCGATATGGACCATGGTCTCTGGACGACTGGAAGCACTTGTTCCAGTCGTAAATTGCTGTTGGTTATGAAGTCGTTGTCGAAGGCCGGGGACAGAAACCTGGGGTGCTCTCGTGAACTGGTTGTTGATCTGCACATTGTCGACCATCTCGACCGTCCCTTTCCAGTAGTAGGGCCATCGAAATGGAATAAGGTCGCTCAGATCCGGCGCCAAATTGGTTATGCTTCCCTATTTTCATAAAAAAAGAGCATCGTTAAAGCTTGTTACGTATATCTAGAAATATTAGGAATTTGAAACTGACGCATTCATATTTTTGTCGACATACATGTCGGATCATATTGTAAGAATCTGTCCTTTGGTTGCTCGTGGTGCGGCGTCGAGGAAACCAAGTTCCTGATGATGCGGGCTGAACTTCGGCGATCCGCTGTCCGTCTACATCCATGTCATCCTCTGCGTAGACAAATTTGAGATAGGTGATATTGTCGTAGAGGACTTCCAATATATCGGCGGGGATGGTGTTGACGCCATCAATGGACTTGGCCTGTCGCACATATTGCTCCTTAGTCATTTTATAGCGCACGTTTTTATTGTGGGCATCCGTGTGAAGGAGCATCAATGAGAATGCAATGGTATAGACGACCTCTAGGAGAAAAAAAAAAAAAAAAAAAAAGTTGTGAAGAGAATGAGAACCCAGTTGTGAGAAAGACTTCAAGGTTTATTCGATTGAGCTAACTGTTGGTGGCAACAGTGCTTACCAGAGGATCGGAAAAGATGCGGGTTACAGGCATGGTAGCGAGAGGCAAAGGCCTCTAGAACACGATCGATTTGCTGCGCTTCCTTGGGAAAGTGAAAGTCCAAGAGGAATTTCCTTCAAAGGAGCATTAAAAGGGACCCAGGTCAGAGCGAGAGCCAGAGTCAGAGTTTTCTTGCATGTTAGGGTGAGGATAAAACGAGATGCCTGTCTTGCGACGATGATCATAATGACACAATCATACCTCAGAGCCAGGTCGATAGGATCGCGTCGAAAGTCAAAGGACTCCATGTGGATCCGCAGGACCGCTTGGTGAAATGAGTCGGATCCCTTCGATAGCAAGTTCCCCAGTTCTGCCTTGGACACCGTTTCCTTGAGACGCTCCAAGAACTGGCGTGGATGCTCTGGCCATGAGCTATGGTCGCCATTGAGTGTTGGTGATGCGGGTCCAGGCTGCTCCTTTGGAGGGGTTGCAGTGGTATCAGTATGACTGATCCTTGGTATCTCGTCCTGTATCGATTCCACTTTGGCACGGCTAGTAACACCAATAGAAGGATTGATTGTGGTGGTGGGCGTATCCTTGTCATCCTCAACAGTAGGCTCTCCTATGCCTGTCCTTGTGCTCGTCCCTGGTATTATCCCTGAACCAGGGTCTTTTTCTGCTTCTCCTGTAGACCCCAAATCGCCACGATTGATTGTGCCTGCAGATACAATCCTCTCGATATCAGGCTGCTTTCCAGGCTCCAAAGACACTTCGGTAGTGATAATGGTTACTGTCAAGGCGGTCGGAGGTGATGATGTTGGCATGGCTGGTTAGGTGTGATGAACTTTTTTAAATGGGCAAAAAAAAAAAAAAGCCTGCTAGGATCTGCTGGCAAGAACAGGCACCTGCAGAAGGGAAAAAGGAAGAGGGTGTTAGTAGGGAGAATGGGAGAGAGAAAAGAGTGAAGAGAGGGATTGGGTGTGATGCAAATAGGCAAGCAATAAAATGGAATGAAAAAAGCAAGATGACAGAAGAAAAAGGAGGGAAGTTGGTGACAAAGTAATCATTCCGGATCAATTCAGTCAATTTTTAGTGCGTGCACCCTCAATACCTTTTTTGGGCGGTAGTGCAATTGATCATTTGCTGCAGAAGATATAGCTCCTATTTGCTTTATGTCTATCAAATCGAAACCCACTCCCTTATTTTCAGCTTAATGCCCTAGGGAACATGCTAAGACATCAATGCCGACAGAAGAGCATAGGGGCGATTGTGCATGAACAACACAGAAAGAGCCATGGTGTGGTGCTGTTTGCACCTGCCTAGGGCCCTGGATAAACGAAATAAACACGCGATGTGGGGGTTCAGGAACAGGATGATAAACCTTAAATAAATTAAAGGTGTGACAGTTTCGCCGGTCAATAAACGTTGCGATGAAGAATCTGTCGAGAAGGAAGGCCTGCTGCGATTTCCCCTTGCGGACAACCTCCTTAATGCATTTTGTTCGTCCTGTAGCGAAGTATTTCGTTGTACCTTACTGGCTTTTATGAAAGGAGTTTTTATAGCCTTCTAGACCAGCTTTTTGTATTCGAGGAAAAGAGTGATAGTGTGATGGACGATATTTGTTGAGATCCAAGGAGAATATCTTAGCAAAGCTGATGGGAAAGGGTCGACTTGGTTGACCTCTGCTTGTTTGTGTGTGCGTCTGTGCGTTCGTGATCACCGAGTAGTCGAATAGCAGCACCTTCAGGAGGTGGAGCTGACAAATATGAGAAAACTAGAGAAGAGGTCCTTCGAATTCATCCACAACGGCATAACTGAAGAAAAGAATAGCTCTTAGACAAGGCGTATGCGGATGCCATCCAGTTCGTAGAGAACAAGACGAGCAAAGCACTCGAAAAAAATGAATTTAGTGTGCGGCAATTAGAACATGAGAGCGCGCACCAAATTCTATGAATACACGCGAGCATGGATTTCCCAAGCTTATAATTTATTCAGCCTATTTCCGTCGGGAACTGAGCATCATGGAGCTGCGCATGTATAGACCCACCAACGATAGTTAGATTGTACGCGACAAAAAAATGCTCCCCCAATATAAATGCTATCCTCCCGGCTCCACAATGTCACTGACGGCTCAATGGAGTTCAGATGGCAGAGTTTTACAGCGCGTCTCCATCGTTTGTTTTGAAGGTTCTACATCGCTACAAAGCTTTGTCACCCCTGGATCTCGCTGCTGAATCAACTTTTTGCACATCGGAGCACGCCGTTGTCTTCTCAAGCACCAGTTTGCTTACACTAGCCGAGAGCGTTTTTCTCAAAAACCATTTCTCCATCGAAGCCTTGGATGCTGTGGAAGATGGCTTCGACGACTACGATATAGTATACAAGTTACCAAAGCCATGTCCTTGGCAAAAGCCCATGCTACTTCGCCGGACAAGTCATTCACGAGGACTTCAAGGAAACGCCCCTGCCTGAATCCTCTTTCCGAAGCTCTGTCCAACGATCTGGGAAAAAAAGCAGAGCCAATAGCCCCAGAGACCTTGGAGACGATTGAGAAGCTGCAGAAGAAGGTCAAGCTGTTGCAGAGAATTGAGGAAGGCCGCACCTCCCAGCAATACGTTCATTTCAGTCAAACAGCATAAACGGCCTTCAGGAAAAAGGGGGTCTGTATAGGAGCGTAGAGCAGTACTTCATTGCTTCGAGTTTTGCAAGGGAGAAAAAGAGAACGCGAAACTTGCTATGACATCGGATCCTTTTCTACGAACGGCCTATTTATTACATGGGATCCTCACTCAATACCGTCAAAAGCATCGTATTGAGGGAGGATAACGGAGACGTTCGAGGCAAGCATCCACGCTAAAACCACACTCTATCGTTTGCTTCAGACCTTCGACGAATCGCAACGGAAACGAACACCAAGGGACAAGCTGTAGCCTTATAGTCGTTTTTAACCGTATCAAGGTGCTATTCGCGGATCAATTCATGATTCCAAGCAAGGAAGTGATTCACTTGTTGATGGAGAAAATGGATTCCCGTTATCAGGATGTCGGAAACACTAGGAATTCTGTCGGAACCGAGGATATCGGGGTCTAGAGGCGGCACTACCTTCAAAAGCGACGGTCCGACAAGTACAAGGACACCGTGTTTGTGTATTTGAACGAACCCTACTATAACCAGAACCATGTCAACAGTAAGGTTAGTTATGTTTGTTTAAAATGCGTCTATTGCTTCATCTCAGAGAGAAGAACTCATGTTCTGCATTCAATTTTTTAACCTTGTATCTACCTGAAGTATCGACGATACTATAATACTATCCCATGCAGATGTACTCTTTTCTGCAGCTCTGTTTCACTCTTGCAGGTGAAGGTGAGTATTTTTCATGTTTTGTAGCTGTGTGCGTGCGCATCGATTGAAATGTAGCATCTTTATTGTACTTTTGGGCAAAGCAGGGTGCTTGGACATGTCACGGAGCGGGCATCAACTGGCCAAGTGATTAACTGTTCGACTGCTTAGTTGATTGGTTGCTCAATCCCCGTAGAAGACCGAGAGATGGATATAGGCGCAAGAAAGGAAGCGTGCGCAAGAATTCGAGTAGAGATCGTGCATTTATGGAATCCATTTTTTTTTTTTTTATAACAACTTGTCTCTCGAGTCAATTGACTCTGCGAATCTATCAGACTAACTAGCAAATATCTACTATCGCTGTCCTCACCACCAAAGCGGAACCGATCCACAGTCGCCAAAAGACAGGTCACATTCCCCGGGCCTGTCCCTAGGGCCTGCGCAACAATTGCCACACCTCATCAGTGTGTTAAAAGCTGAAAACACCTTGTTACAAGAAGGGTATCTTCCCCATCCCCTCCATGGTTGTCAACCGCCTCCTCCCTTGCAGGCGATCCAGCAGCGTCCGATCCGCTGCGTCTAGGTCGAGCACGGGGCCAGAGATTGTGCATTTATGGAGTCCGTGCACTTAAAGAATGTATGTGCATTTAGAGAATATTTTTTAAGTAAACAAAAGTAAAGCTAAGACATGGCGGACATCGAACGAGGCTTTCTTAGCTCAGTTGGCAGAGCGTCAGTCTCATAATCTGAAGGTCGTGAGTTCGAACCTCACAGAGAGCAGCCTCTCTTTTTGCCCAAGTTGCTATTGATTCTCTTCTCTTTTTGATCCAATGTGCCCTGATGCGCCTGGCAAGGTCTTGATACCCACCGAACAGGCCACCGTCCTGCTTATTTTCTTGGTCAGGTAAGAGCCATCCTCAGTCATGTGAATAGTAAGGGGAAGAATATAATCTCAACCCCGTGAGATTATCCCCCGTTTTGTCATCTCACAGGGGTGTAAGTGGGTTATTCTCACACTCCGGTAAGAATAATTCGAGCTTTTTTTTTCCACGGGGAGGTGAGCGCCATATTCTCGCGGGGATAGTCTGTAGGGCCTCGTTTAAAAAAAAAAAAAATCACTCGTTTATTGTTCAAGGTCTGTTTCAGCAGGATGGAATTCTTTGGATAGTCGCGACATCTCACTGCTGCTCTTGATACGTTTGGCTCCTGGACGCCCCTTCGGCTTCACCATAAGTGGGTCTTTAGTGACACCAAGACCTGCTTCGTTGTCAGACGCGTCCTGTAGCTCTATGAGTCCCGTCTCCGTTTCAGCGAGATTGAGAGGTTGTTGAGCGTTTGCATCGCATTGCTGGATCGGCTGTCCCCATGATGGCCAGCTCTCTCACGATCCCTGTAACATCTGCGTGCCGCTTTATCCTCAGTCGCTCTTCCTTCCTTGGCTGTGGTGCCGAAGGTTCTGTAGAGAACAAGGTGTGCACAATCCTCGTACAAGCGCTGGCGGGGTGATCCTCGGTCCCGGTGGAGGCGATGTAATGCGGGTAGGCGACTAGAAGCTTTGAACCAATTTTCGTCTCGAAACCTTCGAGATCCCGCCACTGCTCCTTGAACCAGCGCTTGAGAACGAGGCTGATCAAATACTTGCACCTGCTGTCCCCTTGCATCACGCAAAAGAAGTGCCTGCACACAATCTCCGTGTTTTGCAGCAAGAAACAGGTGCAAAAATATGAATGGCCAACCATAACCACAACGAACTCCTGTTGACTGCGACGGATCTTGTTGTGGATGGAATAAACCGCAATGATTTCGGCTGGGTCCAGTCTTGAGAGTATGATGCCAGAGAAGACTCGCGGAGGGCTTTTCCAGTTCGGTTGACCTATGCAAATGGATTCTGTGGTGTAGTAAATGAGAATCATTCGGTTAGCCTCGCAAAGTTGATATTGGATCACGGGAAAGAGCACCGCCCCAGAATAAAAGAATAAACGGTCTGGTTCCTGGACCAGAATCTTCTTTCCTAAAATCATTTGTATCACACGTTGCATTCGTCCAGATTGTCCGGATAACACCACAGCAACGACAGGTACTGACTACCGCCGTCAGCAACCCACGCAAGGAGATACAGTCAACAAGGAATACCAATCCTGATCATTCGCCATCTTTGCACCATCAACCGCTCTTATTTAGACATTGTACTTGCCCTGCAGCGCTTCCTCAATCACCGATCGTCTCATTGAGCATCCGTCATCGGCCCACCCTCGTCAAACGGCATTATAAAGGTACAGTCGAGGCCTGATCAGCGAATATTGGCATATAACGACTCCAGAGGGGTGGACTTCATTGTCATGACTCCTCACCTCATCGGATATCACATATGCGAACTCCTTGCAATTACCCCAGTCATTCCCAAAGGATATAGTCCTAGCTCATACCATTTAGCTAAACAGATCCCATATTTATTTCCTTCCATTTTCGTTTACCTTTGTGTTCATACATTCCAATCTAAAGGAGGACCCTGCACCGCGAACCAGTAAGTGACCGAAGCACGCCCTTGCCGAAGTTCTATTCGCGTGGTGTCTCCTATTGTAAATAGAACTAATGATAGAAGTTACAGAACTCGTTATTAGACCCCCTACGCCGCATTACCCCGTTGCCTCTTGCCATGGTAGGAAGTGATGCTGCTAGTCAATCAGAGGTATTATTCAGAAGCCGGTTGCTACAAACGACCTTCCATGCAGCACCATACGCGTCGCTCTCGTCCTGTGCATCGAAAAATAATCCAACGGTTACAGCCCAATTGAGTGAATCTCCCTAGTTCCTAGTTTTGGAGCGTCAAATGTGTGAGTTAAGTCCAGATGCACTTCTCAGTTCATCATGGAAGAATGCTATAATGCGCAAGGTGAGCATCAAGAGTTTACTGAGTGCAATTGTTTATGAGTATCTAGTCTATGAGTAAGACGTATCTCAGGACATTCTCCGGATACCTAGTCTGGATAGACCATAGACTATAGCCTTGTATAACAGACTCTGGTGAATATGTGGTGTTGCTGATGCTGCTGATACTTATGGCCATTGATTACCCATCGTGATTTAGCAATCTCTCTCTTCTTTTCTTTCTACATCAGACAAACCCTAATCATCTTGACTTAAAGTCTAGCATTGCACATTTCGAAAAAGAAGTGAGGACGAGCTCCAAAAGGACGAGCTCCAGATAGGCGTGCAGGAGTGTGGCATAGGCATGAGAACGGGCAAAAGGACGAGCAAAAGGACGAGCTGCAGATGGGCGTAAAGCAATTGGACGAAGAGAGAGAATGACACAACATGGCCATTGCTCGAGATTACCTGGTCATGGAGATATGGTCAAGAAGAGAACTTGTAGACTAGGAGGCGAGTTATATATTCTACGAAGGTGGAGGGCATGGTGAAATACACTCTTTCTCGCAATTTTTTTCTCTGTGCACACCCTAACACTCTATAACCAACATCACTGTTGCAAATTACCTTCCTCGCCAGCGCTCCACTACACGCTACGCTAACTACAATGATCAAGGCACAGAGAAACGAATGTACATTCTACAACTGCGTCCAGGGACTGCTGGACAGGAAAGCGGCGATCCAGCCACAGGAGCGTCGCATTGATCAGGGTCTCCCGGTCAGGGACGGGGACGGACCTGTGCCATTGACCAAGTCAGAAAAAAACCACTTGATTCGGTTGCACTCAACGGTGCCAGTTCAAGTGAAAAACGTCCTTTTAAATGTGTTCGTCCGATTTGAAAGGCGCGAGGATAGAAGCATGGATTTCATCTGCGTTTGCAGAAAGCCATTCCTGACAAGAGATAGCCTGAGCAAGCATTACAAGTGGGTCTGCGCCATTCCAACATCCCGATTAACGTTCCAGGGCTTCAACTTATTGATAGCGCTCAAGTTCTCCCTGATGATTTGAAGATCGTCAATGCCCCAGGTACATCTGGTGACGAGGTTGATGAGGAGAACGACAAAGGCGATGAGGCGTTTAGCGGCAGCAATGCACTCATATTCAACAATAACGTCATTTCGGCTACTTCAATGACATTTAATTCAGGAAGAGTGGTTGATGCAACTATCCGAGAGTTCATGCGGGGCTCGGACATTGCAAATACTCAACAGCAACATGCACAGCGCATGCAAATCATGGCGTTTTAAGAGGGACAGCGCACGCTAATCACAGCCATGGAGCAACGGGTCCTGAGCTCTATTGCCCAGATTGCAGCAGGTCAAGGGCAGGGGCAAGCTATGCAAGCTGCTTCTGCTTCTGCTTCTGGCACCGGACCTTCCAGTCCGGTTTCTACAAGTAGAAAAAGAACGCGCTCTAAGGCCCCTCACTTTGGAACATTCAAATCCCTAGTCGTATGTCTCCAACTGAAAATAAGTAAAATAAAAATGGCGGTTTGGTGGAGCGAGTGTAGAACGATATAAAAATTGCGCAGATGTAGAGACGGGAAAGCGCATGGTCTTGCCTTGCTTATCATTTTCCACGGTAGTGAAAGCTAGGTAACTCCCTACGCGTCGGGATGCTTGCAAACGATTGGAGTATCTGAGGTGTCGAAGGATCTAGGGTGAAAAGGGTATTTTATTGGGCGAATGCTGCTATCTAGTTCTATGCGTAGATAGGGTTTATATACTAGTTGCATCGGTGTCAACAGTGCATTGAAATATTGTAGAAACTGGGCGAAGCACTATCGACATCATAGCATACTAAATCTAGCATTAAACCTTTGCAAAGATCCACGATAGTGATTTTAAGTCGTAAAGTACTACTCCAATATGATCACAAACGACTGTCTGTTTTCTCTTTTCCATGGCACCTCGTCATTCAGCTTCGGAGTGAAATCTGGCTCAATCCCGCCTCATATTGGATTGGACATAGGGGTAGATTCTCCAGCGACAAGGAAACCGATATGTGAATCTACATGTAGACCTAGTATGACACCCCGTTATCACCGCACTACTGGTAAACAGCAATTTAGTGCGTCGCCCGAGTGTGCCAAGAGTGTAACACACCTGGTATCAGAGGACGGAGCTGAACTACAGCCTATATCAAGGAAGCGATGGCTAAAAAGATCCGGATCCTTAAATGAATTGAGGTGATGGGACTAGATGTGTAATAGGAGCAAGAGCAATCTATTAACAATTATGTATTGGGTACGATGGCGCGTGGTCGGGGCAGAAGGAAAAAAGTTCGGGCTGGTATAGAGAGAGAGGTGTACAAAAGTGCGCACTGGTAGAGAGAGAGAGAGATGTACTGAAGTTTGCACTCTTGACACACCTGGGCGACGATAACGGGGTATCAGGTGCTTAAGCACTTAGAAACCCAGGCATTGATCATAAAGCCTCTTTTATATGCTCGTGAGATTATCTTTGTTTCGCTGTAGAATAACATGGTGTAAGATTAAAGCTCTTACGGGGGGTGTGAGAATAAAATTTCACTATGTGCTTTGGATAATCTCACGGGGGTGTAAGAATAAAATCTTACGGGGGGGGGGGGGGGGGGGGGGGGTGAGATTATATTCTTCCTTGATTCCCACCGAACAGGTTGTCGTCCTGCTTATTTTCTTGGTCAGGCAAGAGCCATCCTCAGTCATGTGAATAGTAAGGACGGTCGCGTCTTTCTCTTGGACTATTTCGTTTTTGCCAAATCAGCCATGGTCATACGTTGCAGACATGTATATGTATTTGAATGCCCTCTCCCCCAATCTTCCTACCGAGACCCCTATCTCACTTCCTCGTTTCAATAGGGCAGCGGCCCGGCTACGCAGTTCATGATCCACACCATGCTCCCCCAATACCCACAGATCATACCCACGGTCGCCTTGGCTATCCAATCCGACGTCCCATCCAGCAACACATATCCACTTAACAACGATCCATGAGCTGCACTCGCAATCGTCGCACTCGCGATTCCAATCACCCGGGCCCAAAACAGTGCCGTCAAGTTTTCGAGATCCTCATCCTCGCGGTCAAGCACGTACTCTGTCAGGATCAGGACCCCCAGGAAGAGCATGATGAGTAAGAAGGTGAGTATGCCTTGGAAGGCCAAGTAGATGAGCCAGTGGAGACCTGCGAGGTTGTATCCGGGAGAACGATCTTGAGAGCGCCGGAAGAACGGGTCGTCGCCGTCGTCGACATGTCCAGCAGTTGATGCGCCAGATATTCTTGATGTGCTGTTGTCATCAGGGAGATGGAGTGGTGGTTCTGGAGACACGGTGACGGGAGCGTGGAAGCGGATGGCTGCGGCTGCATTTGTAGGTCCTGTTGACTTAGGGAAGTTTTGGGGCTCTGATGGCACTGGTGTAAAAGACTGTAGCCCAATTGTGGGTGGATCTGTAGTCGGGATCGGCAGCGAGGCATGTGTATCGACAACCTGAATCTCGTCAGAGGATACTGCCACTGGCTGTTCAACAATGAAGAATAATTGCTGTTGCTTCTGGGAGGACACCATGTCACGCTCTTGCTGCTGTGGCTGTGGTTCTTCCCCGGTGCCTGAGGGTCTCAAGGTTACAGGGGTTGATGGGTTCAATAGGTGTGTTGGCACAAGTGTCTTGAAAAGCGGGCGATCCACTGGTTCTAGATCCTGCATTAGCGGTACACTATCTTCACCAATAGATTCCTGCTCCTGAATCCCCTGAACTTCCTGAACCGGTACATTGATCCAGTAGCCCGACAAGAACGACAATGGCCATGGCTCTGTCTTCTGCAGCGTGTCCTTCGAACCCTCTGAAATCCCAAGAGGCATGGCCTGAGCAGTGCCAGAATCCTTATCTCTAGCTGTTACATCTGTACTTCCTTGTCCAACGTCCGTTTGGATCACCACCGGTGCAACAGTAACCGGTTGGGACACCTGAAAGGGCTGAGCAGAAGAAGAGTCTGGTATTTGATGGTACATGGTGTTATGTTCGTTCGCCAGTAAATGTACCATCATTAAATGTGTCGCTACCAAGAAGCAGAGGCCGGATCCTGCCAGCATAACATAAGTCCTGGCGCGTTGAACTGTCAATGATATGCATTCGAACCGCTCTAGATATCGATATGAGAAGCAGAGGAGGGGAAAGGATGTCAAAGGAGGAATAAAGGCGACGAGAATGATGCCGATGGAGGGTATCGATACGAAGGGTGTTGATGAAGAGACGAGGACGGATGTGAGCGCGAAAGGGATATAGCCTAACGAGGCCACCGAGTGGAACAGGGCGTGAAGAATCGGTCGACGCACCATTGGCGATGCGTTCAGGTCGCTTGCTTTCGTGGGGTTAAAGACAGCAATGGCAATAGATGGCGGACTAATAAAGTCGAACAAACGAAAACTGGAAAGGAAGAAAGAGATACTAGAAGGAAAGGTAAGATGCATGTATATCTCGCTCTTCTTCGTACTAACGAAAGACAGAGGTGAGAATGCAGATTCTATTCTCTCCGAGGCAAAGACACGGCCCAAGAGGACAAAATGGAATGCAAAAGGGAGAAGCGTCGTGTTTCATTCTGGTCTAAAATGTCGAGCGCAGTGAGTGCTTCGCCATGTCCATACGCCGATATAGCAGGGATGGGTCCATTTTCACTCATTATCCTCATTGTCGCTATGTCTATCGGATTCTTTTTTTTTTTTTTAATATCTTTTATTCTCTATTCATCTTCTCAGACACCAAACGTGAACATCCAGATCGTGCAGCGTCTCTTCAGTTATAAACATCTTTCGCACCTCATCAAAAAAAACCTTTTCGCTATCTTTGGTCAGTGCCCTTCGCTTGTATCCGAGATAGATGGTTGTGTGTCCAGGAGTGCAGAGCTCATAAAGTGTTTCTAGCAGGGCCGCAAATGAAGTAGTCTCGTACACAACGTCCGACGCGATTACAATGTCGAACGGCCCAGTCCCCAAACGTTCCAATGGACGGGGTCCCCAGTACAGTGCTTTGGCGTTCACTTTGATCTTTGGTGATATTCTGTGCCGGTTTAAGGTTATATTATGCTTGATCAAGCCCAACGCGTGCTCAAGATCGGTCAGCGTGACGATCGTGGCGCGTGCCTTGGACGAAGCACGAGTGTGAATAGGCCTGGGCGATATCGATTGTGAAGCGCAGTTGACGAATGACGGTGAGGATGGTGATGAGGACGATGATGGTGATGATGAAGAGGAAGAGGAATACAAAAGCTGGTCGAGTTCATTTTGGGCCAAACCGGCGAGAAACACTCCAAGGAGGCCGGTACCGGCGCTTAAATCCAAGATCCGTTTGCCGGCAAACAGTGGAGAGCTTGAGTTGCGGATGCCCTCATTCACCATCCTTGAGAATATGTCCATCAAGACAAACGCCGAGTCCCAGACACGGCCTTGGGGGACATTGTTCCAAGTCTCTTTCAGCAACATGATCTGAGGACACTTGCCCTTGGTCCGTGGAATGTTGACAAGACGTAGAGCCTCTCGTTCGTCGCTGAAATTGAGTGAAGGCCGCGTAGTCAGAGAGACAGGGCCAAGTACGAGCGGTACGACTCCTTGCTCCGGTTCAGACCCAATGGTGATCCAAAATCTCTCTGGTGCGGTGGTTCCCTGCGTAGGCACGATGCGTATCTCTAGTCCTCCTCGACCGGATGGCCCAATCCCTGGACCTTGGAGACCGTCCAGATCAAGCCAGTTGGTTGACTGCAGCGCGCGCTTCTCGAGGCGGAGACCTTGATTCATTGGACCCTGAGTCGAGATATGACCATCCTTTTCAAACAGCAGGCAGCAATCTAGAGCCAGCATGGTCTGGCCCTCTCCGAGACGGAAGGAACGACTTGGGTCTGCTTCGTACTGATATCGTCCAAATTCGGTGACGAGTTCCAGGCTGACGCTAATCCACTTGCCAAGCTGGATACCGATGGGTATGGAGCACACCAAAACGAGTCTGTAGAGTGATTGGAAGTGGTTATCCATGGACGGTGAGGATGGCGGCGTTGAGGATGGGGTCAAAGAGGGCTCTGAGCAGCCATAGCAATCCTCGTCAGACAGAGGTAGGGACGGCGTGCTGTAGTATGAGGGGATTAGCGAGGAGAGCTCGTGGCGGGACATGAATAGGTGTTGCTCAGCTATCATTGGTGGGGTCCTGGGGCCTAGTGGCAGTGCAGGTTGGGTCTGTCGTAGTACGCGCCCACGATATAGTCGCGTGGAAGATGACAAGAAGAACAGGATATCGGAGGATTTTTTTCTCACTCTTCTTTTTTTCTTTCTCTTTCTCTTTTTCTTTTTCTTTGGCCCTATTTGATCAAAAAGCTGCTATGTGAAGGTGGTGTGGATGGTAGATGATTGAACTGTGTGTGTAGAAATGGATGAGGAGTTGAAACGAGCAGAGACGGATGGATAATGATGTTGATGGAGATGGCGGTGCAAAGGGATGTGTAGCTTGTCAACGGACACGATTGGAATGATGCGTGCAGCACGATCAGTGTAGGACATGGATTTGGTGTGGATGGTGTGGATGCATTTGGAAATGAGTGTGAGTGCGTGCGTTTATGGTGTGTGGTGCACGAAAGCAGCGAAAACCTCACTCTAACAAGCTCTCAAAGCTGGAGAACAGACGTATTCGCTACACCGCGTTATCCACACTACGCCTGCCCCTTGCAGATCGTCCCTTTTATTAATCACCACCGTCGCTGGTGACCCTGACAAAAAGGGAGCCGCACTCTATCTTTGCTAGCAGTATGCTCCAGTTCCAGAGGCCCCGTATCCTGCCTGCGACTGGCCCATTTGCTGCTGGTGGGATTGCTGCTGCTGCTGCTGCTGGCCCAATTGCTCTGCTATTGTCTCCTCGATCTGAGCGAGTTCGTGCTGGTCTGGCTTAGACGATGTTTGCGTCTGCATCTGGCCGGGAGGCGCATCTTTTGAAAGAGGCGATCCTGGATACACAGGAGGCGGATTAGTAGGACTCAGAGGCTCTATTGGATAAATCCAGGACCAATGGTGAATAAACGCAAACGAACGATGATGAAATGATGGAGACAAGCCTGACAACTGCTCAATGCCTATCTCTTCTAACCTTGGCTTGGAGTTGCTTCTCGAGGATCCATGTTAATGACTTGACTGTTCGGGACATCGTCCTCGTCAGCTTCATAGCGAGCAGTGTTCAAGAGGCGTCTTTCTTTCACTAAAATTGTCCAACAAGAAAAGAACAAGAGTGTCAGTTGCTCCACGAACAAAAACTGGTGACATACTAATCGACAAAAGTAGAGCTGGGACCCACCTGCACGGTACATGGCAGCGAACATGAGTGCCGTGACCACAACGGCGACAACAAGTAGTGCAATAAACCACCCCTTGACAATCCACAGATTCGGATCCAGACACCGGTTCTCCTTGCTCCAAAGATAATAATAGCCAAGTGCTACCACCAGGATCAAGATAAATGTTGTCACCTTCAGCGCCAAACTAAAGCGCTTTGAGGCCAGTACTGACGTTTTCGGTTTCCTGTTGCGCTTGATAATCGATGAGTCGAATGGAGTGGTCGCATCTAGCAAGGCTTGATGTTGCTGCCGAAGGTCTTTTTTGATGAGGTCTAGCTGGACATATTTATAGTATAGCGGCATGGCAATACCGCCACCAATAATGACAAAGAGAACTCCTATCAAGGCCCGGTGGGCATTCCCGCAGTTTGTGCCAAAGCGAATGTTCCTCGTTAACCACAGAGTGACTCCAAGCTATAGTATATTCAACCAGAAAGTGGAATTCATAAGAAACAGTGGCCGACATCTAGTGGCATGTTTGAGAACGAAAGACGAGGTAAGGTCGGCATACTGCAGCAATAACAACGAGCACGAGGAGCCAAGGGAGAACCGTACGGAGAGATGGGCATGAAGAGCATTTGCCGTGGCGTGTGTACTTTGAATCCCCATCCCTATGCTCTTTGACGTTACGTCTCTCGTTCACGTCGTTATAAAGAGCTGGCCCTGTTGGATAGAAAGTCGGGAGCATGGCCGTATTAACGGGTTGCGAGTCAATGACTGACGGCCCACTAGGCAGAGCTGCAGTATTGGAATGTACATCTGGGGCCGTTGCCAATGCTGGGGGAGTGGGATCACAGCAGCCAAGCGAGTCGCCGAGGAAGAGACAACATCCATCTCCGCAACTGGAACATCCTTCACAGCAGGCGCCACATTCACCGCAGCCGTCAAAGATAAGGCAGCAGGCAGAGCAGTCGTCGTCGCCACTACAGGGTTCAATATGCCAGGACATGTTAAAATGGGATCATGCTTGTACCATGGCTTGAGTGGCTTCAATAGGGGTTTCATAGCGAGAACACATTTGTGTCAGACGCGCCTACCATGTTATATCGTCATCCATGGTTGTTCTGTGTTGAAGGAAGCAGGATCCCTTGGCGATGAATGTCGAATGGAGAAATATATATGAGGAATGGAATCTACGTTGGTTGAGGCGATGAGCGAGTTGAAAGTTAAAAGTCGAGAGTCTCTGCTCTCGGTTCCATGCCGAACAAAATTAATGCTCTGTAGCTCATAGCCTCAGCCCAGGGAAACCTTCATTGACATACACAGAGGAATGTATGCCGCGTCTACACACGCGTCGTGAAAAATGTCGGCTGTGGAAGCTGGCGCACGCGGCTTTTCTGCTCCACACCCGTAAAGGAGCGGGCGCCAATTTTCTTCGACAGGCGAATAGCACCCTTTTACCCCGGCTTCGCCTTTGCCCAAGTGCTCACAACAGTATCGTACAGGTCTATAGAATGGGACCATTCTTTCATTGTTTGAATTAGAAGATGATGCGCCAACCTGGGGGATCACAGCCAAGATGAAACGAACTCCATACAAGGGGCCCATAGGGGGCCGGAGCGATGGGTATAGATACATTTGCGACGCCGACCACTGTCCCTGTGGTGCGTTACTCACCGACCATGCAAACGGGACCTGCCCTGGCTCCGTGCTCGACCCAGACGCAGCGGATCGGACGCTGCTGGACTGCCTGTAAGGGAGGAGGCGGTTGACAACCATGGAGGGGATGGGGAAGATACCCTTCTTGTAACAAGGTGTTTTCAGCTTTTAACACACTGATGAGGTGTGGCAATTGTTGCGCAGGCCCTAGGGGCAGGCCCGGGAAATGTGACCTGTCAACTGGCGACTGTGGATTGGTCCTGCTTTGGTGGAGAGGACAACTATGGGAGATAGATTCGGAGAGTCAATTGACTCGAGAGACAAATTGTTAACCAAACTCAAAATGAAAGGTCACTCATCCAGTGGGCGGGCAGTGTATCCGAGAGAAACCTCAAGGTTTCATCCGCATAGCGACATGCAGTGAGGAAGAACAACTACACCAGATTCAAGCTGTCGTCATGAGGGGGTACGTTCTTTTTAGGCGTGGGCGTAGTCGGACGAGGCCAGGGCAGTTAATGCATCAGACCTGGGTATCCTGAAGCCTCAGTCGGCCAAACAGCACAACCTTAGTGCGTCCATGACGATTGCCTATTTGCCGATCTCGATTTGACATTCGTTCCACGTTTGCCGTCGACATGAAACCTCAGATTCTTTTGTTACTATCGTATGAAGAAAAAAAGGAGAGGTGCATAGTCAGCTCAGCAACGATTGTGATTCAAGCTTAGGCAACAGGGCAAACAATGGGCGTAACCATAACATCATCTCTCTTCACAATCCGGAGGAGGTGGTGTCTATTCGTGTAACCGTTAGCAAAGATATGAGGCTCAAGAGGTACGACGATATTAGTTATAGTATTATAGCAATAGGTACCTGAAATAAGGAACGTGAAAAAAAGCTGTGTTACGATCAAAGCAAACATGATGTCCTTGTTCTGCACGTTGTTTTTAGCTGCAATGTGCAAGGTAACGTGTTAGACTCAATCCGAGAGTTCCCCGATTTCTCCAAAGATCTTGGCGAAAACGCGAAAACGAGATCCCCGATCCTGATACTGTCTCAAGTAACCGGTATTAAGATGCTTGGTGGAACCGTGTTCCATTCTATAGCCACTGGCGTTAAGAGCTAAGAGAGCTGGCTATGCTACCGGGCTGGCAGAGATCTAGTTTTGGGGATTAGAGTATGAATCCACGATTAGTCGGCTGCCCAATACACTGCTTCCCGGAAAGGCCGATTTAGGTTGAAGTTGGTACCGTCTTGCTAGATACAATTGGGAAAAAAAACGCGAGCAATATAGGAGAAGCAGACCCATTCGCCAGGGTTCAGTTTTACTTTACGATCGAGCGAGTCCTCTTGAAATGAGTATTCCCTTTTTGGAGAAATAGGGGTTGTTGCTGAGGTTAGTAGCAATCCATTCCATTCTGATGGGAACAACAGAGACGAGGACAGCTGTGGATGGATACGCATGACGCAGACACGCATGGGCGATACGCGATCCTTCAGCAGTTCTAGGCTGCCGAGATCATGACGACCAAGCTGAGAAGCGTGGGCGCGGCAGTGCATCCAAGACATCTTGTGTGTGCGTGGCAGGAGCGTGTTTTGGACAGGTGGTGACCATGATGTGATAGACTTCAAGATCTAATCCTAATTTCCTCGGCGAAAACTCCACTGCAACGATCGCACGCTGCCATTGGTCAGTGTTTCGCGTGCCTCTTGATTATTTTGCTGTCAAACGTGCCTTAGACTACCAAGATGAAGGAGGAAAGGGGGGGTCTGCTTCTCATTTGGATGTGAATGTGCAGTGCCCACTACACAGCGCTTTGAACGACAGCTGAAGATGCCGATCGAAGTGTGCTATGGGAAAGGAGGGGTGGGTCCAGGTAGGGACGGTATTATATAATACATATTGGTTTCTGAGCAAAGAAGTGTGTCTCTACTAGTCAGTATGCTGCTTACAGTAGAGGATATGTCAGATTTCTAATTGTCTCGCCCTTTTGCCCTAAACTGCACTTGGGAGGTCTTATAGACACAACACATAATAAACATACCCCCTTCGCTTACTTTTTACTTTGAGACATCGGCTCTTTCTTTCTACATCTGCTACCGGCGATATAGGGCGATATAGGGCGATATAAATAAGGACTTTGTTACTCCTCTTCATCCTCGCCACTCCCTCCTCCTCTCTTTAATCTCACTTCTCCTGTGCTTCGCTGTTTTTTATCTTTTTTTTTTCTATTCTCTCTGTTCTCTTTGTTCGTTACCCCATCACACTTGGACGCACACTCCCCTCTCTAACCCAGGCACCGAAATAATATTGGCCCACCGCATCTTTTCATAATCCACCATTCTCTCACTCTCACTCTCACTCTCACTCTCACTCTCGCACTCACACTCACATTCATCAACACCTTCTTCCTGCTATCCAGCACGAGCCCTCTTTGATACCAGTGCTCTCGTTCCACAGCATCGTTGTCCTGTGCCCCGCTCATTCATTCATTCACCCATCCATCCATCAGATAACTCTTCTCCCCGCAGCACAGCAAAGCAAAGCGATCAAAGAAATATGACCGATACTTGCTTGATGGACGTCGACATCGCCGTAATGGCTAAGCCCAGCAGCATACCAGTCATGCCCGAGAACATCTGGCTCGACATCTTCAACTACCTAACCCTCCAGGAGAAGTTCAAGATTTCCAGGTATGCATAGATGGCACACTCTCCATGGATTCGTATACGCCTCATCTGCACTCCCTCTCTCCTTCCTCGCATCTCATCCTTACACTACACACATCCTCGAGTCAACACCTGTTCCGTCTTACAAGAAAACTAAATCATATCGAACCAGACGTCTGAACCTGAACCTGAACTTGAACCTGAATCCCCAGTTCATGCTAACCAACACACAACCTGTGTGTGTTCGTCTCGGCGAATGCTGTTCCTCTCTCTGTCTGCAACAGCACCTGTCGCACCTGGCACCGCATCCTCGCTGATCCATCCCTTTACACCCATCTATGGCTCGACCGCATGGAGTTCAACACCCTGGTTCAATGTATGCAGCAGCTCTGCCGTCTCGCACCCCGGATAAAGTCCCTCCAGATCTCAAACTGCTACTCCTCCTTCATCTCCAAGACCACGGTTCCGGTCCAGAACACGGCCATTATGCACCACTTCCCACAGCAGCATGGTATGCACTCGCTTTACTCTCACATTACATCGTTTACCCTCCCTCGGCGCCGGGAAGAGTACCGCAAGCTCGGTTTCACCCTCCACCAAGACTTCTCCCGAGCCCTCGTCATCCTGATGGAACAGAGCCAAGAATCTATCAAGTGTCTTGAGATCCAGGATAACTTTCTGGATCTTGAAATGACCGAGCTGATCTTTTGTATTGTTCGGTATGGCCGCCATCTCGAGCACTTGCTCTACGACGCTAACAAGGATGGTGGATTTGTTGCGCCCGAGGTTGTTAGCGCCATTACTGCTGCATGCCCCAACATCCAAAGCTTCCGTGGCCAACACGCCATCTCGGACACGGTATTGCGTAGGATGATGACCGGCTGGGAGGACCTCAAATCTGTCACATTGGCACCCTACCAGTCCACGACCATAGGTACCAAGGAGGTTAGTCTGGAGGGACTCTGGTCTTTGCTCGAGTGTGGCAAGGTTGAGACCCTGGAACTGCTGGATCTGGATTGCATCTCAAATGATAATATCCGCACGATGATGCAGCGCGTCAAACACCTCCAATCCATGTCCCTGGTAGATCGTCCTTCGAGCCCTATCGTACCCAGCCACCCCTTTGCCCATCTCGCCTCTCGTTTTCCATCCCTGGCAGAATCTCACCACTTTAATAACTCTTCGCCCAAACCATTCCCGGGCGAATCTGTCCGCCACTTGACCTTGACAAAGTACACATCAAGTCCGCTCACGCTCCCTGGATTCGTTGCACTGATGAGACTGTTCCCTAATCTCGAGACGCTCAAGTTCACGACGAACTTCTTTACCTACGACCACCAGTTCCAAGGCTTGACAGCAGAGATTTACGGGGAGGAGATCAAGCTGGTGGAGACGATGATCCTTAATGAGATGAACGATCGCTGGTCGTCTGAGCGCGACGCCTCCACCTGCTGGATCGGGAACTGGCATGCGCCCTTGACACAGGAGCAGAGTCTTCGAGTTGGGATCATGCGCCCTCTAGTTTCTTCACCATGAAATGTGATCTTTGTCCTATCCTACCATGTATACCACTAGTATCTCTAGTTCTTGCTACCGTTTACCTGTTTACCAATCTCTTCTCAGCTCCTTCCACCCACTGTAATTGCTACACTGCCCTTTTTTTGTTGTTGTTGTTGTTGCTTACCATAGTCTTTGTAGTCCAACCTTGTTCTTATATTGTATCATAAACCAACATTTGCACTCTTCGTCAGCTGAACACCCTCGCGCAGGCGCATGTGTACTTGTCTATCCCCATCTGAGACAAAAGACAAAGAAAGGGTCTGGGCCATGCTCAAAAAAAAGGGTCGTGGACCTGAACTGCTTTGTCATCTAGTTGTCTGCGTGCCATAGACTAGCAGGGGGTCCGAGTGTCCGAGTGTGAGACATGTTGTGTCGTGGCTGGAATACGAAGTGAGCATTTTCACAACAACCATCATCAACCTGTCTGTTTGTCTGCAGTCTAGCATAGAAGGCCAAGACAACAACAACAGCAGCACGCGTTCGGCCGTGTTCCGATAGACTAGGGAGCCCATGCATGCGGAGCCGCCTCCGATTTGCGTTCACTGCGTTCAGTGCGTTCGTTCAGGATGGATTTTCAGAATCTCTTTGGAACAATTTAAACCTTTTGTGCCTGTGCGCGTGCTTACAGGAAAAAAAAAAGGCCATGTATCCTTATTTTCATTCCAGGACCAAGCAACAGACTTTATTTCATCAGATCCTACAAGCGCAATTGTGCTCCCTCGCCTCCAAAATGGCTCAAGTACTTAACAACAATCTCGCCTAAAAAAATAAATAAATAGAACCAGGACCTATGTTAGTATTGATGGCTTGGTTTGGATGGGCTTCACTGGACTGCCATAATGTTCAAACCTAACTAATAAAACGAAATGAAAAAAAACGGTTCCTTACCTGCTGCAACAATGACAGCGATGACGATAAGAATGATGATGATCCAAGTAATGTAGTTCATGTTGTTCGATGCAAGGTCGTCCCGCAGCATCGTCAGTAAGTCTGAGATCACCAGGCAGCGATCGCTCAACACCTTGGCTCGCTGGCCGATCTCAAGATACTGGCGAATGGCATTGTATAACGGCTGCAGCTCTGGTTCTGACCAAAAAATCTCAGGCGTATCTATATGGCGGAAAAAGAATACCGAAAGTTAGCAAAGTCTTTACTTCCCATTAATGTCTGTGTCTGCGTCCTCAGTCCGGGTGCTTTGCTTTCATACCAAGCACATTCGACACAAGATCGACATTCATGCGAAGCTGGAACAGGTGTCCAGAAATTTTTGTGATCTGGGGTCTCGAGTAGTTCAGTTTTCCGGTTTGCGCCAACTGAATGGGGATGATCTTTGTATCGTCGATAGTATCGTCCATTTGACATTCGTACAGTGCCAGCTTGACAGACTGCGAGATGGCGTGGGATATTGTCAGCTTGATCATATGATTTCCTCCTCGCAGTGTAATCCTAAAGAACAGAGCATTGCAAACATGAATATATAGCCTCAGTAAGCCTCAGAAATAAAGTGATTCGAAGTATGAGAGCCCCTTGCCGTGACATAACTTACATGTCGTTGTAGATTCTGGGAGTGGAGTAGCCTGCGTACTCGAAATGGAACTCTTCTATCTGCACGTCGTCCGGCAACAGCCTCTTGACCTCGAACTCCGAAAGGTCGTCCAGGATCCATGCCTCTTGCTCGACACTCATGTTCCAAAAAACCGTGACGCCATAGTCAAAGAAAAATACTTCTCCACCCATAAATGGCGCCGCAGCTGGCTGTGGTGCCATCGTAAGTAAAGCTTCTATGCTCTCTGCGTGCCCAGCTGACGGCGATTTGATGACAGATGTCTGATCTTCAAGTGCATCCACGAAATAATCCTGTGATTCAGGTGCAGTCGATGTGCTCCGGCTCGAAGTCTCACCCTCATGAGCAGACATTGCCATACCTATATCGCCGTCCTTTGTGTGTCTGCTGGATCGACTACTCGCGCGACGTCGATTTTTAAGTTGACCGCGCTGATGATAGTCCTCGTTTGTCAGATCCCGTCCTGATGTTGAGCGCCTGTATCTCTCCTCGTCATCAGCATGCTCTAATGATCGAGAGTAAACCTCTCCTGTGTTCTCCTCATACTGCTCCAACTGCTTGTCCAAGATTGAGCCACCTCCAGGAGATCGAACTGGTGGCGCTGACATATATCTCGTCGTCCTTCCAGGAATGAGAGGGAAGTGATAGGCAGTATACAGGGCCTCATCATACAGTCGAGGCTGGACACCATGGTTGGCCTTCAAGTACGCAGACAGTCTTTTGATATCGTATCCCTCTGCAGTGCAGTACGCAACCACTCTATTAGAAGCAAAAAGCGACAAAGATTGTTAGATTCTACACTGACCTTGAGAGCCATTGATTATTGATTATTACATCGTGCCTTTTAGAATAGTGACATGCTCAAAACAACAACAACAACAACAGCAAAAAAAAACTTGCCTTGCAAGGCCCTTGGAATTTCTCTGCTCCTTCGTCAGCAGCTCTGAGCGAGTTGGTGCCCGTCCGTGTAAACCTCGTTTCCGGATCCTGAAGTCGGATTCGTCACGGAAGGCATCAATCTCTGGATCAGAGAAAGCTCCCTCTGCAAAGTCGGTATCATCCTCCTCAGCCTCCTCCTGATCTTCTGGCAACATAACCAACTTTTGCGAGACCTTAGTCGTACGAAGTGGCACCTGTTTTTGTTTTGGAGTGCCTGGGCCAGGACTCACAAAGCCGGATTGATAGGCACTGGCATTGGCGCTAGCAGTGTTGATCCTCATCGGCGTATTGATAGCTCCATATGGCGTCCTAGTGGCCTCAGTACCTCCGCTCGCGGGATGAAAGGCGCGTCTGGTCCTGAACGAGGTATCTGGAAATAGCTGACGAGGGTTTGGAAGCGGACTGGAGGAGATGAATTGGATATGGTTCTGGTGCTGATAATGGTGAGGAGTATTTGACTGAGGTGCGCCCTGCTGTCGCTGTTGACGTTCCTGAAGCAGGGGTAGGTGCGGGTTGTTGGGAGGTTGCGACTGCTGATCGGTCATGGTGATGAATCGTTCGTTGCGGGATCCGATGTAGAAGGATGTGAAGAGGGCTCAAATGACGTATTGTGCAATGCAATGCAAAAAAAAAAAAAAAGAAAAGATGTGCACGGTCACAGATCAGCCTCTTCTGGCGCCCATGTCCTTCAATCGCTTCGTCCCTTGAAGTTTTTGGGAGAGAAAGCGTAATCCATCGGATACATTTTATTGATAACGTCCACTAAAGCACTACATAAGAGAGAAAATGATAAAGAGGCCTCGGAGTCGGGTGCAGTGCAAATTGAAGAGGAAAAAAATACGAAGGGTCTACCCCAACGTGTAGTTCAGTCATCATGCGCGCCTAAACACGTCCTTCGTAGACCGGAGTGTTGAGGGCCATATGCGCAACAATCATATCCTTGACATCCTGTGGGGGGTCCAGTCCCTATTGAAACCATAAAAAAAAAGAAAACTATCAGCGCGGTTTGATAATCCGCCGTAGCAGCACCTCAGAGAGTCCCTTGCTGTCAACACACCAGCTCAAGGGCACGTTCCCAGCGCTCAAGTCTCGTCAGTTCTGTGCAAGGACCGTATTTGGAAGTAAGATCAAACTGACGAAGCACTTTCTCCGCGCCCAAAAGGTTTGCTTGGTGGACTATTTCGTTCCATTGTAATTGTTATAAGACGGAAATCAGTACGCGCGCTCTTAGTTGCAATGACGATCTAGCTAGCAAGAAGCCGAGGTAGTCCAATTGATGCTTACATCCAGCATAGATATCGCCAATATATGGAGCAACGTATGACACAGCGTTTGTGCTTTTGGTCGTCTTTTTCTGGCCGGTAAGCGACGCAGTCCCATTTACGGATTGCTTTTGGATCTCAGAGCCCTTCTTCGTCGTCGTGATTCTCTCCTCCAGGACCTTCGCCTTCTCTATCTTTCGCAAGTCCGCCTCAACAGCATCAGAGTCGTCCGACTGAACCTCATCCTCTTCCTCTTCCTCTTCCTCTGAATGAGCCTCATCTTCACCCTGATCGCTGTGCAGTGACGCCTTTTCCTCATCCGAGTACTCTGTCTCATCGATCTCGTCGGGAGCTTCCTCCTTGTCCTTCTTTGCGTCCTGATGCTCTTCTGTTGCCATTGTCGGAGAAGTTACCGAGTGCAAACTGGGAGTGGTTGCCTTTTTGGCGGCCACGACGCGCTGCACTGTCGACAGCTTCTTTCCCCGCTGGAAGAAGTTCGCGGCGGGCTCAATAGCTGTAGTTCGTTTCTTGGGTGGTGCCATTGCTTGTTATCTTGTGTAGTGAACAGGGGAGTAGAGGGAGTTGCCTTGTATGCCACTTGTGGTAGAGAGTAATTGAGGTGCGGTATACGTCATGTGATATGTGCGCACAACCTGGGTTGCCATGCATTGTTTGCCAACCCCCCTCTAATTGACCGCTGATGCTGCCCACTGCACACTTGTCCACCGCAGGCTGCACTAACTCACATCTGCTTGCTCTTACCATTCCTCCTCACTGTCCCACTACTCCTCCTCCTCCTCCTCCTCCTTCTTTACCCCTGCTGAGGAGTCATTACACTAGCCTACCCACATCCTCGTAGCATGGATCCAGCTGTACTGAGTAGAGCCGACCTGACCGCTGCCTCAATCGCCAAAATAAGTCTCGTAGCAGCAGTCAATTAGGGGGGGTTGGCAAATAATGCATGGCAACCCGGGTTGTCAAATAGATAACTTGCCCTAGGGGCCTCAGCAAAACTTGGACGCGACACAACCACACGACACGAGTACATGTAAACCACGCTGCCGTGCATATTATGCTGCAGTTCAAACGTCCATGCAGCCGCAAGCGGCTCTCTATTTCATCGAGGACTGGACAAAGTGCTCGTTGCCTCGTTCATCTCTTGCATATGAATGAACGTACGCTTTCGTGGGTTCCTGCATACAGACGTCGAAATGATCGACTGGGTGCCCAAAATGTTTTAATATTTCTTAAAATATTGACGGCGGTGTTCTCGATCGAAAAAAATATATTCAATCTATGCGATCGATCGATCAGTCTAGTTCTCAGATCTCTCTATGTTTGGTCAAGAAATAAATCGTCTCTTCTCTTCAGAATTTCCTTGCGGAGTGCACATAGTCTATGCAAACTACTTTTTTCTCGTAATATTCACTCAGTCACTTGAGTGTGTAGTGTGTGTCTGACGATATTCTCCTTTCACCTTACTGGAAATTTAGTCCGCGGAGAAAGGAGTGCGCCAACTGCAAACAGCAAGGCCGCAAGCCAAGGGTAGTATATCAAAAGGCCGAATGTAAGATTCATGCCGGCATGCCAGCCTGTCCATAGGCTGCGTACTGTATAATGGTCGTTTTGAATATCTCCGTTTTGTCATATCAAAACAACGCGCGCCTCACCCGTGTCACCCTCTATTTGCCTGCGCCGGTGGGCGCATATGATATCTTTGGGAAGATTCCCGTCCCTTTTTCTCTTCACGTTTCTTTCCTCCGCAATAAAATCACGCTGTAGTTTAAGTATACTATTATATGTCCTTGCCTATTAACACGAACAATGGCATCCTCATCAACCCTCTGTATTCTATGCTTATTATTTATTATTATAGTATATGTACGAGAGTTTTACATTGCAGCCTGCGACGTGGTGATTTTCTTTCCAGCAAGTAAGTTCCAGCATGTTTCCAGGTCATGACTCATGGTTGCCAGATCAAAGTTTAAGAATGTCAGGAACTCGGCTTCCATCCTGTCCAGGTCTTCTACCTGCAGCATACCTCCTGGAGATGAAGAAGGCACTGGTTGAATGATCGACGATATTGAGGGGGGTTGTGTTCCATTGGCTGACGAGGAGGGGGGAGATTGAGATGGCGGCTGACTCTGTCGCGTTTGCGCATGATCAGAACCAGACTGAGCGGGCGATGTGGGACTTGTTGTCGTGCTACGTGCAGTAGCAGCATCGGGCGCAGTGGTGGACTGCGGCTGTCGGTAAAATGAGCCGAGATTCAACAATCGAACCCATGCACTGTTGGAAAAAATTAGCTCAGCCTCCAAAGTCTGCTCCGAAGTCGCTGCATCCGTGAAAAAAGGGCCGTCCGTGCTTATTTCGTCTGGTCTGCCGCCGCGATCTTGGCCGTCCTCCCCTTCCTCCCCCTGATTCTCTGGCCCAGGCGGTGCTAGTTCTACACTGCAACGGTACTTAGCTGCGATGATGAACGCCACTAAGAAGAGACGGTGCGAACATCCAGGTTCACCCCTGGCCTCAGGATGTTTCTATTGAAATGAAAATCAAACGTCAGTTAGTAAAGAATAGCAAAAAAACAAAATGGATTAAGAGCCTTCTATGAAGCATTTTCCTTACCGCTTTCAGTCTGTCCACGTAGATGAGGGCCAGAGTCAAGGTAAGGTTCGGGTATGGTATCCTGAGAAGTGGTGGAAGGCTTCTGGCAGGTGCTGGTGGATTGTGCGTTGCCCATGCTATTGTTAGATTGGGCTGTGGCGACGCATGATGCGAGCGTGGCGGGTATGGCTGCGGATGAAATTGAGACATTGCCAGATTCGCTCCATGTTGTTCGCAGTCTTGATTTCCTTCTCTTAAGCTATGGTCATCCCACTGAAGCTGTGTCGAAGGCTCGCGACTGTAATTTTGCTTTGCTGAGGAACGATTCCCTGGCTGTTCGATCTGATGCGTGTTTCGCTGTGCCGGATAGCGATGGTAATCGGGTGAATATCGATGCCGCCGGCTAGACTCTGACTTAATCGGACCAGGTCCTACGTTACAATGAAAAAAGTGGGATCGAGTTGGTTCCGATGGCATTAGTTTATTGTTTATACTGCCAAGAATATTAATTCAAAAAAGTGCATTTTTTGTGTATTACCAGACGAAACGGCGGAGGGCCGTGAATGTGCGCTAGAGGAATGATCTGTGGCCCGTGCCTGCTCTTGCTGCTCTTGCTGCTGTTGTTGGTGCTGCTGCTGCATAGCATTTACTTGAGGTTGTGCACTTGGGATGCCGGCCGTTAGCGACAGGATGTGGCGGATATAGTTCGCCAGAGACATCAGCCGAGCTGCATGCGCAGGGTCATTTTTGGATGATGACGGACTTGAGGTAGCAGCGCTAGCATTTCCATCCGACGTAGCTGCTACTGAGGTAGGCGTTGTCTCAGAAGGGGCGGCAGGTTCCCAACGGGACGCTGTCAAATGGGTGCAGAATGCTAACAATAGACATCAAGAGTAAGCATCGCGTGCATGGTATACACAGGGTTAGAATCCGCGGGATAAATCAGCAGTAGCTGTTCCGTCCAGGCGACCTGCGTAAATGCAGTCAAACATGTATATGTTCGGCCAGAACGCAGAACGGAAAACAAAAAAAAAGGATTTGCCGTCATGGAAAGGACGAGGAGTTGGACGGGAAGAAAAAAAAAACTAGGGGAACATCAAAGAGATGACATGCATATCGCGGGCTGAGAGTCAGGCAGTCCAAGAGAACAAAAGAACAAAAGCAGAAGATGCTGCATGTGGTGGACATCCTTCAAGAAGCAAACAAACAAACAACAAAGGGGCAGAAAATCGAAAATCAAACTACCGTGTATTGTCATCGCCATCATAGACTAGCAATATCCATGGATATAGTAATGTAGTGATATAAAGCTGCTTACCTATCGTGCGATATTCGACCTTGCCACTGTCTATCTGCTGAAGTCTGTCAAAACTCTTTTTCATCTGTGATCTCTGACCCAAATAGGCCCTCTGGCATTTCGCACTAAATAGGGCTGGAGTGGGGAGAGGCTGGAGAGGACCGTCTTCGAACCGCACCTTGTTCGGGTGCATTGGGTGTGGCGAGAGTGAGGAGTTGTAGGCCGATTGATGTTGCTGTTGATAGTCGAGTGAAGAGAGGGATGCAGTAGATCGATTGGGAGTCTTTAGGTCGGTCTTGATCCTATCGATCACAGATGGCAGCCTGTTGCTACTCCGCGGAGCACCATAGGGAGACGATCTGTACGCAGAAGAGGGGAGTCGAGTTGTTGATCCATGATAGGAATGCAGCTTATGGGAGAATCCATCGGATTGGTCATGACGATGGTGGTTTCGGAGGTGGGCGACGGAATACGTGGTTGTTTTTGTCGCCCCAGGACTTCCGAGGACAGTGTGGAGTACATCTTCGTGGCGACTGCCTGCGTCTACAAAAGAACTGCGAGCCCACGAGCTGGGCGATGGCGAGGAGGATGGTTGAGGTGAAGGAGAGGAATGCCGGTCAAATGACGCATAGGATGCTTCATACTCAGACCTGTAATTGGATGTCGTGGAAGGGTGTTCGTTATAGGTCTGTGAGACGTTCATGTTGGCAGACTGGAATATCATTATGGATATTTCTTTCTCTAAGTTCTCGGAATGAATTAAAAGGCTGGGCAAATGACGACAGGTGTTGCGCACGGAACGCTTATGGTTGTGGTAAGGTGTAGGGGGTGGAAGGGATGTATCAAGATGAGTATAGGGCAGTTATAGAGGGGTAGTAGGGTTGAGGCAGGAAACTGTGCAGCGGGAAGAGGTACAGCAGGTCGGAGTCAAGCAGCGTGTAAGTGTATTGAAGAGGATGACGGCGCTGGAGCGGGAGATTGCAAGGAGGAGGAAGGGTGGTAGGAGCAGTGGCTATGATATAGCGATCGAAGAGTGGGTGAGTGGATGATGAAGAATAAGCGGGTCTTTGTGTACGAGGGAGGTGAGATGTATGTTACAATGTGATGCAAAGATTAGCGAGGATGGATAAGGGAAAAATGAAGAGGAGGAGAGAGGAGAACGAAGAGAAGTAGGCCTGCTTATATTGATTTTCACCTCTGTCGCCCCGCATCTGTGCCACGACCAGACATAGGGGGATGAAGGATGTTGTCAGATCGATCGCTTATGCCTTGATGGGAATAGTTGCGGAGAAATGGCGGAGAACGAGAACGGGACAGCAAGGACCTTTGATTAGCGATGGGCGATGCTGTTGCGTGGCCGTAGTGGTACTAGAGGTGATGGTGATGGCGATGGTGGCGGTACTGGCGACGATCAGGAACAAGGGGCAGGGGATAGAGAAATGAAATAAAAAGAGCAAATAACCGACGAGAACCAGCTCTTTGTATTCATTGTCATCGGTGCCTGGCAGAGGGGCATGTCTGAGAACAAGCGCTATCGAGTTTTTGTTCAGTCAACACACGAACAAGCATCCAGTGGAAGGGAATAATAAATTGCTATTTTTTTTTTTTGCATTCTTCCGCGGAACATTGTCGTGCAGCAGAAGAAGGGAATGCAGCCGATCGTCGTGCTTATTATATCCCTGAATTGGTATTGTGTTCCCACTCCGCGTGGGTGTGGCTATAAGGTTCAACTCCAAAAGCGCTACAGACAAAACTACTCCTCATTCTATGCTAGACGAAAGTAGCCCATTCTGGAAACTGGAATATACAAGACCAATAAATAGAGCCCTGGTAGTGGTGATGACGATCGAAGTTGTTTGTCGTTGTCCTAGAAACCTACTATGAATCTTGTAATCAGGTCCTGATTTGATGCAGGTCCATAAAATCAGATCTGTTGAACCTTGGTCCGCGGCCCCTGGGTACCTTACCGGAGCAATATATACATAAACACGAGCCCACCGGTCGACCTGATCGGACAATAACTACGGTCGTAAGGATTACAATATTAGTCCATTGCTTTGAACTCGCCTTAGGTTAAAAGAGTGGCAGTGGCAGCAGGCATACCACCACCGATCAACAGCTCTTGGGGCTTGTTAGTCCCCATGCACGCATGAATGAAGTAGCATAAGGAGGGATCCGCGATAACAATAGTCTAAGATGCCAATGACAACGACAAACTCTGAGTCAAGACGTGCTTACAGCATCTGTCAGGAGCTTACAGAAAGCCCTTGAGACGAAGCGTGGAGTAAAAGAGCTGCCCAAAACCATGCTGAACATGTCCTTCCTATTGCTTTTGAACGGACTCGCATGTGGGTGGTCTTTGCTTACTCAGGGCTATATCCAGAGCGCATTCAACTACTGCACGGTTCTATAACGCGCAACGTAAAAGTATTTTTGTCTAGCCATAACTCGTAGGCTGGTATTATACTAGGAGCCTGGGCTTTGCGTGTCTATCTTACCACTCTCTCTAAATGGACGCCTTGGTTGGTCTCGATTGGGTCTATCTATGAAGGAATAGCATAGTTATTATTATTAGGTCAAGATAAAAAGACATTGCTCGTCGATCGGATTAGGCAATATTATATAACATTGGTGTCACCATTTCGGAACCCATTTATTCGTGGTTTCAGGATGCCTGGCTAGACTTATAATGCAGAACATCCGCGCCATGAGCAACTGTGGAACGTTCTGGCAATCGACCGAGGAGTATGCAGTATGGAATGGATTTGCTAGGCAAATGGCCACTGACCATCTGACCACTGCACTCTCCTCGGTGAGAGAAAGCGTTTCTTGAGTTTAGCACGTCCAAACAATGGTCATCCCTAAAAATGCCGTTGATTGAAAAGAGAGCCCCGAGGGCAATGGATTGCCGTGGCAGCTATTGTAGTGGTACGGTATCGGGATGCGTCATCCGAAGTATTGTGGTACCACAAGCAGTAGAAGACGTTCTGAACAAAGAAGAGGCGAAGTCAAGCGAAGGAATGAAGTGCAATACCACACCAAAAGAAAAACTTCTGCCAAGTGCTGTGCGCACTGTAATCTCCCTCAGCAGAGCTCATTATGGCCCAAGTTGGTGGTGAGCGGATCCACTATAATGACTGCTACCATAAGTTATTGAGTGCTCCCGGTAGAGAGTCGATGCGTGTGGGTAAGCATGGCAACTCACACGGTTATTGTTCGCTTGCCAAATAAGGCGATGCTGTACGTTATAACCTTGTTCCATTCCCCAGCAAGCAAAGCAAAGCAAAGCAAAGCAAGCAACGCTCTTTTTGTTCTGTGTTCTGCAACAAAGACGAACTTTCTCAAGGCTTCAGCGCGAGTGGCGAAACGACAGATAAAATGGCCTCCTCAAGCGAAGCAGACAAAGACGCGAAGGGTGCGACAAGCAAGAACTTTATCGATCTCTACGACGGAGCAGACGATCTCCTCGATTATGGCGACACGTACGATCTCGATGCCGATCTGCTGGGTACAGACCTCGCGAATGTTGAGGACTACGACGAGTTTGACCTCGGCGTAGATGACGAGTTTGCGATTGATGCAGCCGAGGAGCTGTTTGCGAACACCAACAGTGAGCACAGCAAAGCACAGGAACCGAACAACACCAGCAACGGCAAACTCGCGACTGATGATGCTATGAAGGACCGCAACAGCGGATCATCCAACGATCCAACTGAATCCACCTCATCAGCCTTGCTCACGCAAGATACCGGTACTCGAAACAGTAGCAATGGCATCCAACCCTCATCTCAGAATCAACAGCGCAATGAGAACTATGGCGAACAGAACCGCCAAGTGGCCAATGGCCGTCAGCCGTATTCTACCGCTGCATCTTTGCGTGGAGGCCCAGGTCGAGGAGGCATGCGAAGCCGCGGACAGAACTATATGGGGATGGGGCGCGGCAACTTTCAAGGACACCCCGGCATGAGCCATCATAATATGATGGGCATGAACATGGGGATGGGGATGGGGATGGCTATGGGCAGGGGGGGCGTAAACGGCGCCATGGGCCAGAACATGAATATGGGCGTGAATATGAATATGAACATGCCCATGCAAATGATGAGCATGGGCATGGGTATGGGAATGGGGCCTCGCTTTCCCAGGTAAGTAACGCGGATACTACTTGCATTATGAAGCACCGAGCGAGCTTTTCAAATGAGTCTCTCCATCTCTAACGCTTCTTTTTATACGGCGTGAATTAGGGATAACTTCGGTAACCAGGGTATGATGTATCCATATGGTAGTGGACAAGGGATGGACGGTGGACGGATGAACCCTGGCATGGGAGGCATGAATGTCCGGGGGCCGGGTATGGGCGTGCCAGGCAGGACCATCCATATCAACCCAAACTTCCAGAAGCATATCGGGACGCCAGGCGTCCCAGGAATAAGTGCCGCCTCTTCTCAGCAGCCATACCAACAGCAACGACTCCAACCTCAAGACACGGCTAAGAGTCAAACACGAACATGGGAAAGCAGTTCCAGCGAGGTTACTACTCAGATAGCACGCTTAGGAACGCATGATGTACGCGATGACGATCGTCATGAAAAGAACCAACGGTATTCTGTACGTATATGTGCCATGGTATCATTCGAGGGCATGCTTCAAAAACCTTTTATTATGCTGACACCTCTGCTTCATCACTTGCACAAAGGAACGAGACGATGGGAGGAGTGGTTATGATCGATCGAGCAGCACGTCAAAGCCCAGTTCGGACCATGGAGATCGGCACATCGGGGATTCCTATCGACCCTCAGCCAGAACAGACAACGATGGCGGACTATCGACTACAGGAGGCATCTCCGGTAGATTGTCTGGTGGTATGCCAAGGCGGAGCCAATCACCATCTATCTCAAGAAGCACAGGATCTATAGCCAACAGACTAACACCAGGATTGAAGCGCTCAGGAGAAGGACTGGAGGATTCGTCAAAGTCACAAAAATTGAGTGGAGAAAGCACCCCTCGCAGCGAAGAATCCCAATCTTTAAATGCAGATAGAGACCCCGGCTCTGTCTCGTTCCTGCGACGAGAGCCACCTCAGTCCTCGAGAGAATCAGGTGACAGAGGAGCGAGTGCTGAACCAAAGGGGTTTGTCAAAATGGAAAACGTGCCTGAGGCCTTATCCGACGAATCGATCCGCAGATTAGCAGACGGCATCTCTGGAGTCGATCGTGTTCTCGTAAGAGCTATTTATGAGGGCGAGAATGTTTAAGAAGCCAATGGCATGGTAACGTCTCGCTTATATTTACTCTTTCTCTTCTCTTTCCACACTTGATAGAGCATTTCTAAGAAGGGCGGCCGCACTGTGACACTGGGATTTGCCTCTGTGGACGAAGCCAAGTTCTTCCGTAGACAGATTAATAGGTTCGGACGCGTGCTATTGAGACTGCTGCATCAGATAATTTCTTGGTTGTCTTGGATATTTCTACATTCCCTTCCACTAACGCTCACTCTTTGCTTCCCTTGGTTTATCATAGGACGACAATCGAGGGTTCTTTGGTCACAGTGACCCTGAGCAACTCATAAATATCATTTTGATCCGCGTCGCGTCGCGATCGCGATATGTTTAGCTTATGCGCATCTTCTTTCTTGGTGATACTTCTATGGGTCGCGGAAGGCCATTGTATTTATATGTATTTGTATTTATATCCATTTTCTAATCATTCCACGAAACGAGGATGGTCTCAGCGTGAGAACACATTGTCAGAGAGAGCCTCTTGTTGAGGTCGACAATAAACATGGGAGCTTTTATGGAAAAGGACTTGAATGTATATGATGAGCTAGTGCATCGACTTGGATCGTTTGGGATCATATAGCGGCACTGGTCTTCCAGGATCATTCAAACCAGGATCCTCCAGGAGTTCATGTGTGGCAGCATCTAAGTGCTGGTGGGCCTCATTCTGACGTTGGTGGCCTTGCTGGCCTTGGGGATACGGTGTCGCGCTGAGATAGTCCTGTTCTCCGGACTGAACGTGGCTAGTCATCCTTAGGAGTCGAAGCGGCGCAGTCATACCATTCACGGTTCTATTCATGCTTTCGATATTGGCGCTACTTCCACGCCTAGTCACTGCGGGGGAGACTGAGTGTGGTGTCAGCCTTTTGGGGCCTGATTTCTGCCTCCGATGATGCACACTCCTCGTTCCTACAGAAAAGTGCTGGCCTTCGATCCCGGCTTGAATAGCAGATGCGGATGCCTCAGCTCGCAGCTGCAACAGGATCCTGTCCAGAGCCAGCTCGATCATTAGTCTATATTTGAGCATGGATAAAAAGGGCCATGTTGACTGCTCGCCTTTGAGGATCCAGTACTGGATCGATTTGTGTGTGGGATTTGAGATTAAGGTCATAAAGTCCTGCAATTGCACTTCCGGCACAATGGTCACGTTTCCAGATACTTTCTCCTCCACCAGCTGCACGAAGAAGTGCGGTAGAATGCCGATTTGATTCAACTGTTCATACAAATAAATACACGGTTTACAGGGTTAGATCTTAGTGCAAGAGTTCGCTCGGAATATGGAAAGGCTGAGCATGGTGTCGATAGAACATACCTGACCCATCCGATGCTTAATCTCGACGAGGATGACTCTTGCAACTCTCTCCATCAATCCTGCAGAATACCCAAACCGGTCTGATCCGCCAGACTTTCGATCCTTTAGCCCGCGAGACATGAAGGGGACGATGTACGGGTTCGCTTGAGAGACGATGAAGTGGTTAACATTGAACAATTCTGATAGCCTTGTCAGGGGGGTCTCAGGACTAACGGCTCCGTACGAGAAGAAAGAAGAAGTGATCGGATTGGTATAGTTGGCAGCTATATAGTAAAAAACCAGCGCAGCGCGAATCTGAGTATTAGTATGATCTTTGAACAGCAACTAGGCAACCAGTTCACATTTTTGGCACTGTCAACATAGCCTCCTACCTGATGGCGTCCATAGAATGATGTTGCCGGACTTGTCCTTTGCTAACAGGTCAGCTGTAGAAGAAAATCCCAGCATCGAGGCTGATGTGCTGGCAGCGCTCCTGATCAACTATACATCGATAGGGTACAAAGACCGTTGATATTTTTTCTTGATAAAACACGGTTCAAGGATTTCTTCATAGTGTCCTCCACTTACAACATTTGGCGACGTAATGTAGTTGAGGAGCTGGGGACCTTCAGACTTTCTCGACGACGGAACAGTTATGTTCAGAACCCTCTTTGTCCTCTTGAATGCTTCCTATTAAATACAGCATAGTGGTTAGAGCCGAATGAAGTCTTGTATCTCCGGGAACTGATGACAACAATTGGGCGCAGCAAGTGGACTTACATCGAATGTCAAGTTGCCCACATTTGTGTAAATACAATCCTCCAGAACTTTAATGTCAATGAGGTATCCTAGTGGGAATGTAGTGCAACAATATCCATCAGGGATTAGCATCCGCCATTCTAGCAGATGAATATCAAAACTTGATTTGTCTCAACCTCATCACGCTTACCTTGAGTCATCAGGCGGGTCATCTTGCGGCTCAAATTGCCCCTTACACCGACACGCTGAAAAGCACTGAGGTCGATACCACCCTCCTCGAATATACCCTTAGAAAACAGATAAATTCTCATTAATAACTTGGCTTTTTTTGTACATCACAAACTCGCAGTTTCTGCCGTGACCATCTTAGACCCACCGGTAATTCTTCGTCCGTCTTTACGCAAACGAGAGCCGCCATTAGTGCTCCCACAGAAGCGCCGCTGATGATTCGGGGAAGCAGACCGTGCTCGAAAAGTGTCTTTACAACTCCAAGATGATACATACCTATAAAACCATTGGTCATTTGAGACCATGTTAGATTACATGCCCGAGATGATGTAGGTCGAAAAAGAATCGTGATGGACAAGAGCGTTGACCCACCGAATGATGCGCCACCGTGGAGGAGAAGTGCTGAGCTTCCAAAGCTCTGTCGCGTCTCCATAAAGAAGTCAATCTTGGCCTGTCTGGACAAAGCGGTATGGCTGGTCTCGGCCACATGCTCGAGTTGCGAGACCACCTCATCCATATATGACTCGATCAGATGTTTGGTTCCCAGATAGGAGTGACAGAAGAGCCTGGGATCCGTGATTCCGCCCAAGTTTCTCAGTAATCCCGATCGGAGGAGGTACATCATCGCTGAGACATCCTTGGACTCCTTGACGACCTTGAGATGATGTCTTCGAGAAAGGATTAGATTGTAGTCGTAGACATTTGACCGGTGATTGTTCCGCCAAACATCCGATCCTGTGAGAATGTCGAGTTCTGTGGCCTTTGCCAGCCATTCTTCAAAGCTTTTAGAGTGGGCGAGTTCGTTCGTCATACGATCCGCGAGATTACGGTCTAGGATCATGGACCAGAGACCCTGTGTGCGAGCGAGCGAAATAATAGATAAGTCAATTAGTACATCCTGAACACTGAATGGTGCTCTCACATGAAAATTAGAAACTGATCATGATGCCTACCTTCCAAGAGTATATTATTAGCTGAAGCAAGGATGCAGTAATTGTGGCCAGCATCTGGACAAACGAGTCCAGCAAACGCTTCTATGTGAAGACCATTCATCGGATGATAGTGTAAAAGACAAGAGAGGTTTGGCTATTTCAATAGGGTGCAGCAACAAATGGGCTATCGAGGTCACCCCTAAGCACAAAAGTGAATCGCGTGTAGACAGTCTTTCAGAGAAATGGATTTCGATGAGGTACCTCCATTGTGGCCATGAAAAAAACCCCCACGACTTGCTATTGCAGGTCAGATTGATGTCGAGTACTGAGAGGGATTGAGGAATGAGGTGATGCGCTGGATTCTGAATGAGTGGAGCAAAGAGCAAGGTAGGATGCCATGGTAACGGTTGACAGACTTTTCGCTACCACGTAGCGTCGCATAGATTTCACGTGCTGGTCGCGCATGCCTACGGATGATACAGGTAGACATGAGATGTTACTTGCTGTATTTGGAGGATGGTCTGCTCTACGCCACGCGACTAAAGGATATTGGCCTCAGCTCCACAACTATTGGCAACTGAGCACGTCTACGGCCCGGCGATGAAGGTGTTTGTACCTGGCAAGCATGGTTTATAGCGACACCCCATGATATCTTAAAAGTATTTGTCGATAAATATTTCGTTGCAACTCCTCCTCCACAAATTGACTACAGGTCGCTGGACTTATCTACACCAGCGATTCTTAGGCAGGTGCCTCAAGTAGCCTTTGGAGTCAAAAGTTCGCGAACCAAATATGAGGTTTGGGGAGCCGTAAGCTCTCAGCCTACTTGTTCGAATGAGGAAAGCAATGCCATTGCTTTGCACACACGTTGCCTGTGATTTTTATCTAGTTGTTGTAGTCATGGCCATGCTGAACGGCAAGACGGACGTCTGTTCTTCTTAATGTCCTGTTGCACAGAACCAATATAACGTTCTGATTAACGAGACGTAATGATTCCCTGAAAGTTCATACCCAGGTGCCCACCCTTACTTGTTTCGCTAGTTGGCGAAAAATGTAACGATTACATGGCAACCATTTGCAAACAGGTGGTCATAGGTTTGCTTGGGTCATTTTGATAGCTTTATTATACAAATTGCAGTGCTATAATACTACGCCTTCCATATTCTTCTGGAGATCCACATTCTTCTCTTGGGACATCGCTGGTAATAACCGCGAGAGATGGGTAATGGGGTTTCGGAAGGAAATTCTCTGAGAACGATCTACAAACATGCTGTGAAGACTGGCGCGAATGAACTCAAATGGTGTATCTGTCACCGTTTTGTAATTGTATGCCGGCTATGAAATTATAATTGCTAGCCAGGTATGGAAACTGTTTCGATCACTTTTTTTATATTACTTCTCCACACTGGCCATTGAAATCCAGACGGCATCATCCTCTTCTTCAACAGACCGATGTTCGGTGCTTCAAGCACCCGCGATCACTTGCTGCCGCTGAGTGCCAATACCCTTTGATTTTTAAGCAGTTGGACATCCTGCCAACATTGCAGTTTCCGCACATCTTAATAAGCAACTGTGCTTCCTAGCTATCGCCGCGACACCCTGGATCTTATCAGAGACCCTGTAATATCGCGGACACGCTTTCCATGGGCTTCTACGCCTGCACTGTTAATTGGCTGCTTGCTTCGAATGGCCAGATATAAATATGGCCCCGTCCATCGCCTTTTCTTTTTCATCATCCTCATCCTCATCCTCGTCAATCGTAGCTTCAAACCTCACAAGCAAAAAACAAGATCTATTCCAAGCTCCCATATCGCACACCCGTCCACCACTTCCCACAATGGTTCAGAACAAGTCCGTCGTTTTCTTGAAGCACCCCACCGAGTACCCCGTCCCAGGCGAGCACTTTGCGGTTCAAACTCATGAGCTCAATGTCGATCTCAAAGATGGCGATGTCCTTCTCCGCAACCTCTTCATCTCCTTGGATCCTTGTAAGTGTTCCAACAGTGTAATACGTATACATAATCCGAGCGCGATTTGATCTACCTAGGCCATCGCAGAGTGAAACTAAAACCAAGATTTCTGTATTCTTTGAATGATAGACATGCGTGGAAGAATGAAGGACACGACCAAGTCTTACACGGCCGGTTTCGAGCTCAACAAGGTTTTGGATGCCTCCGGTGTGTCTGAGGTCATCGAGTCCAAGAACAATGCATATCCTGTTGGAACTATCGTCACTGGAATGATTGGCTGGGAGCAATATACTATTATTCGCGGTGCTAAGGGTCTCCGTGTCATCCCCAATGCCCGCGATTCCAAGATTCCCCTCTCAGCCCACGTCGGTGTTTTGGGCATGCCCGTAAGAACTGATAAAGATAAAGGAGATTTGGATTGTTTTGACGCGATCCTTTGCTGATGGAGGTGTTCGCTCTGTATCGGTCTTTGTTTATACTAGGGTATGACCGCCTACTCCTCACTCAAGATCATTGGACAACCCAAGACTGGCGAGACTATCTTCATCTCCGCCGCATCCGGCGCTGTCGGCCAGGTCGTTGGCCAGATCGCCAAGAGACTTGGCCTTCGCGTAGTCGGCTCTGCCGGCTCCGACGAGAAGGTGGAGTATCTTCTCAAGGATCTCAAGTTCGATGCTGCCTTTAACTACAAGAAGGGCAGCATCCTGGAGAGCCTCAAGACTGCCGCCCCCGAGGGCATTGATATCTACTTTGAGAATGTCGGAGGCGAGACCCTCGAGGCTGCTCTCGAGGTCATGAACACCCACGGCCGTATTATTGCCTGTGGAATGATCAGCTCCTACAACACCACGGCTCCATATGGCGTCCGCAACCTGTTTCATATTGTCGCCAAGCGTATCACCATGCGTGGATTCATTGTCTCCGACTTTGCTGCCGAGTGTGGAGCCGACTTTGCCAAGGATGTTGGATCGTGGTTGGCGAATGGAGAGATCATCTACAAAGAGGACGTTGCGGTCGGCATCGATAACGCTCCCGACGCGTTTGTCGGCATGTTGCATGGCAAGAACTTTGGCAAGCAGGTTGTCAAGATTGCCGATTTGTAAATCTATTAGCTTTTGTACACAATAAAACGAACGCATTTTTTGCAACAACTTTATCAAGGCGCGCTTTGTGTAACGGCGGAACGAGACGAAAGTTTGCCACCAATATGCCCAGTCGCACAAGTTCTGCTGGGGCTGTATATTTTTATCCTTTTCCAAACGGAGGCTACACGGAGTCAATCAAAGGAGACAAAGACAGGAGACAGTTATGCATTTCACCCTCCATATTTAAAGGGACGACAGGAAAGTTTCATCTGGAATTCCACCGCCGAAAAATACCTTTCAGAAGCTTCAACCCGCCCTGAACAGCGCCAAGCTCGTTTCTCTTCAAGCTTGCTCAAGATCCCGCCTCCCTTCAGGTTGGAGCTCTAATCGTTCCTTGCGTCCGCGAGGATTGCCCCCTAGATTGTCAGAGATGAGACAGTAGTCTTTTATCATACAGAGCTCTGCACTCCCATACGCATCCTGAATGCGACTGTATGCTGTATAGGTTTCTATGAATACGCATCATTCAGTACCTTTATTTATTTATTTAATTTTTTTTTATAAAAAAAAGAGCGAGCGCGCAAGGATGACATGAGTATCATTGGCGAGGGCGATTAGGGGAGACTGCCTGCCTAGTACTCATGTTCGTGATCCGCGTATATGCATTCTTCCTTGAGAGCACGGCGGCACATCACTCCTGTCTTGTCAATCTTAGGAGGGCGGGAGACCGAAAGGAGACGGAAAGACGCTCTCGACTGGTTACCTGGCCCCCCACCCCCCTCTCCCCCCTGCCGATATCATATTCCTCTTAGGCCATCACGAGCACCCTCGTCCTTGTGCTTTGTCTCTGCGCCTCATTCCAACGGACGACCTGCGTTTGTGCCACCACTATCCCACATTTCACATCCAATCCGCCAAGGAGACTTTCAATCGCCGTTCTATCGCACTGCAGCGAAGGACTCGTTATCTAGCCAGCTTACTGTTCAGCCTGATCCAGTTTTATCTCTCTTCTCCGTCTTTCCTACTTTCCCTTCAATTCGCCCTGCTTCCTCTCATAACCTGCCGCCACCATCACCAGCTTCACAACCTGTGAATCTCACTAGCACACTTACTGTACAGGACGTATCCCGACTTTAATCTTTTCATCCTTGTATATTTGTACAGCCAATTTTGACGAGCGTCTTTAGTGATCACATAACAAACAAGCGACCTGACCCACACATTCAAACCACTATTTACCCCATCCCTACCCACCTTTTTACAACTCATAAAGACAAAGCCAGCATATCACCCTCAGTCCGACATTTCATAGCCTGTAACCGTTTTCCTGCATTTGGTGTGCGCTTCTACCAATTTATTCTTTCGTATCTTTTGAACGGAAGACACGGACGAAAAAAAAAAAAAAAAGGTGCCGGTTTTCGTCCAGGTTATCTGCGAAAGAGACATTATTCAATGCGACCCGTTACTACCTCGCTATTGCAGTATACTTTTAGCTGCCTATTCATTATTCATTATGGAGCCAGCACATCGATGACCAAGGTCGACACTTCGATTGATGCATACCCAATCAACATCCACAAACAGTCCACTCGTCCTCCCCTTGATCCCCGGCAGGATTTCAATAGCAACACTGTACTATCATTGGACACCTCTCCGTCTTCGCTACCATCCCCTTTTGTCCTTGACACAGACATGATCCAGAAACCTCTGTTGCAGATCATAGCACCTAATGTCACCCTCTTCGCTGCGCTGGACCTTCCTTCCCCTTCCATTTCCCCTTCACCAACCCCCACAACAACAAGCAGTGCAACCGGTCGTGGTAGCAGCGGCAGCACACAACTTTTGTTACCGACCTCAAGCTTGGCCTTAGCACCCAATCAAATTTACCACGTGAATGAATCGCAAATGTTTGGTGCCGGCAACTCAGAACCCTTGATGGTAACCATTTCTTACGTTTGTGGACTAAAGGTTTAATTAACTTACCTCCAGAAAGGTGGCCGCCTTGACTAACTAACACCTATTGATGATAATCCTGCATTATTTAGGGCGTACTGATTGAATGGACGCTAGGTTGCGACCTCGGCGACGCATTCCCCATCTACCCACCCACAGAACAACCCTGGATCGCCTTCATGTCCTCGGCCCTCCTGACCAACACATCTCAAAATGTTAACGACACCTCCGGCGGTGATAATAGCGAAAATATATACGAATGCGACGTTTCAACGTTGGTTTTAATCGTCCAGGCCATCTCGAACGACGTAACAGGTGTCATTATGTATCAGGATCCTGCAGGCGTCGTCTCATTTCCTGAATTGAAGGCGCAGACTGAAAGTGCCATCCAAAGCACTTTCTACGCGCAGAATCCAATGACCCCTGTACCAGTGACATACAACAGCCAAGGAGCAGGAACAGCGGCGGAGAGTAACGATTCAGAAGCCCTTACTAAAAGGGGCCTGGAAGGATTATCGAGGGCTGAAATCATGCAAAAAGTAGAGGAGATCAAGTTAAGCCGGATGAAGGCGACCTTAGGGCGGCAAACTGTTAAGATGTTGAGTGCATCAGACGATTCAGACACCTCACTTGGTATTACTACACCATCCACAGACAAGTCTTCCGACGCCTCTGGATTGCTATCATCAGCACCACAACAAAAACAACCCATTGCACCCGTTATCGGAATCATGGCACTGGCAGACGCAGCATTAGTTCAGATCCTACGGACCAACATAGAAATCAAAAACGAGACAGTGGTCGCACAAGTCAACTTCGTAAACAATGCCTTGGGGCCTAATAATCTGCCCGCCACTCCAACGTGTTCATCATCCTCGCACACACCAACAACTGCGGCAGAAAGGCCAATTGCAGATCGTTCATTGGGCTTGTTCGTCTGGATAATACTGGGATCGGTGGTCTTGATCGTCGGTATCTGGTATGTGTTTGTTCGCACACATACTCTTTTTTGCGCTTCATCATCATAACAGGGGTGTTTCACCCAAGCAAGAATAGTTTGCTAAACATGACCGTGCATGCATTATTCGTTCTGCATGAAAAACGACTTTTTAGGGTGGCCTTTGGAGTGTACGAGGCGCGCTCGCTTTCAAGAAGAAGGCAACAAATTGCGCTAGACAATGCTAAGCCGAAAACCGTGGACCAAAAAGTCCTGGACACGTATAGGACAAGAATTTTTCAGGAGGACGATATCATATACACCGACGACGAAGAGGATGACGATCACGGCGGCAGTAACAATGCTCTTGGTCGAGTCAGAACCACGGACAAACAAAGTGCATCTCAGCAGGACAGCCAAAAGAACACTTCAAGTCTTGGGTGTGAAGATTTGAGTCGTAGCGACTTTGACGAAAAGGATGCATATTGCCCGGACTCATCAAATATTCATGCCCAGCGTGCCATTGCCCAAGCGCGTTCGCATGCCGCTCGACTCGCTATTGATGACCAAGGAGGCCGCAAGAGCCCGACAGTCAGTTCTTCGGCGCTGGGTTGTAGAGGTGGTTCCTTTGATGATACAATTTACGGAGGCCCAGAGTCAACCCTCAGCAGAAAAGTATCTGGACAGGACAGTATGCTTGTCGGATATGGCCACTCTTCATTGGGGACCACAACCTTGACTCATGAAGAACGCTGTCGCAGTTGGGCTGATAATACCCCGAGTTTGTATGAGGCTTATGGCGATGAGAGCGACAGTAGCCATGGCCATGACCAGGAGGAGTACAAATCGCATGCGCATGAAGGATGGACAAATCTGAAGATCAGCATGATACAGCTCACGGATGGAAAAAAGGAGACAGGAACAGACATTGCAGCAAAGGCTGGAGAAAAATCTGGCGCGCCGGACGACGCTCGACAAGATTCATCTCCTTCTTTACCTTTCATACCGACAGCAACAACACGCAGTGAAAGGTGGGCGGATTTTCCAGTCGTGTCCACAGCGGCGACAACTAGAAGAAGAAGTACCGGAACACTTTTATCCGACAACTTGCACTCACAACCAAGGCTTAGGCGCAAGAGCGCATTCATCCTGCCGCGCAATATCGAAACCAACCTGCCAGTCCTGCGCATCGTCCCCTCTCAAGAAGTAACCTCCCCTACAGTCTGTGGAGATAATCTCAGTTCTGCGGGTCCAAGTACAGCAGGATTCCTTCCACCAGCTGGTTGGGGTGGAGAGCGTCGTCGATCCAGTCTAAGCACTGTGGCGGTACCTGAAGATGGAAGAGGAGTTGAGCAGGCGAACTGGGCAGGACCACAAGGACAGACACTACGCCGGTCATCCATTCAGGTTCATAGAGTCGGCACTCCAAACTTGTTTCCAGTAGCTACAGCAGTGAACGACAAACACGAATCAGGGAGTGACAGCGAAGGAGGTGATGCACGAAGTGATGAACGAGGTATGGAGCGAATCGGTGACGCGTCTCTTAAAGGCAAGAGGGTAAAGAGATCATTGAAACAGACGCATAGGATTTGTCTGGAGAAACAGGCGGCCCAACTTCAGGATAAACCTACGAACCCGACACCCAAGCGAAAAAAGATAATGAGAGTAGTAAATATGGACCTCATCTCAGAGCACAAGATGCATTTTTCAATGGTCGGAATGGACTTGCCGGGTATATACACGCCAACAGCAGGAGAGTTCTCACGACTATCCTTGGACGCCGACGGCTTTAGTGTGGAGCCCAAAAGCCACTTGCGCCCAGAGCGGAAGCAGCCACGCCTGCCAGACAGCACCAACGACGGAAGGGGGGTCGAGGAACTGTATGATAGTGACAGCCAGTCTGACAGCATAGGCAGTGAGCGAACGAGTACATCAAGTGCACGTTCACCAGATCGCCATCCATCACCGTACCCTCGACATAGGGAAAAGGACCTCACAGCAGCCACGACCGATGCCAATGCTAAGGAATTAGCAGTAACAAAAGACGCCTTATTGTCCCGGCTGTTATCCCCGTCTTCGGCTTTGACGGAAGTTATACAGCGAGCGCCCATAAAGAGGCAGAAGAAACGACGCTACGATCCGTGCGCAATTTGCTTGGACGAGTACGAGGTCGGCGATCAGCTGCGGGTGTTGCCATGCAACCACTTTTTCCACAGCGAGTGCATAGATCCGTGGTTCAAGGAGATGCGCGCCATTTGCCCAGTTTGCAAGAGGGACTACTCGAAAGGTGAGTTGCATACAATGGTTCGGTCCTTTCAGTTTTAAGATTTTAGGCTGACCAGCCTCCGTTCTCGTAACTTGTCTATTCCTTAGTTTATCCGGTGGGTGTGACCTCGGCAGCCGCTCGAAATCCAACAGCTGTAGCCAGCGGCGGATCGTCTTCGGGTATAATAAGGCTTCTGTCGCCTTTGGCTCTTTTTGCAGCCGGTACATCTGGTAGTACGCATTACTGGTATACAAGAGAGGCCAACATGTACGTGCACACGTAGGACAAAATAAATTTTTGGGTTCGCGACGTTTAGATCGGAGGGGGCCTATGCGCGATGCACAGCACCGTCGCCTCCAATCATTCTGAGTCTAGACTCCATGGCCGCTTCTTCATTAAAATTATGTCACTTCAAAGCTCTGTTGCGCAGGGATCAAAAGTAAATACAATTTCGACAGTATCTACCGCGCCGCAGTCTATTCAGATGACCCCCGTTTCGCGTTAGTCTGTGTTTTCAGCGCGGTAAAGATCGGCGGTCCCTCTGGCTGCGAAGTGTTTGCGGGGATGGAGTACACCGGAATATGCTGTGCCGTGGTTTATTCCAGATGTATGGTGCAATCACGTATTTAAGCAATGAAAGATTTGGAGGGGTCAAACTACTTTCTTCATGCTACCCAATGTCAATGTGCTATTAATTTTTCACATTAGATGGCGCAGTTTATCTGATTTTCATACGGTTCGCGCAACCTCTCAAACTCTGTAGATGATTCGTCTCTTCGAGCCATATTGATCCTCTAATTGCTCGTTCGACTCTTTGTCGAGTATTCTTCTCGAATGCTGCCATCAGCGCATGTGGTGATGAACCTACTGCAGGGGCAAAAAGTATAATTTTTCAAGGCTTTCCTTGCCGTTTCTCCATAATATCCACCATGTTCATAGAGAGACATCCTCGACAACTAGCAGTCGTAGTTGCCATCCTCTGTTACCACGGCGAATGAGTGAATGACATTCTCAGACACTATCCATCAGTCAACCTCCCCATAAAGATATTCAGAGATGAATGAAGATGGCTTCTTATGACTCGATGGGTCATACTGTAGCCGGTATCAGTGTCACAGCATGGTAAGTCTGACCTACTTTCGCCTTACCAGCTGTTGATACCGATAGTCTATTGCCTGCCATCTATTTTTTCCCTACTGTCAATGTTAATAGTGGTATGCTGAAGGAGACACAGTAACACGAGGTAATAAGTGCAGGAGATGGATTATTCTGCATGCTGGAAACGAGCAAAGGTAGATCGGGAAACTCATTATTTGGGAGGCCAAGACAAGCTCAGGAATCTGCTGCGATTACACGGACGCAAGGACTTTCGAAAAACATATGTTATGGTGACAAGACAACAGGAAGAGGAGTAAGGTATTTGTTATGGACAGCACCAAGTACCATCGTCACCAAGAGAGTCCAGTTCAAGTTTCTGCGCCTGACGAAATGAGTGGGTCACTACCCATGTCTACACTCGTCAAGAAGCAGTTGATCGATCGACTCATTTATCTGGAGAGGGAGAGGGTATGTATGACCTTGTGGGTGAGAATAATGAGAGTATTTCCTAATACAAGTTGCTAATCTTATTTTTGTACAATGCAGAATCGACTACAGCATCCTTTGTTTTCCTCTTATCCAGAACGGCTAGGGCGCTATGAAGGCTTATATGGCCTTCTACAACGACAGGTCCAACATTCAGATCGGCTAATGGCTGATCTTGAAGGGCATGAAGAAGGCAGTTTCGAAATAGCCGATCCTGGTGGTAGAGGCTCACAGATACGAGGCGAAATAGAGGAAAGCGCTTCGTAAGAATTACCGTCTACCATATCTACTTACTACGAATGTCAATGAAGAGGGCGAAGAATGGTTAAAGGAAAGTTCAGATGAAGAGGTGATGGAGACTATGATTGAGGGTACGGATACGAACCTTTTGGAAGGCGAGCTTCACTTTGAAGGTGAGTTTGTCATGTTTTCTTGATCAATTTACGACACCTCGAACCATAGATTCTGCAGTAGCACAACGCCACAGAAAATTGCTCGAGCTCAAAGGAATTACTGGCATCGTTGGGAGCCAGCAAGTGCAGTATGATCTACTGCGCGACCTTCCGTGGTTTCGGAAGCTGTGGTTGCTCGAGTCCAAAGTCCCTACAGCGTCGCCCTCCGTAGGCTGTGTATATTTCCGTGAAGTGATCATCGAGCATCCTTTTACTCAAACTGGCATGGAGCATGGAGTACTTAAATCCCTATCAAGCCTGAAGCTATCATTTTAACCCATCTCCGTTCATCGTCCCCATACTTCTTTCGTTCTTTCTCTCTCTTTCTCTCTCTCTTTCTCTCTTTTTCTCTCTCTTTTTCTCTCTCTTTTTTTCTTCAGGAACAGGAACAAGGATATACAGCGCCAATAATCATTTGAGCACCGCACATTATACAAACCAGAACACCACAGGAAACTATCATCTCCTATCCTTGCGCTTCCAAGGCTAGTGTACAACATAGGAGATCTGAACCTCCTAGACTATTCTAGTCTTCATCCACTGCACACTTCTACAGACAGTATTCACAGCTATAGCGAAGCCCTTTTATTCCTCGAGCCGTACTCACCATATACAGGCGTGTCAGAGATGGAACCCGTGCGACAAGGTCGCAGTTGGATGACGGTAAGGTCCATCGATAGCTTTTTATCAATACGGAGGAGCTTCAAACATTCAATAAATCTGCTAAAACACGGTCATTATTGTTCTGTTGCATAGTCGTTGAAGCGCGCGTTAGCGCCATTGCAACCCCTCGCCACGATGATCAGTACTGCTTCTGTGATGTCCGGTATTGTGCCCCTGATGCAGGCAGCGCTCAGAACAGGTAGCCCCACCGTGATGATCTTTGGGCTCGCATTCACGAGTATGATGGCGTTTACGATTGCGTTGTCGCTGGCAGATATTGCCTCTGGGTTTCCCAATGTCAAGGGTGGTCTGATTGAATATAGCCGACGATTAGCACCACCGAAACTAAGCCGTATATCCTCATGGATGGTTGGATGGCTCCATTTTTGTGCACTCGTAAGTGCTAATATCGCATTTTTAATGGCATGGTTAGGGCAACAGGATCGTAGAGTTGATATCATATTTTTTACTCGTATCCTAGGTTACCGGCGCGACGAGCTACGCATTTTCATTTGCGTTGTTCGGGACAACAGTGATTGAGCTTTCAACAGGTATTGTGCCTAGCCGCTCAGTCACTGTGTTCATTCGTATCCTCGTCAGCATCCTATATGGGACTATCAGCGCGTTCAATATAACGGTCGATTTCGCCTCTGGTATGTAAGGAAAAGAATACATCGGACAACGTACTCTTGTTTATGAAACTATGAAAAACTTACAAAGGTATCTTTGACAGTGATGTGGCACATAATAGGTCCCATTTTGATCCTCATGACGATAGCCACCTCGGTTAAAAATCCACCTTCGGCCCGCTGGGTGTTTACTCATTTCGAAAATCAGACTGGATGGTCCTCACCATTTTATGTTGTCCTTCTTGGCCTAACGCAGGTACGCTAAAATGTGCGGTCGATGCGTACCTTTTGTTTACATCTGAACGGTTGCGAAGAGACTAAATTCACCCCGCAATTCGTTTTCTCATCAGGGTGCGTTTACGACAGCCGGATATGACACGCCGATCCACACCCTGCATAACATCAAAAACGCTGCGTGGAGAGTGCCTCGGGAAATTCTCTCTGGCCTCCTGGCATCTTTCATCACTGGCGAGTTATTGATTCTAACGCTTCTTTTTGGGGTCAATAACATTGACGCAATCTTGAATCCTACGATATCGGGCACTGCCTCGGTCGAGATATTTGTCCATTTAGTTGGAAGCATCGGAGTGGCCTGCATCTTGCTCATTTTCATGGGTACTTTCTTCTTCAGCGGACAGGACGTTTTGATAGCATGCAGCAAGATTGGACACGAACTCGCCATGAAAGATGTATTTCCAAAATCCGAGTTTCTATCCCATGTTGGGCCGAGAGGACAGCCAGCCAGAATGGCTTGGTTGTGTACGTCCATTTCTTGCGGCATCGGGATTCTATATCTTGGGAACAAGACTATTCTGCAGACCCTAACATCTGCAGTAGCGATCGAATTAAAGTGAGTGGGCCGGTTTAGGAAATGTGGATGTGGGATCAAACACATTTACTGCTGTCGCCTAATGCTTGAAAAGAAAATCAATGCATTTGCTACTACCCGTGTTTTGACATTTTACTGCTTATTTTTCCTCTCCTCTGATAGCCTAGTGTATTGTGCTCCTGTCGCCCTTCGGCTGTTTTATCCTAGTCCAATACGCTTCCACCCAGGCTCTTTTTCACTCGGTCGTTGGGGACGACTTCTCGCGGCTGTAGCCGTCTCGTGGTCCGTGATTTGCGTGTTCACCTTCTCGCTCCCAAATTATCACCCCATTTCGATCGATAATATGAACTATGCTAGCGTTCTCTTCCTCTCCACTATTGGACTGGCATTGGGATATTGGTTTTATTCTGCGAGACATTGGTTCGAAATGGATCGACCGCCAGCATCGTCCCCTGAGAATAAGAGCGAGAATGAGGCCAAGATCAATACAGAGCAACGAAAATTGCCTGTGGCTGTCATTTCCGAGGGCTGTCTCCAGGAGAAAGACCTGGAAGAGATCGAGAGCTGGCTGGATCGCCTTGAGCGCGACCTTCATCTAATGAAATAACTCCTGCACCTTTTTTCTTGCAGAGAATCATAGCATTTAATAATATCTGTAAAAGTACTTATAAAGAGGAGGTAGCGCCACTAGATAATGACTATGGAGCCTCCATGAACAACTTATGAGCCAGCAAGCACCGCACCGAGTCATGCATGGCAGCCAACAGTTACACTTTCTTTTTAATCCTGAAAGCTCCCGCGGTGTATGTACCTAGGTACTGGGTCTATTTTCATTTGGTTTTATTTTCAGTTAAAGTAGACATGCACTCAGCGCTGCACTTATAGGAAAGCTGGAAGCAAAGGCGCCGATGAAATACATGGTTACGACGTTCATATTAGGCAGAGTCCGATCCCTTAAGCCGATCATTGTTTTCTCTTTTCATATTTTTACGGGTAGCCATTCACCCTAAATCGACGCGATACTGGAAAACGAAGCAGCGCTAAGAGTGTTCGAATCAGTCCCGAGATAACATGAAGAGTAAGCAACAGTCATTCAACATCCGCTTCATTAACATCGACTCGCAAGTTCCCAGGACAAACAGTACATCGCCAACATTAGCCACTACTAGAGGAGCCGCATTTCCGTCCTCGCTACCACTCTATCCAGCACCATGTGCCATCTCTGAAACATCCATGTTGAGTGTTGCTTTTGACTTGGAACAGGATGTTGAGAAGCAAGGCCAATATTGACTAGATTTAATGTCTACTGGCAAAATCGTATGTAAAGACGCGATGACAGGGGTAGCAGCTGCAGGGGCGCGTAAAACCTTATCGAGCCTACCAAAAAAAAAAAAGTTTCATGCTTGAGGGTCTCACAAAATCTCGAGCGAGCGCACATCAACAACACCATTCCGTCAAACAATGAAGATCCTAGGCCTGATCAGGTACCAACACCAACTGAGCAGACAAAGAGAGCAGCGAATGTAGTACTTGCCATGAGCGTAGACAAAGGAGAGAACAAACTACTCAGCGACATGTGCTTTTGAATCGCGAAATAGTGGTGGCAAGGACAGCTTCTACAACTTGATGCAATGCGTCGCCAACGGGCACCAGATCATTGCTCTGGGGAACCTGCATCCTGCGGCTCAAGACAAGAAAGGTACACCGAGAGATTTTTCTTCTTCTATGTTCACTCTGCAGACAAGACCCGATTAGTCTTGAGCTCAACTGTACCCTTTGGTCTGTCTATCTCCCAGATGAACTGGACTCGTACATGTACCAGACCGTAGGGCACGATGTAATTCACCTCTACAAGGACTGCTTGGACGTGCCTCTTTACCGTCAAGAGATCAAGGGGAAGCCAATTGAGCAGAGTTCAGACTATGTCATCACTGCCATGGACGAAACAGAGGACTTGTTCGAACTTCTCAAAAGGGTCAAAGATGTACATCCTGATCTGCAGGCTGTCAGTGTTGGAGCAATTCTATCGAATTATCAGCGGATACGCGTTGAAAGCGTGTATGTATATGACTCTACTGTGTGTCTTGTAGGAGCATGGAATGCCTTGACATGGACAATAATCTGTGTGTGATCTGCCCTCTAACTATACGTTTGACCGTCTCTGGACCCAATTTGTTCTTCAGTTGTGCGCGTTTAGGCCTGGTGGCATTGGCATATCTGTGGCAAAGGAATCAGGAGGAATTGTTGCAAGAGATGGCTCAGGCAGGCATAAACGCGATTTTGATCAAGGTTGCTGCTATTGGACTCAAGAGACAGCATCTTGGGCGTTCGATTGGTGACATGTATCCGCATCTGTGCCGAATGAACAAGGAGTACGACCTACATATCTGTGGCGAGGGTGGCGAGTATGAAACCATCACCCTCGATTGCCCGCTCTTCAAGCGCCGTATTATTGTGTGGGTTATTACAATGGCATAGGGTTTTCAATGCATCAGAAGGGGATGGCATATGAGCTTGAAATCCGTTACAGGGAGCTAATCGCGATTGGATCCTTGTGTATTTAGAGATGAATTCGAAATTGTCATTCACTCAGATGATCATTTTGCGCAAGTTGCATATCTGCGGTTCAAAAAACTGCACCTAGAAGACAAAACCGAAAGCGAGATCGATCCTAGCTGGACGGCGGATGTGAACTTGAATCCATTGTGGGATGCGGACTCGCTTATGATGCCTATCGAGGATGTTGTCCGATCGAAACAGCAGCCGAGGGAGATTAATCCAGCGGTTCTTCAAAGAGGATCTGGGGTTTCAGATCGTAATAGCAAGGATGGTCTTTGCAGCAGCCAATCCAGCTACCGGTCCAAACTCTTGACACACCAGGGTGCTGTCGTGTGTGCTGTTGGCGGAACAAATGCCTACGAGCCATCACCATCATCTAAAATAACAAGGCATCTGAGTATCGCGGAGGAGACCACAGCATGCCTACAAAATTTGAAAGGTATGTTTATAATATCAATGGCGATGATGCCAAATGTTTTATCCGTAATGTAAAGACCTTAATGATTTCGCTTTATTGGAAACTATTAGCCAAAATCGAACGCATTGGGCTCTCTTGGGCAGAGGTCGTCTTTATGCAGGTGTTCGTCTCGGACATGGGTGACTTTGGCGTGGTAAACGCCGCTTATAAGGCCTTCTTTGGTATCAATCCGCCCCCTCGCGCGTGTGTCGGGGCGAACTTGCCAAACTCAATTCGCATTCAAGTGAGCTGTACTGCTATCCGTAAAGACGCGCTGAGCCCGAAACCTAGGCAGACATTGCATGTCCAGGGTATTTCGTACTGGGCACCTGCCAACATCGGACCTTATTCCCAGGCAACTGAGGTCGGTTACCTTGAAATATGCTCTTCGGTCAAGTGCTCCCGCCATGAATGCTAAATCGCATTCATTTCTTTTCAAATTGATAGCAAGTGCACCATTCGTTTATTGCTGGGCAGATCGGAATGGTGCCTCGCACTTTAGAGCTCCCAGTACCATCGTCTCTGGCCAAGGAGACAGCATGGTCATTACGGAACCTTACACAGATCGCGGCGCTTCGTCAATCGGACCTTGTCAACCGGACAGCCTTGTGCATAGTTTATGTCACAGATCCAGTGAATTTTGCACCTGTAAAAGCAGCCTGGGAGCACATCGCGAACAAGGTACGATGTCACGACATCGGTTCGATATGTATTTGACTTTGATACTGCTGATATGACTGGACGACATCTGACGCCTTTCCTGTTTGTCCTTGTGTATCCTTAATTGGAATTAATAGAGTAGCCCGGCGCCTGTGCTAGCTATTTGTATGCCTTCTTTACCAAAAGGCGCTCAAGTCGAGTGGCAGACGATATTACACCATGGCAAGGTCTATGCAGACAAAGAACCGCTCATCACAGAGGCGGATGGGAATGAGGATGGATACGAGACTGACGACGATGATTTGTACCAACTCGAGAAGCGTATTCTGCATCCAACTGTTCTGTCCCTAGTACATGAACAACCTTCGGTTTCTACGGCTCATGGTGTAGAGCTACAGTGGAAGGCAAGCACCCAGTCCTGGTTCTTGGCCCCATTGCTTATGGCGCTTTCGGTCATATGTCTCCCAGAGTGTTCACCGCTGACATCGCTACTGTCATCGCCATCGCTATCGAAGGAGCAGCAAGATGAACAGAATGATCACCAGGAGTACAGCATTCTTACTCGGGACATTTTGAAGGATATGATGGACCTGATGATCAAGGCCATGGATCGTATTATTGAAAGTCATATCGCACCTGTTGCAGGCCCAGGAATCCCGAACGGTTGGAAGGACGTGGTAGAAGTGACGCTGTACTACCACGATACTGTTTTTCAGCGACCTGAGGTGTTGGGTCCTGCTTTCGAGGATCTATTGGCGGAAGTTGCAGGCTCTTCATCGAACCAGGATGAAGATACGCCACAGGGTAATATTGCGGTGACCTTGGTGCCCGTTCAGGCGATCGCTGACAATGCAGTTCTTGCTATGACAATGCACGCTGTCGGCAAGTTGCCAACTGTTCCCGGATTAATGCAACCCTAGATACAATAGCAACCTCGCCGATAATAAACATTATTTACAATACTACTCGTGTGCATTATCAAATGAGAAATAATCTTGTTATACACGTCTATAAACACTACTACTCTGGCCAGTGTTCAGTGCCTCCTCCTGCGTCTGCAGCCGTCGACTTCTTCGAAGTCGCGTCCGATATGCAATCGATTCTCCTTCGTCGTCATCATCAGACCCAATGGGTGGATCTTTCACTCTTCTTGAATTCGACCGAAGAAGGGATGGTGCATACTTTTGTTCGTTTGTATACGCTGTCGCCTTTGCAAGTGCCTGCTCTCGATGGGCCCTCGTTAGATCCGCTGTTTCCTCGTCTATCGTGTCCTCCTGTCTTTCCACAGAAGATTCTCTTGCTGTAGCATCTGGCTGTTGCCAAAACGCATGCCGTTCTTCTTGCTGCTGTTGTTCTTCTAGGATAGCTGTTTCCTCAGCTAGATCTGGAGCCTCCACTGCGGCATTTGGTGTCTCGGGCTCTTCCACCTGAAGATTGTGAAGTTGTCGCCCAACAAGGTACTCCTGGTCCCTGACATATTGACTCCATCCACGCAGAATAACCAGACTTTCTTTGAGTCCAAATACCACCAAACTGAGCACCATTGCAACTGGATATGCCTGCCTGAACACCTTAAGACGAGCAGCACCTGTAAGGCCTAGGAAGAAAGAGAGCATGGATACGCTATTTGGTCAGATCACAGAAGCGGGTATTCATCATAAGTAAACAATATAACGGTGCGTACTAAAAACGATGGCGCTTACCAAGACCTTCTGCTGCGATCCATCCAAGTACAAAGGGTCCAGCGATCGCCAGTGTTACCATGCCAAAGATTGGGATAATCAACCGCCGTGTTGCAAGCCTCGTATCCCAGTCATTGACATTGGTTCCATTAAAGACTCTATTCATATCGGCGGCGAATCTGTTATTCGGCATAACGCTCAGGATCCGATGGATGATCTTCATATAGAGCAGCCCAACTGCCCAGTTCACCGCAAATATGACGTCAGAATCGCCCTCCAAGGCGTTGCGCAGAGGCAGGATCACAAACAGCTCGACCATCAAGCCCAAGATAAAGGGTAATATCACTCCAAAGGTGATCCCGAAATACAGCAACTTCATGGCCAGCCTACACATGTTCCAAGCAGTTCTCAGCTGAGCCTTGGGATCGATCGGCTGAAGTCCGTGAGATGTAATGTACCGAGCGGTGGATAAAGACCAATGCAGCACTGACCAAAGTCCTCGCAAGACGTAGACACCCACGAGAACCGAGTAAATGTCGTGCACTTGCCGCTCACTCTTCAGCTTGAACACAGCTCGCCCAACAATCACTGCAATGATGAGCAGACACAGCGAAAGTATTAGTGACTTGTGGACTCAACAACATAGTATTGTCCTAGGCTCATTGTCACAGAGAAAAATCGTAGCATAAGACAGGACTTACTTGGAACAACAACAGACAGGGCAAGGAACATCGAGACAGATATCCAGAGTAACACGACGAATGCTATCAATCGTTGGTTGAAGTGCGGCGGCGCGTACACGACGATGGTGTTATGCTTGGGATCTATGAGGTCGTCCCTTCGTCGAATCTGGAGTTCCATGAACGGATCAATTTCACCAGGAAGGTCCTCTTTTGGGTCCAGTGCGTTGCCGTTCTCATCCACTGGTACTAATACTCGACGGTCCTTCAGATGTAATATGTGGTCCGAATTCGGCACTCGCAAAAGGCCACCGTTTCTTACGAATATCACCGGGGCATCAATGTCCAGCTCCTCGCCACTACCCATCGTCTCGTCCATGTCCTCCGCGCCAGGGATAGGTGGACGCCATCGCAGAAACCATGCCTTCCAGCTGCGGTAAACAAAGTGACCCTCCTCGTCATAGAAGCGCTGACCCTCAGAAGCGTACATGAACGAGCTCAGTCTCAACCAATGTGCAAGTTTGCGCCACCAAGTTGCGAAGATGGCCTTGAGACGAACTGCAGGGTTCAGCCAACGGGCTGTCAGGGGAAAAACTAGGTGGAATAATAGCAAATCGACGGGAAGGTCCGAAATGGGTTCACTAGAGGCAACCACGCTATTAATGTCAGTTAGTCTACTTTCGCAGTATACAGATAGCAGTGGACCTAAAAAATATTGTCAGGTACTTACTCAAGTGGCCACCGAAGCGGCAGCACGCCTTTCATCAGAAGGTTGAGGGAGTGGATCGTCAAGGTGATGCCTAAAATGATCAGGGTGAAGTACATGATTGCTCCAGAGCCGAGTTTTCGGAGTTGGTGCAGGATTGGTCGCTCCAGAATTTCGCGCACAGGGTGGAACTCTTCGTCGTTAGGATCCCGAATGAACCACATCACACCAGGTCTGACCATCCTTCGGCAGAGACCAACAAAGAACGAAAAGTTGAACATGAACGCGGTCCCGATTAACCAGTGCATGATGAGTGACCAATTGGGCAACGTCCTGTAGAATGCCACCCGCGAAGTGATGCTGGCGCCTTTGAACAAAGGAAGAGTTGACAAGCCGATTACGATTCCACAAAAAAGCGGAAAGACAACCATTTCGATGGCGACAAAGAAAGCAATCTATTGATAGTTACACATACAAAATGTCAGCTTGTTATAAACAATGAAATGCGACATTCGAATAGCCCTCATACCAACCTTGAGAACTAGGCCTTGTTGACGAAGGAATTCTCGGGCTCCTCTTGAAAATGTGTGTCCATAGGCGTGGTGTGCGCGCGTAAAGTACCAGGATGCCAGCGCAAAACATATCGCATATCCAATCGCAATTGCCACAAATTTGTCACCCGAAGAGGTGCCGTACGCGATCTCTGTCCATTTTCGAACGACATGGTGTATGACGGTCGTATTTGTTATAACTGTCGCGTCTGAGGATGTGATCAGGGACTCTACAGCTACGGCAGTGGCATCCTTGGAATAAACATCCTGGGCTGCTTTGAACGCACCGATTTCGATAATGGCGTTCCATGCAGGCAAGACATGTTCCTGATATAACATCTCGAGAGGCGTCGATTCGAACATCGCCATTGCTTTTGAGAGACCAGCGCCAGCATAAGGTAGCACGCGATCAAAAACATAATCCAGAATTGGATCCGTAAGTCGACTGAGCATGGCGAGCGGTACTCGGAGAACGTTGAGTGGGTTCATGAGGAGAATAGTTTTTCCGATCATATATGGAATCCAGACGCCGAGCCCCAAGCTTGCACAGACCAACGCTGACATCAGCAGTGACACTTGGAGAAACTGCCAGATTGAACCGTTTATCCCAATGACTTCCAGGATACCGTCCAATTCCTCTGCATTAGGGTCATCTAGATCGTCATCCTGATTGACAGCTATGGGAGCGGGTGGAGGTGGAGGTGGGACGGCTGGTGCTGCAGGTACAGGGTGAGGTATAACGAGTGGTCGAGGCGGAGCCGCGCCCTGCGCGGGATTCCATTCGGGTTCATTAGCAACGTCGTGTCGTAGCCGAGTCCGTATGCCTCGCTCATTAATTCGTCTTATCATCTCTTGCCTCTGCTCCTCTCTAAATCCCATGCCAGGAGCGTGTTCCTCCAATGGTTGTTGTGCTTGTGCCATTTGTGGATGTCGCCACGGCGTTGGTAGCCTTTGAATGTCCGCGGCCTCGAGATTCCCATCCTGACAAAGGTCATCGTAGCGGGCCATCATCTCATGTAATGACATCACACTGCCATCCTCGTTTAAGTAGACGTTTTGGTGTGTCAATGGTATGCCAGACTTCCAGTAGAGCGGAGTTCCGTCCTTGCTAAATATGGAATCTCCACGTCCGTCCTGTAAAGTCTTGGAGCCGCTTGATGATCCCTCGCCATTTAGAGCATCACTCGAGCCCTGGGATTCCCCCATCCAATCTGATCCACTCCCTCGCTGAATGTCGTTGTTCGTATTTGATGTGGATGCAGATGCAGTCTCCCAAAAAAATGGCGCTCTATGTCCCTGTGCTGTTGAGCTGCCTTCGCTTTCTGCTGCTTCAGAACGATACCGAAAATCCATAAGATTCCAAGGTTCCGTAGTCGAGTTGAGTAAATGACTTGGTGCGTTCGTGTGCGACTCATCAACCTCCATATCTTCTTCGTCGTCGTCATCCTCGCTGAGATCTACATCGCCTTCTACGACCGCCTCGATATGATGCTGAGCCGCAATAAACCGCTCCACGGCCTGCTCCATGTTGAATCCTTGTGCCTCTGCCTCTACTTCTGGTACTGGTGCTGCTGGGTCGTCCATGGGCATACCTATTAAATCTCCGTCCCGGTTCTGACGCACCCATTCGCGCAACAAGAAAATTGCCATGAATACGACAACGACAACGGAGATGATAATTTGGCCCTCGAAGCAGTCCAGTATGAATTTACTATAGACATCCATTTGATATACATCTGTGAGTTAGTTTTGCTTTGTATTCCTTGATGCAGCAATAGTAAGTATAAAAAGATTCCGGATTAACACGCCTGCATACCTGATCCACTGGTGTTCAGGGGCAAGAGCTTGCAGGAACAGCACTGTGATTCCGTCCACTGCTCTTTCATTTCCTGCTGTGGTTGATGGACGAGTTAATGTCAAGTTGTGTCTGGAGGCGAAAAACGTGGTCGAGTTCCACATTGGTGTCTCCAAACCGTTAGCCCTAAACGCGAACGTTTCTCCGATCCAGAAGTAGAGTCGCCAGATCCATATCGTGAAATACGGAAGCATCACCAACAATACCCAAATGACAATAATCCCTCTCAGAACCAGCTGCACCGCTTTCGACAGTTTTTCGACTGCTCGGCCGATGAGCACGCGCTTTGGGATTGCCTCTGGCATCTCGGGTGAGTATACTATCGCGTGACATGAGTATATAACTGATGTAAGCATCTGTTTTGATTGAATATATAGCCAATATTGCCAAACAAGGTCGGCGAACACCTACTGGGAGTGAAAGAGAAGTTGTGCTTGCATAGTTCACAGTATCTATAAGTGATAGCGAAGGTGATGCGTGAATGGGATGCTTGGCTCTCCCAGTTCGAATATCATATATCATTGGCTAAGCCGAGCAAGGCAGCAAAGGCAGTTCCCTACCTCTTGTTACTATGCTCCAGCCATTCCAGCAGACTATAATCCATGGCAAAAAGCAATAAATGTATCAGTGTCATCCCACACTGATCTTGGTACAAGCGGTACCTGCAACTGTTTTTCAATTCCACTTACCAGTCTTGATGCACAAAGCGAATGGTGCCTGAGCATTTGCAAGGATGGAACAGCGGTTGTTCAGGCGTGCCCTCGGATCGGCAAACTCTGCAAATCTCTATCGGCACGCATTTCAGGGTTAGGTCTTTGCCTGCTGAGTAGAGTATTTAAGGTGCGGAGCAAGTGCAACTGGTAATACCTTCTTCCTCCTCCATTGCTGTTACTTTTGAAATGGTTGCTGTGTGCTCTCGTTTGGGGGTTGAATAGCATGTATTCAGGACATATTATGGCAGTTCAGGTAATGGAATTGTGGATTCAAAAGAAGGGAAGATGATGTTTCCGCACAAGCTGATGCAGGCGCTCGGTCCGACAGACATCACGTGCGGAGCATCCCAGAACACTGTTGATTCGTTGGTGGCAAACAGTTTGCATTCGATCTTCCAGGGCACCACCTCCCAACGAGCGTCATGACCGAGCTTCAGACCCTTCAGCACCAACATGAGCTGGAGAAGCAGGCGCAGGCAGAGGTACAACACCAGGAGCAGCAGCAGCTCTTCCAAAAGCAGCGCTCCCAGCTCCAGGAACGGGAGGCAGCCTTCTTCAAGTTACAAGCTGAGTTCCAGCAGGATCCGACGCCTCTTCGCGAGCACGAGTTGCTTATGCTCCAGCAGGCTGGTCAACACGCGCAGGAGTTATTCACGCAGCAGCAACAGCATCTGCTTGAAAGCCACCGACAGGAGCAGCTGCGACTTGAGGAGCGTCACTGGCATCAACAACAGCTCTTGCACCAGCAGCTTCAGCAGCAACTCCACCAGAACCACCAGAACCACCAGAACCAGCAAAACCAGATATCTCAGTATCAACAACCCCAGCGGTCGGAGCAGCCTCAACAGCATCAGCACCACCAACATCACCCCGTCCCGCACCAACAGCAGCACCAACGATATGTAGCATTATATCATCAGCCCCAGCAGCCAGCACAGCCCCAGCAGCAGCTTTTATCCCAACAGGCCGATGATAACGATGTTGAGGCGATGGATGTCGATGACGAGAACGTACTGCTCAGTATCGCATCGACTATTACAAACCTTCGAGAGCAACCTGCATCAGTTAGCACTGGTACTATCAGCACTTGGGAGTCAGGACCTGCGACATTCAGCAGCAGCGACACCGTGCCCGATGGTGTCGTCGTCTTCGATACTAATGTTTTGATCTCCCACCTCAATTTCATTCAAACGCTTATCGAGGCACACGGATCGCAGCCGACCTCAAAGCAAAGCGGAAAGCTCTACGTTCTGTTTGTCATACCGTGGATAGTGGTTCAGGAATTAGACGGCCTCAAAGGAGATGGAGGTCGTCACGGAGGAAACGAGTTGGATTTGACAGGGAAGGCCCGCAGAGCCATTCGGTATCTGGAAAATGAACTTGATCGGCCCACGGAATACAGGCGGCTACGTGGCCAGAGGATCAGCGAGCGCATAGAAAAGGAAGAAGTAGGTATCTATAGTAGTGCAGTCAGCATGCATCAAAACCAAAGTGCTATATTTGCTCATATACATATTCTTGCGTACTCTAGAAAAACGACGATAAAATCCTAGATTGCTGCCGCTACTTCGGGAAGCTATACTCGGACCAAAAATCAACAAAGCTGACCCTCTTCTCAAATGATCGTAATCTTTGTGTGAAGGCGGCTATCCACAACATTCAAACAGCGTCCCGCGAAAAAACCATTCTTGAAATCGAGGCCTTCACTGCCACGATCTTGGGAAGAAATTCGGACATATCTCCAATACAGGATGACGATAACATGATGATTGATGATTACCGTAACACGAGCGACAAACCAAAAGCATCCTCACCCCCAAGAAAGATACTCAGCGGCTCATCGAAGGTTGCCATCGTCTCTTCAAAAATGGGCAAGTACAGAACGGAGGTTAACGAGCGCGAACTCCAGCGGATCAAGGCAACCTCCAAGGTCACAACCGCGCCCGAGGGAATGGACCCCATGCTGTTTGCTCTCGCCAGCCACATAGTCAAGAACCTGCGAAGATGCCTGGAGGTTGCGGTGCTAGACCATTTACAAGCATTTTACGGCGATGATTGGAAATCACTGTCGGATTACAACGCGACTTGTGTTAAGGAATCCGATATGGTGTATGACTGCAGGCGTCTGCTGCAACCTCTTCAGCTGCTGCAGCGTCATTGGAAAGAGGTCTACGCAAGTCTCTATGGCTCTATTGCGACGGCGAATCGGGCGAGAACTCACCTGGACGGCCTACAATCGTTTGTCAAGCAATGGGATCGAGTCGAGATGTTTGGACTCGGAAAAGTGTACAAGAAGGACCTCACGGCATTCTTGGACGATGTAAACGCTGTACTGGACGGAGTCATGACCAGACCCGAGAAAAAGGTGCCCTCGCACGATGGGCGCGACGACCTTTTTTACGACGCTCAATCTCGATTACGGTTAATGGAAGACTGGAGAAGGCACAGTAGGAATTTACAGAACTAGGCACACAGTCTCCTCCGCTGCATCATCAGCTTGTATTATATCATATTAATAAACTGTGCACTCTTATTCACGTTCTGGATCATGGGCAACTGAAATCCATCGTACGCAACAACTTTCCGTATTATTGGGTGGAATCGCATCGCAGTTTGTCACCTCACGCGTCTCTTCCCTATTTCAGGTACTTGTCATTCAAATGTACATGGATATGGACGAATAAGTCCATCTCCTTGTGCAACAATTAGAGCGGGCTCGGCTCACTTTCTTCCTGGTCCTCCACATTTTCTTCACCAAGTAAATCAGTACAGTACTCTCTTGCACGTCTTTTTCTGTTGTGAATCCAGCTAGGCCGGCTTTGTCTCTCTGTTACGTAGTACCTTAGGCGACAGATGTTGTTCTTCGAGGTGGTTGTGCTTACAACGAAACCAAACGCACAATTTCTCTAGGATCCACAATCCTTTTGGGACATGTATAATTGACGCCAACCACAGCCCGCATGGCTTTGTAATCTTTTTTTTTTTTTTTTTTTTTTTTTTTTTCATTCCTCCATGGAAGGCATCTGTGTGGCGTTAACTCGGGGCGCAGACTGCTGCTCTGCGCTGTCCATGCTGCCATGCTGTGTGACATAAGCTGTGGTAAAATCGGCGAGAATAGGTTCAAGAAAAGAGCACCGACCGACAATTCGTCCCTGGTCGAGTGCTCTCAAGAAGGAAAAACAAAAATCAACAACAGAGGCGGTGTCGGTGAGTGTAAAAGAGGCGAGGGCTAGGCGCACGAAGCAAAGGCGCCCAAGGCTTAACGGTACTACTCTAACCTTCCTTCCTCTTGCACATCTCATCACCCTTCCCTCGGCGGGCATCCCCTTGTCATCGCATCAATCCATAATCTCATCCACCGCAGGCAGGAAACATAGACTACAAAACACTCTATACCCTCGTTGTTGTTACTCCTGCCTCTTAGCCTGTCCGCTACTCCATTACAGTTAAACCTGCTCAAACCTGAGCATTCGGCTTGAATAGACTAGGTATTCAGCAACAGCATGAGTACGCTTAGCTCTTGGTCGTGGAGGTGTACTCCAGACTCAAAGACATGTATTTCAGACAGGTACTCCTGCACTCCTTCTGTACCTGGCACGCGTCGCGTCTCTTGTGAGATAAGCGAAACCTCCTTCCTTCTGCACACTATCTGAACCAGTTGCAATGTGCCACACCACTTAACCAACGGATACTCATACACTCTCTAGTCTGCTGCAGCTGGTTCCAACATGTATCATCGTCTTTTCCTCGCTGGCTGTCATCTCTGCAGAGTGCGGTCGACAAGACCGCAGACGCCACTTCAACCGGTTCTCGAGCGAGGTTGTTGTTCACGGCGAAAGCCAGGCGGACCTAGATATCGATGGCTCCAACCCTAACCGGCTGATAAAACCGAGACGTACCTTTTCATTAGCGATTCTTCGCTGCGTCGGAGCATTTGCACAGATCGGTCTTTTCGTCTACCTTGCTACCCAAAAATTGGATGATTTGGGCAACTCTGGACCTGGACCTGGGCTCCCTCCACCGAGAAATCTTACTCATAGCAACATGGGACCAAAGCTTCTGGGCAGAGAGATCAATGAAGAGTGGCCACTCTGGCTTCCTGTCATGCATGGGATCATTTGGGTATGGACTCGTCGGTCAAATATAAAGTGAAGTAGCTGTGTGTGTCTCTGAATTGTCTGCTCATTGCTATTGCTTGGCGTTTCAATAGGTGTACGCATCGATTCTATCTGTCGTGTCATTACTCCATCCCCGACTTTCCAATCCCTACCGTCTCACGACACATCTGGACATCATCTACCTCACCACTGCAGGAGGTGGGCTGATACACTTTTTGTACAACAACTTTGGGCGGCCTATCGGGCTCTGGACCCTGGATGATCAGGTTTCAGGATTGTCGGCCCTGGTTTCTGGGAGCATGTTGACTCTCACTCTGGCTACGAAGCCGCTTGTCTCGCCACAGCCATTTAAGGGACCCGAGAAAAGATCCCGAGGGGTATGGGAGAAAATAGTTTCGTCAATATTGACGTATTCTCAACAATGCCATTCATAGTATACAACATCTCATGCTCTCCGGTGACTTCCGTATTATCGTAGGTAATATCTCCAGAGACGCGCTCATCCCTTTATGCCAGAATCGCATTCACTTGGTTACATCCTATGGTGATCAAGTCCTTCAGAAGTAAGCTGCAGGAGACGGATGTCTGGGCCATCGACAAGAGTTTGAGGATCAAGACCAATTTCCAACATTATCTCGAAAACAGGTGCGGGGCCAGCGCTAAAAGTACATCCCATGAATTGTTTGTCGCCACGGATCTTTATGCACATGGACTAATATTTCATATTACCATGTCTATTGAGCAGAAGGCCCACAGTTTTTGTTACCATGCTCTATTTGTTCCGCCTCGACCTGGCGCAGCAATATGTTTGGGCGCTTGCATGGACAGGACTGAGCATGGTGGCTCCCTTCGTGGTATTCAAGCTGCTTGAATTTGCACAAGACATATCGACCTACAATCGCAACGAAGCGATGTTTTACATCGCTGTTTTACTGGTATCCATCGTTGTGCGCTCAGCAGGTATGATTTTTTATTATGGTAATGCGAGGCGGAAACCTTTGCATGTGGTAATTAGCTTATTATGGCTATTTCTTTTTGTCAATAGTGCTGCAGCGTGGTCTACATATGGGGCAGCGCATCGGAACAAAAGCAATGGGCATGGCAAGCGGATTGATCTACGAAAAGATGTCCCTGCGTAAGGACATGGACCCTGTCGACTATGACATTACAGGTGAGTTCCCGCAAATCGTTATTGCCTCGCTGGATATCGCAAGTGTTTCCTAGATGATTCTAATGAGCCGTGGAATTGCAAATAGATTTGATGGGCGTGGATGTGAAGCATATCGGACACGGTTGGAGGCATGGATTCTATTTGATGATCTATCCAACCATGTTCATCCTCGCGACTATTCAACTGTACGGGTATATTGGACATTCTGCCTGGGCTGGCGGATTAGCTGTCATCGCTTGGTACCCGATCTCGGCTCTGGCCAGCTTTCTCTTCTCAGGACGCTTCGACGCTGCGCCACCCAAGATGGAGCGAAGTGGAGCTCTCGTATCTGACGTAGGTGCTCGAGTGCAGGTTTATACGATATTGAATGCTATCTCTGTAACATTCCGGAGGCCATTAATCTCATACCTGCTTATCTATTTGTAGTTCTTGGCGAACCTGAAGGCTATAAAGTATCTTGGCTGGGAGGAGATTCTGTTAAGCAAGGTCTTGAAGGCGCGCGAGGAAGAGCGGAAGCTTAATTCCAAGACATCCCAGCCCGTGATGGCCTTGATTTCTGTGCCTCTGGGCGGAGATCTTATCCATGCATTTGTCGTAATCATCATCCTTAGCGTATTTTCACTCTATTTCCATCAGCTTCTGACCCCTGCGCTCCTGTTCACCATCTTGATCCTGGTCGACATACAGACGAGTGCTATCAACGTAAGCCGCACGCCTTATCGCCATCTTGACACGAACCTGCATTTTCTATATGGCGACTAAATATCTCTTGTTTCACGATGCACAGTCGTTACCTGCGGTCATTATTACGCTCAAGGAAATGCTGGATTCAGTGGTCAGGGTCAATGATTTCCTGGGCGATGACGAGAATGAGCGCGACACAGCAGTTATCAGGGACAGGGAAATGGCGAGGAGGGCCAACATCCCCATTATTGGTTTCGTTAACGCAACATTCGTCTGGCCTGTGGCAAAACCTCCTCGTCACAGTAACGAACTTATTTTTGTCGAAGAACCCGAGGATAGTGACGATTGCGAGGATGGCGATCGACAGACTCCAAGCAACAAGAAGTTGCCCGAAAATTCTCGTCAGAATGCAAGCCAAGCCAAGACAAATTGGATCGTCAGGACGTTGTCGCTCTTTGGATACTCGCTCCCTATTCAGCCGGCTCCCTACCTGCCGCCGAACGCGCATCAGAAATACGGCACAGGTCTTGGTTCAGCCACAGCGTCTGAGGGGGAGTTTGTGCTTAAGAATCTCAATTTATCATTCCCGCCTGGACAGGTCTCCTTGGTCACTGGTACTAGACGGTCGGGCAAATCGGCACTGTTGCTGGCGTTGATTGGCGAAATGACACGCGTCTCTGGAAAGATTTACCTCCCCCGAAAGGACTACTACCATGGCAAACAGGGATACGGCAGCGATATTGCCTATGTGGCGCAGGATCCCTGGCTGGAGATCGGAGGAAGCGGTAGTATCACTGGAGGCAGTACAGGTCGCAGCACAATCCGGGACACGGTTTTGTTCGGAACACCCATGGACGAAGAGCGCTATAATGAGGTCTTGAGGGCCTGTGTACTCGAGGATGAACTGAAAGGCTTGTCCAAGGGCGATATGACCATCATTGGAGACAAACGTGTGATCTGGTCCATGTCATTGAAGCAGCGCATTTCTTTGGCGCGCGCTATCTATTCTGACGTTTCACATATCCTTATGGACGACTGCCTGAGCTTCGTGGATCTCAAGAGTCGTCATTTCATCTGGAAGAACTGCATGTATGTTTGCCTGCTTACAGAGATTCAAGGATGGCACTAAGCACTGTTCCCTGACAAAACCACATCTCGAACGTCAAACATTAGATTAGGACCCCTTACGCAAAACAAGACGAGGATTCTTGTCAGTAACCAGTTTCATGTCAAGACGTACTTGAACGATGTGGATTTTGTTGTTGGGCTGGATCAAGGCATTGTCTTGGGTCACGGATCTGTCAGGGATGTCCTTAGTCAAGGCTGGATTCGACAGGCACCCGGCTCGACTTCAATCCCCACAACTATCGTTCCTGGTGCCAGCGTTCCTGCAAACATGGGTTTGCTTCCTCCCAGGATGGACCAACCTCAGCAAATACTAGCAGATTCTACCCCGTTCAACGCACACGCAGGGGACCTTCGACCCTCCAAGAGCACTAATCTTCCACTGAACAAAATGAGCAGCCTAAGCGACTATGATGATCTGGATTCAACGTTGAGTCGCGAGACCGCAGCGGGATTCAAGGTTGGCTGGACGACCTTTGGCACATACATATTTTCCCTGGGCACAGTCCTGTTCCTCTTGAGCGCCTTCATGAGTTTGTTTTTGAGCCAGGCGCTTTTTGTGGTCCGCATTGGATGGTTAGGTATCTGGGCTGAGAATGAGGCATGGGATGGCGGCGTGCCACTGCAAACCACGATTCATGAACGCCGATATCGGAATATCCCCTCAGATGATGCCCCTACACAACCAACGATCACGCACTACGACTATATCATGATTTTCGCAGCCCTGGCGGGAGCTCGTGCGCTGTTTGTCATTGCGAACGCCTTCTTTTTGAGATCTGGGGCTTCTAAAGGTGCGGACAGAATTTACGCACGACTTCTCCAGAGTATCGCAGCGGCTCGTCTCACCGTATTTGAAGCCCATTCTGAGAAGGCAGCTACCTCCTTACCCGGAGACTCTGGTGGATTGTTCTCAAAAGACACCATCAACGGCCTCAAGGATTGCTTCCAGAGGGACCTGAGCGGACTGGACGTGAAACTGGCCAAGGAATTTTGGCAGTTTGCGTCCGACTTTTTGGCGATGACACTTATCTTAGTGGTCCTGGCTCTAATCATGCCGTTCATGCTCGTTCCTGCTGGTGCAGTCCTATTCGTGTTGAGTTCTGTCGCACTTTTGGGACTCGATCTATCCAAGGAGATGCACAGGATGGCCATTCGGGCAGATCGTATGAACAAGGATCAGTTCAAGCACACGTTCCGAGGACTGGCAACAATCCGTGGCTATGGACTGGAGCGTCGCGCGATCAAGGCGGGTATTGCACAGGTGGAGGTTTACTTGAAGACGACCTATTTCGGGGCATGCGCAGATCGCTGGTTGCATTGGAAGGTCGAACTCCTTGGGGCTTTCGTCCCATTTTCGTGTGCTATAATGATTCTGCAGAAGATCGAGAATCTAGATCCAGTTCTCATGGGCTTAGCGATGTACCTGTCTTTGCAGTTCAGCGACAGGGTATTGGATTCATTACTGGGATATGGCAGGATCCGAAACCGGCTGCAATGGGCACTTGAGAGAACAAGGCGTTACGTCCAGGAGTTGAACAGCATCGATAACAAGGAGGCGCCGAAAGTGGTCCCAAGTAAGCAGCCGCCAGCCGGCTGGCCACACAGCGGTGCTATCGAGTATGTCCATTATGCAAGCAGCCGGTCCGAAGATTTCCATGACGTTGGAATTCTAAACAGGACCATCAACAAAGCACCGGTTCCGATACCAGCTCCAGCATTGGCACCAGCACCGGCCACTGTCGCACCTGGCGTGCAGATCCTTTCGCGTGATTTCCCTCAAGAGCAACGACCAGCCCAAAATCCAAATTACCAGCAAAACCCTGTTGCTGGTGCTCCTTTGCCCCAAGATCTCTCACTGTCTACACCCCGCGACAATGGTAGTGTCCGCACCAACACCACGGTATCTGCCGTCAACACTGTTGCCTCTAACACCAGCCATTTGAGCGCTGCCAGCCGAAGCAGTGCTCTTACCAATGGAACCATTGTCGGCAGTCAGAATCGGTATTTCTCCACTTCCGAAAACCCGCATGCCACTCTAATTCCACTTCCGAGTCCGTCATCAACCTTCATGACAAGCACGGCAGCAGTGCCTGAGCCTAGTGCACCTATGGATCAGCTCGAAGCCTTGAACCAGACGAGTACTGACATCCAGACAGATGTACTTGAAAGCAGGTTTGAGGCACCATTGCCGCCACTCCCACCATCAGCGACGAATGAATCCTTGTCTTTGAATAGCAGTGATAGTCATGAGCCGGCAGCACATTCAGTGGCGACGAACGAGGTTGGATTCGGACCTATTACCTGCTCGATCCAGCCTGGTGAGAAGATTGCGGTTGTAGGACAGTCGAAGAGCGGCAAAATTATGTTTATTCAGAGTTTGTTCCGCATCTGGGACTCTGCTGAGGAAGAACGCATCCGAGCAGCTGCAGCGGTCAATCCTGCTGCGAGCAAGAAGGTCGCTCAAGGTTCTGGTCCTTCATCATCAATAACATCGACGTCGTATACAAAATCACCGCTGGCATTTTGGTCCAAGGGCAAGGCCAAATCCTTCCACAAGGATCCAGTCCCTAATTTAGGCATGATCTTGGTGGATGGGTTGGATATTGCGCAAATGGGACTCGGGGATCTCAGGTCTCGCATTTCGTATATGTCTCCGCGTGGAACCGTGCTTGCGGGTACTGTTCGCTTCAACTTGGATCCACGCGGTGAACACGAGGATGCAGAGCTAAACGACGTGCTCAAGACGTGTTTCTTGAGCGACCGACTCAAATTGGACACAGAGCTCATTACCCCTGCCACTGCCAATTTGTCTGCCGTCACTGACGCAACCGGACCAACGTCTGCCGCGGCTAAACCGGCCTCAAGGATCACACGGTACAGGAAGAAGTTTTTTAGGGACAGCCGTGCTACGTCCAACAAAAAGGGTAAAGACAGGTCTAAGGATTACAAGGCTTCGGCCTCTGCGCCCGCCACGATTGGGGTCTCCTCGGGGCGCGGTTTGCGAGCTGCGATTGCGGGCGGCGGAAACGACCTTGCGGAGGTGGAGCAGCGGTTACTGCAATCTCTGGAGGAAGAAGACGAGAATATAAACGGAGAGGGCATCCATGGAAACGATTCGGACGATGACGATGAGTATGAGGAGGATGATACACGGATGGAGCTCGATACGAACGAACGACAGCTGCTGAGTCTTGCGCGGATCCTGGTCCATCGTTCGAATGTGGTGGTCCTGGATAACTGTGCATCCAAGGTGACGGATCTGACGGCACAGAGGATCGATCAAATTATTTTGCAGGAGTTGAAGCACGCGACCATCATCTCGGTGGGCCACCGGCTGGACCAGATCGTGGCACGACATAACAGAATTTTGGTTCTGGACCACGGCAAGCTCGTTGAGTTCGGTAAGGATCATGATATATTTGTTGCAGAATAACCTGAAAACATACTCAGGCGCTCATACAACTAATGCGGACTAAATTATTCTCTTCACTTTCGGACTCTAGATACTCCCATGGCATTGCTGAGCAAGCCCAACGGCGCGTTTAGGGCTATTTGGTACGAAAATCGTCTATTCGTTTATATTGCAAGATGTGTTATTCTGCTTTATTAGCAATATTAATTATAATCAAACCGCCTTTCTCCTTCAACCACTGTGCAGCAATCCTAACGGTCCCAACTTCTCATCGCTCGTGTCGCTTGCGAAGAAGCAACAAATCCAGCTGCAGCAGTAGAATAACGTAAAATGAAGAAAGAAAAGAAAAAGGAATTCAAAAAAAAGCAATACAATGTGCATTTTCACTGTGTGCATTCAGTGACTATATTTAATGTATCCTCTGCTGTTTTTTTATCACGACCAATCTCGCCTCCGGGTTTGATCGGGCCTAGCATGATGTGTCTGCTCAGGCCATTGTCCTTGAGAAGGTGGAGGATACGGTTGATATTGCTGCTGCTGCTGTTGTTGCAGTACATGTTGGGGATTTGGACGTGGAGGTGGTGGGTGAAAGCCTGGTCCAAACGGTGACATTGGTGGCATTGCTTGCGGAGGTTGACCTTGTTGCCCTTGCTGTCCTTGCTGCTGCTGTAGTTGATGTTGCGCCAAAAATGCTTGCAGCTGGTGCGGAGCCATGGGCGGCATCGGAGGAACTGGTGGTATTGGCATAGGCGGCCGCCCTTGTTGCTGTTGAGCTAGCAGGTGTGGAGGCAGTGGCGGGAAGCCAGGCGGAGGCACTGGCATCCCTGGTGGCGGAATTGGCATACCAGCAGGCAGTGGTGGTGGCGGAGGTCTTGCAAAATAAGGCTGTCCATGAGACACGGGGACATTCTGCTGTTGGTTAAACTGAGCCATGGTCTGGCCAAGGTTCATAGCCAAATTGGCCGGCAGTCCGGCAATAAGGCTTGAAGCGCTCGTGCCGCTCAATTGAGCGGTAACCGCTGCTGCTGCAGGTGTCAATCCTTGAGAAGTTTGGGATCCAGGGCTCGAGATCGCAACCGGAGGGGTTCCTGGATTACCAGCAGGAAAAAGTTGGTTGACCAATCCTTGCAGTTCTTGTAGTGTCGGCACCTTGATTGGCGCTGTTATTGCTGGCGTGGCGGATGTTGCGTTTTGGGAAGGAGAAGCAGGAGCACTCATAGGCGTTCCGATCGAAAAGAGCGACGACACCGCTGGCGGCTGCTGGCTCGGAGAATGAACCGTGGACGAACGTCGTGTATATCCATTCGATTGGCTTTCTCTGCTGTCGCGCCGTTCATGTTGGGTTGGGTAAGGACGCGAGGCGGATGCACCGGAGTGCCTGTGGTGACTTGAGCTCGCTTTGGCATGCGATGGCGACTGACCATGATGATGCTGATGGTCCCGGTTGTGGTGATGAGACGATGCTTTATTGACAATCAGCACTCCAAACAACGCGTCCTTCCTGGGCTCTCTCGCACGGACTAGGGCCTCGACCTGCATGAGGTTCTGCAGGTACACTGGAAGCGGATCCTTGGATGCGACAGGGACCAAATACATATCCTTAACATGTCGCCCCTTGTTTGGCACGACTCCGTTACGATCCTTGTCGTAGAAGTAGTGGAATAGCTTGTCGAATTCGGCTTTCCGCTTCTCCAAAGATGCCGGGGATGGGTCCTCGAGTTCAAACTGTACGACGACCACCTCCTTTGTTGCCGACTGTCGTTGCTGTGCCACATAGCTCGCTACGGCTGCGGTTGGAATGCGACCATCAATCGAAACGGTCTTGGTCAAGATATCAGCCCATTCGGGTGCAATCATTTCCACGAGAGGATCAGAACTTGGTCGGCCAGGAATGACTCTGCTCCCGCCAACTTGGACAGCCCTAGCGAAGAACTTGGTAACCTGGTGCATGTAGACGGTGCCTTGCCACACCGGGAGCACCTGCTTGCTCGCTGAGGACGCACCGCTCTTCAGCCTTCGCTCAATTCCCTCCAGCATGAGTGGTGGTGGTGAACCTGGTGGAGTTGTCGAGGATAGTGCAGGTGATCCTGATGGTGATGGCGACGGTGAGTAGGGCGAGGGCTCTCTTGGCAGATATGACGAGGAGGAGGACACCCAAGCCAATCCATCCGGACCTCCCTCGCTCAGCTTCTTGCGTTTCTCGCCTGTGAGGGCATCATTCAGAACCTCTTCACCAGAACGTTTATTAGTTTGAATTCTCGCCAGCAGCTTATCCAGGGCATCTGTCGTCGGTGATCCCACGGGCGTCGACTTGCTGGAGCTCTGCTGTGCCTGCACAGTTTCCTCCGCGGGAGTTTCCTCCGCTGTCAAATCCTGGTTTGGTTCTTTATCATAATCCTTGTCCTCAGGTTTGGTGCTCGACGTCGAGGATGATTCGTTCATCATGGACGGTCCTGGGATGTAGCTGACATCACCCTTGTGGGTCTTTTTGATAAAAGGTTCTTGTTCGATTGTGAGTACGGAGTCATGAATACTTCGCTTTCTCACTTCCTCGGCAATGCTTTGCAGCTCTGGGTTAGCTAACTCCTCAGGTGTGAGGCGGACGAGCTCATGGGGTTCTAACTCTCCAGACAGCACACGGGCTCGAAGACTCTCGTTGTTTTTGTCCTTTAGATTAAAAAACAATGAGCGGTACTTGGCCTTGTAGTCCTTTCCACAGCCGGATTGTCCTGGGGTCGCCGTGAACATATAGAGTTCCTTCTCGATGACCGCTGCTAGTCTACTGGCCTTCTCCAGATCCGCTTCTTGCTGCTGGGGTTTGTTTTCGAACGCAACCATCAGACTGTCCGTGAGGCCCTTGAGTGCCGTTGATCGTACTGGATTCTGTTCGGCCTTGGGTGAACCGGGTGACTTCAGTTGGATAGGGGACAATGGCTGAACGGGCGAGGACAGTTTTCTTGCGGCAGCTTGTGCAGAAGATTTCGCAGGTGGGATCATAATTGCTGCCGGCCTAGGGTCTTTGTTCATCACTGCCTGTAGCGCCTCGAGTTCGATGCCCTTGATAGCACATTCCTCGCTGCAGTAGTCACTCGTAGCTCTGGCCTCATTCAGGCATGTTGGAAGCGCGCAATCTCGTGCATTCTATTATTGTAGTACCAGGAAGAAAAAGAAGAAAAAAAAGAAGGATTATCAGCAATATTGTTTGGAACCGATGGCGGTGCGACATGAAAAATTAGATAGGTTGCTTACTGAAAGATTTGATGTCTTTTGCCCAAGCTGGCTTTTTGCTCGAACTATAAGCGCGCCAACAGCAAAGCGGATAGATGAGATTCGCCGATGGCAGACGTACATAAGTATATGAAATAGGAAATAAAATCAGAACGTCGCGTCAATAGGTGCTTGTTAAAGACGTTTGGACCCAAATGGTATAGATGGGACGCACACAAACGAATCATCCCGGATAAAAAATGTCGCAACCGAAATCATCCATGCGTTGCTTTAGAGTCCGGGCAAAAAAGAATCTTTATCCTCGCATTGCGATTATGATATGGAGAACGCGCTGTAGCCCTGAATAACATGCGATGCGTGCTTCAGTAGACCACGCAGATCAAAAAAGACTCAGCGGAGCAAGCTACAAATATATGCACCAAGCACGCGTACACGTTTCAAGCATTGGACCAAATGATGCCGCCAGTAAAGCAGGTTGACAAGAGATAACGGATTGAAATCCCGAGGACGATTCAAATGATATGGGAGACACATCGTTCCAGTGTTTGATTTGGTTTCGCAGCGTATAATTCTTTATGTAACCAAGAAATGACATACGGATCCAAATAAAGAACTTGGGCACACATCGGACCTCAAAGCATTGATCGACCACAATTCCTTACCTTTCAACTTTTCTGTACAAGGATCACAAAAAAACTTTTCGTTCTTCAGCTCCATCAACTCAGCGATCTCATCAGTAACATCAACACAAGCGCCATGGAACCTATATTAGTACAAAGAAAATAAAATGAGCTGATGTTTCCTAAAAGTGAGTGCATCCAATGATGGAGTGCAAGCAACAAGGTCATCCTGCTTACCACTGCCGGCAGTTATCGCATTGGATCATGACCTCGCCATCATCTGGTTTCTGACAATAGCAATAAACTTTCTTAGATCGAGTAACCCGCTCTGCTGGTGCCGACGGAACAACTATCGACACTCCTTGTGCGTTCTGAAGATACTCCTCGCTCTGTGCTGCTAAACTGGACTGCCGCCTAGCTCTAGTGCTCCTTCTGATATCCTTGGGTGGAGTAACAGCTACTAGCGCTGCTGCTGCTTGTGGAATCACCGGTGATGCCGACTTTTCTAAAGTCGAAGGGATGGTGATGGCGGGTGAGGGAATATTCGGAAGCGATGTTGCCTCGGAAATGTCACTTCCTTGCTTAGCTCCAATGTCCTCAGTAGGCGGTGCGGCGCTTGAGAGGCTACCGGCTGGGAAAATGAGGTCTGGTGTGATGCAACCAGTGATCTGCTCCTGTGGCGAAATCTTGCCAAGTTCCATATCCATAAGCGACCCGTACGCCTGATGGGCTCCGTTCCAATGCACTGCACCTGTGTCTATCGAGACCTGAGCTTCTATCAAGTTATTGAAACTCACGGGTGTGCTGTTGTTGTCGAGAGCAGTGCTGTCCACCGATATCGTGGCACTCATTGTGTCTTTGACTTCCTCACTTTGCCACTGGCTGGTATCCTGATCAGAAATGTCTTGATGTGAGTTTTCATGTCCTGATTCTGAAAAGTCTAGAAAGGTTTCCCCGCCGTCAGTATGAGGCTGCGGCTCCATCTCGGCTCCGGCTAGATCGAGGTGTAGATAGTAATCAGGTTGTTGTGTCGAGTCCGCCATAGTATTATTTTAAATTCGGACGTGGTCGCTTCAGCAGATTCGCAGAGTGGGTTGATCGGCTTGATAACAGGCGACGTCAAGTGAGGTCAAGGATTCCAGGACAATGGCCGCGAAAACTACGTCACCGAAGAGACGAAAAATTACATTTTTATCCTTCCTACCACCGCGTCAAAGCATCTTCCAGCTCGCGTTCACATTCCTGAAATGCCTCTTTAACTTCAGCTTCTTTCACTCTTCTCTATCCTTCCTGTTGTTTAGCTCTCATTGCCTGTAGTTGGAGACGGAGTAGCGGTGAAAGCAGGTTTTCAAGAGGGGGTTCGAAATGGTCTTCGAGTTCGTTTTAATACCGATCGGTTCTTGTGGCTCTTGAGGAAGTATAGGCCCCCTGCCGTAGTTAATCTCCATGCCTCTGTAGATCCTTGATACCATATATATGTGCTTGCAGGGCGACTCGTGCTGAACGCAACCAGGACACGTACGAGAAAGAAGAAGGGCCTTGTCCATGTTCAAAATGATGGAGTATTCTGCATTGGGTCGAGTGAAAGACTTGATTAAGAACTGTAGAGGATAACGTTGATCAGGATGAAATTCGTGGACAGAACAATCCATCCGCAGTTAGTCATGAGCTAGGTCAACCACTTGGGTGCCACTATCGCTAAAAAAAATAAAGGCCATGTAGTTCACTGGTGGGAATTTTTTTTCTCGCCCTTGACGGCAGCCAAGTTCATGATTCGCCAAAATTTCAGACGTTGCATATTTATGGAAGCACTCCGCTTTATTGACGTTATTGACGTGATTTTCGGGAGCACGAACGAAGGGCGGTCAGACGGGCTGTCCCTGCTGCTTACATGCCAGATATGCCGCAATGGCACCGCCTACACCGCTGCCGTCCTCGGCATGGATCAGTGAAATCCTGGACTGCACCGTCGCGGGATTGAAGATCTCGTTCAGCGCGCCCTGGAGGTGTTGCACAAAGTGAGGGTACTTATTGAAGAGACTGCCGTCGATGCCGACGATCACTTTCCTGGGCTCGTTCAGCAGCTTACGTTTCTTGATCAGTGCCGCAATACCGACCGCCGATAGTCGTGCAGAACGAGCTGAGATCAGCTGACAGATGTATTTGATCGTTTCACGGTCAGAGGTCGACGTCTTGAGGTTGTAATTCGTCAAGAAGTGATGTTCGATTGTATCTAGATTGGTGGACTCATCTCCCTCGATCGAGCCCATCATTGCGCCGTCAAATCTCTCCTTGATGGCCAGATCACCCAGCTGCTCGTCCGTCTTGGGTTTGCCTGGTTCCTCAACAAACAGCTCTCCTTTCGCGGCCAGATCATGGATAACTAGGCGAGTAAGCTCTGAAATATAGAGACCAGAAACCATTTTCTCGTAACGCTGTTTTCCGGGCTGACTGCTCCTGGTATCCAGACGGTTGTCGTACTCGTTCGCTGGGAGTGCGCCACTCGCGTTGCCGAAGGCTCCCCATTCAGTGTTAATGACCTGGTGGTTTGTGGGCGAAGTGTAGTTGGCGGCACCAGACTTGATCTTGACGATCTCTGACTGGCTCTCGAGATATGCGCAATTGGTGCCGGTGCCGAAGATGATGCCGATTTCGCATCCAGGATGCTTGTACGTCGTTGCCAAGAGCGTTCCTACAGTGTCGTTAATTAACGCGTTGACGGTAATGTTTAGCTTCTTGGCATCAATGCAGTCTTGGAGAACCTTGACAACATCCTGCCCCAAGATATCATTGCCTCGGAATCCTGTTTTTTATTTATGGACAAAATAAGCATTTTTAGATCATTAGTGTCATTCTTCAGGATGTCATGCAAGTGCAAATTGTTTCTCGCGCCAAAGATAAGACCTATATACCTTTGGTCCAGGCGAAGAGTTTACCCACGTTAATGTCGAGTTGTTCACATGGGAATGAAAAGGTCATACCCAAGGGATAGTTGCTCTCGCTGTGAATTGCATGGCACTGGACATCCAAGAACTCTTCGATTCTATCGGCGATCCAAGCGAACAGTTCCTTGCCGGGGCCCTTCTTGAGGGTATCGGAGATAGTCCACTTTTTGTGGATGATCTCAAAGTTGCCCTTGCCCGAGAGCGTAGTTCTGCAGACGCGAAGGTTTGTTCCGCCTAAATTATGTAATGGCAGAAGCAATCATTGAGGGGGGTACAGAGGTGAGTACTCGTTGGTCCAAGAGCATTACAAATTCGCAACAGATGGACATTTCGCCAACATGAAAATCATCCGTACCCAGATCAAGTGAGAGGATCACTCCTGCTTCCTCGCCAGTGGGGAGTTCGTAGACGAACGTTGGAATCATGGGCTACGCTCAGGATCAGAACCACAATTTGGTTATTAAATACTAAAGACTATCCCATACACACACATAGCCATTCTTCGATTACCCTGGAGTGATAAAAAACTACACAACATAGCACAGAACAGTATCGAGTCATCAATTGAGTACCATACGATTCTCATGAGTTAGGCCCTCATGAAGCTCTTTGATGAACTGGTCAACGAGGCCGTCGTACGCAGAGATAGGGAAGGCAAAGGCCTGGGTGAGGTGTGCAATGACTTCTGGTTTGGCATGCGATGGCACCGACATGGTTGGTTTCGAAATGAAGCAGAAATGTGGGAATGCAAACAAAAAAAAAAGAGAGGGACCAAGAAGACCAAGGGCAGTAAGGAGAGAGAAGAGGGAGAGAAGAGAAAGGGAGGGGAGTTGAAGAAGGAGGAAATGAAAGGAAGCAAAGCGTATGTATTTGCACTCGGCGCAATCAATCCATTACTTTGTCAGAATGGAGCAATTGACTAAGCCCTCTCGCTTGCTTTCTCAGCGCTGACTGAGATTTTTTTTTTTTCAAGACTCCAATTGAAGGGGATCCAGCCCAGCCCAAACTCCAAAGAGTTGTTTTAAGTGAGCATGAGCATGGGTTCTCCTTATCAGCCAGACATGTTTCCTGCTCAGCTCCGCACGCGTCTTTTTTTTTTGTCAGTAGGCCAACAGGGGCCTACTCAGTAGGCATAGCTACTACTGCCGCGATAAACGCGTCTCCATAAAAATGAAAAAAAGACTTCACGCGTCCTCTTTGTCCTTGTCCCTGTCCTATCTGGGAGTGGCTGAGGCCTGGCTGAAGAACCAGTAGGTCCTTTCCCGCTCCACTCGACTGTTCGACGGTGATCCCCTCCCACTTCAGCATCACCGCATCACTCCCATCCATCCTTGTACCCATTCTCGTCTAAAACCATGTCCAATCGACATGACGCCTGTAAAAAGACATCACTTGATACTTTTTCCTCTCATTTTTACGACGAATGACATTCTACTTGCTCACCTTTGCACTCTCTTTTTTGTCTGCTTTTGCATACCTCATAACAGCCAGTCTCTCTCGGAGTCCCTCCTTGTCTGGCAATGGCATTCAGGCTCATTGTCTTCACACGCTAACACAGGAAGAAGATTCGGTCTTATCCCTGGCTGCGACAGAAAAGTTGTTGTTTAGCGGTGGCCAGGGTGTCCACAGCTCCGATATCCATGTATGTCCTCTCAGCCGATTGTCCCACAAGCGAACTTTATATCGAAGATGTCGTGATTGTGTGTCAGAAATATGTATTTACCCAAAATGACCCCTTCCTTCTGGGACAAGGTCTGGGATCTGGAGCACTTTCAGCTCAAAGCAAACCTCAAGGGTCATCTCGGCAGTATCCTCTGCCTTACCCTACGTGGGGATGGAAAATGGCTGTTCAGTTCATCAGGTATGGCGAAGATCTATTTCTGATTACAACAACAATTCACCAGGGCTGAACGAAACACTGACCAGCTCAATTCCGTCCTTCAATATAAACAGGCGATGGCACGGTCAGAGTATGGGATACCGAGACGTTCCATTGCCTCTATCATATTCACTCTAGCCAGGATGTCGGTGATGTATTCTCTGTCGTCTTTTCTGACTCGCTAAATACTATGTACATCGGATGCCAAAACACAAGCATCCAGGTATGGTAGTATCTCAAATGAACGGCATTTTTTGCGGCCTTTGGCCTTTAAACTCGCATCATTGGAGCTCACAGACTGAATGTTTATCTTCAAAAGTGGTTCGATTTTTCGGATTTCAGGGTGGATGTTCCTCAGTCGCCCAATATCACCCACTCGCTTCGGAGCCACCTACCAAGATTCTTTGATGGCGCCAGTAATGCGAGGGAGTCGGACGACCAAGTGACGCGCTACAGCATACCCGATTCGCGCATCTATCAGAACAGTCATTTTGGATACGTGTACTGCTTGCTACTTGGAAAGGTGCCAAATGTGGAGGGAGATATTTTGTTTTCCGGATCAGGAGAAGGAGACGTCAAGGTACAATGGAAGAGAAATCGCTTGCAACCTTTACATACTATGAAAACCTCCTCTGATTGGTATTCACTGCATTGTTTTCTTTTGCCCAATGCTCGAACGGTAGCTCTGGAGACTACACAAAGGCAGAGCAATTGAACCCTTCCGGACTCTCAAGGCAGGAGTCGACGCTAGCACCTTGACATTGGCGTTTCACGATGGCTTCCTGTTCTGCGGCTCACAAGGCGGCAATATTAAGGTAAGGGCGCCACTTACAATCGAGGCGTTGCATCGTGCCAGAGTACGAGAGCACAATGATACTAAGAATCCACCTTCCTAAAAAAAATAGATCTTTGATTTGGAAACGTTTCAATTGATCCGTTCCCTTATCGCGCACGAGGTTAGTGAGCGCTGCTTAGTTGAATTATAGGTCATGGAGTGAGCTGGATTCCTCTTGCTGAGTATCATTATTGTATGTAGGATGATGTTCTATCGCTTGTCGTACGAGAATCCCAGGTGTACAGTGCATCTGCAGATGGCGTTGTCAAGGTACCCAATGGTGTCATTTGTCTATGCTGCATGCATGATGTGGCGAACGGCTCATACATTGCGTTAAGCTGAGTAAATGTTTGTAAAATTAGCAATGGAACCGTAGCTTCGAACCCTTGCAGAGTTGGCACGATCACAATGGAAGCGTCCTCTCTTTGACAAGTACAAGCGAGTACCTGATCAGCGGCGCTAGTGACAAACTGATCAAAGTAAGGACAGCATTCATTGCCTAACAAGGTCATATATGGGACCATTACTCCGTGACAACTGACACGATCGTTTTGTCTCATAGTTTTGGCCCATCACAAAGGGAAACACCCAGCCCGACTCTGTAGAATCTACGGCAGAAGGTAATGCGCTCTGCTGCGAAATTTGTGAGTACTGGACATTGCTCACGATAATGTTGGCTAATCAGCGCTTCAATGCATTTTTCACTATATTATTCTTAGATGTAATGCTTTACGCTCTGGAAAAATGGATCGCAATGCCTACAGTATCTGGAATCCCGTCTCAGCTGGAGGAATGTCGCCGCGGTGCCAAGTTTCTAAAGGCGGTGTTGCAGCAACTCGGCGCAGAATCCAGACTCATCCCTGGTGCTCCAGGACATAATCCCCTCGTATACGGACAGTTCAGTGCCCGATCAGCCAAAGAGGAGGAACGGTCGCGCCCCCTGAATGTTCTTTTTTACGGCCATTATGATGTGATAGCAGCAGACATCAAGAAGTGGGACCATCCTCCTTTCAAGCTAACAGGTGTGTAGTGATTTGCATTTCGTTGACTTTCATTTTCAGTGCTGCCCGTATGAACATCTTATATATTCTGTATTTCATAGGGAAGGATGGATATCTTTACGGTCGTGGTGCATCTGATAACAAGGGTCCGATCCTGGCATGTATCTTTGCAGCAAGTGAGCTGCAAGAGGAGCAGCAATTGGATGTCAACGTTAAGTTCTTGATCGAAGGCGAAGAAGAGAATGGAAGCGTAGGCTTTTTCCAAGCAGTCGAACAAAACATAGAGCTGTTTCAGGAAGCAGATGTAATCCTGCTGAGGTAAAGAGCGATGTCCTACTATGCAATGAGTCTTTTGATACTTTTTGTGCCTCTAACATTGGAAAGATATCTTATTTTTAACTATAGTAATTCCTACTGGCTTGGAGAGGACATTCCTTGCCTGACATATGGCCTTCGAGGTGTTATCCATTCAACGTTGACTATTAACAGCAAAAATGTGGATCTGCACTCCGGCGTCGACGGAGGCGCGGTCTCAGAGCCTTTGATTGATATGGTTAAGGTGCTGTCAGAGCTTGTCAACCCAGATAGGACCGCCAAGATCCCAGGTTGGTATCTTAGTGGCGTCCATTTTATTCAGCTTGGTCTTCGAAGTTTTAGCGTTTGGTCATTAACATGACATTGCCACTGGATACTGGTTTAGGATTTTACGACTGCATTCGCCCTTTGACTGCACACGAGGACGCGCTTTACGATCCAATTGTCGATGATATGTTCAACAATCCTTCCGGACAGCGTCACTGGGATCCACTAGCAACTGGAGTGACAAAGGAGGAGCTGAAGAAAAAACTAATGGCTCGCTGGCGCAACCCATCGCTCACTATCCACCAAGTCGATGTCTCTGGGCCCAAGAACAGAACCGTCATCCCCCGATCTGCCAAGGCGTCGGTCAGCATGCGCGTTGTTCCTGACCAGGAAGTGGCAGAAATCATAAAGTCGTTCGAGGAGCACGTCCGCACAGTATTTGGACAGCTTGATACAGAGAATGACATTGAGGTATGAGCTACAATCAATGATTTCGCCTATGTCTGAATTGCTATGTCCGAACCAATGAGTGCCTTTCTAATACTATGAGTACTATGCCAATCAAGGTCGATATCAAAGTGGTTGCTGATTGGTGGCTAGGCGACACTGAGGACCGCTTCTTCAAGGCCGCAGAGTCTGCGGTCGAACAAGAATGGGGTCAGAAACCACTGTTCATCCGCGAGGGTGGATCTGTGCCAGCAATCCGATGGCTCGAGAAGCGTTTGAAGGCAGCTGCAGTGCACATTCCCATGGGCCAGGTATATTATTTTCATTGGAAGTTATGGTACCATTTTTTGCTATACAGCATGAACTAAAGTCTTACATGTCTTACCCTTGGTTACTCTGTAGTCTTCCGATCAGGCCCACTTGAACAATGAGAGAATCAGGTTGCAAAATCTTAATTCAGGAAAGCGAGTGATCAAGGCGTTTTTGAAAGAGCTCCGGACACTTGAGGTTGCGCCTCATAATCAAAGCCAGGAATAAAGTGGCTAGAATAGCCTTATTTTGAAGCAAAGAACAGCCAGTGGCGCCAGCTCCATGAATGGGCTTAACAGTGCTGGAATGCATGATGTACAACGTCTTTATGCTCTTCGTAGCATTTTTGACAAGAACGAAAAGATAGCCCTATGTGATAGGTGGGCATCAGTGGGTTGCTCCTACGGAGCGCAAAAGACGCGTCGAGCTGAGTTCAAATCTACAAAAATAAAAAAAGGCAACCCCTTCTTTCCCTCTCGCCTTTGCCCTCTCCATCCCTTATTGTTTTTCCGCTACTACTATCTATCTTAGGTAGCCCTCGACGCCTTTCCTATAACTCTGCAGCTTACAAATAAACCTATTCACAATGGGCCAGTTTATGAAAGCATCAGCCAGGACCACGCCTAGTGAATTCGCAGCTCTTTATGGTCACGGAGATACTCGACCCTTAAAGTACCGTCATTACTTCGCCGAAAGCACACGACCGTTTCTGTATTATAGGATCCAACCGTGTCTGCTACCTAGATTCGATGGTGGGTCTTTTGCTTTCTTTTCCTCCACCTCAGCGTAAATGAACCATCTCATCGCAAATGGCCTAAGGACCATCCTTTCTAATATGACAAAATTATGTCCACAATAACAACAATAGCCCACCGCTAGGCTCCGGCATCGAGATGTAGAGCTACCTGAAATAGAATAGATGAACCTCGCTCCTATTCATGGTCTTTGAAGATCCCCTCCTGCATCTTTTTGGTTGCAGCCATGTTGCTCGCGTAGACACATCCAAGTACGAGGATCTCTATGCGCAGCACTACCGCCACACGTCATCCTCTGACTCCCCTTCCAAAAATACCATGACAAGTTCAGCGCCACGGATGTTGACCCTCATGCGAAACGTATGAATTCATAGGTGCTTCTCAGATCCGAGGCATCACTGCCGTGGACATCTGAAAAGTGAGAACCAGCTGTGGTCGAGGTACGCCATTTTACAAGTTCGAGCTAGGTTACTCGTTACCATTACTGGCCTAGACCGCGGCCGTTAATCACTATCCTAGTCGTTGTTCTTATCGCTGCTACCCCTGCTGTTGCCACTTTATGCTTGGCATGTTTTTTGTGGGATGGCGTGCTTGCGGCGGTGATTTGTTTTCTTCGGCAGTATCATGGCCGATCATAGATTGCTCTGGCGAGTACGGAGGGTTCTCTGACCTATCCTCGTTGAAGGCAGAGGAGAGCATAAAGCCGAGAATAAGGATGAGAGGATCTAAAGGAATTGGCAGTCATGATGGTGGTTGGGTGCTAATTATCGATGGGCGCAGAAAGGAAGGTGAAGTGAAGGTTTTTTGCACTCGAACGCCCTTTGAACCTGCGCGCAACATGGTCCGTGCACAGTTCCTTTCGTCAACAACTACCTCATCGTAGCATTTCGGGGTGTTATTCAAGATGTTTGTGCAACGTGCGCTCCCTTTTTTTTTTTTTTTTTTTGATTCATTCACCTACGCTACATAGATGTCCCACAGAGTAACGAAGCTTCACACATGAAGCGCGCTGTAAAGCATCGGGAGTGCCGCATATTCACCAGAGTCAGTGCTACAGCTATATTCATGTCTCAGCTATGTTATACACACGTTCTCCTAATTGCACTCTTTCTTCAGGGGACAGAATACGGCTGGACTCAACTGCAAGGAACGCACAAGAATAAAGCGGGCCAGGGATCGGTTGTCCACGGCTGAGAGGCATTGTATCAAGCAGCATGCGCGGCCCCAGAAGGACGTTAAACATCAAATCCGTGTCTGTATACTGTTATCTACAACCTTGGCTCTAATGGTGCTAATGCTAACCATTCTTGCTGTCCTTTCTTCTATCTGAGGATTGAGCAGTGCCATTCACTAACAGCTGGTATGAGTGATGCCATTGCCATCATGTCACCAAGACTTCGGATATGAACATTCCAAGTGCGAGGCTCTATATCCCTCCCGTCTATTTGATCAAATCAGCAGGCACCGGTGTATGCGCAACGGGGTAGTGGTAAGATGCGAAAAATCACTGGCGATACGAAATTGTTGCTATGGAAGACAAATTCAAGTCGCCGCAGACGCTCGTATACTGTTTTGAATAGGTGCACCTTTCAAAGCCTCGGCGGATCGTCCATAACAAAGTCAAAACGGCTGAGGTTCACGGCGCGGTGGGGTAACCTGAATCCAAGTGCCCATCGCTGCAATGCAGTTACACAGTCAAGAGGTGGAACGCGCATTCCGCGCTTTGAGCACACGTCTTCGATACCGATGCCATACGGCGCAGATAAAACAGGGGCTCTCATCCGGACAGGATGGGGCAAAGGGAGCAGGAGCGTGCAAAATATGCCTGTTCCTCTTTAGGGTTGGTGTGCTGAAGATGTGGAGATTATTTCTGAGCATAAGAGAGACATACACACAAAACCCTCACGTCCTTTGCGGTTTGCACACGCTTCCATCCGCACTGCATCCAACTCTCAGGACGAACACGCCATGAGCTCGCGCATCAAGGGCCTCTTCGCCAGCAAGAAAAAAAAGGACGAGCGCACCGGTAGCAGTGGCAGCACCGGCAGGTCCCACTCCAAAGATGTCTTCACCTCTGCAACTGCCCTGGCATCCGATTCTTCGTTTGCCACCAACACCCATGCAAACGGGTCCTTCATCAGCTCGACATCGGCCTATGATCTCCACCAGGGCGATGTAAGTACATATACACGCAACAATAGAGAGAGCTAGGCATGGGCTCATTCCAACCAAGCGAGTACTGTCGCTGAGTAGCACAAGGAACTTCAAAGACCCATAGCCATGCTCACTCAATTTGAGCGCCCTGACAATTCGTTTTATTCATCTACTCATCCGAATCAATCATAGTCGTCAGTTGATCTGACTCTGACGCCTCGCACTAGCTTGAAGCAGCAGCAGAGTCAGCTTCAGACCACAACTACGTCCAGCGCCTCAAAAATCTCGACCTCGTCCTCGAGCACCATGGAAACTGGGCCAATGACTACCGGCTTTGTAGCCGAAGGTCTTGCACTGCCTCCGGATGACAGCTCAAAGACTACAGCCAATGAACATTCGAGTGAACCACAATACGAACTGCGAAAAGAGGAAGAGCATACAGCTAGTCAGAAGCCCAGCGAAGGTAGAACGAATGCGCTTATCGTTGTTCTGCCTGTATGGCTCAATAGGTTGACTCACGCATTTGCCTACGTTTTTTTTAATCTCTTTTAAGATAAAGGGGTAATGGGCACTCCTGGGTCAGTAGAGCTCATTGCAGGTAAATGAGGATTGTTTTTAGCAAGGTATCGTCGATAGCAGGTTTACATGCAAACTCATTCTAATACCTTGTGTGCTAAATCTGATGAAACAATAGATGCACATGATAACTCGGTCAACAAGAGCCATCTATCAGTTAACGGTGGTCATAGAATCAATGTAAGTTGTGAGTCAAGTTCAGCCTAAGAGATATACTGGGGGCAACATGGACTCACCAGTGCTGGCACGGTTATAGGTGAGCGGTGAGCGAGATCAGTCAGTGGCTACGACTGCGTATCGTGAGACTAGCTATTATTCTCAGAGACCAGATGGGTCGTTCGTAGAACACCGCTCATACGCCTCCAATACACATTTGGATCCAGAACCGAACCCAAATGACGGCGTATATCTCAACTCTACTACAGAGTTCTTCCCGGTGGATGATCAAGATGAGCAAGTATATCTCGAGCAATATTCAGACGGTAGTGTCTATTTGACATCATGGACAAGCATATCTACTGATGGGCATATATGAAACCACTCTAACTCGAGCCTTTTTGTTTTTTTTTTGTTTTTTGTAACATGCAGAGGGTGACGAATTTCCTGTACTTCAGTTCAAGGTCTCAAAGCTGCAAAAGCAAGTCCGGGAGATGCGTAGATTCATGAGAGGCCTCATTCAGTTACAGGTCGAGCAATACGAGCCGGCGACAATCCTGATCCAGGCTTGGTGGAGAGGGTGTTTGGTAAGGAAACCGACTGGGTCAGGTTCTAGAGATTATTCTCTCACATCGTAGCTAAACGCGACGCCATTTGGATGGTTACTATAGGTCCGCCGGGAGTTGAAGAGGCAAATGGTGTTTTCATGGCATAGGAATCCAAAGCGGAATGTCAAGCCGACCAAATACTTAACCAGGGCCGAACTTCACCAGAGCTGCGAGCGAATCAGCACTCCAAAGGCATCACTTCTTGTCATGGAGGAGTTGGGTGGTATGGCTTGGATGAAGTTGCCGTTTTATGCGTTATGCCTCCGATGAGACGATGATTTTAACATTGTTCTTTATTGTGGTATTTGTAGCCGATAAGGAAACAATAGCTGCTGTCAAACTTCAGGCAGTCTTTAGAAGCTATCTTGTCCGGCGGCGGATTCGAGCATACCGAGAAGGCATGAGGGCAGCCACAGTAATTCAAGCAACGTGGTATGGCTACTGCTTAATATTATTCAGGTTCAACGATGATGCTATCACAGATACAATCTGTACTAAGAATGAATGCTGTTGTACTAGGCGCGGATATCGCACTCGGAACCTCGATACACGTTTAGGAGTTGAACAGCTCCGCTTCAGGAACCTGAAAATTCAAAAGGCATTCGGGCGTGTGTCCATCAAGCTGCAGTATCTTCAAGGCCGGATTCTCGCGTTAGAGGAAAACAGTCTACCAATGCACGAGGCGCAAGAGGAGATTCACAAGGAGCTTGAAGATATGGCCGATCAGATGGACGTGTTAAAACAAGATCTGGAGCAGGGTTTGAAACAGTTGGACGAACAGGTTTCTGAAGAAAGAGAGCAGACGACCATTGAGCTTCGTGCCCTCACCGACCGGATCCAAAGACTGGAAGATGAGCTGAAGTCTGTTCGCAGCTCAAACACCAGGTAAGTGCAACTTGCCAGCAAGCAGGACCATAGTGCGACCAGATCACGCGTCTGGCATTGACAGTTAATTTACTCCGCAATTTGATCTAGCATCGAAAAGCAAGTGAGGTCCTTGACACTCGAGTTACCGGCGAGTGCAGATGCAGACAAGAATGAACAGGAGGATGAAGAGGATGAAGACTATGAGGTGGAGTATGATGAGGACGGCAACAGGATTGAAAACCCCCCAAGAAAGAATAAAAAACGAGTGGCTATGCAGGATCAGCACCAGGAGCAGGGCGTTGGATCTGTATCCCGAAGAATAAGTGCGACAAAATCTGTAATGGATACTACTGTAAACGGTAGCCCGACACAGATGGCTGAGTCACCCGTTCCAATGCCGCAACAGCCACACCGAGGAAGTATGGGCAGCATTCATAGTCAGGGACACACGCGAACGCTGTCGCTGACTTCTCAGCCATCTCCTTCGCCTAGTCAGACGTTCCCAAGAGCATTCTCTGCATCATATTCGCCAACGATAACCAATGCAGCAGTCTTGCCTGAAGGCGGATCGTTCCCAGGCGGAGCGAGACCACACTCAATTCCATACCCAGGAGCAAGCAACAGCAGCAATAACCCACCTCGACCTCTAACAATGGATTCCAATCAACTATTCCGCTTCCATGCGGCGGCGAATCAGTATATACCACTTTCTCCATCGACAGTGTCGGCAGGGGCAGCAAGCGCGGGTTTTCCTGGAATGGTCCCTACAGATACGAAAAAGTATGTGTCGAAGGACGATTTTGAGTACATGCAAGCCGAAGTCGACGCCCTGAGGCTGAACAACGATAGACTGGAGGGCATGGTTCGCGAACTCACGATGCGTTTGAATTCACTGACACCGAACATGAGTCAGTATTATCCTGGGTAGACACGACCTTTTATCGGTGAAGATTGCTACAACAAAAGTGTTGTTGTGGATGACGAACAATAAACATTGTTATAGCAATATGTTCATTTGTATGCATTCGTTTGTCTTACTGGGATGTATAGATGGTCTTTACAATACACTTGAGCTGACTTTGGTCTCAAGGATCCTAGCCATGTTTCAAGTGGAAGGGGCAGGATACTTTCTGAACCCCACGATTTCTTGTTCAGTGTACACAGCCCCCTTGTCAGAGCTAGGATGACCATCATAGGCTATCGTATACCGTGCATGCTGTTTCCAGCGTCTTAAAGCGGTTGCAATGACATTTTTGCTGGTCAAGACCAAAAATGAGCCCCGTCCTCATCCCAATGCAGCGAGCCTATATCCTTTCATGTTAGCGAGACCGTTAGAGAAAATGCCAGCCAAAGAACGTTGTTCCCGCTGAGCTTCTTGCGGCTCATTGAACGAAATCAAGGGGTCTTTGATGCTCAAATGGATTACATCCTTTTCCTTTTCCTTTTCCTTTTTTTTTTAAGAGATGTCATTCATGTCTTTATGGCTCTTGTGCAGTTGTGTTGAATGTGCCTTGCTCATCATTCTCCCCTTATTTCCTTTTTCTCGATGCGGCTCTGGAGAAAGTCCTGTTATTTTTGGAGCTCCCAGCTAAATGGCCGAATAATTAGGAGTAACAGCCCCGGTTTCTTCATCTCGTTCTTTTCTTCACTTCTATGACAGGAAGCAGTATCAGATTAACAAATATACCACCTACTACCCTAGTGAACGCATCACATCCAACGGATTCGCCACCTGCTGAACGCCTCGTTACATCCCTTCACAGCTCTGTCGTACAAATCTTTGGCGTGCAACCATCCTCACGAAGACAGTTCTCCAGAATGGATTCGACCGGTGCAGGACCTGCTACCCCAACTTTCAGTAATGGCAATGGCGTATCGAAAAAACCAGCCTACCTTAAAAATTTGCAACCGCGAGCCGCTGCCGCCAAAAACTTTAATGATAACGACGACACTGACGAGAAACATGGTGTGAGCTTGAGTGCGGACTATAGAGCTCAGAAAAAAACCACCGAGGATCTGGTCGCTTTCTTCAGGTCTTCGCCACCGCCTTCGCCAATTGGTGCCAGTGGTGGTAGTCAGCATCAACGACTCTTATCAACCCTGTCTGCAGCAACTGCGACACACGGCGAGGATGAAAAGAAGAAGCGGTCGCTGTTGCAGAGGTTGCGCCCCAAGAAATCAGGCACGAATCTCAATAGTGGGAGTGGAGGGGGGACAGGCAAGGACCTGAGAAATGGAAATCGGAGGAGTAGTATGCTAGTGCCCTCTGTTCCAGAGATGAGCAGCAGTATTAACAGCACGAGTGGGATGGCAACTACTGGGAGGGACGAGAATGATGAAGAGGCTACGACAGCCACGTTGCCGAATGGTAAAAAGTACATCATGATTGCGGTTGATTACAAGAACCCAACAAGCGGCGCAAATGGAGCTGGAGCTGGGGGCTCGAATGCACTAATGTCTCCGGCGGCTAGCTCCATCATCAACACAGCTTCTTCAAGAGGGCAGAGTCAGGTTTCGGATGAATTGAAGAGCGCTTTGGTGGCGGTGCACCCCCCCGGAGAGTCTAAGAGGACATCGGCAGCAGTGGGTGCGCATTTGCAGTCGAGCATGCTGGATAGCACGCCTTTTCTGCTCGACAGCCTCTCGGTGCTGGAGGACGCGACCACATCCGTGTCAGATTTCGGAGGATCTGCCAGCAGTCAAGCAAACGTCTCTCACAATCTGCAGCGATCAGTATCGACAAAGTCGAGTGTGGCCGAGAGTGGTGCTGGTGACATGTCGAGGACTGGATCCAAGCGCACGAGCAGGGTGACGTTCAGCACGCCGAGGTCTCCAGCAGCACCGTCTACTGCACTCCCGCCCATGGACGAGAATGAGGTCGCAGAGGCACTAACGCAGAGGATTGCGTCGCACAAGGCGAAGCAGCAACAGGCCAAGAGTGCTAATGGTAACACAGACAACAAGGCGTCGACGTCAGGGTCTTCATTTGGATCTATATCGAGATCCACAACGACACTTGACTTTCCGGAGGTCGCCTTGCCCAAGCCCGTCTCCCGCAAGAAGGTTCGTCATGTGCAGATCCAGACCCAACACTGTATCATGCGCCCCATTCATACCCAGACGGAGCCCTACGAGAGCCTGGTTCATGATCTCGAGGTCAAGGACTGGTCTTTTCAAACCACGGATGTTGGGACAATTGCAGCGGCTATTACGTCTTCATCCTCCAAAGAGGACGGCGCTGAAATAGCAACCTTGACGACCGCAGTGGTCGACCCTATGACCATGGCTACACGAAGCGCAGCCACGAGTCCCATCGCCGTGACTTCTTCAAGCACGTTCTCTTCCAACGCGACAACATTTACCAGCACTGGATCCATCAGTACCTCCACCTCCACAGAAACCATATCCACGGACGCCTCCACCTCCACCTCACCCCCTTCCTCTCCTGCGCACGACGATGAGCTCGCCCAGTTACGTCAGCAAAACGTTCTGCTCAAGAAGCAAGTTGCCTCGTTGCAGCGAGATCTCGCCGCAGAAACCCGCGCCCGAACACGACACATGCTATCGATGCAGGATACCCGTGACAAGTTCGAGATGCTGTCTGCTATGGCCTACAAGAAACTCAAGGAAATGATCTTCCAGCGTCATGTCCTTGAGATGGAAGTCCGTGAGCTCCGCGCCCAGGTAGACCTCCAATCCGAGGTCAACGTTGTCCAGCAAGGCGAGATGTTATTCCGACAGGAGCAAATGCAGATGCAGCAGCAGCAGCAACACCAGCAGTATCGGCACCAGTTCGTGTAGACGTTGCGCATAGTTTTTTAATTACGAATATCTTATTGCAAAATTGTCTTCGTACGACTTTTATTACAGCTTTCATAACGATGCTTACTATTGCACGCTTCAGACACCGTTTCCTCCACTTTCTATTCCTTTGAGCTGAGGTCGACCTTGGCTTGATCGACACAAAGTGGGCATGGCTTGCGTCCACGCTTCGACCGAATCAATGCCGCATGGTTTGCCTTGGTTCTTAATGCGATCTTTGTCAACGACGACTTCATCTTTGGCATCGTATCCTCGTCGTCCGCAAACAAACACCGGTCATGATACGCATGTCTGCAGAAGAACATCACAAATGTCGAGATTGGTGAACCCGGCAAACGGTTCTCCCCCCTGGTAAAAATTGGTTCCTGACATCCAGAGCACAACGTTTCTTCTGAACAAGAAATACCGCGCTTCTGAGACCGCTGCAGTTGATCCGCCATGGCAACGCTGTCGCTCACTAGGATGCGACGACATCCCTCCCGCAAGGACATCTGGAGGTTGAAGTCTTGCAAGATCTTGAGGAGTGCTGGACGCAGGTCTGGTATCTCCAGACCGTTGGGAATCCTACGGATCAGGCGGATCGGATCGATCTCTGTGCCTACGTTTTGGAGCAAGCCCCGGATGAAGTCTATTATCGGATTGTGCATAAAAAAAAAAGAAAAAAAAGAAGAGAGACACTATCAGGATATTGCCTAAGGAATTGTCCTAGCTGTCAAATTACCCACAGTATTCGATAACGTACGAGGTTTATCCATGGAGTATTTGAGTAAATCTTCCCAAAGATCGTCATCATTTTGCTCCTTAGCAAAGTTAATGGCCTAAAACAAGATGTTGCAAGGATAGCGTCGTCAGTGCTCTGATGCGGCGACATGATTATGCCGTAAAATGTCCTTGTTATCCAGTCGTTAAACTTACGCGCTCGACATCGCCCAGACGCTCGATAATAAGCATCAATGCCTTCTTGTTGTTGCCCATCCGGCCCAGCAGGAACACCATCTCTGGCACAAGGTCCCGTTTTTCACAAGCGCGATATGCCTATAGAACCAGGTTTACAGGAAATCAGGCTTTAACATCGATATTGAGAACGTCCCTTTAGACGCGAATTGACCTGCCAAGAGGCGGACGCAATGTATACCTTTTCGAGAGAGTAATAGTTGCTGGCCCTCAAGAAATCAATGAGTTTGGCTGGCGAATATGCAGCATACAACTCGACTTGTAAGTCATGGAACTCAAAACTGAGGTGCGGATCTCGCAAAAAGAGTGCATGCAGGTAGATATGTAGCTGTCGAGGGTGAGCCTGGAGCTGTGAAACGACTTTTTTGATCTATATCATGAAGAACAAGTCAGCGTTATGCAATCGGAATTGCAGTTGTCGTCCCAACATATCGGCTACCAAAAGGAGCGTAATGCATACCGGAATTTCCTCTGTGTGATGCACCATAAGTTGAACAGCGGGTCCCTTTGTGAGCTCATCTTCGGCTGTCGGCTGAGGACGACTTTCCTCAGACGGTGTGCCTCCAGCTTCCTTGGCCTCATCAGCATGCTTCTCGTCTCTTTCCATTTTCTTTTGGTCGTACAGGTACTGATCAAACTCCATCAGCAGGACGGCCTTGTCGCGAACAGCTGAGAACAGGTCATGATCGCGAATAAGATCAAATACATTGGGCCGTCGTAGCCTCAAGAAGTATTCCAGCGCACGATCCGCACGGTCTGCTCGGGTATATCTATATTTTGTGATTGTATCCCATAACAGTGCATGTAAATTAGTGGCAAAGCGCTAGCCATGCAGTGAGACAGTATGTAGTTTCAATGAGCTTACAGTTCCGCCAGGGATTCCATCAGTAACACATTGTCCTTGTCCTGCCTAAGGCGGTCCTCCACAAGGACGATGACGTATTGGATGTTGTAAAGGCCTGGAGGGAAACTTTTGACTGTCTTGAAGAGCGACTATGGAGAGCAACGACACAACAGGAGCGTGTAAGCAATACATTCTCTGCTCGCTTTCTTTTCAGCTGCCGCATTATGACTTGTAAACTAACCTGTTGGTCATGCATGAGGAAATGAGCCAGGACCAGTTCGTAAATGGTGCCACTGAGCGTTGGTTCCTTGAATGGTATATACCCTGCGATAGCCTACGAGTCAATAAAGAGCTATTAGAATTCTCCCGTCACAATCGCATTCTTCACAGACTCAGACTGTCCTTGACACAGTAGCACTCACCTTGAGCTGACGTGCTTCTGCAAATGCATAGATCCAGTGCTCCCAGAGATCCGCGTCCGAGCCAAGGATACTCGGGCATTGAGTAGCTGCTTTATCGTACTCGCCTATACAAATAAAACATTATGCCAGTATTAACAGGCAAAGCTTACTTTTCGGGGACTTAGTTCCTGGGCAACTTGAACCCCTATGGCACTCCCGCTGCGATAACTTACCCTGATCAAGAAGCCATCCAAGATACTTTTGTCCGATTTCACTAGCATTGAACTTCTTGCTGCCTCCATAAATCTGTGCTTCCCTAGCATGCCCTAGGGCCTCCTCGTATCGTTCTCTCTCCATGAGCCATTCGATATGATCGTCCAAGTCGCGCTCCTTGGCAACAACAAGATCCTTTGGACTACCGATATAAAACATGTCTTGTGATGACAGATGTTCGAACATGTAGTCATTGGCCTGGTAATGCGCATATCCGTGTAGCGTCAGGGCATCAGAGCTGATCTCCTCGTTGTAGGCGTTAATTATGCGTAACTCTGGTCGCTTCGCAAGCTATCAGAGATGATAGCGCGTTAAAGATAACAAGAACATATTGTCGTGAATGATACCGATGCCAAATTGTCAACATTATCGCTTAAATTATACCTTGCGTTCACTCCGTTCTGTGCCACTGATATGGGCAATCTCATCAATGTCGTCGACTATATATGCCATAAGCAATAGCATGTCCTTGAAAGGAGCAATACCACATACGATGAAATCCGTCTGAAACCTATCGAATTTTTAAGCACACTCACCGGTTAGTTCTGAACAGCATGCGTGCATCGCTGGTCGTCAAAGCCCGACATACATGGTAGTGATTTCAACATAGTGCGCAGGCAAACCGGCCTTCATCTGACCCTTTGGCCTACTCTTGACAACTGCAATTTTGACAAGAGCAGCCCAGCCGATCAGCAGCTCCGTCTCGCTTCTCCAGCACAATCTGCATTTGAACAGATCTGCTCTTGGACTGGATCCTGGTCTATCGATAAAAGTAATACGCTGCTCCGTCTCCGTGTCATATATCTTGACTCCCAGGTCATTAGACCAGGCAATCAAATTCCCGCACCACTTGATAGCATAGATGGGACCTTCTCCTGAATGGAGTACGACATCTCGGTTGCCGAACCAGCCTAGGAAAAAATTGATTGTAGAGGTTATCAGTTCGTGGCGCCTTCCTTGCACTCCAATAATCCACTTTTAATCCTGCACAGTGTATAGGTGCACCTCACCTTTCTCATTGAGGATGAGTTGTCCTGCCATGCCTCCTGACACAAACCGGCGGGAAGTTGATCGAGCATAGTGAGGTTCCAGGGCAATGGCCTTTACAGGTCGTTTGTAGTTGAAGACGTGGTTTTCGTTCTGGAACAGCCCATTGATAACCACCTTGCCTATTGTCACGAGAAAAGAATGAATCGCACATTTGTCAGCAACGATGTTGCGGTGGGGCGTCTCAGTTATAGCACGAGAAGGTAGTGGTGATTTCAGCCTCTCCAGTGGCACGCTTACCATCGTCCGAAGCACTCGCGATGTGTTCTCCATCCAGGTCTACGCTCAGGTCGTTCACAGTTGCCGCGTGAGCCTGGAACTTTTGATTCTCGTTTCCTTCAAAATCCATGATATGCACCACTCCCCAATGTGTCCCCATTGCCTAGATTCCAATTGAAATAAGGAGGGATTCTTCGTATCAATGTCCGATCGGGTCCACGCGCCATGAGCTTGAATAAAAGCAACAGCGTGTGTAGTGCTTTACCAGGAAACGTTCAGACACGGTCGTAGCACTAGCTGAGTCCTTCTTGAGCATATCCCCAATACCTGCGCCGAGTCGCTGGTAATTGAGCTTTGGCTCCTCATCCTCTTCTTCCTCATCCTCGTCCTCTTCCTCTTCCTCAGTTTCATCGCCTTCCTCCTCTTCTTCGTCCTCTTCTTCGTCCTCCTCTTCGTCCTCCTCTTCGTCTTCATCCTCCTCCTCTTCGTTATCGTTCTCCTCTCCTTCCTCTTCCCCATCCTCTTCCTCTCCCTCTTCTTCTTCTTCTTCGGTTTCTTCCGCGGTGTCTTCCCCATCGTCCGCGCTTTCTACTTCTGCCGCGTGCTTGTTCTGCCCATCGTGCATGTCCTTAGGACTGTGAGTGATTCCAGGCGTCCGTCGCGTGGATGGATCCTTCGTCGCATCGGCTGCACTGCCGGTTCCGGGTGTTGAACTCATTCGAGCGTTTGCAAAGTATCCAGTATCGCCTGCTGCTTGTTTGCTGACACCTCGTTGGTTGTTTGCCTCGAGTGGGAGTAGTTGCAGAGGTTGGTCTCAAGGTAGCCCGACCGCATGGCCTCAAGTTCAAACGGCTGAGCATCACATGACTCGCTAAGGTCTTTATTTCATCTATGCCTTCTCACTGGACGTGCTGTCCAGGGGTTGCTCTATTTCTCTTGTTTCCGGGTCGGCCAGCTCTTGGTCTTCGTCCTTAATCTCCAAGGCCTTGTCCTCTGCAATCTCAATATATCTGGCAATGGCTTCCACCCTCTTATTGCACCGGAGACAGCACCACTCATCGTCGATCATCATCTTGGTCTTGATGCAGTAGTAACAATAAACATGGCTACAGTTGGTGATATATGGATTGTGGATAACGGTAGAAGTCGTTGTTCCTGGAGCCGCCGAGGTGTTGTTATTTTCGTGGCAGATGGCACAAATGTGATTTGGAAGAACAGACAATTCATTTGCGGACATGAGTGCTGCTGGCAGAAGCATCTTCTTGACGTTCCTTTTCAGCTTAGATACGTTGATCAGTGGCATCAAGAACATCAGAAATTCCTATGAAAGGCAAAAGGCAAAGCGAGGAGGGTAACTGAGTAATTCGGTCCCGGTTCAGCAATTGAAGGCCATTGCATCGGTATGATCTCAGCCTCTTACTGTAAAAGCATGCCAGACCATCTGGCGATTCAAAAACTCAAAGCTAGCTTGGCGGTTTGAGTTGCGGTCAGCATAGACAAGTCGCATCGAAAGAAGACGCTCCAAAACAGACCGATACTTTCCAGCATATAAAAAGGCCAAAAAGTTGAGCAAGGAGGCTATCCGGAAGACGCTCCCGCTTTTCTGCAACAAGTTCCATGCTTTCCTCTTGATATTGTCCTATTGTATATGACACAATGGTATGAGTAAGGGTCCTGGACTAGCTCCTTCTGTCTGATATTCGATCCATGTTTTATTGCGCCCATTTTTGCTGGGCCGCATACCTCTGGCAGTTCTCCCCATCCTTGCGCTGTCACGACGCGATTCAAACGCTCCATGATGTACTGTCCGCCAACCGTAATTACGCCGTACGTGATCTTTTGCGTCTTGGTCAAGGGCGCATCAGTAGCAGTGGATTGAACTAGCGCAATTAATTGCCCACATAAAGAGGTCAGGAACAAAATTCCCTCGGAGTCACATTTGCAGTGACACTTTGATCCGACGAAAAAAAGAGCCGAAAGAGCTATCCAAACTTACGGCCTCCGCTGTGTTTCCGTTCGTTTCTGTAGGTCAAGTTTTGCAGCTGAGAACCATAGGTAGCGCCCATGTCGTAGATCGAAAACTTGTACATGATCAAGTTCAGCGCCAAGACCAGCTCGGGCTTGAACTTTTCCTTGAGGGTCGGCTATGACAAGGTACGTGAGCCGATCAGAGTCTGTCTCGTGCACGAGAATTTTCATGTGTCGGAGATAAAGCAAGTTTTTACCTTGAAAAGCGAGAATGCACTCCAGAGTTGTTCCTTCATGGTCTCGAGCAGCTCCTCATCGAGCAGTTCGGCATCTAACTGACTGACTTTCATGATGCGGAGAGGTGGGGAGGGGAACGATGCAAGTTGGCGACGGAGCGCAGAGAGTGGGGCCTGGACCCGCTTCCAGTCCGGCTCCCAGAATGGTGTCGAATTGTTCATGGCTCGAAAAGAATATGATAGTTTGTTGGGCGTAGGGTATAAAAACAAGAAGAAGAGTAAATGACGAAGGGAGGAGGTAGGAAGGGAAGAGGAGGGTGATTGGAGAAGGGCGGGTAGGTCTTTCAGTGAGGTTGAAGCAGGCGGGGAAAAGAAAGAAGAGTGGCTTTTTACTTTACTATCCATTCAACGAAAAAGAAGGCACAGCTCTTGATCGATTGCCCACCCTCTCTTTGCCTTGCATCACATTCTTCTCCACCATGTCCGCGAGAGATGTCCTGCTGTCCGTCCTGGCCGAGGCTGCATCCCAGGAGCAGGGCCGTATGAAGAACGCTGTCGCTCAGCTCCAGCAGTGGGAGACCACGCCTCAGTTCAATTCCACGCTCCAAGTAAAGAAAGGCGTCTAAGAGCTATTTTTTTTGCAGTCGAACCTCAACTCCTCCGTGCTCAACAACCCATTATTGTCTTCACTTGCGGTCAGGACATTTTCTACGACAAAACCTTGGACACCAACATCCGTTGGCAGGCTATCATTTATCTCAAGAACGGCATCGACAAGTACTGGCGCAAGACTGCCAAAAAGTATGCCCCCTTGCTTTCCATCCAATATCCGCGAGCGCACTGACTTTGCCACCATGCACAGGTTCTCTAATAGTGCTGATCATGATTTCTTTTGAAAATAGCGCCATTGCACCTGAAGAAAAGGTCGAGATTCGATCCCGTCTCTTGTCCGCCTTGGATGAGGAGCAGAAGCCTGTAAGGTTTAGTGGATACTATTTGCCAAAGGCACTTTATTAATTGAACATGGATTGGATGGCTCTGACCATGAAAATTGTATCCTCTCAAACAACGCTATAGCTCGCGACCCAGAACGCCGTTTTGATTGCCAAGATCGCTCGAATCGACTTTCCCTTGGAATGGTATGTGCTGATTAGATCCCTTGCATGTTTTAGAACTCACCACACTTTGAAGCAGGACACTGACGAGTTGACCTTCACTTCTAGGCCCGATCTGCTGACAACACTCTTGGAAATTATACGCTCGTCGACTGCGAATGAATCCGACTCAAGAGCTCGACTTGTCCAGCAGAGATCGCTCTACACACTTCATCTCATTGTCAAAGGACTTATCTCAAAGACATTAGCAGCTGGTCGGAGACAGTTTCAACAGGTTGCACCAGACTTGTTCTCAAACGTTGTCAATATATATGTTCGCTACGTTGATATGCTATTTGCTTCCAATACTACCAATATTGAAGTCATTTCCGGGTGCTTGGAGACATCCCACATGGCTCTCAAGTGCCTGAGGAGGGTCGTCGTCCACGGATTCCCAGAGTTCTCGGCCACAGAAGGACCCGTTGCTTTCTTTAGACTGGCATTGGAACACCTACAAAAGTTCATTACATTCAAGGAAGCAATCCCGGAGCAGTGTTCATTCTTGGTTACCGCTGTGGACTCACACATCAAACTCATCGGAAAGTTCTACATGGACCTCATGGACGCCCACCCAAGACAGTTCATTCTTACACCAGGCGCGGGAGATGTTCTTCGATTTTACTGGGGCTTACTTGCAGCACATAAAAATGAGCAGGGAGCAGCTTCAGCCCAGACGACCTTGATCCAGGGATTGTTATTGATCAAGAAGACGCTCAAGGACCCGCAATTTATTCTCAGTGATAGTAAGATTTCGTCCGCTAATAACCTATTTAAGAATGAGTGAGATACAGCTTCGCGGAAAGGGCTTAACCGCTTTTTCCGTTTTACCCTGTCAATACAGAGGATCCGGAGCAAGTTGTTGTCCAGTGCAGACACATTATCGAGAACGAATTTATGACCCCAGACACCACCAACAAGCTTGCCGAGATCCTGATTACTAAGTATATGCGACTGACCGAGGATGATCTGGAAGAGTGGGACTCGAATCCGGAAGAGTGGACTTTGGAGGAAGAGGCGGACTCTTGGAAGTATCAGCTGCGGGTATGTTGACTATGGGCAAATTGCGAGCATTGGACTGTTGACCTCATGTATATTACCCATGACTTAGTGCTCACATTGTTCTGCTTTTCTTTAGCCATGCGCGGAAAAAGTGTTCATGGACCTCCTGTCAAGTCATCGCGCCCAGCTGAGTCCACTTCTTGTTCAATTGGCAGAATCCACCGCAAGTAAGAGACTTTCCTGTATAAATGATTTGGTGCTGCTCCATAATGTGCTCTTTTTAAATCTTTCTTTTATGCTTTTAGATATGCCGGATATGTTTCTCAAGGATTCAATTTACTGTGCCATCGGACTGGGATCGCATGATTTGTATGGTGCCATTGACTTCGAGAGCTGGTTAAACGGACAGCTTTCCCAAGAGGTTCAGAATGCAGACCCCAGGTTAGTTCCTTGAATTTGCTACCACATAATACTGAATATTGTATATCGTAACAATGTCATTCTTATCTTTATTTTTTTTTTTCTCTAACGTCACTTCCTCTAGTTTCCGGGTCATTCGACGACGTATTGCATGGATGATTGGGAAGTGGGTCAGCGTCAATGTATCCAAGGCAGCACGCCCAACAGTATATATCATCTTGCTGCATCTTTTGAGGCCAGAGGAGCATCTAGCTGTCCGTCTTGCTGCAACGCAAAACTTGAAGGCGGCCATTGATGACTGGGACTTTGAACCATCTACATTTGCGCCGTTCTTGGAGCAGTCTGTTCGAGGGCTGAAGCAAATCATGGGTGAAGTCGAGGAGCCCGATAGCAGGATGAAGATCTTGAACTGCATGTCCATGATTGTGGAGCGCATGGATGAGCACATCACGCCATACGCTCAGCAAATTATCGAGCTGTTGCCTCCACTCTGGCAGGCGGCTGCGGACCAAAATCTTCTTCAGTCTGCGATTCTTGTTATCATGACTAAGTTGGTGGAGTCCCTGAAGTCTCAGTCGGTTGGTCTTCATGCACTTGTGATGCCACTGATTCGCCTCAGTGTCGATCCCTCTCAAGAGGCTCATATTTATCTAATGGAGGATGGTTTCGAGCTGTGGTTGGCGACCCTGAAGACTGCACGCCAGCCCACGGATGAGCTCCTCTCCCTTGCGCCAGCTGCGGTTACCTTGCTTTCAGAGGGTATGGATCATATGAGAACTATGCTCAAGATCCTGCAGAGCTATCTTATGCTGGATGCTGAACGCACATTCCAGGTAAGCGACAGGATAGACTGCTATTTGCTTTTGATGTGGAAGCTACCAACTTGTATTCTTACCCAAGTATGATATAAACATTGCCTTAGATTGCAGGATCTGCTCTGATTAGCGCAGTTTCTGGTCTCATGGGGGATGGCCTTCGATCAGAAGCCAGCGTTGCGATTATGCAGTTCATGGATATTACGGCCCTTACATGCTCCATTCGCATTACAGGAGAACTCTATGTGACTTCAGGCTTGCTGAACAAGGTGTTAAGCGTCATCATGGCTAAGAAGGTGGGAAGATCATGATGTCTGCGCCTATTGCTAATTTGAAATCTGATGTCGCCTTTGACTATATGGCTAACGGATAGGCTGTTTGAATTGGAGCTTTAGGAAACAAATGTAGTCTTGACACAGTACCTCTGCTTCTTAGCCCGTCTTGCAATTGAGGATTCCACATATCTCTCTAATGTTGTCAATAATGCTGGTCAGCAGTTCGGGCAGCCCCGTCTTCTGAGTGCCCTCTTGGATTTTTGGATGGAGAAGGTACTAAGCGAAGACCATCTGTCTGTCCAAAGCATTTCAAAGATGACTTGCGCATTCGAATCTAACCATTTTATCTTCATTTCCATTCGATACCATTAGTTTGATAACGTCTCCCACCCCAAGTACCGCAAATTGCACGCAATGGGCTTGACGGCTATGACCCGTACATCAGATCCTTCTGTTTTGGAGCACCTGCCCCGACTTGTTGCCATCTGGGGGGATGTCTTGAACGAAGTGAATGAGAACGGATCTGGTGACTCGCTTGTGTACTGGAGGGAGCTCCAGGACGATGAGGACGATACTTCCGAGGAAACCGCGGAAGTGATCCGAAGACGTGAGCTTTTGAAGCGCGATCCAGTTCACACGACTAACTTGGCGCATTATGTCAAGGCGTCAATTGTGGATTGCGAGCGGCTGAACGGTGGAGCAGATGCGTTCCAGCAGCAGTGGTTGTCGAAGGTCGACCCATTGATGCTGGAGGGACTGGGGCCTTTACTAAGATAAAAAGACGAGAAGCTAGACCTGCTCTTGCAATCGAGTATAATATATCGCATAAAGCATTAAGAAACTATTCCGGCTTTAATTAGTTGTACGTACATATTTCGCTAGGATATGAAGGTGTATGCTACAGAAGAACAAATATCTAGAAGAATTACACATTGAACTCCGGCTCCACCTCCTGCTTCCCTCTCTCGAGCGAACCTGGACTCGGCACTACAGCAGCCTCAACGAATTATGAGAGATTATATCCATTGCCAATCAGGCACTGCCTGAACTTCTCGTCCTCCTGGCCCAGATTCCCTCTGGTGTAGTCGAGGATGAAGAATCATGTGAAGACAGCTCCCAGAAGCGTGAGACCCGAGGCTAGCATAAATATCCAAACCTGATCCAGCACAGTGTTTCCCTGCTAAATCCTGCAACGGCAGGATTGAATGCCATGATGCACAATTAGAGCCCAGACGAGATCATCGCCGGACACGCCTGCATCATAGACATCCGCACATAGTGCCGCACCGACGATTATCAGAACCATAATTGCCACCAAGTTGACTTCACACTCAATTCTGTCGAGAGTGTTAGAAGCCGACCTACGAGATGTTTAAAATCCAAATTGTACGTTCTGCACCTTCATCAGATCAGTCTCCCTGATATTGTTTTGTCAACCTGCTCAAGCACAATTCCCATAAAGGAAGCATTTCCGAGTCGAATAAGCATCTCATGAGTATCGCTGCTCGCTTGCTAAGCAAGAGACCTTACCCACCAAGAGTAACTGCTAAAACAAAATACCAAATATAAGAATAAAGCAAGTGAAGAAAGTAAGTGAAAATCTCCCCGTCGGTGGTCCTGGTACCTTTTACTGTGGCGTTCTTCATGTGGTGTGTCATGATTTGGGTAGCTTGCCGCGCTTTGACACTTAATGATTAGGTTTGTCCTCTGGTCCAAGTGGATTGTTTTCTCCAAAAAGGGAAACGGATATTCAGAATCACTTTTGCTCATTGGTTCGTGGCCATGCAACATGTCATTAGGCACTCATGCTTTATTAGCGGCGACCAGCGCTACCTTTTTGGTTATGTAGCATGCACCATAGAAAAAGAATGAAGGAAAAAAAAAATAGAACCCCATAATTGTGGTTATACTGGTAGTTTCGGATAATATGAAGGTGCATAATTCGAGAGAAGAATGAAGGTCAAGATTTCAGAGATTGAAGGATAGTAATGACGGCCTTGATGGGTTATACATCAAGTGGCCTTGGTATATGGTTCCTTATTTAAAGCAAGGAGAGGCAGTTGGCGGTCTTGGCGGTTGTGGGGTCGAGTTGGTTGAGGATGAACTGCAGAACAACCTTGGTGTTGACCATGGTCACTGATGGCGAAGGGAATAATAAATGAACGGTCAGCTCAAAATCTCCGCAAATAACACTTCCTATAAATGATAGAAATGAGCAAGCTACTTACGATGCTCGTTCAACGACAGGGCGCAAAGATCCTGGAGAACAATGTTGGTGACACCAGCGTCGTTCTGGAAACAGGTCTGGTACGGAGTTACAACCTCATCGTACCTGTAATTATTAGGGAATAAATCAAGCTGTGGTAAGCATCAATATACCTTTACAAACATATATCCCCTGCACATAGGAATATTATTTACTTGGTGGCAATGTTCGAATGGACAACACCAGGGGCAATGTCTCCTCCCGCGTTCAACTTCTTGATAAAGTCCGAGCTGTCAACCATCTGGTAGAACGAGGGCGCAAAGAAATCGGAAATGACCTGCGAAGGCGCAAAGATCTTGAAAGCCTTTGCCCACGTAGTAATCGAGTCCAGGGTGGTACCATGGTTAATGGGCGAGACCCCGACGTGTCTGTAGACCTTGCCACCGCCACCCAGGTACTTCATCCAGTATCTGGCAAGAATGCCGCCCTGGGAGTGGCCAACGATATCGACTTGGGTCACGTTCAGCTTGCCAAGGACATTGTCCGCAAAAGTAGCCAACTCTTGAGCAGAATCTTCAATGGGAGCGAGACCTCCGAAGGTCGAGTTCTTGTACCTTCCGTAGGTAAGGCCGAAAACACAGTAGCCGTTCTTGATAAGCGCTGGGGCAATGTCGCTCCATGAGTCGACAGTAAGCAAAGTGGCATGGACCAGGATAACGGGGCGAGGGTGGGCAGCAGTCGGCTTGCAGGCGTAGTTGTTAATTCCGGCAATATCGCGCTTTTCAAGGCCTGAGGGCGAGGGAGCGCTGTTAACGGGCAAGGCAGAGACTTGAATAGTCGAAAATGCCATAAGCACAGCGGCGGAAGCGGCACCAATGACAGAGGAGATCGCGAACTTCATGGTTGGGTTGATTGACTATCGATTTTGTGTGAGTCCGTAAAGGAAGTGGTGGGTGTTTTTTTCCAGGAGAGGAGAGGCGCTCGGGAGATGAGGATGAGGATGAGGATGGTAGGAAAAAATGTAGGAGATCGTCTTAGTATTTGTATCTTTTTTTCTATCTGCTGAGGTTGACTATTGACCAAGACCGACAAATTAGATGGCGAAAGTCTTCCTGACGACGGTCTAATTGTCTAAGGCGGACTCAGGGATGCTGGAGGAACAGAAGCTCATTGACCCTGCACTGCGTTGTGTAATCGTGTTATGCATAAAACTCATTGCGCGGATCTCATGCTGGGGATGATATGCAGTCAAGCAAATAGACATAGTGTTTGTGATACAACACTGTTCTGGAGGAATGGAGGTCGAGCAACACGGCGATGTGCTCCACAACCCGCGCGGAGGGAAAGTTCATATTGCGGTGACACAGGAGCAATATTGCATGGAGAGCATAAAATTAAGGCAACCATGGACGAGGATACGAACTAGACGCGGTTGTGGAGGAATCTTCTTAATAAGCTGCTTTATACAAACCGCCTGCAAGACCCTATCATCTCATAGGCCGATGCTCACAATAAATTTTCGACGCGTCGTCGTTTCACGGCGCAGGTATACTGAGGTCTATGTAGGTACTTGCCGCTGGTACACAGCATACACGGACCGCAGCGTAACACCTTATTTCGCTCAACAAGCTGTCTGACAGGGTTTGCCTGAGACGCATGTGTTTCTCCACATTCGCCGCCGTACTGAACAAAAGTACAAACATGAGCCTTATGCAGACTACCCCACGACAATTTTCAATAACCCCACTTCCCCTGAAGGCATTTTATTGCCCTCCATCGCTCTCTACAACGTTGTGCTCGGATGCAACAAGGGAGAAATAAAGTCACCTGAGGTTCTTAGAGCGACAAGGTACTTGCCCAATCTCATTCCTGATACAGCACGTCCTCGCATGCATTGGTCATGTACGCACTGTGCCTTTGGTTTACATTCTTCTGCTGTATGTGGTGTCCGTGCGATAGTGCTTATCGAAATCACGAGGAAATGTTAATTGTACAAGAGTTGATTAGTTCCTGTCATGGAAGGCTATGGCTGTATAAGAAAGCAGTGGCAATGTTCTATTGCATTGAACTACAAATATTAGGACCCAATATTGGGCTTACCAACAGATATAGCCACACGAAAGACCGACCAAGGAGGTATGGGACCGATAATAGGGGCGCAGCTCTGCTCAGAACTTTTCTCCACATCCAACTCATATAGGAGTCCAAAAATGTCACTTTAGCCAGAGGTATCCAGACTGATGATATCCATAGCCTTACACTCCGGTCAAGATGCCCCAGTTATTCTGTATGCTGGGGCGAATAGAGCAATAAAAACCTACCCAGCTGATAGCTATTAAGAAAATAAAATAAAATAAAAACTCGTGAAAATGACTGCTGCGAGTGTTACAGTCGGATTGAACGTCCACGGCGAACAATGTCTTTGGCTCGGGAATTTGATTGACCTTGAAGGGTTCGTTTTTGCAGCTTTGTTTGAGATCTCACCCCCAACGCATCGTAACTCTAATATTGTCTGATATCTATACCGCCCCTTGATCTTGTTCCCGTATTGCACACTGCTTCTATGCTATCATTTTCATCATCGCGTTCTGTTGCAGAAATTGATGATTCACATCCTCTGTTTGTGTTTTGTCCATCGGCGTCGGTCTATATTATGGCTACACTTTATTCCATCGGGCAAATGATGGCGCATTTGATTGTCTGGATCTGATTCCACAATTTCATGGCTCTTCTTTATTATCTTCTTGAACGCGGCAGTCTTTATTCTCTTTGTTTTTGGTGCATGAGCTCATGCGAGCGATTTGGCTGAACATCGAAGATTGGTACCAACGTAGAAAAAGGCATTGATTAACCTATTACCTATATGCACGGCTAGCAGGATACATTCTAAGGCTAATCAGACGCGCCCGGCTTGCACAAAATAGCACAGAGCCCCTTTTGGAGCACATAGCAGATCGATGCGGGTACCTACATCTGGGCCCTCAAAAATGAACAAGCATAGACTTATCTCTCCGCGAAATATACTGGTTTTTGTTTCTGAAGGTTGTTGACAGTCCATTATTCTTTGTAACATCTTCACTAATAACGTGTAATTTAGTCCGCAAGCGCGGTTAAAGCACATATTGGTTCTTGTTACTGTCGCAATGACATTGTTCCTCATCCGCCTCGGACTTTTTTTTTGCAGGGACAGAACGAAAACTACAATTTCTTCATGCCTGTAATGTTTTTTTGCGATAAGTAGGGCCACTCGGATTTAATGAATATTGTATACTCCTGGGCGTATTCCATGTGAAGATCTGCTACATGTAGATTTCAATGAAGACAGATAGGATAGGCAGCACTTTTACTTCGCATTAGCGTATACCAAAAAAAAAAAAAAAAAAAAAAAAAGGCTAGATGGAAAAAAGAAAGGAATAAAGGAAAGAATAGAATACATTTCGACTATAGCATGTATTGGCGCCTTAGTCGCACCCAAATGCTCGCCTTGATGGCAACGATATACATATAGACCTTGCGATTTCCACTGAGTGTCAGGCATAGTGCCTGCTGTACGAATTTCAGACGAGCAAGGGATTAGCTTCGGGCAAAAAAAAAAACTATTGTAATAATCAACATCATGAGCGCGATTTTCAGGAAGCGGGGGAGAAACGGTGCAGATGATGGCGCTTTGCCTTCCTTGTTATGTGCTGGAGGCTAGAAGGACGCGCTTGAATATGAAACGCATTCAAACGCGACTCGTAGCCTAGATCATTTTTATTTTTATGTTCTATGTTGCTCACAGGTTTGGACAAGTGGCGGGCAAGCGATGGACAAAGTACAGTGTATATAATGCAGGGTGGATGGTGGTCTTGCCGAAGCGTACAGTATGAAGTGGCGGACAAAGGGGTTTGTTCCTTTTTTTCCCTACAATATTTCCATACTTCATTTTGCGCATCAATCGGTCCACTCAATATTTTATCAGACATGCCACTGCACTTCCTGCATTACTCTACTTTGCCCATCGCTGTGCCATCGCTTGTCTTTATCACTTGTGCCTATCCTGTGTCCCAGGCTCATTGGCTGTCAATACTCTTCTTGTCCATCACCTCGCTGGCCCATTGGCCTGGCGGTGCCCCGTCTGCTCTGGCAAACCTTGTTGATCTGCGCGGCGCGGAACGCACAACAACTACCTGTTTCAGAAAGACGTCCACACAAGCATGTCTGAAATGGAGTGGGCCTCACTGTTTGTAGTCCGTCGAGGACCTTCGTGCTCACAGGCTCGAGCGCCACTCTGACTCTTTCAGGACCACCTCCAGGGACACTGAAGGCCAGCAGGAAACGTTAACTGTCCACAGTGTAAACGACAAATTCGAGTGTCCACGCTGTAGGAAAGTTTTTCCAAGTAAGTCGGCCGTTTGAAAACGTTTAGAGCGAGGGGATTGCTCTCTCTTCGCGAACGATTGGGGATAGTGGGAGTGAATCTAGGATGAATAAAGGTTCTACTGGATTGAATGCTGCTATCTAGTCTAGGTGTAGATGGGCCTATATATCAGCGGGATCATTGCCACAGTACCCTGGAAAGTTGGAACTGGGCGCAGTACTACTTTTGCACTCCCTGTTACAAGATATCAAGCTGTCGTCGCCTCGTACATACCAGCTATGTAGGCGTTGAACGATAGTCTCGCTTCCACTTCAACTCCTCAGAAGCGCAACCGCGACAGTGCGATCCTTTACACTTGTAAACACTTCCGCGAATCAGACACCAGCAAGACCAAAACGCTGTTCATCGTGGACGCTTTGGAGTTGAGCCGCTTTTAAGTGGAGCTAATGGTAGTGGACCAGTTATTGGTACACAATCAAACCTTCGGTCCGACTCTTTAATAAATGCTACTGAAGTCAGATCCTTCATAATCTTTGCTTGCACATAACTAAGCGCGAGATCCAAAACCAAAATGAGGTGCACGGCGAAATACCAGATCGGCATCCTTTTCTATCCATCGCTTGACCAAAGCTGACAGATTTTAATTGAGGAAAAAATGAGGGAAGATAGCAAAGAACAGCCCCCTAGATTTCAATAGCCTCTTGGTACTCTTGATGCATATGAATACAGGCGCTATCAATAATGACAGTGGAATTCTCCGTGGACCATGGATTCAGACCCATATTCATCGCTATTTCCATGCAAATTTCACGATGACGTAGATATGGCTGTAACGACGGGTTTACTAGCCATAGCTTTCAGTAAAGGCAAAAACCACTTTGCACTCCATTACTCTCGGTCGCCCTCTGTCATATAAACATGTCTGCCGTAAGTCTACAGGACGTTCTAGCATGAGAACACTCAACTCCAAGGAATATTCCCCACATGCGAGATAGGATCAATCGGAGCCGACACGCTTTGTTTATTTTTGGATGTTGATGATCGTGCAAGCGTTTGATCTGTTTCAAGAAACAGGATAAGCGACGCAGCGAGCACAGCGCTCGTCCCGGACCAAAAGCCCACAGACCGTGGTCTTGGCAGTCAGATCCTCTCTATACGGCCAGAATAAACTATGCTGGGCGGATAAACATCTTGGCCATTGAAAGAAAATGGATACGTGATATCAATCAAGGAAGCTGCACAGTTGATCTCATCAGAGTATTATGCTGGAAAGAGCGCCTCTGGTATTCAGCGTCAATCGCATGGACTAGCGGAGCAGGAATGCAACCAGAGGGCAACCAGAAGGCAACCAGAAGACGTTGGGAGCGACGCATTTCAATCCTCGTGAGACTGACATTCGTAAACGTTACCTTGCTTGTACTAGTTTGTTCCCGTCAACCCAAAGCCATTTCTCAACGACCTCACAGGAAAGGCGGTCATGGTTAAGCTGAAGTGGGGACAAGAGTACAAGGGATTCTTGGTCTCAGTGGATTCGTATATGAACTTACAGGTATGCTTTGTCTCTTTACTGCATTTGTTTGCGTGCTTTTTAAAGACTTCCATCGACGATATTTTTCTGTCTAAGTACCATTCTGATGTCTTTTTCTGATCGAATTCTTACAGCTTGCAAGTACAGAGGAGTTCGTGGATGGGACATCTACAGGAACGCTCGGAGAGGTGTTGATTCGCTGCAACAACGTGCTCTATGTACGAGGCATTGAAGACGAATGAGAGGACTGAGGGGCACTTCTTTGAAGAAAGGTCAAGGAGAGCAGTGCAACGATGAGTATGCGTATCGATACTAAATAAAAACACTGCAGCAAGTTACCCAACGATATGTTTATTCACGAGTACATAGTATCACCACGTTCTATCGATGAAAGTTGTCTTTGAGAGCCAATTGCTCCACTAAAGATCCACAGGTCGTTCAAGTGGCTTGCAAGAGGCAAGGGCAAGGGGTGCTTGTTTGTCCCCGTCTTTCAACCTTCTTCAGCACCACATATTCATCTGTCCCTTTCAGATCCACATCACCAAGTCTAATCGAACACGCAACCAGCCATGACAACAAAACTCATTGCCTTTTCGCCTGAACAACAACAGACCCTGTCATCTCTGACCCTGACCTCGCCGTCCTTCCTCAGCTACCTCCTTCAGTACCAACAAGAGACCATTCGCGGTATCGCTGTCCGACTGCCAGGCAACTTTGTACATTACTCGCTTTTGTCGGATCAGCAGATTGTGCCAGGCAAGACGACTGTTGGAGATCTGAAGATGAAGGTTCTCAACGTCGTCTATGTGACGGATAGCCAGGAGCAGGTCGAGGAGTGCGTGCTGTGCCGGTTAGGCGTCCATATCGACGGACTGCACGAGATACCAGCGAGTCAGTTCTAGCGGAGCGTGAGGTGGATCGATGCGCGGCACTAAAACGTCTGATTGACAGCTGATATCCATCCTGGAGTTGTCGGCGCATAGCCGAGGGACAAGTCTTCTTTGAATCAGTTTCATTTTATTTCTATTTTTTCATTGATCTATACAACATGGAAGCGAATTGAGTCGGATTGCCTCAGGAAACGAAGCGGTGCGGCGAGAGAGAGAGCGAATGTTTACTCAGACTAGCAGATCAGGATCGTTACGAGACACCCTTCGGTTTACAGATATGGCCACTTTGTAAGGTTCTTTGTTTATGAACCATTGTAGATAGCAATTGATAAAGCAAACCACTGAACTATTGAGCCATTGGACCACTGAACCATTGGATAACCGAACCCAAATGGTCATGTGGCAGCAAAAGAACTTGGGAACAAAAGATCCAGACCTGGCTCTATGGTGTCCCGCTCGCGTTCAGTTAAAGAAATAACGTTCATTAAATTATTGAGATCACGCCGTGTCCCCCATGTCCACAATTGTGGACAGGGACATGGACATGAATTCACTTGCGATAACCTTTGCACTCGAACGTCCATAGCATTTTGCTGTCGATAACATTTTTTTTCTGTTCCTGGTTCCGTTCCTGAATTCCCCTTTCATGGTCCTTTCACACACATACGCGCACACACACACACACACTCTCTCTCTCTCTCACATGTACACGCCCATATATACGCTCCCTTTCGCTACTAATCCCCACTCTCATTCTTCGTGCTCCATCTTCTCTTTGCCACTCATTACTCCACCTTTCATGCGTTGTTGTTCATAAGATTCCTTTGTCGTTTGTGCATTCGTCTCCTTTTCGGTCGTTCCTTTCTCGCATTCATGGTCTTATAGTCTTATAGCTTCACCTTCAGCCGTCCGCCTCATACTTCTTGCCGTCTCCCTCACATAGCCATATTTTTGCGGCATACAGTAAAGCTCAGAATACCGCTTGTTTATTCAGGGTTTATCTGTTGTCTGCTCGCTATCTACTTTACTTTGGCTTTTTGCGGCCAACATCACCCGCAGTGAATTTATAGTACAGCCCTTATTGTTTTTTGTAAACATATCAAGAAAGGTGTCGACGGTTTGCTGCTTCTCCATCGCCTCTGCCTTGATCAGTTGAATTAACTGGCGACGGCGCCTGTAGGCCTTACAACGTGCTGGGGTGAAGGGCCATTTGTTGTCTTCCAATATGGCCTGTGCAATCGGGCCATGAAATTCATCCCATGCTTGCCGGACGGTAAGAAGACCATTGTCAGACAGCATGTTGTAGCCCTTGACCCTGGTTCTTTCTTAGCTGGGCGTTTGTTTAGCTCTACGGCAGGAGGGCGGAAAGTGGAGTGCGCTGTGTTAGATCGGCGGCATTACTATCAATTGTTTCTCATTATGTAACGCTTGGCTGCTAACTTTGCTTTTTTTGCAACCACGATTGTGAGAAATGTAACAACAACAACATGCATGCACTGCCAAGGACGCGAAGCCTTTATTTCGGCAAGCCTTGATAGATGCGAGGAAATAAGAGAAAAAATGTGATATATCTCCGTCGCTCGCGTAAAACCTTTATTCATGCGCACAGAATAGACCCTGCGGAACAATCAGTTTGGAGTGTCTTCTGTCTCCGTCGTATTATCTTTTGAACCGAGAGAGACTGACAAAGGGATCAAAATAATCAGCCTACATGGTTCTGGTTACAGTAGGACTCGTCCAAATACACAAACACGGCGCCCTTATACTTGTCGGACCGTCGCTTTTGAAGGTAGTGCCGCCTCTAGGCCTCGACATCCTCGGTTCCGACAGGATTTCTAGTGTTTCCGACATCCTGATAACGGGAATCCATTTTCTCCATCAACAACTGAATCGCTTCCTTGCTTGGAATCATGAATTGATCCGCGAATAGCACCTTGATGCGGTTAAAAACGACTCTAAGATTACAGCTTGTCCCTTGGTGTTCGTTTCCGTTGCGATTCGTCGAAGGTCTGAAGCAAACGATAGAGTGTGGTTGTAACGTGGATGCTTGCCTCGAGCGTCTCCGTTATCCTTCCTTAATACGATGCCTTTGACGGTATTGAGTGAGAATCCCATGTAATAAATAGGCCGTTCGTAGAAAAGGATCCGCTGTCGTAGCAAGTTTCGCGTTCTCTTTTTCTCCCTTGCAAAACTCGAAGCAATGAAGTACTGCTCTACGCTCCTATACAGACCCCCTTTTTCCTGAAGGCCGTTTATGCTGTTTGACTGAAATGAACGTATTGCTGGAAGGTGCAACCTTCCTCAATTCTCTGCAACAGCTTGACCTTCTTCTGCAGCTTCTCGATTGTCTCCAAGGTCTCTCTGCCTTTTTTCCCAGATCGTTGGACAGAGTTTCGGAAAGAGGATCCAGGCAGGGGCGTTTTCTTGAAGTCTTCGTGAATGACTTGTCCGACGAAGTAGCATGGGCTTCTGCCAAGGACATGGCTTTGATAACTTGTATACTATATCGTAGTCGTCGAAGCCATCTTCCACAGCATCCAAGGCTTCGATGAAGCAGGGATATATAAGCATTTTTTGTCACGTGCATGAATGAGTGTTGATCCCAGGTTGCTGGTCCCTCCCCAACCCCTTAAAAAATGAGACGATTACGATGAGACAGGGGTGGAAAGCACCGCCAGGAAATTGGGCAACCGCGTTCTTGTCTCCGCCTCTTTGAGGAAACATCTAGAAGCTTTTGTTATTGTGGGCGCGGTTGCTTGGCCACTATCTAACCAAGGTCGTATATATTTCTGGCCTGGTGCTGGCTCCCTCTTTTGTTTCCCTCATCCTCTCTTCCCTCCACATTCCACATCCAACCATGTCGTCCGAGACGTTTTCTTTCCAGGTACATGCCTTGTCTATTGTTTCCTGATCCAACACTTGGACAGATACACATACGCATGTGTGTGTCTGCGTCGTCAGTCGTGCAATCGAGATCTGATCTCCAAGCAATTGCTTATTCTTCGTATCCTTAACACATCATAAACCAATGATTCTCCACTACTTCTCCCATAGGCTGAGATCTCTCAGTTGATGAGCTTGATCATCAACACCTTCTACTCAAACAAGGAGGTTTTCTTGAGAGAATTGGTTTCCAACGCCTCTGGTACGTCTCCTGTTATTTTGGAGTCCTCGATGCTTTTATTATCTTCCTATGCACCGTTATCCGGCAATCGAATGCTAACTGCCAATTGCTCCTTCCACTTTAACCACAGATGCTCTTGACAAGATCCGTTATGAGTCCCTCACCGACCCCTCCAAGCTCGACTCTGAGAAGGAGCTCTATATTCGCATCACCCCCGATCGCGAGAACAACATCTTGACCATTCGTGATACTGGTATCGGTATGACCAAGGCTGATCTCGTCAACAACCTTGGTACCATTGCCAAGTCCGGAACCAAGGCTTTCATGGAGGCCCTCAGCAGCGGTGCTGATATTTCCATGATCGGTCAATTTGGTGTCGGTTTCTACTCTGCTTACTTGGTTGCCGAGAAGGTCCAGGTCATCTCGAAGCACAACGATGATGAGCAGTACATCTGGGAGTCCGCCGCTGGTGGCTCCTTCACCATCACCCGCGACACTGTCAACCCCTCCTTGGGCCGCGGTACCGAGATGCGCCTCTTCATGAAGGAGGACCAGCTAGAGTATCTCGAGGAGAAGAAGATCAAGGAGATCATCAAGAAGCACTCTGAGTTCATTGGTTACCCCATCCAGCTCGCCGTCGAGAAGGAGACCGAGAAGGAGGTCGAGGACGATGAGGAGGAGGTCAAGGAGGGCGACTCCAAGATCGAGGAGATTGAGGATGAAGACGAGAAGAAGGAGAAGAAGAAGAAGACTATTAAGGAGAAGACCGTTGAGAACGAGGAGCTCAACAAGACCAAGCCCCTCTGGACCCGCAACCCCGAGGACATCACCAACGAGGAGTACGCGACCTTCTACAAGTCCCTCACCAACGACTGGGGTGACCACATGGCTGTTAAGCACTTCGCTATTGAGGGTCAGCTCGAGTTCCGTGCTATCCTCTTCGTTCCCGGCCGTGCCCCCTTTGATATGTTCGAGACCAAGAAGAAGCGCAACAACATCAAGTTGTACGTCCGCCGTGTCTTCATCATGGACGACTGCGAGGACCTCATCCCCGAGTGGCTCAACTTCATCAAGGGTATTGTCGACTCTGAGGATCTTCCTTTGAACATCTCCCGTGAGATGCTTCAGCAGAACAAGATTCTCAAGGTCATCCGCAAGAACCTTGTCAAGAAGTGTCTCGAGATGTTTGCTGAGATTGCCGAGGATAAGGAGAACTTTGCCAAGTTCTACGAAGCCTTTGCAAAGAACATCAAGCTCGGTGTCCACGAGGATGCTCAGAACCGCGCCAAGTTGGCTGACTTGCTCCGTTACCACTCGACCAAGTCTTTGGACGAGATGACCTCGCTCAAGGACTATATTACCCGCATGCCCGAGAAGCAGAAGAACATCTACTACATCACCGGTGAGTCTCGCGTCGCTGTCGAGAACTCTCCCTTCATCGAGGTCTTGAAGAAGAAGGGCTTCGAAGTCCTCTTCATGGTTGACCCCATCGATGAGTACGCTGTCACCCAACTCAAGGAGTACGATGGCAAGAAGTTGATCTCTGTTACCAAGGAGGGTCTTGAGCTCGAGGAGGATGAGGAGGAGAAGGCTCTCCGTGAGGCCGAAGAGAAGTCGTACGAGGCTCTCTGCGCCCAGATTAAAGAGATTCTCGGTGACAAGGTCGAGAAGGTCTTGGTCTCAAACCGTATCTCCGAGTCGCCCTGCGTCCTCGTCACCGGTGCTTTTGGCTGGTCCTCGAACATGGAACGTATCATGAAGGCCCAGGCCCTCCGTGACTCGTCCATGTCGTCCTACATGGCCTCGAAGAAGTCGCTCGAGTTGAACCCCAACAACGCTATCATCAAGACCCTCAAGGCCAAGGTTGAGGCTGACAAGAACGACAAGACCGTCAAGGACTTGACCTTGTTGATGTACGACGTTGCCCTCGTCGTCTCTGGCTTCAGCATCGAGAAGACCGATACCTTCGCTGATCGCATCCACCGCATGATCAAGCTCGGTCTTGCCATCGATGACGACGAGGAGGAGGCTGGTTCGGACATGCCCGCCCTCGAGGCTGAGGATGTTGTTGAGGCCAGTGAGATGGAGGAGGTCGATTAAACTGTACACTAGCCTACACTTTTTCGTTTTCCCTTTGTCACTATAGCACATCCCCATTGTAATTACCATCTGTTTACATACCAAACAACGCAAAGTGATATAAATGCATTTTATAGACCTTTTTCATAAGCTTTAATTGCTGCTTCATGTCATTGTGGATTGGGTAGCCGGGGTAAGACGGCGATGATGGTATTGTTGTGCTTGGATGGCATTCCAATGTATGTTCCTGGAGTGGACGAGTGCGCCTGAGTGATGGCCATTTGTGTGGATTGCTTCAGCGCGTACTCTTCCTGGTGCTTGCGCAAGATCTATTTAGCACAGATGAGAAAAGATTAAAAACAGCAAGAACCAGGTTGCGGATCAAATTATATCGTTGGCGAAATGCCGTTGGACCAGTTCTCCTTAACGTCCCCGACATCCAGTACTTACGTCGTGATGTGACTTCTGGCTTTGGTCGATGGGACCAATTGGTGGGCCAAAGGGTAACCTGGTTGTATTTGGACCGGATCTAATGATATGGATAGTGGCGGTAATAACCGGAGAGCAACAAAGCCTCTATCAGTCCACGAGATCCAGATCGCCTGAAACAAAGCAATGTGCTGCCGACCAAAAAAAAAAAAAAAAAAAAAAAAAAAAAAAAAGCGGTGCTGTATAGACGCACCCTGTGCCCTGGTATCCCATTGATCCTGGCTGTGTAAGCGACGGTGACGGCATGCCAGACATGAACGACCGCGATCCTTGCTGATTCTGCGGTATCTGTATTTGCTGCGGCATCGGCATGTTCATATTCATCTGTTGCGGCTGTGGTTGCTGCATAGGTTGTCCTGGCTGCTGTTGCTGCATCATCATCGGTGGAAATCCTCGCTGTTGGTATCCGAATTGCTGCTGCGACATATCGTTTCTATTTTATTGGAGCAGATAAAAGCATGTGAAGCAAGATAGTCAGACATGACTGTTAGCGGGCGAGATATGGTGGTTCCTGATAAGATATAGGCCTCCAAACGTCCAGATGCTGGTAGGGCCTCATATTGATCGCACTTACGGAAAGTTCATCCCTCCTGGCCCTCCACCGCCACGGGGCTTCTGTTGCATCCCTCCAGGGCCGCCTCTCCCATGTCCTCCGCGATAGCTCATGGTCGTAGTCGTGGCTGTGTGATTCTGTCCTGAGCTGTGTTGATGTCCCAAGAGGGCGAAATCAACTGGATGCTCGAAATACAAAACCAATGTGTGAGAACTGAAAGGCAGTCCTTTCATCACTCCCATCACTCTCGGCCCCTTTTACGCATTCGACTCGTACAACTGCCACTATCATTCCTGCTTTCGCTGCAACTCTCTAGTTCTGAGCCGAAATCCGTAGCCTTGCCTCGAGACATACCCGTTTACCTTCCCTTTCTCGCAGGACATCAGCTTTGTCGAACCATGGCTCTCAACTCTGCACAGCAGTACTTGGCATCAGTCAATGGCCCTTCTCCTTCTACAGCAACTTCCTTCTCTAGCACGGCCTTCGGGAGAGGTCCGAGTAACGGTCGAGGTCAGTTTAGGTGTCTTTACCATTGCATTTGAGGACTCGATGTTGCGCTCTAATACTAACGAACGCTGATATGACTGTATGACTTTAGTCAACTTGGACGAGGAAATTAAGCTAACAACGAACAACCGCGAGCGAGCACAGATGGACAACATGGCGGACCTGTATTCTATCATCGTCGTATTAGAGCATTTGGAAATGGCGTACATTCGAAGTGCCATCACTCACACACAGTATGTCCTGATGAAGCCTTCTCTGCCGCTATTTGCAACAATTGAGAAAAAAAACCTATGCTTCGTCGTCTATATTATCGACTCAAGGTGTCTCATTGTACAATATCTTTTTTTTTTATAGATACACACCCGAGTGTCGTCAGCTCATTGCGCAATTTAAAACGGCCTCTAGCTTGCTGGGCGATGTTGTACCAGATCTGGAAAAGTTTATGAAGGAATACAATTTGGATTGCCCAGCAGCAGCCAAGAGGATCAAGATTGGCGTGCCAGCGACAGTCGAATTTGGCGATGGTGGTGCATCGAACGAGCCAAGTGGCCATAAGTCTGCCAAATATATTGCTGAAACTGTCCAGGTAAGGCTGAGACCAAGCATGTCTATATTACATACACTCGATGTATCATTATGTTTGTGCAACATGCCAATCTTCTGGCTTGTCCATTTCCTCTCCTGTTTTTCAATCCCTCCAGAGCTACATTACGGTCATGGATATGCTGAAGTTAGGAATGGGGGCGGTAGATGAAATTCACCCTCACTTGGCGGACCTTATGCAGAGTCTGAACAATGTGCGATCACTACCTGCTGATTTTGAAGGCCGGGCCAAATTGCGCGAATGGTAAGTTTAATTAACTGGTCACTTCGTCTTTATACTTCAGCGATGTTGTTTTCAGAAAAGTGAATGCTGACCCCTTTGTGATACATCATCATAGGTTGATCAAATTGAATGGTATGAGGGCAAGCGAAGAGCTGGCTGCGGACGAAAAGAGACAGATGGAGTTCGACCTTGAAAGCAACTATACTGCATTCCGTGGATGGCTTGATAGTCAATAAAGAAGGCTGATCCAAGCTGAGTACAATGTAAATGCATTTATTGAAAGCACAGCGATTTCTTTGTCTGTTGGTCTCCCTGCCTGGTCCATAAGTCGATCCCAGTGTCGTCCATAATTGGTGTCCTCCTGGCAGTTGTGTCTCCCGATCCGGTTCTCTGCAAGTACAAAAGATGATTTATCTCGAGCTCCAATCCCATACGCTTGTTCCCTAGACCCCCTCCATTCCTTCTACGTCCTGCATTCTTATTCAGCCTTCTTGGGCTTCTTGGTTCCGTATTTTGACCTTGACGTGCGCCTGCTGGCAACACCCTGCAAATCCATGGCTCCGCGGACCAAGTGATAACGGACTCCTGGCAGATCGGGAACACGACCGCCACGAACAAGGACAACGGAGTGCTCCTGCAGGTTGTGACCCTCTCCGGGAATATAGGCGTTGACGACCTTCTCGTTCGAAAGCTTCACACGGGCGACCTTACGGACGGCTGAGTTGGGCTTACGAGGCTTCTGAGTAAAGACACGGACGCAGACACCTTTCTTCTGAAAACAGGCGTCAAGAGCTGGTGATTTCGATTCCTTCTTGAAAGTCTTGCGGCAGCCACGCATAACCTGATTAAGCGAGGCCATGGAGCGGACCTGCTGTTGCTGTGGTTGCTGTTGCTGGCGGAACGCTGCTGAGAGGGCGGGAGAGGCGGATTTGAAGACGGTCAAGGGGGTTCTGATGGCGGTTGCTGATGGCAATGCGGCCACGAGTGAGCGCAGGTTGAACATGGCTGTGCGTATTTGTGTGATATGTGTGTAATAATGGAGGTAAATACGCGAGAGTGAGGAGGGGATTGGGAGGAGCAACCAGGACTATGGTGAAGGTGGAGTGCTCGTCTGGCATTTGTTTTCGTTCCTGAGATCCGGGTGTGGCTTGTTGAAAGAGACTGCTTGCCTTCAGTAAAGAGGCAAAAAGCAACTACCTTTCTTCGCAAACACCACCGAAAAATGTCCAGCTCACTCTCAGGACCCTCCAATTTTGCCGACGATGGCTCAGCAGTGATTTCCCGCCAGGTTGAGGTCCACCACAGTCGACTTGCCTCGGAGCCTCAGAACAAGATCAAGGCGTGTTCCGACATTTATGAGATTGACCGCACAGTCGCTGTTATCAAGGAGCGGGGCTACAAGAGAGTGAGTTAGGTTCAGGACCAGAGCCATCCAGACATTGGCATTTCTGCGCATGTAATAAGTAGCTATGGGAAATTATGAAGCGCTTACATGGATTGCGTTATCATGGCATAGATCGCGCTGCAGTTCCCTGACGAACTCTTGCCGGACTCTGGACTTGTAGCACAGTTGATCCGGGAGCACACAGGAAGCGGCGTCTACATTCTCGCGGATACCTCGTATGGAAGGTGAGACAGCATTTCGTCCGCAATTGGTCAATCTCGTTACGAAGCAGGACAGTGTGTTAACGCCGGAACGAATTTCGTATGGCACGTCTTATAGCTGCTGTGTGGACGAAGTAGCAGCGCAGCACATTGCTGCAGATGCCATTATTCACTATGGCCGATCATGTCAAAGTCCGTAAGTCGCTCTTTCACGCGCATTTGGTAGCAGAGGAGTCCAATGCTCGACTATCTTGTCTTATGCGCCTTTCATTCATTCCGTCGATCTTGTAGAACGTCTCGCCTGCCGGTTATCTATGTTTTTGGAAAGCAACCTGTTGATGTTCAGCACTGCGCATCAGTATTGGATGGATTCTTTGCAGAGAACAAGTCCCGCAAGATTGTATTGATGTACGATGTGATCTATGCCCACTGCATTGGTAAGGAGCGTTGCGGTTTTTATGGTCTGACCAATATATTTGTGGTGTTTTAAGGTATCATACTGATGTTCTATGAAATGAATTGCTTTTGCGCAATAGATCAACTTATGGGAATACTGGAAACTGAATTGAAGTACACCAACATTGTCAAATCAAGAGTGGAAACAGAGTCGAATCTCGGATATGTGTTGTCAAACCCAGACTCAGCCCAGGCCTCTGCCAGCAAATGTGACCAACTATCCTCATGTTGTCAAAGCGGAGAAAATAATGCAGCATCTGCATGCTCCAACTCTTCGGGATGCCAAACTGCGATATCCACTATGATGACTCATCGGCAGCAGCAGCCAGCGACGAATAACGCCGATGAGGGTGATCATGCCGCCGAGAGTAATATCAGCAAGCGGAGGAAGTTTGGAAGGACATACGACCTGCCGAAGGGCGATAACATCGAGGACTACACCCTGTTCTATGTCGGAGACGAGAGCACGACACTATCCAACATCATGATGACCCACAGCAAATGCGATGTCTACTCCTACAGCCCAGAGAAGAGGGAAGGGCGGTTAGAGTCTGCGCAGGTCAACAGGGCACTTATGCGTCGGTATTTTTTGGTCCAGAAAGCCAAGGATGCGGACGTAATTGGAATCGCAGTTGGAACATTAGGAGTCGGTAATGGCTCTGGACTTTTACAACGCTATGCAACTGTCCGGATCGGAAAGGGTTGTATTGGGCTGCTGACACGTCCCATACTCTTATTGATAATCTTGCACTCCGATAGCCTCGTACATGACCATGATCCAGCATCTGAAGGCACTGATTGAATCTAAGGGCAAGAAGGCGTACACATTTGTGATGGGCAAGTTAAACGTGGCCAAGATGGCGAACTTCATGGAAATCGATTGCTTTGTCTATGTGGCCTGCCCCGAGAACAGTTTGATCGATAGCAAAGAGTTTTATCGTCCCATCGTCACGCCTTACGAGCTCGAGATCGCTCTCAGCAAGTCCAGAGAATGGACAGGAGAATATGTCACGGATTTCCAGCAACTGCTTCCTGAGGACGACAAGATTGGTGTGGATAAGGTCAAGATTTCGCAGGCACAACTGGATGCAGCTTCAGACCGAGAGGATGAAAGAGAGAGCTCGGACCAGGATAGTGATGAGGATGAGGCACCGCACTTTTCGTTAGTGACAGGGCAGTACAAGCAGAACAAGAAGTATACTACCAATAAGAAGGATTCTAAGGAGTTGTCGGCACTAGTCGAAGGAACGAAGGATCTGACGGTGCGGGATAAGAACACGAGTGTAGCGACATTGATGTCGAGCGCTGCAGGTGAATACTTGCAGTCGAGGCAGTTTAGGGGCCTTGAGGTCCAGCTGGGAGAGACGCCTGTGGAGCTCGCGACGGAGGGGCGCGCTGGTATTGCGAGGGGCTATAATTCTGAAAACGGATACAATAGCCGTGAGAAGGAAAAATATTAGAGCTATGCTGTATTTGTAAAGTAGAGAACCACTTTAATAATCCGTTCACGTGTGAAAGCACAAAGAGGCTATCGCCGATCGTTGCAGCATTTCACAGGCAGCACCGACAATCTTTTTCTCTTGGGAATTACGGGACTTGATGAGCATGAAGATTGATTGCGATAGTGGAAATCGTGAATGATAGCGATAAGCGATCGCTTGCTATTTCTTCGCATCGTCTCTGGGAAGGGCGAGGTGCGGAGTACGGTCAAATGTAGGAGAACAGGGGATGCGCATAAAGAGATCGGTGGTACTTGTCGTGTCTAATGACGAACCGAGGTCTCAAGGAAGGAGCCAGAGATAACGGCGACCGTATCTTTAAGGAGACCTGCATCTGTGGGTCGCGTGTTCGTTTCTAAAGTGGGCTCGGGAAGTGCTCTTCAATTTTTTATTTATTCCCTCCCTAGGAAACATGCAACGCGCCTTATTTTTTTTTGAATTACCTATCTTTTTTGATCCCTCTAGACTTTCTGGGCCTAGTAAACTATGCTCCCTCCTCCTTTGTAACAACAATGTACAATGGTGCATCCTATTACTCCCGTCATGGCCGTAGTCGTGAACAGCTTTGAAGTTGATTTGGGTGATGGTCAAGAGCTTCTTTGTCATGAGTATTGACACGCATTGTTCAGTTGTGAACATGACGAACGTGCGCTGCCAAGAAGACAAAGGGGGTTGCGCATTATCGTTTGGACTCAGTTCGGACAAGGGGGGAGGCAGCTGTAATAGTACGTTTGTTTATCATTCATCGACTTGAAAACCGTCTGAGCACGATAACGATCGACTCACTGTAAAAGATGAGCAGTTCCTTGGTTTATTCTTCTCTCGTTAGGATGGTCCAAGCGAGGAAGACACCAACTAAGTTTATGAAAAAATCAGGCTCCCAGAACGCTGAGCCTCAAGTAGTGATCGTGGGATCCCTGCCGAAGGACTTCCTCAGTCACCAATGGGTTCAATTTGAGCGATTTACTTTGTACATCGAGAAGTAGGGTACGCGGCAAAGCTTACGAGGTAATGGCGCTAATTCTGCCCGTACTTGCAGTTGACCATCCGAGATAACAAAAGTGAAATATATCTTTGCCCCCAATGGGCCATAGTCCTGCCCCCTAGTTTCTGCCTATCGATAGTAATGTCGTAAATGTTGTAGATGTATGTACCATGCCTCAGCTACAAGACGTATTTTATCCTGCTGAGACTTTTTTTCCCGATGTATTCTGCTCGTTGTCCATCCAAGCGGACAAATTTCGCGCAGGAAAGAGAAGGGGAGAGGACGCAGATAGTCCGATGGGATACAGATAAAGCGACCGATTGGACGTGCAGAATGCAGATTAGATAGGATGGAATTCTTTTAAAGGGAAGCGGAGGCGGTGGGTTGTGGTTCCTTTCTACTTTTCTACGCTCTACTCTCCACTCCTACTTCTACTCGCGCTTCTACTCCAACCCCTCACGCTACTTTCTACACTACTCTGTCTACACTACTCTGTCTACACTACTCTGTCTACACTACTCTGTCTACACTACTCTGTCTACACTACTCTGTCTACACTACTCTGTCTACACTACTCCCATTATACTCTACCCTTCTCGACCATCACACTTTCTCTGCTTGCAGCTGACTGTTTGCTAGCCATTACATTCGCGTCGTTCCTCGCTTTGCTCAACGTTCACTTGGCTTCTTCCTTTTACATCCTTGCAAAGGCAATCCACATCCCCTACTTGTGCTCTCTCCTCTTCACAATTGACAATTGACAGCCCTGGGCCCTGAACACACCCACATATCCAGCCTCTTATTTCCACAATCCTTCGACACCCCCCAACAATGCTCCATTCGCCGATTACGACAAGTAGCCCGTTGCTCCCTTTGATAGGTAAAGACAGTTATGATAGAAGCCTTCAACTTTCAATCCATTTCTAGCGGCCGATGTTTTATGCATTCTCTGCCCCGTTCACTTTTTACAGCGAATATGGGTCCCGTAATGGATGTGCAATCAAAATCCCACTCATCTACACATACGCAATACATGAACTCGCACTGTAGGCATGCATCGTATGCCATCATCTATCGCTATCGAGCGATGGATTTATTTTTTTATTTTTTATTGCGCTCTTTACCGTTCCCTATCTTCTCAATCATATGTAAAAAGAGCTCCCGTCACTCAGGGACTTGAACTAAACTAGGATTTTCAACTTGAACACATGTCTACGCGCCTTATTCTTATACATATACGTCTTAAACATCCCTTCCATAGTACCATGCAGCACTGTAGTATAAAAAAAGAGGTGTTCTTCACTTTCCTTCCGAGGCAAGTGGGCATTGCGCGTGCAAATGTTGAAAAAAAAAAATTGGGCAACAGCTCATTTGTAAACATACAAATACATAGTGCATAACATGTGGAATATGGTCTTTGACGAAAAGTTTTATTCCTTGGAATCACCATGGGTTACATTGTTCAAGACTGCAGAACGCAAACAGCGCTCGATCTAAAAGTGCCATTGTTCTAATGTATGCGATACTTGCCTCTCTGCCCTCCTCTCCTTGGTCATGCGCTATCTATCGATTCACCCCCCCTCCCCCCCCCCCGCTTGCTTGGTCGCCCATTATCCCTACATCTTCGTGGATACCTCTGTTATAGGATGCAAATACCCTGCTGCGACGTACTCGGCAAAGCCCACATCATGTATCCTATCTAATTCGGGCACAAAGCAGGGCTCAAGTCAATCCACGTCTGCTGCCATCAACATTCCATCTCCACCATTATCACCCAACCTGAACTATGGTGGAGATGACGATGTGGACGATGACCTCGGATCATACGAGCAAAGAGATGATCGTGCCAGCAATATCTTTTCTTCTCGATACCACCACTACAACGTCGAGACAGATCTTTCAAGCCAAGATCAACTTCAGCACCAACAAGACAAACGATCGATCTTCTGTCGCTCGTCCTCTGCACCAGACCTGATGTTGCCGCTACGAAAACAATCCTCGGGCGGTACTCCTGCCGCTGTGGGGTTTACATTCTCAAGTAACCTCTCGGTGAATCAGCCCAAGGAAGAGCGTGAGAGCTATGTATGCTTATTGAACAAGATGGAGCAAGACTACTGGAGGAGCGTGTCTACAATTCGATCGACGTACTTTTTTGACGGCATCGGACGTGGTGGTGGATTCCTTGCTGTAAGTCGCATTGAGAGTGAGAGAAAAAAAAATACACTGGCAATGCAAATGATGTACTTGCTGCTAATCGACGTGCGCTTGTCCTTTCTGGTGGGAATATAACAATGTAGATTCCGCATCTTGCGTCGCATGGCAATGCCAAGACCAATGCTATCTGTCGCCTTCTTGAGGCTTGGTTGACCAAGAAACTGGTCGAGCCCACGATCTCGGATTCTATCCCGGTCCTCGAGGACAATATCCAGAGTTCAGTCCAGTCGATTGAGCACCACTTGAGAGCGGATCCCAAGGTTTGGGTGGGTATCTCTCAAGCGTTTATCCATATCCGATGTGGACACGTCTTCATGCTTGATGCCTGCTGTGATGATGAGACGATCGTGCACCTCGGTGCGGCCGAATTTTATCAGGATGTACGTGCCCGTTTTAATAGAGTCTTCTGTATTTTTAAACAGACTTTGCAGCACGCAGATCGTTAATGTGTTCAACCCTTACATTATTCACATAGTATCCGCTATTTGTGGATGTAGAGATCAAGATGCAGGAAGATCCCGCTCAGCAGCCAAGGAGACATCCGGCCGAGGTGTTGATTGCGTTCCAGAACGTCGTCAACCGCGACAAGGGACCTGGTGCGGAGCGACCATATGTGCATCGGATGCATGTCTCGGAAATATCGGCGCTGACCATCGGTGCTGGCACTGGTGCTGTGTTGAAAGATTGCACGAGCTCAACGCACCGCCAGTCTCTGGAGGGAGGCAATCGGCTCAGTCATTTTGCCTAGGAGCCCAATTGTTGTACATACAAGCAAAGTATTAAAGTATCAAAGTATTATATATCGAGTAATAAAGACAAAGAGTGTTTCGTGTACCACGGATATGCTACATCCGCTGCCATGTCGGTCTCCCAATTGAGTTTATCTGAGCTGCGGGCAGTGGAGGGAATGGAGGGAATGGAGAATGCAAAGCTGCGGGGACTGCTTTTACGTGGCCTTTATCTTTTTTAAAAAGATTCGCCAGTTGCACACTTCCATGACATCCATTCTCACCATCGCCCCTGCACTCCTTCGCAAAAACACCTCTCTTAGAATGACAATCTCCGCGAAGACCTTCATATCGAGCCTACCTAAAGACATCTCCCTCGACGATGACATTCAAGAATATCTCTCCTCCGTCATCGACGGACAGTCCTTTGCATCGATCACGGCTCTAAGGGAAGAAACCGAGCACTTCCTGGTCGACGCCGGCCTCGAGGATCCTGCCGCACTCGACTCCTTCTATACCTCATTGCAGCATCAGCCCACATCCGACAGCAACAGCACAACAAGCACAGCATCGCCATCAAACAACAATCTCGTCAAGGTCGATGCTGCCCTTGGAAACCTCTCTGTCGTGGATCAGGGACAAAACCAGGAGAGTGGTAACGAATCCAGTGGATCGAACGACAAACAACAGCAGTCTGGGACATCAACTGCCTCAAAGAAGCCCTTCAAGTCAAAACCTATCAAGATGTCTAAGGCCGCCAAAAAATTGGCCGCAAAGTCTTCCACTTCATCCTCACCAGCGCCATCAGAACCCCTCGGAACTGAACGAGACGCTTCACCTGGCATCGGCAAGGATGCCTTTGTGGGCGAAGGCGCAGTTGTGGAGGCGTATTCGCAGCAGTCGCGATTCCACGAGGAAACCATCGAAACACTTTCCAAGGAGGTTGATCTGAAGCAGGTCAACATCAACATTGGCGACCGACCCTTGCTCAAGGACGCTCGGCTCTGGTTCAAATCCGGCACAATGTACGGACTCATCGGACGCAACGGAACAGGCAAATCGACCCTACTCAAGGCGATCGGATATGGACAATTGATCGGTTTCCCGTTGAATCTCAGGACACTCTATATTGAGCAATTGCCTTCGGAAACACCTGAGAGCCAGACTGTGGTCGAGACTGTACTCAAGGCGGACACAGAACGAACACTGCTTCTTGCAGAATCCAACTTGCTTCAGCAGGCGATCAACAAGTACCCGAAGCAGCTAGTCAAGAGCATAAAGAAGCTGGACTGGGAGCGCACGAAGGTCAAGCTGGCTGCTCAACAAAAGCTCGCGATCCGCAGGAGTGGCAAGCGTGGTGCTGATGCCCGTGAAGAGCTGCTTGTTGTCGAGGCGGAGGAAAAGGCGGCACAGGAGGCCTTTGAAGCGGTGCCGATTGAGGGTGTAGAACCATCGCTCGAGATTTTAAATCAAGCGCACGAGATGCAGGAGGAAGTCTACAATAAGTTGCAGCAGATCGAGGCCCATTCAGCCGAGGCCAGGGCGCGGGAGTTGCTGCAGGGTCTCGGATTTTCGGCCGCAAACCAGGATCTGCCGATCAAGCAGTTCTCGGGAGGATGGAAGATGAGGATCGCTCTTGCGCAGGCCTTGTTCTTGAAGCCGGACTTACTCTTGCTGGACGAGCCGACCAAGTAAGGATTTTTTTTCTTTATATATTTTTATTGCTGTTTCATTGCTGGCGCGCCGTTCGCTGACATGCTTCTACCCTTTTTTATTCATTCACAACTAGCCATTTGGACTTGCCAGCTATCATCTGGCTCCAGAACTATCTCCTCGAGAACCTGAACGAGGATCAGACGATTGTGGTCGTCTCTCATGACCGCTCCTTTTTGAATGCAGTATCGCAGGAGATTATTCGCCTTCGTGATCACAAACTGGACTACTTCCCAGGCAACTACGATGAATACGAGATGAAGATTGAAGACAAGTCCAAGATGAAGGACAGAATCATTGCAGCTTTGGAGAAGAAGAGAAAGCACGCACAGGAGACCATCAACAAGCAGCGCGCCATCATGCACAAGACTGGAGATGAGAAACGCGGAGCTGTCATTGCCTCTCGTCAAAAGGTACGTCTGTGGTTCATTACTATGTGATTGTTCTGAGGATGACATTATCCATATCTTTCTCAAAAAACTAATACCCTTTCCCTTGTTTTCCTTCGTAGAAACTCGAGAGATTAGCAGGACACAATAAGACTGAAAGTGGACATCGTTTCAAGCAGTCTTACTACGCAGGCTATCACTTGGCAATGGGTATCGCAATCGAAAAAGAGGTTCCTGAACCGCCTGTGACAATACCTCTACCGATACCCAAGGAGCTGCGAGGCAACCCGACGACTTTACTTTCTCTTAACAATGTGACGTTCTCCTATCCCGGCGCTCCTGCCCGCAAGGCGGGCCCCGTGATCCAGAACGTCAGCCTCTCGCTTCACCATTCATCAAGGATTGCACTTCTCGGACCTAATGGATGCGGTAAATCCACAATCATGTCGTTGCTCGCTGGCGATGCAACTCCGACATCAGGAACTGTGGAACGGTTCTCGTCTCTGGTCAAGGTCGGCTACTTTTCACAGCACAATGTGGATAAACTGGACGGGTATGCGACAAAGTCGGCGATGCAGTATCTGATGGACACGTTCCCGGAAGAGTACAAGACACAGCCGATGGCGCGCAAGTACCTGGGATCGTTTGGGATTGCAGGTCAATCTGCAGTGCTACCGATGTCGACGTTGTCTGGTGGTCAGAAGGCGCGCGTGGCACTGTCGATCTGTGTCCATGGAGGTCCCCAGGTGCTTTTACTGGACGAGATCACGAATCATTTGGACATGGCGACGATCCAGGGGCTGATTGTGGCCCTAAAGGAGTTTTCGGGTGCGGTGGTACTGGTTTCTCACGACGCGTACTTTGTTAAGGCAGTATGCGAGGATGACAAGGACGATGAGTTGGCGGAGGAGGAAGACGAGGACGTGCTGAAGGCGCAAGAGGAGGAAGGGGTTGTGTACCGGGTGAAGGGCGGGAAGCTGATCCGACTGGAGGGCGGTGTCGATCAGTATATGAAGACTGTGGTTGCTGAGAACAAGAAGGGCATGCGCGGAGGTGCTGGTCGCCCCATCTAGACCTATTTCTTTGCCACTTGTATTTTTACTCTCTTTGCCACCAATAAAGTTGTTGACCAATCAAAAAGACTGGCGATGTGCTTCGCCCAAGTGTGAAAAGTAGGGATGACCCCTGGGCTACTTTCACTGGTCCTGTGTCAGTTTCATCAGGAATGGGTTTCTACAGTTCCAATCACGGATGAGAACAAATAGCTGTTGCGATACGAGGATGAAAAAAGTTCCTTTCTGGCCCAAGAAGTCAGAGAGAGAGAGAGAGAGAGAGAGAGAGAGATACTTTGGTCTACGGGTCAGCAACAGTCGCTTCCTGCTGTTGCAGTTGATGTTTGGTATTTGCTGTCGGGTAACAAAATCTAGGCTAGCAGGACCTCGGTTTAATGCATGGCCGATGACTTCCATGTGGTGCGTGTGTGTATGGTACTCTCATTCTGGCTTGCCCTGTTCTTTGTTATATAAATTGGAGGAGCATGTTGCTTGATAGTGAGAGAAGAAGAAAGAAGAAGGAAAAAGGAAAGAAAGAAAGAAAGAAAGAAGGAAGGAGGGAGATAAAGGGAAAAAGAAAGAAAAAGAAAAAGAAAAAGAAAAGAGAAAAAAAGGAACCACAACCCCACGTAGGTGGTGTCTTTGAGAGAAAAGAAAAGACGAGTAGCCGTAGTCGGATCAAACAGCATGTCCTGCTCTTTCCACTCTCCCTTTGCTTATCCAGTTGTACTCTCTTTGTTAATGGACTGAAGAGGAAAGGATCTCTTTTTTTTTTGTACTTTTGGTCCCCCCGACCCCACTTCGAGGTCCCATTACCGTTGCGACTGCCATTGCCACTGCCATTAACGGCCTAGACGACCGACCACCAACCCCAATACAACCCCCCTGATTTTTTTTTTTATTCGTTGCTGAGCCCACATGCATATTAAGCTTTTTTTTCTTACGTGTGCATGTCGTTATTCTTTGCTCCATCCTTTCCTTCCCCCGTCCACTCGTCATAGCCTTAGCCGCATCTGGCAGGGCCAAAAGTGAAAAAAGAAAGGACTCGTTTACGCCATCGACATATCATATATCACATATCATTTATCATTTATCAAACCGCCTGCTGCAAAACCCTGGTCCCGCAACTCTGCACGTTGTCTCTGTCGCTGTGCCTGTTACACTCGATTGTCTCTACTCCCCGGATACAAACATTTGCCCCATTGAGCATCGTCCTTTCTTTTTCCTTTTTCTTCTTTTTACTCCCCATCTTTTCCTCCCGCCTTCCCTTAATATCTCTCTCTCCGAACAATCGTCCTCAATACCACACCACATACCACAAGTCACCACTAAAAAAGAAAGACAGCACCTCTTTTTTTCCCCCCGGCTACTTGTCACCTGCCACTTGCCATTGCTCACTACCCTATACCTTCTCTTCGACCAATTCGGCCAATTCGACCAACTCAACAGCTTTTATTTAAAAGAAAAAAAAATACCCTTCTACTTCTTGCTGCTACACCTTCCTACACTAATAGCTCAGATTGGCCTGCGGAGCAACATCCAGATCACAATGACCGAATATGTACTGCCAGTCGTCTGCACAGTCAGGGTCATCTACACTTTTATGGCAAGAGAAGAAGGCGACCTTACTCTCAATAAAGGTAAGGAATTACTTTGGTCTCTGCTTCAGCACCAAGAGGTCCTTTGCCCTCGTCCTTGACGGAGTGAATGCAGCTCTGAATGAATAAATGAATGAGTAATTAAGCGATCAGCAGTGCTCATTCCCATGAACGCAGTGTGTAACCATGACCCTGACGTTGTTTGTACTACTTTTGTCTATAGGTGATATCATCAAAGTACACGATAATGGTATGGCAAAAAAAGCTCCCAGAGCGCGCCTAGCACAAATGACATGGAGACAAGTCGGATATCGCTATGGCATCCATTGCCGACGCACTGCTGGATGGGTTCACTAATGCATGGATATGTCTCTGTTTATCGATAGACGGTGGATGGTGGAAAGGCACACTGCTGCCTGACGGCATCTACGGCACTTTCCCTTCCAACTTTGTCGAAGTTTTGTAAGTTGCTCCCTCTTCCCTCTTCGAGGGGTTCCGTTCTCCACTGGACAAACCACATACTGTTCCGATAGCCTGCAAGAGCATAATTCCCCCTAACAGAGAATCTACATATATTCCGTAGGGATGAAAGTAATGGCTTCGTAGACAACCTCTTACCCCCATCACGGCCGCAGAGCCAGCAGCGACACCACTCTCGGCACAGCTCCGTCGACAGCTCAAAATTCACGAAGCGCAAGCCCGTCAACACCCAGCTAGCTAAGGCCATGAGCCCCATCGCGGCCAGTCAGCCATATGCTGCACCCACCACGAACGTGTCGAGTGTCTCCCTCGGTGGTAAGTGTCACCATCTCTTTATTGGCAAAGGCGTTCTTTGATGAACGCAATTTATGCACCTCTATAATTACCTAACGCGCGTGGTGTGTATATATGTGTGGATTCCATAAACGACAGCGCCGTCTCGAAAGAACCCACAGGCAATCATCGGGGACTCGGGTCTGTGCTCAAGCATACCAGGCGCTTTCCCAGAATCACTCAATGAACCACAAACATCGTCCACGGAAATCTTTAACAAGGCCGCCCCCAACCCAGCATACTCGGCAACTGAACAACGACGGCGGAACAGCACCCACTCAACATTGTTGAACCCATCATCTCCAAATGCTACTTTGTCGCCGCCAAAAGCCGCTGTTTCCAGACAAGTCTCTAACCGCTTTTCCATGCCCAACTTGGCTGGGGACGCACTGAGACAGCTTCAAACACCATCGCCGACACCATATAACGCATACAATGGCAGCCAGCCAGGAACTGCTGCATTTGTTTCAGGAACAATGTATCATCAGGACTCTAGCGAACAAGGAACAAGAAGTACTTCAACATCTCGTAGCGCCTCTCATTTGCCCCCAAAGCAGGACAGTCACCGCGAGCACAACCACTCGAGGGATTCACAGCATTTGCAGCCGGGGATGATGCCTCGCTCAACGGCAGAGTACTACTCCCAGCAATTTGGGCCCGATCAGCATGGACCTCACGTGGTCAACGGAGGCATTCATCCACAATATACAGCCGTTTCGCAACAGCCCATGCCACCCCACCAGAGCTATGGGGACTATCCGCAGCATCGGCCAGGCTACAGGCATAGCATCGCCAACATAGGCGAGCTCCCGCTTGAGCAAGTATTTTACAACCACGACCATTCGAAGCTATCGTCAGAGAACTTGGCCAAGCACAATTTGTCTCAAAACGCAATGGACCGACAAAAGCCGTTAGGCAGCCATGGTAGTCATGGGCGTAGTCGGAGCCAAGTGAATATGAGGCTCCAGGGAGCACCAATGTTCAATCCATACGACCATCAGCAGCAGCAACAACAACAACCGAAGGAACTGCCACAGCCAGAGCGACTTCGCAGTCCAACACCTTCGGCTTCAGTCCATCCACTGCCTGTCCCTCCAAGGGCTCCTAGTCCCTGCATCATTATCCCCCAATCTAAAGAAAAGTCCCAGCCGCTGTCTGCAGGGTATAGCGCAAAAACCAGCTCGCCTACAGAGAATTCTCCGACAGGCACTCCAGGCTCAGCCCAACACCATCGACTCCCTAATTCTCCTCCAGGACCCGGCACAACTGACCCTAGAAGGACAGGGACACAGACTAGTGCGGGCACATCCATGTCTGGGACATCAGCATTCGGTGGCAGAGAACTTCGAAGGAAGAGCGATACCGCAAGGATGCCTGTCAGTGCAACCATGACAGCATCTACGTTTACGGCTAGGAAATTCTCCGTCGATGCAAAAGGGGTGCTCGCCTCCGCTGCTCTCTCCACAGCAACAGCCTCTGGCTCTGGCTCTGGCTTTGGCTCAGGTTCAGGTTCAGGAACAGTACCAGAAGGAGGGACATCAGGGTCCTCGGAGGATGGATCTGAAGACCTTGAGTTTTCGGGAGTGTACACTGCCAAGAAGCCCAAGACGACGCTGGTCCGAGCATTCAAACAGATTATCAATCCCAAAAAGGTCGCCGAGAAGGACGCTCTCCGTAACGAGAAGGAGCATTTCGCGTGGCTCGAGATGCAGAAGAGTTTGAAGCGGGTCAGCTCGCCTGAGCCGGGCAAGGAGCGCTTCGATGGCAACTCAGAGGGCACGCAGGAACAGGATCCGTTTGAGGTGCTCAAGAGATGTCAAGAGGTGAGGGACGTACACCCCGGACCTGGACAGAGTGGCATGCTCGATTTTGGACCTAATACGTTTGTACAGGTCGACAAGGTCGCAAGGAATGTCAACCAGCGCGGACCACATATGACTCCGCAGCTACTCTCGCAGAAGTACCTCACGCGACCCTACTCAAAGTCGCCTCTGTCGAAGCTTCGAGTTCTGTTTATCTGGGTGAGTGAGAACATTCGACTGGAAGGAGGGCTCACGCGCGACGTCTCTGGTGGGAGGTACAAGCTGGGCCCAGGTGGCGAATATATGGCTGCATTGGCTTCATTGGCAAAAGGGAAGAATGGCAATGGGACCGGCGGCGAATCGCCTACCCTCCGCGCCGGAGCAGGGACCGCACCGCCATCTGTGTTTATGGCGGGTGTCGAGGAATACGCACGCAGTTTCTTGAAGGAGGATAGGCCCGAGCTGGTACAGGATGTCCTTGCGACTCGGACCTGCAAAACTGGAGAGGGCTTTGCGAACCTGTTTGCGGAGATGGCGCTTGCGGCTGGAATTGAGGACGTTGGCGTAGTCAAGGGATACATCAAAGGACCCATGGATGTGTTCTCGAAGGATGTGCCTGCACCGAACCATGCCTGGAATGTGGTTCGAATCGACGGGACCTATCGGTTCATCGATTGTTGTCTGGCGTCACCATATCACCCTGCGCATTACCCGAATCGACCTCAGACAGCCTCTTCGTTTTATTTCCTCACGTCGCCTCTGGATATGGCGCTGTCACACTTCCCAGTGTTCCTGACGTACCAGTACATCACGCCGTCAATCCCTCCGCAGATCTTTTTGCAACTTCCATTCGTGCGACCGGCGTTCTTCGATTTTGGACTGAGTCTGCCAGACTTCAAGAGAAGGACGAGACTGGAGATCAAGGACGACGAGCCCATTGAGGTGATGGTCCGAATCGATGGAGGCGGTGTTGCCCATGGCTCGATGAGCGGCGCCGCTGCTATTTTTGCACAGGGATCCGGAATAGTTGGGTCTACAGGACATGCGGCGGGACTCTTTGGCAGCGAATGTCTGGGGAGGGGATGCGGAGAAGGCGTTGAGCTGAGAGCTGAGGTCGAGGTCATGACCACTGACGGTAAGGTCATGCGGAAGCGTGCGCTGGCTCAGGTCATGATCTGCAGTCCATATCAGCTGCCGCAAAATGCTGTGAGTCGTCCTCAACAGGGTCATCTACGACAAGGATCGGGATCATCGTCATTCAGCGCCTCTAACGGCACGGGAGGTAGCGGTAATGGTACCAGCATTGCTCCTGCAACGATTGCGGCGGCAAGTAACCGACCATATCAGTCCCACCACTGCACGGGTATCAGGATCGCCAAGATCAAGGCAGTTCTGCCTACAGAGACAGTTGTCGGTGCTGGAGGAGTCCGTAAGGGAGTGCTACACATTTATGCCGGCCGTAAGGTTGAAAGTGTAAGGATTCATTTTATTTTCTGTAACTGCCAATGGCACTCACTTGAATGTAATGGCCAGTCGCTCATAATATTTTTCTGCCATCAAAAAAAAAAAAAAAAAAAATAGGCACCAAGCAATGCGAATCCGTACTCCTTGGCTCTAACGCTGCCTGTTCGCCATACTGGCAGCATGTCGAAAGCACCGTTCAGCCTTGTGGTTCCACATTTTTCGCCCTACGAGTTTTATATCAAGGCACCTCAGTCGGAGCTACTGTATTACCCCCACACGTACAAGTTCTGCGTGCTGTCCCTTGCGGCACAGGCACAGGCCACGCTAGCGTCGGCAAGCACGGTCGCAGTAGCCGATACGGAGCCCCAGTTCCCGATGATGGCCGGTGCGAATGCGGGTGCGAATAATTCTACGATCTCGAGTGGATCGGGCAATGTGATAAGTCCACCTAGGCATACGCGATCCGGTACTGGAGGCGGGTCGGTTACGGGATCGTCGTCGTTGAATCCGCAGTGTAAGTCTCAGCAGCAGCAACAGCAGTCAAATGGAGCGGGTGGTACCTTGCGGGGCCCGAGCGCACAGACATTAGCCGGGCCATCGCATTCGACCTTGGCGAGCGGTACAGGCACAATCCGAGGCGGCAAGAATCATCATCCGTACCAAAATGCGCAGCATTATCAGGTGGACTCTTCGACATCCATGGCATCCGGGGCATCTTTGTTGAGCAATGCTGGAGTGGTCTCTGCGAACGGTGGTAGTGGAGTTGCGGTTCCGAGACCGGAGAGATTGGTGCTGAGGACGCAGACAAACCGGGTTTATAGGCTGGTGTATAATCCGGTGCGACAGTGCCATGAAGCCGAAGTTGAAGTCAAGGAGAGGGGAACCTGGGAGTGTGTGCGGATGGATGATGGCGGCAAGAGTCGGGTGGGTAGGGAGGGCACCGGGGGAGTGGTGATTGCTTCGTGGAGATGTATTTAGCGCTGCTAAATCTACTATATACAAAAGCAAGCGAGTCTACTATATACCAAACCTTTTCACGTACTCGCAAAGACTCTTTATCCACATGCAAGTCGAAATTTGGATAGAGGATGCTCTGTCATGTCGCGTAGACCTTTCTCTCCCTCATAGACTCGATGGACTCGAGAGCCAGAAAAATAAAAAATAAAAAATAAAAAAAAACTTTTCCCTGTCATTCTCTCTCATCCACTCTCTCTCTCTGTCTGTCTCTATCACCGCCGCCTAGCACCATCCTACTCTGAAACCCTTACAACATGCTCGAGTGCGAAAAGCGCAAGAAAAACCACGACCGCCAAATCTACTACGCATGCCCGAAAAGGTATTTCATGTCACCATATCGCTCGCTCATTTCGCACAGCAACAACCACAGTGGCCACGATTTATTGGGCTTGAAAGCTCCATGAACAATTTGTAAGTGGCAGCCATTCTGCCTCTGCTTGCCTTGTTTGTTGTATTAATAATATGCCTTCTGACCACGTATTCCTCTGAATTGGACGCAGATACTACAGTGAGCCATGAAAATAAAATATACTATGGTCATGCCCACGCTTGGACAGAAAAAAAAAGACCGTGGTACAGTACCTTCTTTTTTTTTTCTTTTTTTTGCTCTTTGCGGAGCAAATTGTTTCCAACTGAACTCGATTGTCGTGAATGAAGATATTTTTTATTTGTAGTATCAATCATGACTTTGAGGATCCAAAGCCTGCAAAGCCCATCATGGCTGCCATGGCCGGGTCCATGCCTCCGTCATCCAACGTCTCGTCTGTCTTCTTTTCATTCTTCTTTTGTCTCTTTCGCTCCCGTTTCTCTGCCTTTTCCCGATCCTCCTGTCGCTTAATCTCTTCGAGACGAGCATCGAGATCATACTTGTCCTTTTGAGGGGCCTCTGCTTTCCGTTTCATGGACTCAAGTTTGGCAATGACATCGGTCACATCCTCCCGTACGGCCTTTGTGTTGACGCCAAGGTTCTTGAGATGTTTCTTTCCATTCTTGTGATCCATATATGCGGCACTGTCCTTGAGGACACAATCGCAGACTTTGCAATAAAATCCCGGAGCCCTTCCTGTGGGACCGCCCTGGACGACTTGGGTCTTTCCGATGGCGGATTCGAGGATGAGGCGTTCGGATTTCTCGGCGGCGATAGCCTCTTCTGTCGGCGCTGATTTCGAAGTCTTTTTCTTGGCGGATTTTCCTAATGGGTGTTCCGAGAGGAGAACGGAGGAGGCGCTTTGTGCTTTAGTCAGGGATGAAATAGATTCAAGTTTTACAGGAAAAAAAAAAGAATATCCTGTCTTTGAATCCAATGGACGACCCTATTACCTAGTGCACGCAGCTCATCGTCTTCACGAAGTTCTTTTTCTCGTTGAGCTCTCTCCTTGGCACGCTTTTCCATCTCTTCCATGTCCCATCGTCCAGACTTTTTCGCTTCCTGGAGAGAAAAGTATATGAGCGGGAGAAAACAGGTAAGGGATGAGCAAGCTGGTTTTGAGATTCGAGTAAGAAACAGAGGGATGCATCGCTGTAACCGGAGTGACTTACGACAATGCCATAGGCACCTTTCTTTTGACCGGATGACATTGAGGGATGTGATGTGTTGGTTTGTGGGGGGAGGAGAGGGAGTTAAGGCAAGAGAAACGATCTAGAAAAAAGGTTTATATGACAGCAAGGGCAAAGCTACTCAGCCTGCCGGGTCCAAAAGGGCACACGCAGAAAAGCCCCTCAATAAGACTCGCGCACACACACACACACACGCACACAGCCCCAGTTCTGGGCGTGGTACAGAAAATACAAAGACTCCCCTGCCTCCCCATCCCCTTCATTCCTATCCATCACCTCCATCAGAAATGGCAACCCATACACATTCCCCAACCACAGAACCAGACCCCGCTCGAATCCAGAGCTCAGACTCGACTCCAGACCTTCCTCATGCCACGTCTTCTCGCTTCAGTAGCTCGCCTATCTCGACCGCGGACTCGTTTTCTGAAGAGACAAGCCTTCAGACGATATCCACAGAATCCACACCCAAGTCCGAAACCGATCCTGAGCACAGAGAAACCATAGCCGCGACAATCGCTGGAGAAGGCGGTCTTGAGCGGACGGACTGCGGGAGTGCGGATTCGGATCAGGGGTCCACGACTCAAACGGCGAGCGAGGAGGACGAGGACGAAGAGGATGAGAAGGAGGAGGAACAGTTTGGTGGCGACGGTATTCAAGGAGGGCGTCCTCTTTTGGTGGCCCAATGGATGGCGAGTTTGGGGACACCAACTGACAAGGACTATGGATTGCATACACGGACCCCGACTCGCTCCCGAAGAGGTGGCAGGACGATCGATCATTTCGCAAGACGAACGACGCGATCTACCTCTAGTCGGCCAGAGCCCGATGATTTGCTCGCGTACCTGAGGAAAAAATCCGATATCGACACGGGCGAGGAACCGGGTGATACAGAAGGATTGATTTTCGAGTCTAACAAAGCCGAGTTCTTGAACGAGGACGGTGATGAGGAGGAGGATGGGGATGAGATACCGCTACCAAAGACGCCTAGCAAATCCAGACCCCCTTTACGGGATCTCCAGGCGACCATGATGAGAGAGTCACCGAGGACACCAGGATCATGGCTGGATCGATGGAAGTATAATATTATCATGACCCATACGACAATGAAGCCGCCCACCATCTTGACAGAGAAGGAGATTGATTCCGTGGAGGATGATGATGAGGAGTCGACACCGTTTGAGGACTCTACAGAAGCGGGATTGATGACACCGACACGGAAGTGGACGAGGCAACCTCGCGAGCCAGATCTGGCCCGGTTGCTGGCTACAGATACGAAGGCCGAGACAGATGAGACATCAGATGATGATGTCGAGAAGGTGAACGAGTCCCTTGGACGGAGGATGAAGCGATCCATTGCCGAAGACGAGGATGTAAATGATCTTCAACAAGGCCAGGACGACAAAGTCGGGAAGGGAGATGACGAACACGAGGCGTTCGCGGGAATGAAGAAGCTACCACGACTGGATTTCAAGTCCCCGAGACGGATGCCGATGCCGATGCCGATGCCGATACCACTGGTCGAGCTTCAGGAGCTGAGCTCCTCGGATTTACATACACCGCCGCGGAAGGTACTTGTGCATAAGGACCTTTCAATGTTGAAGCCGCCGCCGGCACCAAAGCTTTCAGGAGGGAAATTGCCTATGTACAGTCCGCATGATAACTCGTGCAGTCCGAGCAATCGTCGACGCTATCGTGTTCCGTTGGATGTTCCGCCCCTGCCCATGCTGTCTAAGCCATCCTGAGCGGGGACCATGAGTGCCGACCCTTCAATGATCGACTTTGCTATTATTGAAACACCTCATCCTATCCCTTGGCATTGCAAATATAGACACTCCAGTCGTAGGGCAAAAAAAAAACACCATATTAACATTGATGAACGGGTTATCATGTCTGTGTCTGTGTTTTTGGATGCAAAATATGAAATGCTAAAACAGAATTCTTGGCGCTACATGCCATGGTCCACAAAAAAAAGAGCGAGAGTGAGAGAGAGACGCGTCAAAATTGACTGGACCACAATTTTATCCATACAAAGACCACGACCATACTAAACCAGTGGCTCTGCCATCCTCTACACAGCCTGGCCCCTGCACTCGCACCACGCACTGTCAGTATCCTAACCTGCTCTCGATCGCCAAAACCTACGCCTCCATCGCTCGATCCAGTTTCATTTTTGCTACTAACCGTTTTCGCGATCCCAATCCGTCCCCGACCCTCCATATCGTAAACGAGATACAACTCCCATAACCAGGTATCCCCCAAGATCCAATAGTTCGCATCCGGGTTCTCAAAGATCAGACTCTGACACCTTCCGTCTTTGAGTGGATGGACCAGACTCTCGTACGACTGGACGATCCCGTGTTCGGAGGTGATCCACCAGACAAGATCGGGTCCCGTACATGGCAAGAACCAAATCAGGTAGAGCGGATCCCAAGTCCCGGAAAGATGGTGGTGGATGACTTTGGAGGCCACGGTTGGGATGAGGAGTGAAGAGGTCCCGCTGTCGAGGATCAGAGGTGCGTCTTGGAAGAGGCTCTGTTGGGGTTACATTTTTGACCCACTGTTAGGGCTATCGGTATTGTTGGATATGAATGCAGCGCGGTCTCGGGAACGGACGCCTAGGCCTTGAAGAGAAGAGAGATCTGCCAAGAGACCAGATCCGTCACGGGATTGTAGATCAATTCACCCGTATATTGTTCACGATCGATTTCACCAAGAAGAACGATCCCGCCGTCATGCTCGAGGTGCATGGAGATCACGGGTTGGGCCAACGAGCCCCTAGTCAACCAGTTCCTGAAGAAAAGTTTTCCGACCCGTGGGGGGTGCGCGTGCGAGACCGAGGAGGCCCGAGATCTGACCGTCGTAGCCCTGGACGAGGCCAAGGTTGTCCTGTGCGACATCCAGGAAGGCGACCATGGCGCCGTGCCCTGATGGCGGGTTGGGGTTGAGGTTGAGGTTGAGGCTGGGGTGAAGGGGTGGACTGTAGATCTCGCCGGCGGGGGTGGGGTCGATTTTGGATGTGGTCCTGGACAAATGTACCGGCACCCCCAGGATCCGTCGACGTGGGTTTGGTTATAGAGACTGGTCCAGGGATTGGTGGCAGCGACCGAGTCTCCTGGAGGCGCTGGTCCTGCTGAGACGGGTAATTTGACACGGCTCCAATTGCTATTGCTGCCATTGCTGCTGTTGCTGCTGCTGTTGCTGCTGTTCGTATTGCGACTAGAAAGCCCGAGGGTGTCTTCGATTTTGGCCGCCCCAGGTTCGACGATCTGCAATGTCGTTTTGGACGACTCGGCGCGTTCACGATGGTTCGGCGGTGGGATCTTTAAAGACTTTACCTTCAAGATCTCCAGAAACACTCCCACGCCGCTCGATGCCGCTTGTCCAGCTCTATTGTCTTTGTCCAGTGGACCGAACGTATCTCCTTGATGTCGATGTCCTGCAACGACAATGTCTTGCATCGCCAAGTTATTCATCACAGCTTCATGGCTCCGCATCCCTCCTCCTCCCTCGCTTGCTGCTCCATCCATCCTATTCGTTCCACCGTCCAAAGTAGCTTCGCCTACACCTCTGAGATCGACACAGGTGATCGAGTTTGCGCATGAGAAATGGGTAAGGTTCGGACACTCCTGCCCCTGGCACCGATCCGAAATAACGAGTGCCAGATCGGAGCCCGTACCGAACAAGGCGGCGATCCGCTGAGGTGGACTACCAATCAGGATATGTCCCGCATAGCCGACCCTGCCAATGGTCAAGACTGGAACCACCAATGAGGGAGGACTACGTCTCTGGAGTGTGGTGTCTGTATGTGTCAGCCGGTTCAGGGGAACTCGTACTGTTCCAGGAGTGGGTAACTTTTGAGTATTCGCAAGTGCTTCTGAGGAAGATAAGGATGGTGGGATGGAGTCGACGCAGGATGGTCCGTGGGGGCTGAGGAGGAGGAGGAGGAGGAGGAGGAGGAGGAGGAGGAGGAGGGAAAATGGATGGCATAGTATCTATAGACAGAGTGTCCGTCCTAATGAGAACGTAGTGGAGACTAAAACGGTGCCTGCTCGGCGAACAGTTGCTGAAGACATGAAATCGAGTATTCTGGCTGCGGCACAAAGCAATCAAGCAAGTAAGCAAGCAAGCGGCCTGTTGCAATCTGTCTGTGGATATCGGGTCTGCTTGGTGCTGAAGACAAGATCGCAATTTACTGCCGATGCTGACGATACAGCACGGAAAGGTCATCGTTTGTCCTTGGCCGCCGCGCGACAACCAAGGGGACCAGTCTGGGGTCTTCTCCAGGGACAAGTAACGTCGCGACGACAGTAATAGGAGACAGTTACCTCAGTCAGTGTTATAGGTGTAAATGCATCGTACGTGTAGTCATCCGTTCTAGCAGCAGAACAACTCGCAATTTCGAGCGAATTTGAAAAAAGGAAGGACGAGCGAGACCTGGCGCAACGCGGACCACGTTCCTACACTACAGATCTTGATCCTTAAGCTGGTCGGGGGGGGGGGGTCAGGATTCTCGAACCTGAGGGTGGTGTGCGTACAAGGCGGCGGTCGCCAAGCGGGACGATGGCAACGCTACTATTTGCTTTGTTTGTCATATTAGCAACAATAAGATAACAGGACGGAACTGCTTGGAAGAGCGCCTGAATCTTATGAGCATATGATGGGGGGTAACTCGATACAACGGGAGCTGAATAGGCAGGTGCCCAGGTGGCTAACTACAAATAGCAGGCATGCTCCGGGCGCGCGCGTGTATGCCGCGTGTAATTGGGTGGGCGTTGACCGATGAGGGGATAAGAGGATAAGAGGACGGCCTTCCGAGCGATAGTTCAAAAGGGATGGGGGGGGAGGGGATGAGCATGCGCTCTCTCAAGGGCATTAGCAAGCATGTGTAACACCGTTTGAAAAGTTGCAGTTAGGGATGGCGTGCTTTATTGGGCGCCCCCTCCCCCTTCCATGATGAACAAAGGTTGAAAACGCTCTCGCATAGACCTTAACCTTAGTTCCCCCTACGCATGTACGCGTCAGTACTTTGGCTGTGCAAAGGGCTGCTGGGCTAATCCAGCAGGCCAGGGCAGTTGCGCATTTCGTCAAGGAACCGGTTCAACATCTTTGCGTTTTTCATATGATTTTTTTCCTCCTTCTTTTTCAAATGTTAAAGAACAATCAGAATCAAACCACTGAACGCTTGAATGGGGCCCCTGAACCGTGGGTGATTTTTATATCGTTTCTCTTCCCCGGTCTATGGCATCGCCCAGTCCGAAACAATTTTTTTTTTTTTTGCTAGATTTGAATCCCTGTCGCGAAAACTATTTCAGATCTGGTCTCCAATACGTTTCAAGAACGTCGATGGGGCAGCCATCGTCATTATGTCCTTCTGTCTCATTACCCACCGTATCTACGATAATCCACTCTGTTCCGTTCGAGCCCCTGGTCTTTGCAGACACACGGGTCTTATGTCGCTGTTGAGCATCCTCCACAAAGGCGACCATTGACTTCAGCGCCTTATCAGCCATGGGCAGGAACTCGAAAAATTGGTGGACATGGACCATGTCCCGGTACAGTTCTAGTCTCACTCTCTCGTCCGGGTTCGCTTGACCCAGCTTGTGGGCGTACAGTCGCGTGTCATCCACCAATCGATCGAATGTTCCCGTTTGCTATGAGTAATTAATTTCAAGAAACGGATGGTCAGGGTTTTGTCCGGGATGGAGGGGTAAGTTTTAAGCGGTTACCACATCTACGTACCAGAAGGGTGCTGCTCTCTAGTCCGGAAAGGTTCGCAGTGTAAACGGGCGACACCAGGGGATGCTGTGCCAAATGTCGGTACCATTCCCATTCGAGATCCTTGCCTCCAGAGTTTCTTTCATTAGGAAACAGATCAGAGTCACCACAGAGATAGGTCCTTGCAAAGTTGAACTATTGTGCACAATCAGCATCAGTATCAGCATCAGTATCAGCATCAGTATCAGCATCAGCATCACAGGATCAGCATCAACATTAGATCTTAATAGCCCGACAAATACGGCCATGTGCCCATTGATGTTGTGCAACGCACCTTGGGGAAGGAGTAAAATTTTTCTTGACTAGCAAAGGGATTCACGCCCATTGGCGAGGGTGTGTAGCAGTACGAGTGACGGCTTGTCGCTGATGGCATCGAGGTGGAGATGTCTGTCCAGGCCTATGCGAGACAAACAAAAAAAAAATATAAAAATAAAAGTATGGGTTTGAGTACCTGCGCTCAACGGCAATAGCAAGAGGCGCTATCAACCAGATGTTCTTACAGAGATCAGAACGGTGGCCGGTGGAACTATGGGCTTGGGCTCGACAGAAGGCTGGACGTAGTCTCTCAGATAAAGCTGGAGTCCAATGGCGACTCCCGCGCCTGCAGAGTCACCAGCGAGAACAATGTCCTTTGGATCAACTGGCGTCGTATGATGTGCTCCTCTGAGTCCTCCCCGGCAGAGTGTGATGGCTTCATGGTTCGGTTGGGTGAGATAAAGGTAGGCAGCGTATGCATCGTGGATTGCTGCTGGGAACGGGTCTTCGGGCGCCAAACGATATTCCATCACGAAAGCCCTTGCGCCAGGACCGAACTATGAAAAAAATAAAAAGAATAAAAAAATAAAAAAAGGTCGCAAACGTCCGTTCAGTAGGCCATTGAGTTAACGGTATCAGAAGCTATGGCAGGTTCATGTCTACTGCAGGGAACAGGTATAGTCCAAGGGGTACTCACCTCAAGCAACATCCTTGTGACAAGCTGACGGTGAAATTTTGCAGAACAAAACACATGTCCACCGCCATGTGCATACAGTACGACGACATTGCTCCTCTTGGCTTCTTTGTCATCGTTCGGCAGGTGCGTTGGATCCTCTAGTGCTTCGATCCACTCGCCCTTCATGGTGTACGTTCCATCCATGTCCAGAGGCCCCGATTCCTCCGGCAGATTTGGGATCCGACCCGTCTTATCTTCATCTGGTAGGAACGATGCCAGATATTCCGGTGAAGGGTTTGATGGGTTCTTTCCACGATGACCTCCATTGTGGCCCAATTCCCTCCTGGTGTAGAAGAGAGTCTTCCGTTCCGGTATGAGTAGAGTGTCCAGATGGACCTTGAAGCGAACATTAGGGTCGAACTTGTAGTTGGACAGATGCAGCATTCTCAAGGGTATGAACCAAGAGATGATATTGCTGACCATGCGAAGCTGTACGACGTTGTACACTGCACTCGAAGACGCACGACTCATGGCCATACAGAAAGAGAATATTGGGCCCCATGAGATTGGATGGCGCTCAGAGTTGACAGAGAAACGCGTCCATATGAGGAAGGGGATATCAAGAACAAGCATGCACACAGCCGTCCAAACACAAGAGCCCAGCCCTCCGAGCAGGAAGGCTGCGTCGATGGGTCGATGGAGTACGCCGGCGAGGTACAGGCGATCACTGAAAGTTGGAGCCTTGGGGCCGGAGGAAGGAAAGGATTTTGCAGACTTTTGGCTTGACGGCTTGCGAGGCAGCACATCATCTTTGTACTCTCTTGGTTCTGGCGGCATTTTGGTGGGGAAGGATTGGGGTGCTGTTGTGATGGATCAAAGTCCAAAGGGCGGATGAGGGCTATCATCATTTTTTATACGTTTTCCTTGCAGCCACCCTGTGAGTTGCCAGCACCGCTCCATGGTACGTAATTAGCACAGGTCGGGTACAGATGCATGTGAAAAAGAAAGATATACCGTAGCTGGTATCGGTGTGCTTGGCAGACTGAGACAGGACAGTGACGAGGGGCCATGCAGCAAGCACGAATGACGTCGGTAGTGTCTGCCAAACAGCTGTTGATTCTCAGGAGAGGAGCAAAATGGGCTTGGTTGGGGCGGAGATAGCGGTCCTGCAGCCGGGGCAAACTGGTGGCTCTGCTGGGTCGCATGGATAGTGTTAATGAGATAATGCAGGCATCATGAGTCTGTAGTATGAATGGAGTAATAAATCTTAGTCATGGATAATCCATCCACTGGCTGCTGGAAGATCGTCAAATGCGATGTCTCCCCCCTCCCCTCCCCATGGGCACGTGCGGACTATGGCTGCATAAAAAAAAAAAAAAAAAAAAGACGCGTCGTGTCTACGCGCTACGAGGACTACGGGGGATCTTCATCTTACTGGTGGTCTGCTCTGCTGCTCACCCCTAGAAAGTTGTTTGGAGATCCCCTCCCAATAAGAGACGCTCGCTGACGAGAGGATTTTCCGAGTGGCTCAATCGCCCCCTATCAAAACGCGGCCTTTTTTTTTTTTTTTTTTTTTTTTTGTTTAGAGTACCGCTGCTGTGATTTCCATTTTCAGTCAAACCGAAGTCCGGGGTCGATTCAGGGCAGCTGAGCGTCTGAGTTCGCGATGAAGAAGATTGAGAGAGGGAAGAGCAGAGCATGCAGTGGGGCCGCTTTTTATCTTGTCTGTCCAGACCAGCAGCGATGGTACATGTCCAGCAGAGAGAGAGTATACCAGCGTCTCGCGTGGCAGAAGGTTCAAAAATAGCGAGGTTTGGAACAGCCATTGACCACCCGGATTCGAAACAGAGTTGTGAGGGGGAGAGGCGGATGCATGCAACTCAACTCAAGAAGGAAACACGGAGGGAGTCACAGATGATGACCATCAGCAAAGATAAAAAATAAAATAAAAATCGAGCTGGGCCACTTGGGCAGCGCTGCGGAGCGTCTATTACGTGCTCATTCCCTTTCCCTTTTGCTCTGACGCCCCGTGTGCCATCCGTCGAGAGCAATTGAGCCATCTGTGGAGTCGACGAATGCGATGCATGGGTTGTACAGACAGCAGTCCACACACAGTGCACCATGCAGCCGGATGAACTCGACGCATTGATGCGGAGGAAGGCAAGGACGGCTGCTCCAGGGATACATGTATACATGTCTAGAATATGCGGCAACACACCCCTCCATCCTTTACAGACCGATACACGCTGGTGGGGAGGAGGAGGAGAAATGCGTGTGAGGGCGAGAAGAGGAGGCAGTCAGGGGACGCATTTGAATGGTTGACTGGGCGGGCTGTGTTGAGGCCGGGGGAGGGGAGGGGGGGTAAAAAAGGCCTGTGCCTGTGCCTGGATGGTGGTTGCCCTTCTGCCCTTTCGCTTAGCCTTGTTTGCCACGCTCGGTTGCCACCAATGTCGCGTCGACAGTCTTTGCCCCCCTCACCCCTGCCGCCAGCCGGGTGCGGCAGTCCCTGGGGAGAGCGGGCGAGGGAGGGGTGCGCATGGGCTGAAGCAGAGGAGGAGAGGGGGGAGACAATCGAGAGCGAGAAGGCGGGAAAGGGAGAGGAAAGGAGAGGGAGGGAGAGAGGCCCAACCCCGGTATTCACATCAACTGTGCACAGTATAGGCCACACACACACACACACACACACAGGTCGCACCCTTCCCTGCTCCCTGCTCCCTGCTCCTTCCATGTGGCCGGCTGCAGCCAATCGCAGGAGCCCATTAACACTCCCACCCATCCCTATATATCGACATATACATATATATCACACATCTCGACCCAGAGGACCCTCTTCCTTCCATTCCATTCTCTCATTCCCTCATTCATTCATCCCCTCATTCTTCAAAAGGGGCCCCTTATTTCTTCCTCCTCCTCTTCTCCATCTCCTCGATCCATTGGAAGCCCAAAGCACATCCCCCCTCCCGCCGTCGCATTCCTCACCCCCATCCATCCTACTCTGTCCACTCCACTCCACTCCTCTCCACTCCTCTCCACTCCTCTCCACTCCTCTCCACTCCTCTCCACTCCTCTCCTCTCCACATCCGAACCGAAAGGAGCGCCACCATAAACCATGTCCACCGAACAGCAGAAGGAGCGCCAGCGGGTCACCAAAGGTAAGGCCACAGCTGAACTCCCCCTCGTCCTCGTCCCCCCTCCTTCTCTCTTCTCCCTTCTTCATCCAGATCCGAACAGGGGTTTATTTGTTTGTCCGGCTTTGCTCATTTAAGTCCATATCCGAGATCTGTCCCTTTCGCCCGATTTGTTTTTTCTACTTTGTCCCACAAGGATCCGAACCATTGGCCCATGCTCTAATGAAGCGGGGGGGAGGCGGGATGGGAGATATGGCGGTCGACGGGGTGCCCGCTTGGCCGGGGCCATCCTTCCGGCTTCGACTCTTGTATCTTCGATATTAACGAACGCTGTTTTTGCTCACATTGGTTCTTTCTAGCCTGCGACAATTGTAGAAAGTAAGGTTTGGCGTCTGCAATCCTTCCCCGGAGATCATGATGGAGTGTAATGCATGCGTGCCGCTTTGCCCGTTTGGGATACATGTTTATACTCATCCGTAACTCATCTCTCTATTGTCGACTCGGTTGAATTCCATGCCCATTTCTGCCTGTACCCAGGAAAAAAATAAAATGTGGTAAGTTCAGGGTAATAAAAAAAAGGGTCCCCCTTGCTGCGCTCTAGGCCATCTCGTCATACGAGAACAGGCATTCAAGGGGAACACAGAAAGGACCAAAGAACGAGAGTGTGGTCCAGACCGCTGCCGGTCAGGCATTCTCCATCCCTTCTTCCTGACTCATGCTTGCAAAAAGGTCGAGTGGGTGGTTGAGAACCTTATCTTAAAAATACTTGCTTCCAAAAACCATTTTTACCATAGATGCCAAAGGTGATACATGCACGAGCTGTGAACTCCTCAATATTCCATGTAAGTGTCGGGTCCTGTCCCCCTATTCTAGATGCCCTGTTTGGCGTTACTGTATCTAATTGCTAAGCATTATGTTTGTTTTTATTTTTATTTTTATTAGGCTTGTATCTAGATCCGACAAAGAAGCGAGGGCCACCTAAGGGGGCGGGACGTATGTGCAGCTTTTTTTGCAGCGCATCAGCATCTTCTTTTGCGATAGCGCGAATTCTAACACCACACGCTTCACCTTCATTAGGATACATCAATGCGATCGAGGATCGTCTGCACCGGATGGAGGCCATCGTAGGAGGACTCGTACGCGATGATGATCCGCTTTCACACACAGGCGACGAGTTGCGAGCCCTCTTGAACGTCTCGTCATTGAGAAGCCGGGGCTCCAGGGATAGTTATCACGAAAATCAGACCCCGGACCCACTCTCTCGCCAACAGTCACCCTTCCTGCAGCATACCAACCGTCCCAAACTGGATCACCAGCATCACCCGCCTCCATTACATGGCTATACGGGCATGATGCAACATGGAAATCAACAACATCGGGTGGCCCAATACCTTCAGCAACAACAGCATGCATTCACTCAGCAACAACAACAATATCCAGCGCAGCTTGTTCAAACCCCTGACGTGGGCTCTCAATCCCACTCGGAGGGGTTCCCGCAAACCATGGACTCAACCCGCCCCGGCCCTCTCCATCGCGACCTCATCAGGGAAAACAACTTTACATCCTTCAACTCTCCCTCACCTGTCCTCGGCTCCGAAAGTTCTGTCGGCGACTACGTAGAGTCACCAACGTCTTCCGAAAACCTGCCGACGCTGGGACTGAACACGCCCCCCGTCCAAGAGATTGAGGATCTGGAGGATGATCTGGGACACTTGACGTTGGACCAGCTTGGTCGTGAACGCTACGTGGGCAAGTCGTCTCCCATGTTTTACGGCCGTCGACATTACGGGGGGCAGCACTCGCCGGAAGCGGAGAAACCAGAGGCGCTCAAGTTCATCGAAAACCTTGACTTGCCATCACCAGAGGTTATGACGCACCTTTTGAATCTGCACTTTACCTACGTCCATCCATCTGCACCGGTCGTTGTATGGTCAAAATTCCTCAAGAGGTTGAAGGGCCGCGACTATACGCCTTCGTTTCTGTTCCTGCTTAACAGCATCTTTGCCCTGGCATCCAGATTCTCGGACGATGTCTCACTCCGAAAGAATCCAGCCAAACCCGAAACGGTCGGAGTTCACTTCGCAGACAAAGCCAGAAAGATTCTGGATACTCTTTATGACTCGCCAGATATCTACTGCGTGGGAGGGCTAGTTCTACTCGCTTTTCAGCAGATGGGCACCGGCAATGGATATCGATCATGGATGTATGTAGGAATCTCTATCCGCATGGCTCAACACCTGGGACTGAACCGAAACTGCCAGAAACTTAACCCCAACATGCCTATCGTGGATCGAGAGGAGCGTAACAGGGTTTGGTGGACTTGCTTCATGGGCGATCGAATCCTTGCGGCCTCATTTGGTCGTCCACAGGTATGGCTGCATTTGAAATTTAAAGCCAAAAAAAAAAAAAAAAAAAAAAAAAAAAAAAAAAAAAAAACCTAGAGCATGCTGCACTCAGCGGAAAGCTGATAACGATTAACATTTGTTCATATCTTATAGGGCATCAATGAGCATGATGTCGATGCGACTTACCCAGAAGGAATCGACGAGGAAAACATCCAGCTCGAATACAGGCTTGAGGGCGCAGCCTCGATGCTTACAGGACCTGTGCCTGACTCGGAAAAGAATTTTGTCCACATGGCGTCGTTGATGCGGATCTTGGGAAGAGTCATGGTCAGTCTCTACAGTCCGCTATCCAGGGCCTCGTCAAAGTCTACGACATCTATGACAAATCCTGCACCACTAGAGCAGCTTGACAAGGAACTGACAGACTGGCTATTGACGTTGCCGCCACATCTCCAGTTCCGATCGGTTCAGCAAGAGTCCGGCACCCTTGTCTGCACATTGCACATGATGTTTTATGCGGTCCTGATCTTGCTGCATAAGCCCTATAGCCACCGGTCGTCGCATATCACACCCAATGATCCATCCATCTCCTTGTCGATCTGCACCTCTGCTGCTAACAATACGATCGAGATGGCTAGCAACTTGATGAGGGCCATCGATGAGAAGAGAGGCGTTTCCAGACTGAAGGACTTGTTGCATCACTCTGTGTTCATCTTTTTCACTGCCGGAGTCGTCCATATCACCAACTGCACGAGTACGGATCCGGTCCTGGCCGCCTCCGCGAAGCTGCGCACGATCGAAACGCTGAAATGCATGGCTATGGTGGAGGATGTTTGGATCACTGGGAAGTGGTGTGCCAACAATCTCAAGCAACTGCTCAAGGCTCGTAACATCGAGCTGCCTTATTCATCTGAAGGTATGCGACTATCCACATGCCCTTAAAAACAAATTCTAGAAACTATTATCATACGTCCTTCATTAACGAAATACTTTGCAATGACTTTTTTACTATGACAGCGTTCAAGTGTCTGCCCCTCGGAAATGTGGAGGACTTGAAGAAAAAGTTCGGAACTGGCTCTGCACAGCTGGATCTCTCGATAGCGGCATCTATACCAAAGGAACAGTCGTTTGCATTCGATGTTGACCAGATCATGGGATATTATCAGGGTACCGACGCCAAACACCACGAGCCTATGGGCCGCAACTCCCGTCATTTCTCACCGACGCCATATTTCAGTCCAGCTGCTGGCAATCATCACTACCATTCGCAGGCGCCGATGAAGCCGCATCCTGGACTGACGCAGGGCCACTCCCCTCTACCACGCCGGCCACGTCAGGGCAAGAATACGTCCCCTTCACCAAGCAGCTCTGTGCCCTCGGTCCCAAGTTCTTCGGCCTCAACTCCAAACAATGGATTCTTCCCATGCTTAGATTCGTCAGCAGGAACCACTACAGCTTACAGTATTAACAGCAACAACAGCAACGCCAACGTGAATTCATCGATCGATCCCTTCGCCGCGCCAGGCTCGGCAACAGTGACGACCCCTAATCTTCAACAATCGCCCATCCAGGCTGAGCAGAAATTGAACTTGTACCAGAATCCGTTCTCGTCATCGCTCTGGGGACTTCCAACCTCCATGGACACCGATGAATGGATGCTTTACATGCAGAACAGCGGGAGCGATGGTGAAAATATCTTGAACCTTGGAATCGATACACAGGGCAACGACGATAACAACGGCAATAACACCAGGCCCGAGAATCCAATGTTTGGTCCGCTGACGGATATCAACTCTGGAGGGATGAATCAAAACCATTCTGTCGGCATGGCCGCCAACAGTACCATCAGCAATTGTTCGACACCGAACAGGACACATCCGTTGTCGCAGAGTATGACAAGCAATGATCTTTTAGGCGGCGCCGATCAGAGCGGCATCATCAACAGCCCGAACACTACACGGCCATTGTCATCATCAATACCTGCCTATACAATATCCATGAGTGAACCATCTATGTCGGCAGCAGGCCAGGCGCCAGTGTCAACAGCGTCGATTCTCTCGGCTCACGCTCAGCAGCACCCAGTTACCAGCCAGGCACTGCTGACAACCCAGCAGCCCTCAGACCTCTTTTTCCTCAATGGCAATTTAGGCATGGGCACTCAACCGCCACAACAGCAGTAACAGCAGCAGTAACAGTAACAGCATCAATAACAGCAACAAAAACAGCTAATGCAGTTCCAGCAGTAGTCGGACCCGTAATCCGGCCAGTATTCCCGCCTGCGTAATTGTATCTCCCTCCACTCTGATATTTTATTCTTTTGTACATATATTTTTTTTTTTTTTTTTTTTTTTTTACTATTACTATTTTGCATGCTGGATTTCTCGCCAAAGACTCTCCAGCAATTCCTTTTGGGAAAGTATAATAGGCCGCTTATTAACAAATTTACTTCAATTCAAAATAGAGGCATAATAAATTTTCTCAATGTGCTCGCGGATGGCTCTTTATTTTCATGTTGCTCTTTAGGCGAAAGGCGGCATCAATGGCGGCCACCTCTGGAAAAGTCATGTAGCGCATCCATCCCTATAGCGTTTGGATCAGGCTCCCAGAATGCCTAAAAAGTCAAGAAATACGAGTTAGTATGCTGTACTGTTAACTACAAAAATAATAATAATAATAATAATAATAATAAAGAAATACACGGACCGAGAAAAAAAATGGAAAAAAAAGTGTTCCTTACCAGTTCTGTCGATCCGCTAACCATCATCAAGAACTTTGGGTTGAATGCAACGATATGGCTTGGTGTCCCGTGTGCCTTACACACCTTGAACGGCCGGAGCTCTCCGTTCGCACTCAACAAATTCGTCTGATGGCTCCCGGGGAGAGCCCCATTCACGCCTCCGGCGCCGCCGTTTCCGCCATTGCCTCCAGAGCCATTCACAAAGATGCCGGCGGCCTGATCGGCCATAGCCTTGGCGATATCCCAGACATAAATATTTCCATCCCTCGAACCCGAAACGACGAATTTGCCATCGGGGGTCCAGCAGGCCTCGCCTCCGCTCTGGAAGGGTTCGTTTCCATAGCCGTAATGGCCGACGAGACGGAAGCGGGTGCTTATGGGTTGATAGGAATCGACGATGTAGTGGGCATCGCCAGCGCTGGTCACGAGGATGTGTTTACCATCGGAGCTGAATTCTAGTTGTGTGGGTATGACGGCCGTGGGCAAATCGGATGTGGGGTCGATTCCGAGAGATTGGCCGATCATGGCGCTATCGAATGGTCCCTGGTATTGGTGGTGTATATATATAAATATATATGAAAGAAAAGATGCGCCGTGGTCAGGTTGAGAGTTGCTCTTGGACGTTAATTCCCCCTGGGGGGGGGGGTTTTTTTTTCAAACGTCGTTCGTGTTAGTGTTATTTATTACCTGATCAAAGATTTTGACGTCGTATAAGCGCAAATTGCATCCTAATGCCACCGCAAAAACCAATCCGCTGGGATCGAATGCAATAGCCGGTCGTCCCACTATTGAGACGGCACCCTAATTATGTCGTAAAATGCAGATGTAAGTGTAAATGCAAATGTAAAAAAAATCGGATCAGAATCAGATCAGATCATGAAAAAAAAGATATCGACAAAAAAAAAAAAAACGCCAGGATGAAGAATGAAAGGCCATTGGATGGTTTTTACCTGACAGTTCGGGCTGCGGAGATCCCACAATCGAACGGCTTCTTCACTTCCTGCCAAGAATTGATCATCCAGCGGCGACATCTCTAGTGCTGTGACCCTAAGGAGAAAACATTATTAAAACAGACATCAGTAACATACGCCAGATGGGGTGCGGAGCAAATTCACAGCACGCAAAAACGGTCCAGAGTCCCCCCCCCTTTGTCAACTGATTTTGGCATCCATTGAATATCACTTCCAAGTCCCCGTTATCCAGAATTCATACTTTTTCTCGTGTCCTCGAAAATATCGAATGTACTTGTTATCGTGCAAAGATAGGTATCGCAGAGTGTCTGTTCAGAATCAGACGTTCCAGATTTTTGAAGAGAGAAATACGCTGTTAGTTATCGACGATGCCAGATCAGATGAAAGATATTTGGATGAAAGATACATCTGCGACGAGATATCGGCGTTACCATCCTCCTTTGTCGATGCATAGACAACGTTGGTGGATCGATGTGTGAACCGGGCGAGATGAACTCCGTATTTTTTGCTGAATAGCGTCTTGTCCAGTCTAAATGATCGAATGGGCAGGTCGAGATAGGATGTCAGCTTCTGGCCTTTTTTTTTTTTTTTCAGTCGCTGCAGTGTGCGAGACTGAACACCACACAAATCTTTGTCTTTTTTTTTTTTTTTTTTTTTTTTTTTTTTCCTAAAGACTTTACTTTCCGGTTACACAGTCATAGACGTGCAGACTCTCGTCCTGGGCACTGGTGACGCATTTGGATCCGGTGTCGTCAAAGTCGAGAGAGGTGATGATCTGGGTGTTGTCCTTGAAGATCTTGGACACCTTCAGGGACATTAGCCATTGCGGGGTTAAGACAACGGGTGGTGGTGGTTGAGCATGAACTTGGGGTGGATGTGCATTGCTGAGGATTGTGTTGCCGCCGCTGTTGATGTTGGTGCCGTTGTTGTTGGTGGTGGTGGCGGTGCTGTTGGTGTAGTCGGTATTGCTGCTGTGCAGGTGTGACATGGCCTCGGATTAGTTCGCGTCGCTTTGTTCAGTCTGAAAAAAAGAGAGTCCTCAAACAAAAAGAGCGATGCAAAAAAAAAAAGGTGCCTGGGGGGGTACATTCAGTAAGCGGGTGGGCGACTGAGAATGAATTATACGTATATTCAGATCCAGGGTGTTGTGTAGTCTGTGTACGTGAGCCATCTCTTTTTTTTTTTTTTAATGGGCGAAACTTAAACGCCTGGCCCGTGATCCATGGACGCCCTTTTTCATTTTGTTCATTTTTTTTTTTCTCATGGCTATCTTCCCCCCCCTTCTCCACACATTCAACCGCATATCATCAAACCACAACCACACGAACCAAACCCCCCCAATCACGCTCACGAATGGAGAAACGTACCCTTCGCTCCAGCACCCGCGCTGCCGCTGCTGCTGCCGCCGCTGCTCAAGCCACGACCCCAACCGAGGATGCCTCTGAGTCGCAGCACCCTGAACCCGAATCCGAACACGAACACGAACACGACAAGAACACGGACGAGGGATCCGCTGCCGCGGGAAACAAGGCTTCATTGGCGCGCCACAAAGCCCTTTACAAGTCCAACCCGCTCTCAACCGAGACTGCAAAGGAGGGCGTGAACCGGCGAATCAAGGAGGATGCACAGCTGAGGAAGCAGCGACGAGAGGAGTTGGTGAGCGCAAAGAGGTTCAAGCGATCCAAGGACACCGAGGAACCAACTGGAGGTAAGTAGGATACAGATGGGAAGGAAAGAAAAAAAAAAAAAAAAAAAAAAAGAAAGCACAGCACAGCAGCACCTTCTTTACTTCATTTGCCTCTGCAATGCGTTGTCTCTTTTTGCTGTCATCATTCGCATCGATGTGTGTGTGTATCGCTCCTTCGTTCTATCTCGCGGACGGGGCGGTCGGTGTGTCGTAACTGGCGCGTGTACCCGTCATCGTTCCCACATACCCTACTAGCGTACGCTGTCTCTGTGAACGCCTCGACTCGCATCGCCTCGTTCTTTTTATCCCCCTCTATCCCGACTCATACCTCTTGAATGCTTTTGGAGTCTAGAGCGTGGGGAAAATCATCCGATTATTATTATTATTTTCTTCCTTTCCTTTTCCTCTCAAAACCGCCATCGCTATTGCTGCGATCACGCTTCCATGATCGTCTAATTTGGGACAGGGTCGAGTTCCAACGATAAAATGGGTGCAAGTCTGACTGACCCCCTCGCTTGCTCTGTTTTACTGCTTGTTCGACTCCCAAATCAAATTAGATGAGGGGGCAGAGTTGGGAAAGGATCAACTCGACAGCCTCCAAGCGTTGCTCAAGGTAAGCAGCGCACAACAACAATAACAAACAAACAAGCAAAAAAAAAAAAAAGGAGGAGGAGGGGAGGAGGGATGACTGATAGGACAAATGGGTATTGACTAACGGTTACTGTTTTTGGACGTTGCGGATATGTAGAACGGCAAGAAGGATGACAAGACGGAGGCCTTGAAGACGCTGAGCGATTACTTGACAACGTACAGTGATTCCGAAGTCCTACAGGTCATGGTCTCAAGCCAAGAGTTTCTGACCATGCTTGATGTAAGGATTACTCTATCGCAAATATCCTGCTGCCTCTGGTCCTACTCGTCCTAAAAAAAAAAAAAAAAAAAAAAATCTTTATACCGATCTTTTGGTTCACAATAGGGCATCTTGACCGGAACGGATGCAGAGGAGCAGCTGCTGGCGACGTCGGTCGTGACCAACATGGCCGCCGGCGGATCTGCAGAACTGTGCGAGGCTGCATTAAATACAGCTCCTCATTTGATCCAGTTCTTGGACAGCCAGAACGTCGCCCTTGTGGACCAGTCTGCATGGGCGCTCGGTAATATTGCCGCAGAAGGTCCTCAGTTCCGGGATCGGTTGAAGGACAATGGCGTCTTACCCCCCCTGATCAAGCTGTTGGAGTCCAAAGTAAAGTGACCGCAATTCCGGTGACGATGACTTGCGTTGCTTTCTTTAGATAGCATATTGAACGCGATTTTTTTTTTTCATACATTATTTTTAGGATTTGAATCTGGTGCAGACTACCTGCTTTGCGCTTTCAAACCTTGCTCGTGGTGAAGGCTCCAAGCACGAAGATCTTGTCAAGGCCGGACTACTCCCACCACTGCTGCACCACCTCCGTGTTGATACTGTATGTTGCAGTATCTCTCTCTTGCTATATTTTTTACTTGTGAAGGAGCTCACTAATAGCCTACTAATCTCAGGACTCTCTTTGTTACCTTGGGATAAAACATAGGAACCGGCAGTTATCTCAGAGGCTGCATGGGTAGTCGTCTATCTGACATCTGGACCTGATAACGTGAGCACACAGCTACTAGAGCACAGATTGATACCCTTGTTGGTCGAGCCGCTTAAGGACTTTATCGGCCTGAAGGCCTCTGCGATTCCGTTGATTCGTGCGCTGGGCAACATTGCCAGTGGACCGGATAATAACACTTCAGCGTTGATTCACGAGCCTGGCTTCCTGACCTCAATGCTCCAGTTTATTCAGTCCGACTGCAGGTAAGCATGCACACAGATCCATTTCCTCCTCAAAAAAAAAAATAATAATCGTGTTTTCGACGATGGATTTCGATGTCTTCCAAACGCGCTGACGTCCGGCGCTGTATCGTATCTAGACCGGTCAAGAAAGAGAGTCTTTGGCTGATGTCGAACATCACGGCAGAACATGTGGGCACCGACCTGGTGAAGGTCATCGAGGCTGGGTTTATTCCTGTCTTGTCAAAGATCGTTACTCACGAGAACTTTGATATCCGCAAAGAGGTAAAAACACACACACACACACACACACCCGCCCTTTACTCTATCTTTGACACTGCACAATTCCTTCTTGTATAGGCTGCGTACAGCTTGATCAATCTGGCCTCGCACGGCCCCGACTACGCCAAAGTTCTGCCGCACCGCGAACTCCTTCCTGGGTTCCTGGACTTTCTGCGCACCAAGGATCATGAGCTCATTTCACTCGGCCTGCGCTATGTCCAGTTGCTGCTCAACTCTGGCATCCCCGATGCACCTGGCCTGCTCTCTGAGATGAACGGTGTCGACGCTCTCGAGGCCGTCATCTTCTCGGACGACCGCGATCAGCACCGATTGGCCTCACTGCTCATGGACACCTTCTTTGGAGAGAATAACGATGGCTCAAGGGTGCCGACTCCCATCCCCGGTACGCCCGACCCAAACGGTTCCTCGGGCAATCCTCACTCTCTCGGCGATGGAAGCAACCTCCCTCCACAGTATCTGAAGCGCGCCAGCCTTTCCGCAGCGATTTGATTTTCAAGTGCCTCTGTTCAAGTCCTTACATTGTAAATAGTCTTTATGTTGTAATCAAGTTGACCTTGACAACCTTCCCTTTTTTCATTTTTTTTTTTTACTTGATAAAAAGAAAATTTATTGTACAAGTTCGCTGAGGATCTTCGGTCAATAGCCATCGCCAGTCGCTCTGTCTTCACTCCTGCTTGCCTGACGATGCCGTCGACAAATCTTCCTCCTTAGCATCCATCTTATCATTACATGGACGAATACTGTCGCCGTTACCGTTACTGAAGTCCGAAGACATCGCCGACGTCGCCGTCGCTGCTTGACTCTGACTCTTAACAGGGCATGCACTACCCCCAGCCACAACCGGTGTCGTGTTATTATGGAGCACAGGCGTCCAAACCTTGACATTAAACCGTTGCTGTAACCGTGCGCCTGCTGAGATTCCCTCGCCATCCTTCTCCACTCCCGTTGGGACCCCTGCATCAGTGTCAGCGACAGCATCAGCATCAGCGTTGATTTCGGTGATGGCCTCTTCCTTGGTCATCCTGGCGTCAGGCCCCATCCACGTTTCCCTGCCCTCCTGGAATGCCACCAGAGCTTCCGCAGCCAGGTTTGCGTTCTTAAACACCACAAGACACTGATCCACCGGACCCTTGGCTGACTTGACCCGTCTCAGCCTTGATCCGGTCGGTAATATCAGGTCCTCGAAAATGTCGTCCTGTGCATCAAAGTCATGAATCTCCAAAATATGATTCAAACTTGGCGACTTCTCGGCTTCTATACAAACGAATGTACAAAATAAAGGCAAAGATAGTTGGGTAGTTGGTTAATAAAAGGCGGTCGCAACATGAAGAAAGACAGTTAAAAAAAGTGACATGCCTGGTGAAGTGGCCTTGGGGGCGCTATCATGAGGTGAGACCAGCACCGAGTAATCATATAACAGATTATTCTTCTTGCCTTGCTGTAGTCCTGCGTTGCCACTACTCCCTCCACCATGACTAGTCGACGACGACGACGAATACGACCGATTCATTCCTACAGGAGCGTGAGTCCCGTGTGTCTGCTGTTGGTGCTGGTACTGATGAGAATGCTGCTGTGATTGATTATTGCCAGTGAACGAAGGCCCATGATATGACGTTGGATGTAAGTTCGAGCTCTGGAAATGCCTCTCTCCTCCCCCCATCATCATGCCCGGGCCTTCCTGGCCTCCAGCAAAAGTTCCGTCATGAGATCCTTGATGACGGAGTGAGCCGGAGTGGTCACCCTGCCCGCCACCGCCGTTACTGCTGGACGATGAGGGTCCGTTTGGATCAAAGAGCTCCGCTGATTTTGGTGGTCTCCGCTCGATATCGTACATGCCATGTCCGCCGCCACCGCCCATCACCATGCCTGACTGTATCGCCATCGAGCCCTGTTGCGAAGGGCCCATCATGGATGGGCTGAGCTGGTAGCTATTAAAATTCTTTTTGCCTCCAATTGGAGGCTGTAATGCTGGGTTGTAAAGCATAGATGCTGAGTCGGTTCCTTGGTTGGGTCCATGGTTCAGTCCCTGATTCCAATTTGGGTTCTGGTTATAGGGATACCTTTGCCCACTTGGCTAAAAAAAAAAAAAAAAAAAAAAAAAAAAAAAAAAAGATATAAATAAACAGATAATAGCACGATTTCTTGGATGCAGACAGTCCACATATGATGACTATCGCGTGGCTCTTACAGAGGTTTCGCCTGTAGAAGCCGCCTGTTGCGGGCCAAGGAACGCTGGATAGATGTTTGGATTGCTTTGGCCATCGCCCGCCATTCCATGCGCTGGGTAGAAATCTGGCACGTATTGCTGCGGCGGCACTTGCCCTGGGTTGCTGTCAAAGGATCGTCCATAACGCATGCCAGCCTGTGCACCTTGCGGGTATGCAAAATCATCTCTAGTCGAAGGCCCGCTATAGCTGTTGCCATGATGGTGCTGTTGCTGCTGGGGATGCATCTGAGGGTATGTTCGAGAATGATGTGGGTGCTGGAAGTGAGGCTGATGAGAGAATTGGGGTTTGGAAGTGTTACGACGACCGCCGCGATGAGAAGACCCGTGGTAGATGTGCTGGTGGTTGTTGTGCATTTGGTTATTGGGATGATGGTTACTGCTAAATGGTGGTTGCATATTTGGTCCGGGTTGGGGGTAATGACCGGGATTGTTTCCATACTGGAATGTCATGGATGGATCCTGTGGAGTGTTGTAGAATGGTGTCTGTTCATGGCCAGGCGCCATGCTTCGGTCGGACCAGGGCGAAGATACATTGGGTTGCGAATGGGTATAGGGGCTGTTGGCACCGTTATTGTTGAAAGGATGACCTTGTGTCGAAGGGCCAGTCGGGTATCCGCCGCCAGATCCGCTGTTAAAAGCGCCACCGCTGTTCATGTGGCTGCTGTGGTGCTTCGGATAGGGCTTCTTCGGCACGAATGCTCCGCCATTCATGCCCTTGACAAAACCTGGGTTGGGCAAATGGTTGCCAAAGTTGCCGCTGCTTGGACCTGCGTTATGGCCGCTACCACTGTTGTTGTGGTGGTGATGGTTCCTGATCTGCTTGGGCCCGCCAGGCTGAGGGTAAGAGAATGAGGTCCTAGAGCTGCCGCTGCTCATCGGTGACACCGATCCAGAGCTAGGATTGGGATTCTGCCCAAAATAGTCATACGTCTTGGACGCTGTTGGAGTGGAGGGCGAATTGACAGATGGCGATTCTGTGAGATTTGCGCCACCGATACTTGGGCTTTGGAATCCATCCTGACTAGAAGATGATGAAACCGTCCGAGCAAGTCCAACCGGCGTCCTGGCAGTTCCTGAAGATGAGGATGCGGTTGAGGCAGTACTCTTTCGTCTCCGTTGATCTGCACATTCCGCTGCCGGGTCGCCCTTGGATAATTTTGTTCTCGGTCCCAGCCCTTTGCTAGAAGCTTTTGGATTCGAATCAGAACCGCCGGTGGCCGAGGGAGGTGCTGGAGATGTGCTCCGAGAGACATTGCGAGAATTAGGCGAAGACTGATTATGCTGACGATGGTCATTATCGCCTAGTTCATCGGGCGACCTTGCCGACCCTGAGCCTGGCTTCCTTCCGTTGCTCTGCTTTCGGTTCTTTGATTTGACGCTTTCGTCCCCTCCATCCTGGCGCGTCTGTTCGGCTGCTGGCGCTGGCACTGAAGGAGAATCACATCGCGAGTTAGATCCAGAGCCCTCCGATCTTGGCTTAGATGGGGCTTCTTCTTGGAAGATGCGCTTTCTAGCCTCAGCATAAGCCTTCTCGCGTTCCTCCATGGATATCGTCTTGCGGTCTGGCTCTGAAGTTCCATCTGGAGTGGAAACACCACTGGATGACCGATTAGGGTTTCTCTTCAGGACTTTCATCGGCTTCACTGGCTGCTCTTCTTCCTCCTCGACCAAGTCTGGGAATCGTAATGCAGGACTGAAAGAAACCACATAAATAGAGCGAGAACAAATACATTAATATTGAGGCGCGTAAAAGATACCACGGGCGCGCATGATTGAGGAACGAGAAATGGCGCTCGGATCGGGGCCCGTTCGCTTCTTTGCGCATATGTCTTCACTTACATGGCAGATTGTTCTGTTTTAAACAAAATGATCTTCTGCTGGGGGTCCACGACGCGTGTGATCTTGAAGTAGTTGGCAACACGATGGATTACCATACGATAATAAGAATTGAGGGAAGGGAATTCCAAGTGCTCTTGACTGGTCAAGTCATAATACACATCCGCAATCGGAGGAAAATATATACATAGCACATGGCGCACGGTAAGGCACGGCAATGCGTGGCATGGCATAACGACACAAAAAGAAACGGTTGAGCAACGTTAGTTTGGATCAACTGATGCAATATGAGTAAAAATGACAAATGTAAATCGATCATGTCCAACAATGGACGGCTCACATACGCTGGGTTGTTGAGAAAGTTGCAAAACTCTCGGTCAAGCTTGAGCAGAAAGATCCGCTCTTGCTTATTCTTCAACAAGCCCACCAAAAACTCGTCGAGCGCAGTGTCCTCTGTGTCATTTGAGTCATCGCCGACCTCAAGCTCCTCCAAGGACTTTGTCAACCCAGCCACCTCCTCCTGAGCCACAAAGCCTTCGCCTGCTTGGATGGCACCGGCACGCTCTGTTGAGGTGTTGTTGGATGCTGATCCTGGACCGTGTCTCAATATCGTAAATGTTGTCCTGGGCTGAGGTCCGGGTGCCTGCTCCTCGCTCCCTGAAGGTGCTGCAGCCCTGTCTGCAGCCAGTGTGGGCTGAGGATAGATAATACAAACAAATCGATGCGTTAAAATACACTGAACTCTCGAGAGGGTGTGACGAGTCAAAGAATAAATTGAAGATAGCAAGAGAGATCTTGCTGCTTGACATGCCTGTGATTCACTTGGGTTCTGCTGCATCTTAATGGCAAAGAAAAACGAGCGAGGAAAACAAAAAGCGATGCAGAGAGAGAATGAGAGAGAGTGAAAGAACGAGAAAGAGAAAGAGAGTTGAAACTGAGTTTGGTCAAGTAAGTGTGCGCGCGTATATAGCGTGTGTAAATGGATAGGCAATAGGGTGAGGAGGGGTGTCAATCAAACGGCCAAGGAAGAGAAACCGTTCTCCATTGTTGGAGAAGAAGAGGAAGTGTGTTAGAGGAGGAGGACGAGGAGGAGAACGAAGAGGAGGAGGAGAGAAACAGATAGTTTATAGGCAAGAATGAAGCGGAGTAAAAAAGATAAGGACAAGAGGCAAAGGCATGCAGTTCAAGTGGCGTGTGCGTGTGTGAGAGAGAATGAGTGTGGTGAGTATAAGTGATCAAGACGTCGATGGGACATACAAAGCAGCGAAGAAAGAAGAATGGTAGATCAAGGGACAAGAAAGAGCTCAAAGGGAAATGAACGATGGCAACAAATAACGAATGAATGCAAACGAAACCGTCAATGCAAAAAGGACAATGAATGTGAAGAAGGCGGTTGTGACGTCATTCTTTTTTCCATCGCAATTACTGTAGGAATAGACGGATTCCCTCGGCAACTTCGAGGACTCAAGCGCACCCCAGGTAATGTAGATTCATATGCAAAGCGTGAAGGTGCACAGCATTTGAGCCGCTGCTGAATTATGTATGTCCTTTCCTCCGAATTTTGGAATCACTTCAACTTTCAGAAAAGAGGAGGTCGTGGCCACGGCATTGTAGTACTGCATAAAAAATAGTATTCTCGAATATGCACTTGCACTGCATGTGAAAACCTCATGGATGCTATGAACAAATGCGAAAAGAAGCTGTTCAATCGCACTCAAGCTGCTCTTCTTGGGGTTGAGAAGGAAGCCTCGCCTGAGAAGAATTATCCAAGGGGTGATGCAGCGCAAGATCATTATGGCGCCACCTCAGTGCAGACAATCCCTACGTATTCGTTCCTTTGACATCCTCTAGGGCGGAAGGAAACGAGAAGGATTGGCCACTTCAAGCGGCCTGTACTCGAAAGGTCATACATACACAGGATCAAGTGGAAGAACATGAAGGAGTATATCGATTCAGAAACAGGACAGACTTAGCATTCATAGCATTGGTGCACAATAAAACGCCTATAGTCAGCCATGGCAGTATATCCACTTAACAGAAAGAATGGTTCTGTTAACGCGCTGCACAGCAGACTTGATTGGCATCGCCGGAGGGTTCTTTCTTGACCATATTTGCTTGATTTGCTTGCTTGCTTGCTTTTGTTAGCTCATTTTCTGCTTCGCCTGCCTGCCTCCTCATCTCGCAATCCGCTCGATTCCAAGGAGAAGACCTGTTTCACGATTGCGAGATTATCAAGGATCATGAATACTCCAGGCTGTCGACCTCTTGGATCTTTACCTGCTACTCTCCAATTAGTCTGCTATTCACATCACCCACCCCTCAAGCCAAATATTCCTCCTCTCAGGGCGCCCCTACAGCGAAAACCGTTTCTCGCGTCCGCAGAGGAGTATGGAAGCAATTGATACAGAAACTTGCTGCGATGTCTCCGTATTCATGGGCTAGTTGACTAAGGGCTATGCTACTAGTACTTTTTGGCTGTAGACCTTGCATCAAGTCCTTACTTCTTCGTCAAAGATATTCTCATCTGTGTATCTCTGCCCCCACGTTTGTAAGTGCGGAAAGATGAGTTGGGGTGTCTTTGTATATTTGAGTATCATTACTTATATCCTTTTGATAACCACCACACGGATATAGGTCTCTCTATTTCATCAAGCACCGTGTATCATTTTTTCAAAGAGAGGTTCGATGCACATCTCTGGCCCCATCTTGTAGCACGTGGTTGATTTGTGCACCGCACGTAGTCTAACATGTTGTCAATCGTTCTCTTACACGCGCCTTTCTCAGCAGCAGGGCAATACGGGCGTTGTCGGAGCACTTCTTACTGTTGCCAGAGAATAGAATCGCGGGCACTGTTTCTCAAGTCGTGAACTCTACAGCAATACATTCACATCAACATTCTCGGTCTCTATTGCGGACTCGTTATATCGACTCAGCATTGGCTCACATACAGCCAGTTGATGAAGGAAATGAGAAACCAGGGCCACGGTACGCTGTCTTATTCGCCCATCCCCGCATCCATTAGCGCTGTCGACACCACCAGCCTCGGTGGCTGCCAAGGCCCCCTTTGACATTCTCGTCCTGAGGATGAGTCATAAGATTACACAGCATCGCGTGGTAACAGAGGGCCAACGAGTCACCGCAGTGCAAGGAAGCGACGACGACGACAACAGCGGCTTACCCTTACTTATAACTGCCCTTCTGAAGACGCGACTTCCAACCGGACTTCAGCACATTATAGGACCCAATGTTTGCGTGGCCGGCTAGCAGCAGCTGGTGTACATTACGTCTGTCGATTCGGCCGTATTTCATCGTCAAGAATATCCTAAGCGAGAAGCACGTATTACGGTCTGGATGCTACAAGGGCTGTGTAGAATCTTGGTATCACTCAAACGGAGTGGCGCGTAGCCGGAGCCATGAGCAACAATGATCATTCCCACAACACCCCAGGCTTTTGCTGACTGCCTCGGGCGTCAACGAGCCTGGTCTACTTGCGAGGTAATGCAGCCGACAGAGAGTCAACCAGTAATAGTATATCTTCGTTCGCAGTCGACGTTTTTCATTAGGAAGCAGGTGCAGCTTGCCAACGCCTCAACGCCCACCAACGCCACGCTAGACTCAGGATTGGATACCAACAACATCGGCGCCAGGGCTCAATGGGCCATTTCGAAATGGATGAATATTAAAAGCCTCGCAGTGCCCTCCCGGAACTGTCATCAATTCGCTGAAAAAAAAAAAGTTCACCCTAGTTCACCTTCTCGCCTTTGAACTCTCCGGATTGGATGATTACTGCCAAGGCTCACCAATTAAAGCCAACTATCGCTCCAGCAAGCCATCGCCGGAGCACAGCGGCTAACAGCAGTACATGGGGCTAAACTACTTCAGTCGGTCAAGGCGCATGTGGTGTCATTTGTTTCTGGTTTGCAGGCCATTTATTTATTTTTACGGCGGCTCAAATTTAAACTTCGTCACTATCCCCCTGAATAAACAAAGGAAGGGGATAGCGCAAAGGCATCTCAGTATGACAGTATGGACACGCTGTGCAAAAGTTTATTCTGACGAAGGACGGGGGTTTTTTTTCTCTCTTAATACAGAAAAGCAAAGCAATGAGAAATCATACAGGTGGTGAACATGGAAAATGCAAGGGTATTTTAGCAACACATATAATACTTTTGTTGGCGAAGAAAAAAAAAAAAAAAAAGCGAGGAACGAAACGACTGAGTGGAATGGCATTCCAGTCAAGTCAGTCGAGTCAGTCGATAGACAGCGCGGCTAAGCTATCGAGAAGCGTTTGATATACAAATATTGGACACATTGAAAAGAATCAAATAGCGTTGAAGATTAAACAGGACAATAACGAAACAAAGTAAAAAATAAATAAAAAACGATCAGTCGAGCGAGACGCGCGCTTAGAAACCCATCGGATGGCGGTGTTGGGAATGGTGCGAATGTTGGTGCTGGTTCGGGTGGGCATGAGGCTGTGGCAGCTGGTGCGGTTGATGGTGGGTCATCGTATGCATCGTCAATGGGTGATGCGCTGGGTGCATATGATTCATAACTGGATCACAGATGGGCTGCTGAAGTTGCGCCTGTTGACTCTGAGCCTGCTGTTGGTGAAATGCGGCAGCCGCTTGTTTCGCTGCTTCCTCCTCAGCACGCTTGTGCTTTCGCCATGCCTTTCTCAACTCTTTGAATTCTATAAAAATGGACAAAAAAAAAAGATGAACTTTCGTTAGCATCTGTATCCACATCTACGTCTGTGATGTCTGACGCTTTTTCAATGTCAACAGTAAATATTAAGACATAAAAGACGTACCTGCTGGCAATCGCTTAGGGCCATGCTTCTGCATGTTGACGTGAGCGTTGAGGTGATTCAGTGTACCATAGGCCTTCTCGCAGTCGCCCCAACTGCAGACATAGAGACGTTCAATCTCGTCAAAGCGACGACGAGGGCGCTTCTTAGAGTTGACACCAGAGAGAGGAACAAACGAGTACACCTTCGAACCGTTTGAACTTCCGTCCAAGCTACCCACATCACCGCCATTTTGGGACCATGTTGCGGTCTGCATGATTGCTTGAGATTGTGGAGCATGTGTGTGATGGTGTGATGGCGGCTGGCCATGGACCTGATGTTGTTGGAGAGCGAGAGAGTCCACATAGTCGACTGTGGGGGCGCCACGGGGAATGCCCTGCATCGATACGGAGTTGGCCCCTACGAAATTTCCATGTGTAAATGCGCCAGAGTCCGCAGCCTCTGAGGGCATCACATTCGTCATAACCATGCCAGCTCCAGTTTCGAGCGAAGGAACGAATGAATAGGCTACCCTCCGTGCATAACCAGAGTTGGAGGCAGCGCTCGAGTCTTGAGGAATCATGGCGTTCGCCGATGCGGAATAGCGATCTTGAACGACATGGTCTTGGGGATAAACATTAACAGGACCCTGCATATCCAAATACGGGTTAGGGGCGTAAAAGTTGGGGGGTGATGCGACCACATTACTCATGGTCGACATTGGTGCTTGCTGTGTCTGCATTGGAGGCGAGACGGCCATGGATGGAGATGAAGACGAGGTCAAGCCGTGGAGAGCTTCGGAAAGAGGAGGTAGAGCGGGTGCCTGTGCGGGCTGTTGTGCGGACTGTTGTGCTGGGTCCCATGTGTTCACAGGAGGCTGGGGCGCATTGGTAGCACCACGCATTTCGTCGGTCAAGCTTGCGCGGGCGTTTTGGGCTGGATACTCTTGCCGTGAACGTGCGTCCAAGGATGAAGATGGGGTATTGGGAGCCTTGCCGTGACTGGTCATCATGGATTGTCTGCGATCATGGATGGTGGTGCGGTTATGGGATGGGTAGGGCGACATATAGGCAGGCGAGCTCAGTTGTGGGGTAATGGTCTTCATGGAGTTATAGTCTGTGGAGGAGTAAAAAGGGGTGCTGTAGATCGACGGTGATGCAGCCTGTGTTTGGGAAGGGATCATAGCCTCTGCAAGATCAGATAAGACAAGAGTGGTGTTAGGTAGGTCCGAGAGCAGATCTGATACATGAGGCAACGGAAGATGCTGGGAAAATGTCTTACCAAGTTTAGCGGCCGCGTGTTCGACACTGCTTCGGCTGTAGTAGTTCTGGGCGTTCTTAATGTCCTCGTTGGTTGATGACTTGCTGTTCAAGGCGGCGGAAGAAGGAGTGTGAGCTGACGACTTCCAATCTGCAAATGAGTGTGAGGTCGATGGTTTGGGCAACAAATATTCCTGTGGCTGCTGCTGTTTTTGCTGTTCTCGCTCTTGGTCAGGATGCTGTTGGCTGTGGGTATGCGAACTGAGATTGGATCTCATCTCAGTGTGAAATGGGTATGAGGATGTGGGCTCGAGTTGGTAGGGGCTGTAGACGGATAGCATTGGAGAAGGACGTCAATATGCGAAAAGGGGGATAGGGATGTGTTGTTTCACGTTCGAGCTGAGGCAAGAGGGGAAAGGTGATCCTTTGGTGGCAGTGTTATTATGATTGAGCTGGATGTGAGGTCTATTCGCAATCGATGCAAGCGTGCAAAGAGACTTTTTGTGTAGGAGACAGCAGTCGAAGGAAGGATCGAGGATGGGATGCGCGGGAAGGGATAAAGAGAAGAGGTAAACATTTATTAATATCGTTTGCTTATGGACATAAGTTGCTTGGACGGTCGCCGGCGCATTGTGGCGGGAGTGATCGTTCCTGTATGCACACGCAGTGATAGACCCCTTGCTGTCTCCAGGCCTTGAGAGGTCGCCATGCTTGCATGTAAAAAGAAAAAGAGATCGATGGAAAGGGTACAACAGACGCCATTTGTACAACCCATTCGCGGGGGTGAGGAGATGGGGAACTTGTGGAAGAGAGATGGATAATGGAACTTACAACTTACAGTTTTATGCTGTCTGGCTATTGAGGATTTTTCGACTGAGATCAATTGCACTCTGTTCTGGATGATGGGTTCGAAAATACCGCGACTAGAAAGAAAAAGGGTGCACATGAGCAGATCAATACGATGTCCAAAGCGTATACATGTATAAAAAAAAGAAACGACCAATGCGCCAAGGGAGGTGGAGCAGGAGGGTGATTATATAATGTGTACATGTGGATGTGCACCGCGGAGAATCGACAGTCTTTTGCCCCACCGCACTGCTTTCGAAAGGAATACATCTCGTCATCTTCTCAAAGGCTTTCGATAGGCAATAGGGCAAAAAGGCTTACATCCGCGGCTATAACGAATAATCGTTGTTTTTTGTGGAAAGGAGCCGAGAGAGAAGAAAAAATAAAGGAGATATGGGACAGTGTGGATTGTGTAGCAATGGCGCCTTCTGCAGCGTCGTTTGAGAATATTGAGCACTCGTCGACAAATCTCACGAGTGCAGGGGCGCAATGCTATGACAACGGCAAACAGATAGTTTGCTCCGACAACTGATAGCTGTCGGTGTGGTATAAGGACTTGTTGGTGGTGACTGGGGCAGGGTCTTTGTGTGCAGGGGACATGGTGGCGATGGATCAGGGGGAGGCGAGACACGGATCTGAGTAGTCTGATACCAATGTGGGGATCTGAGACTGGCTCGTGCCACATCAGACCAGCTAGCTCTCTGGGCTTGGTATTGATTGTATCGTTTACCTTTAGAATCTTCAAATAAGAGTGGAGCTAAAAGAGAGAGCAGGAAGAGTTGTGCAGGTGGTGGAGTTGGCGGTGGTGGCAGTAGTGCGTTGAGATGCAACCTTGTGTGAATGGTTCAGGTAGTGTGCTGGCTTGGAGAGTTAGTGTAAGGATGAGTGTGCAGAGGAGATGAGGGAAAGCTAGGACCACTAGTTCGATATTTGGTTCCTTTTAGCAGAAGCGTATGTATCGACAAGTAGAGAGAGAAAAAGCTGTTGACGAGAAGAAAACTAGAAAGATACCGAAGGGAGGAGAGGAGGGAAAAAAAAGAGAAGGGGAGAGATGTGGCCGAGGTGGGCGGGTTAAATAGTCTATCCAAGAATTCGACGGATTCTGTTTTTCTTTATTGAATTGAATAGGGCAAAGACAATAGAGAATAGAAGGACTGAATAGGAAAGAGTAAAGAATGAGGGTCATCGCCTGCAACATCCGTGGGTAACAGTGTATGTCGACATTGTGTATACTTCAATTGAATATTCATGATTTTATTATACTTGTCTTATTCAGTGCGATTGAATGTGTTATACGTAAACTACAATAAGTACAGCGCTTATTCAATCGAATAGAATACATGTATAAATAATGACAATAGTAATAATACCGCCGCCTGACCCTTCTCTTTTCTCGAAGAGAAAACCTCTGGACACCGCGCTAGACTAAAAGAATAAAGAAAGAAAAAGGAAAAAAAAAAACGGTAATGTTGGTCGGGGAATACCTTTGAATAGCCAGATTATCATCGTCTTATATAACCCAAAACCACCCTTGGGGTCCGGTGCCAACGATGGTGGCAACCTTGTTTATTACTGTTGTTCTCATCCTTTTCGCCTGTGCTGTGGCGGGCAGACATGATATGCATAGATTCAGATAGGCACTTAGGCCTCGTGTGTGTTCGATCCTGCTCCCATCATGATGGCCCCTGCTTTCACAGCAGCGTACAAATGAATGTTAAAAATGAAGAATAGGGGTGGACCATGACAACAGCTGCGTCAATCTAGCGGATGCTTGCAGATAGACATTGTCCCAGAGTACAGAGGACGAATTTATGGGTGAGGTGATGTTTGCTGTATGATGCTACTCGCACCGAGGGTTTCGTATTGAAAGTGTCGTAATGCAAACGAGCGACAGCGATAAGCATGATGTGAATGACGACTGGGCGTCTAGGCGACGATTTGCTCTCTTTTTCAGGAATTCTATGAACGGTTACGATCCCTCGTTTGTAGAAAGCCGATCCTCACCTGCTTCGTTCACTTGCTTCAAGAAACAATGATCGCATCAATAATGAAAATCAGTAGCGGTAATCAATAATGAAAAGCACACGGATCTGCTGTTTGGGCCTCATGGTTCAGTGCCCTATGCAGAAAGAAAAGCCGCGCATGTTTTCGACCATAGATTCATTCGTCTTGATTTTTGCGAGCAGTTGACCGGCTTCAGTCAACTAACCAATCCCGTCTTGAAATGTCTGCAGCTGTCTAGGGAATTAGATCGTGAGGGCGTACCGACAAAAAGGCGAGGGGAAAAAGACTATTGTGAGATGGGAGACGGAGATATAGGGGGAGGGTGAAAAGGAGGGAGCCGACTGGCCAGAGGATGGAGGTGGATTTTGTTCATAAGCTGAGCACGCAGGTGGTTTGTGTGCTTGTCAGCACCAGCTATCCAAGGGCTCCAGGTATGAGCGTATCAAAGTTTTATTGCAATTTATGAACGACACTAGTGTACAACACTCTCTCACGCACAAACTCGCAAACAACAGCAGCAGCAGCACAGATGCAAAGAAATGAATTGGATGAATTACATGGGTAGCGAACATAAGCGGGCTATGTAGAGGCTTCTGATAGAGTGAGAGAGGAAACTGAGCGAGCAAATGAGCGTGGAAGGAGCAGCATCATGACCCTCACAAGGCGAGAGAGGTTTTTTTTTTTTTTTTTTTTTGCAGCTGCCTGGTGGTGACCCCTTGTACTGGTTGCGTCATTATCGTCATCCAACAAACCGGTCAAGCAGAAAATCCTATTCAGTTTTTTCTATTCCCCGATTCAGTCAAGATGACACCGGCCCGTACACATTAAAAAAAAACATAAACAAGATTGAGTTGGCGGACAGGTAGACCCCATCTGGACGTCCACAGGATAGAATAGAACCATCCAATACAATTATCCTCTGACCTGCCAACCAAGGATCTCCCTTTTCTATCACATCCGCTCTATCTCTCTATCTCTATCTCTCGCCTTCATACATGCCCACCCACACACACACCCATACACATTTGCCCACACCCATAATACACTCTCTTAGTCTCCTAGACTCTCGCAGCCCCCTCCCACCCCCCTCCCATCCCCCTCTCTCTCCTCAGTAGTCTCTTTCCCTCTGTCTCTTTGTCCCTCATCCTCCGCTGATGATTCGCTCTCTGCTCAATGCGCCTTTCTCAAAGAAGCACGGACAACCCACAACCATGTCCATCGCACACACAAGGGACAGGCAAACAAACAAACAAACAGGCAGACACATAAACAGATAAACAGTTCAACCATGAAAATAGGGAAGGTTGCTCCCTCGGCCCGCTCTCATTGGCTGCGGCGGATATAAAGACGCTAGGCTCCCGTCATACCTCTCGCTTGTATGCGAATTACACGAATGATGTCCATTGCCCTATGCCCTTCACGCTGGATGATCATGATTGCCCTGCTCATTCCTATTCACTATAAGTAGAATATTCACTGACGGACATCCTCTCTCATCCAGCAGCAGCAGCATCTCAATGCCCCATCACCATTCTAATGAACTCTGTAGCATCATCCCATAAACTATAGATCTCCACGTTGCTCCCCAACTCATCTCATCATCACCCATCCTTCATCCTCATCCTCATCCTCATCCTCATTGTCTCAGCAGCAGATAATTCTGTTCAAATAAAGCAATTTTTGGATCCTGATTTTTCGAGCTGTGCCAGATGCGGTAAACATCACTACTGTGAGGGTTCCGTGGGCGCGTCTATCACAGTCGCATGGCACCCTAGACCAGAAACACCACAAAGGTCAACTAGCGACCAGTAGTCCACGCTAACTCCTGGAGGACCCTCTTTTTTGGAATCGCTCGTCTCAGGGACATGTGGACCGGTTTTTGAAACCCTTACCAGTGCATTTGTTTCAATGGAGGAGTAAGAAACAGATCGTTGCTGGATCCCCATTCAGGGCTCCTCTTCCTCATCCTGTGTATGCTCAGCAAATGCATCCCTTGTTTTCTTTTTCCTTATGAACCCACAGATACATCCGCATTACTAGGCAAAGGCTCCTCAGTTGTCTAGTGTCTGTGGGGCTCTTACATGCCAAATGCGCGGGTAGAGTGCTCATTTCTTTTCCAAAATGCGGGTTACAACGACAAACCCTGGCAGCTTGGCTCCCACAGCAGGCTTGATGCAGGGTCATTGTTATAAAAATAAAGATGGTTAAAAACAACAACAACAACAACAACAACAAAAAAAGGCCGAAGCAATCATCTGCTGTTTCGGTCCCAATGACTGAGGCTCTCGTCGTCCAGGGGCCTCCGGTGGGCTTTTTAGGAATTATGGTTGTAAATCACTGTTATCTGAACGTGACGAAAACGTCGTGTTCGGCTGAGCACTCGTAGCTATTCTGCCTAGGAATAGTACCCGGTGTGCATACTAGTGTAAAGTCTTTGATATTAATAGTACAGCCCTGAACTTATTAAAGCGTGCAGATGCAGGGTCAGTTGCAGAGCATATTGGCGCGCTGCTTCCTCTTTCTTTTTTTTTTCTTTTTCCTTTTTTTTCTTTTTCTCTGGTACCCTGAAGATATAATCTACTAAGAGCAGATAGCCATAGTGGAGGAGGATAAACTAGAGGGGAGTACTTGCGTGTTGCTTTGGCGACCAATTATTATTTATTCGATCTATTTATTCTTCATTTATATTCCGGCTAGGTTGTACTATTGTTACCGCCGCTACAAACAGTCGAAAATGCCTCCATTCGCTTTAGGAACTGATTGCAGTGCTCGTAGATGAAGAATATACATGCGGAGGAAATCTCTAGGTGTTCTTTACCGTTCTCTTTTCTTTTTTTTTTCATGAAATAAAAAGACCGATCGGCCCATATGATAGCCCTCGCGTGAGCGAATTGACAACCCAAATATCCTAGCGAATGCAAATCGATAAAACGAGAGAGAACATGGTACCCATATGGCAGAGCGTCATGACTTTGTTACGCCTATTGCGCCTTCGTTCTCTTCTCTCACACTTTCCCTTTTTTCTCTTTTTTGAGTTTCGCACTAGCGAGGCTACAGGAGGACCATAGGCAAAGAAAAAAAGGAAACAGTTATAGCGTGTTATGATGAGGCCTTTTTTAACGAATAAAATCCACTCGCATTTGTGTTTACTTCAACGAGACATCCGCATGTATCGTCCGTCGGGAGGAAAAAATAACCCAAAGGCCAGAGTTACTTTCTATGACAGCTCCTCAAACAAAGGGGGAGAACTACATCCATTTTAAGAAGGGCAGGGACCTTGGACGACTGAGAAAAAGGATGAAGGCTGAGATGAGATCACAGGCACCGGTGCATCAAAACAACTACGACATGGACGGTCATTGCATGGGCGACACTCCTGGTAAAAAAAATAAAATAAAAAATAAAACGCGTAGCAGTCGAAATGAGTAACCGATGACATCTGTGCCAACGAAACGGCTCACACGCTCCACCTGCACGGCTTATCTGCATACTATGCACCGGGGCTCAAGCTTCAAGCTGACGATGCGTAAATATTAGCATTCGACTGGCGAAGTATGTTTATTGACAAGGTCCAAACTCAAGAGATGTAATTGTTTTCGCTTCAGATTGATGACATCTTGCAATCTACTACACGCACACTTTTTAGACATATAGAAGCAACTTTTCCTCGCACTTGACTGCATTACCATTGACGTCTCAACCAAAGACCCTGGATATTATCAAAATTACAAGAGCGCCATTCCGGACCAAGGAATGACGCAGTCCACACATCTCATGTCAGGCGCTGAGATGCCGACTGAGCCCGTCCCTGTGACATTGAACTGAATTAATGAAACTGCAAAAATATAGAGAAAGTAGTTGTATCCCTCAATGATGCTCTCACTCGCTGCTGATAGAGCGGTTCGACGACTCCTTGCAGAATACGTACCACAGCAGGGGCCCCTTTTCTACGAAGCAGTGCCATGGCGGACCATGAAACCTCGCATTCGGTAGTGGTGGGCGCGTATCTGATTTCATTTGTTCATAGTACCGTCATTCGGGTTGGCGTAGATAACACAAACGAAGTTTTACTTTTTTTCCAATAATTGATAACGTCAATGATGTGCTTGTGCTTTTGCATCAACAGGGTCGAACTCACACCAGATGCACAAAGCTGCATGCGAGCGATGAGAGCAGAGGGGCGCGCGACTTGCTTTGTCTACGAATTAGCCGGCAATACAGAGCATAACGGCGATCAGCATACGCAAGGAAGGGGGCTCGTATAGAGAGGGACATTTCTCTCTTTTTTTTTTTGGACAATAACAACAATAGCAGTAATAATATCTGCATCTTACCATACCTCTGCCTGGCTGCATCTTGCTCTTTTGATATCCACCCACATCTGGTTACACTGACTTTGTCGCCTATGTCTTTTTTGTTAAGATGGGAGCACCACCCATCTTACGCATTTGAGCGCTGTGTCACCCAGCTTTATTTTTGGGGAATAAGTGTATGTGCAGCATGCAGAGTCGGATACGAACCCAGCATTACGAGCAATTGGAGTCAGCTGCGTGTAAGCGTAATTTGTTTTCCGATGTGGTATGATGGGCGGGAAAACGCAAGCCTCGCACAATGCAGAACATTCCAAGGTGTATGTTCCGCATGTAAAGTCCGTCGCAAAAGTCAATATAGTTTTTCAGTAGCTCTTCCAATTCAATACGCTTATGCCATCAACCCACACCACCCGTCCCACATCCTATCCTCTTCATCCTCTTCATCTCCATCCTCATCCTCATCCTTGTCATCATCCTCATCTCAAAGACAATAAATCCAAAAGAGGACTGCCCAAAGTGGACTGCGGATGGTGTTCACTCCAATTTAAAGTTTCTCTCAGAAAAGGAACACTGTATACATACATGTTTGTACGTAAGCCGGCAATCGGTGTAATGGTTATATCTAGTCCACAACCGACAGAATGGACACGAAACAATCGGACGTAGTTCTGATTCAGACAACGATGACGACCATTGTCCCCGATTGCCTTCTACCGATGCAAACACCACATCCCTCTCTCTTTTTTCCTCCTCCCCTCCCCGCTCAACCCTATTTTTCAGCTCCCTACCGCGCTCTCCGATGACGATGTCCCTATTTTCTTATCGTTTCCTGTATTCAAATTCCTCGTCATGGGCCCGCCCGCAGGATGGGGTCATACATGACAAGTGCAGCAGCACTGACGGACTGGGACTAAAAAGTAACTGCATGCACTCATTCATACGATGCATTTTGAGACAAGAGGGTTTGGCCAGGGTCACCCTGACCCCTGTGCTGCATCTCATCCTGTCCGGCGATGTCATAAGAGTCTCGTGGACATTGCCCTGTAATGGTCTTGGCACCTCCCTTCTACTCTTCCAAAACTCGGTCCGTTGCCCGAGCGAAACTAGGAGGTTTTCTTTTCTTTTTTCCCTTTTTTTTTCCTTATCAGATAAGCCCTGTCGCGGTGGAATACTTCGGACAATTCGGAGTGCTGTTCCAAAAGGTGTACGGGTTAGAACCATCGTCATGTCGCGTTTTTCGTTTCATTTGTGGTCTTGGGTCCTCGAGTAAAATGACATGGGGACATAGGGTATACGGGCCATTCTCTTCGGAAGGATAACTCGCTCGTCCATGGTCTTGCCCCAGTTTAGTCTCCTCCTCCTCCTTAGACTTTCATGCCACATCGGACAAATAACCCTTGTGAGGTTACCGCCCGCGCATTTTTTTTCTTTTTCCTTCTTGAATTAGTCCTATATTTCCCCGTGCATTGAATCATAGGAATAAGCTTGGTTTCGCAAAATAGGGTGCTGCTGCTGCTGCTGCTACTGCTGTTGCTGCGGGCAGTCGTATGCGCATGTCTTACGTTTAGAGATGAAACTGATAAAATTTGGCGCTATCGTGTGTGGGGTAAAAGTGCAAAGTGGCCTAAAAAACCTAAAATTTTGGGCTAAGCTAAGAAACACCGATCGACCCGTGCCCAAAGTGGCTCGACCCCCCCCTCTCAGTGTCGTGGCATCGAGTGCAATCAAGCTCATTGGTCGAGTTGAGCACAGCTGTTGGGTGTAGGCATCTGTATGCGCGCGTTTATAAGTGGAGTGTTATTTCGGCCCCAGTACGTTCTTTTCATGATGGTGTCTGAAGGACCCTAAGACAAAAATCGACAAAACTATTTTGTTACCCAAAGCTGAGTATTTGAGTGACCTTTTTTTTATTATATATATATATATATTTTTCCTCCTGGACACACGTACAATTCAGGCATGGTCCCTTCACATAAAAGATACGTTAGGTGCATCAATTTAGTCGGACAATGGACAATCACAGAAAAAGGTACAGTTCATAAGGTAGCTATTTATTAGAAACAGAAAAAGGGACATAAAGCGCGAAGAAAAAAAACATAGGACAAAAAGGCAGACTAGATTAGAAGCAATGTAACAACCAAAAAAAAAAAAAAAAAAAAAAAAAAAAAAGCGATAACAAAGAAAAAAAGAAAAAGGAAAGAAAAAGAAAGAAAAAAGAAAGAAAAAAAGAAAGAAAAAAAGAAAGAAAAAGACTGATAAGAAAAGAGTAAAGTCGAGTAAGTCGTAGCGGAGTTGAATAAGTCATAGAAGAATTGAACAAGTCGTAACTACAGAAAAAAAAATGGTCGTCAAGGCTTCATTATCGGCGAGTAGAAAAGAAAAAAGATGAGGAGGATGAAAAGGAAAAAGGACGGTAGAGTTGGAGTGGAGGGTATATGTTAGCACCTGAGGACATTAAAGGGGACACAGCGCTTTTGGAAGGGTGATGTGGCATGTCATTTTCCACTCCATTGCGGAGCGCGACCGGACATCAGATGTACTTTGTCGGAATGGCCAAAGGATCGGCGCTGTATAATGGAAATGGCAGATGGCTCTGTGCTCTGTAAAAGAGTAAGGCGCCGGATTCGTGATTTGTTGATCAACGGAGGGGTGGTGCATCAAAATTAGAACGGAGAAAAAGCAGCAGCAGCAGCAGCAGCAGCAAATAACCAAAGGTACTAAAAAAAATAAAAAGCGAACAACAAGGAAAAGAAAAGAAATGGAGAAAGACATCAAGAGAAACCGGGATCATTTGGGAGATTCGCTCGGAAAGTCGTCCGACTTAGGCGCATCTTCAGAGCCCTCTACGATCGCATTTCGTCGTCTGAATGTGTACTCGGACGGCTGGTCTCCATCAGTTGCGTCGCCTCCCCCTGGGTTCATGTCTGCGGGAGCCGTTGCGGAGCCATCACTTCCTCCTCCGCCGCCTGAGCCGCCCCCACCACTGCTGTGGGCTCTTGCGCCTCCAAGCAAGTTACCTGGGCGCACCTGTCGCTGATTAAACGAGCTCTCTGTAAAGTCATACGCATTGCTGGGGGCGAGGGGCGAGAATGGCGAGCCGGCCATATGGATTCGTTGAATTGCTGGTGGGAGCGGCAACAAGAGTGTACCTGCGACCTCCTCGCGCTGGTTTGTGTTGCAGCCGATAGAAAAAGGCGATGCGCTGTCCATAGGCATCATTGAGCAGACATCGTCCCTGTGGTGTTCCAAGGCCCGATAAGGGACCAGTCGGCGCCCAATAGCGAGGTTGCATCGGCGATGGTTGGGAATGTTTCCTGCAGCGGAATAGTGCGACGCCATGTTGGTGTTCCACTCAGAGTCCATGCACCGTGGTTGGTGGCACATACTCTCGTCAGTTGCTAAAGCGGAATCTTGTACAGCCGAGAAGCAGATCTCTCGACGCTGCAAGTGATGCTTACGGCTCATCATCCGTCGCACACGAACGCAATGCACGCGTCCCGCTGGCAAGGCGAGAGTTGAATGACTCCTGTTCCTGGCGCTCGACATGAAGTGGTACTTTAAACGAGTCCTGAAGACCACACTGTAAAATAAAAATAAAAATAAAACCTGCTGAGATAAAAAGAGAGGGAAGAAGTTTAGATGCTTGGATGAATGGAGAAAAAAGCAGGCTGGGAGAGATGATGATGATGATGATGATGATGATGATGATGATGATGATGATGATGAAGGGACTAATCGCCTTCCTTCCCCTCGAGAAGATGCAGGAGGGAACGGTGCGATCTCTCTCTCTCTCTCTCTCGCACTTTTTCCAGGAAGTACAAAAGGGGCTATGACCTGATCATTTCATTCATTGGAGCCGCTAAATAGGCCGCATATAACAAAGAAGCAATGGGATTGAACATAGGGTAGCGTAGGTTGGATTTCATGCACAGTATGAAAATCGATCGGCGGCTCCACGTCCGTTCTGGCTAGCTCCAGGTCAGTCTGTGAAGGGATCTTGTCGCGAGGTTGGCAGTTTTATTACCTGTTGCTGCAGGCGCGTATGCGACAAGATATGTGTGAATGGAGATATCACGTCAGGATTGTGGAGGAAGAGAGTACTGAGAAGGAAGTGGGGGGTGAAAAGTGAATGCGGGATATGGACACACCAGAAAACAAAGAGAGTGAGAAACGCTTTGGGACCTCCACAAAAGCAGCACCACGTCCAATCGATGTTCGTGTTCAACAGCCAATGACAAGGGAAGGAACTGCGTTCCCCGCAACAACAATCGCAACAACGACAAAGAAGGTGCACAACTGTCACTTCTTTTGCCCAGAAAAGATAGAAAGGACCAGCGAATGAGAGAAAGAGATATGGGAAAGGAGCGGACGGTAAAGGGTGGAATGGGACGAGGTTTACAGATGGGAAGATGGGATGGGAAAAAAGTGACCAAGAAGGCGGGATTCTTTTTTTCCCTCCTTCAGAGGCAGTGGTAGCCAGTCCCTTGATTCCAGTCCGTGTGTGTCTTTCCTGGCGGGAGAGGAGGAAGCACTGGTTTCGCCTCTTCCGGCCATAGCCCTGCGATCATGTTTGTTGCAGCTCTCCAACGGTCGTCTGTTGCGACAATGAACTCAAATTAAGACTGCAGGGGGACAATGTATGTAGCACTCACCTCGGTTTGCGTGGATTGTCAGACGACTGGGTGGAAGGATAGAATCTCGAGGGTAGAGAAAGAGACCTGGGGTAGATTAGGATGCGTTTTCTTCAGGACGGTGCGTCTGAGTTGATCGTTCCTGTTGACAGGGAGAGACTTTAGGAGGATGATCCACGGAGATGCAGTGTGTGGGTGTGGAGATGAACGTGGGTGCAAGAGCAGTAAATATGGCGGGAGCGAGTAGAGGCGGTATAGAAGAAAGGAAAAAAATAAAGACAGCAGGGTGGGATCCGATCAGAGCTGGCTTCAGTTCCAGGGTTCAGTTGACGCAGCAAAAGAAAAGCGAGGACGAGTAAGCAAAGAGGGAGACGAAAGGAGAGAGAGCAAGAGAGAGTAAAAAAAAAAAAAGAAAGAAAGGAAGAAAGAGTGAAAAGAGTGAGCGATGGAGACGAAAGAGAGCGAAAAAGAGAGGCGGGATCCAGACAGCTGCTCCAGGTTGGACCTGCGTTCCTGACTGACGGACCAAAAAAAGAAAAGAGAAAAAGCCGTTGGAATGTTGTTTTGCCAAATGCTGGACTAATGCAAAACGCTGCATCGCAAGGGGTTGAGGCATCCTCTCGCCTAATGCTCATTTACACCTTCCGCCCCTCTCTTAGCACTCACCCGATCCAACGGCTCTTTACATTGGCCGTCCATCCCTTCTCCTCTTTCTTCTCGTTATATCTTTCATTTCAGTAGTCTTACTATCATCCACAACTGCTCGTAGCCAGCTGTCCGTACGAACCAAGTCCGGCACCAGTATCCTTCTTCACGTTGCGAATAGCCCTCGGTTGCCAACAAAGGCGTGTGAACAAATGCCTGCGGATTCAGGCGCCCCCTGAGGTACCTGTCCTCGACAGTTTATACTCTCGTGCTCTCACCTAGTTTTGGCACGGCCTGAAAGCCAACGTGAACACTCTTCCTTAGGCGGGTTGTGAGCCGCGAATGGGTCAAGTTGTCCAGGCACTCGGACGGGTGATCAAGAGTGCCAAAAAGGCTATATAGACGAGCGAATCGGAAAAAATGTCTGTGGTTACAGGAGCGCTTGTAGAACCCTGTAGCATAAAATACTAACCGTACAAGAAACAAGGGGCAGTACCACCACTATAACCGGGGAAGAGTAACCCATTCAGATAGGACAAAGCTTGTTAGTCGATTGGTGAAGGAAGAAGTATTGCGCAGAAAAAAGAAAAAGGTGGACACAAGGAACGAACACAAGCGCACAAAGGAATGTAAACAAATAGGAACACCGACAGGATACGATTACGGGGGCAGTGTAACCCTTTGTAAACCTTCGAGTCTGTCCCCGCAAAACAGTTGTATGCAAGTATGCAACTCTACTTTCTGTGCCCGACCACTAGATAGCCGCTGTTGCCGCTGTTGTTGTTTTTGTTTGTCCTGCCGGGTCCCAGTTCAGATCTCCAATCTTCTGACCTGTATGTCGATAGGTTTATTCGCGTCCTGCATTACTCGCCTCCCGCCTTCTTTCTAGTCCCTGTTCTCATTATCCAGCCTTTTACAACAGCACAATCTTCCGAGCCCTTTATGCATGCGCTGCTGTGTGTCCGTTCTCTTTTCCTGCTTATGTTCACAATATCTAGACAGCTATTGGTCTCCTTGCCATTGCTGTTACACTTTTTTTTTTTTTTTTTTTATGTAGTGAGAAATGAAGACCCTATTATTAGCGCTTAGTTTTGATCTGCGACTTCTTAGGGTCTATGCAAACCGCCAATGCTCAAAAACTAGCCATGTGTTTTTATCCGCATACGAAAATAATGCTCAGAATGTTAATGGTGTGAATGGTTTTCATTTCCCAGCAGCAGCCTCTCGCATGGCTCTCATGGGTGAAGGAATGTCTTTTGTTGTCTGACTGTGCGATGGATACCTTGTATCAATGATGCCGTGCTCTGAATCGAACACATGCGCTTCGAGCACGCGTGGCGATCTTTGCACAAGCTCCTTGGAACTGAAAATACGTGCATCTGCGCTCTTGTTCTCATGAACCCTGTTTGGGCACCAACGAAATTTTCTTATGCAACCCCTCCCTCGCAGATAGGCACATTTGTCGAGTTGCGACGTGTATTCATGTCCAAAAGTGTGGTAGTCTATCCAATGCTGACGATCTTGTATTTGGAGAAGTCGACTTTGTTTGCCCTGTCTAGTTTGATATAACAAGTATCTACGCGCCACCAATCAACCACCCGAAATGGAAGCGAGAGCTAGAGATGGTAGGATAAAGACGACCAAGATGAGGAGACGGAGTTGGATGACAGTTGTACGCAATTGGTGGCAACTGATACCTCAATCCAATCGTGCCGTCTGTAGTGGGCGCAGCCGATTTGGCAAGGGAGGTGGTCCTCCCCAGGGCGCTCAAAGGAGGAAAAAAAAAAAAAAGAAGTGCGTCACATGATTTCTCTTCTAATTTGCCTACAAAAAGCTCAGCAGTACTCTTGATTGCGATCAACTTCTTCAACATTCTCTTCACCATCCATGTTCGGCGCTACCAAGGACTTTTTGGGAAAACCAGCACCTCCAGGATATATTGCCGGTCTCGGCAGAGGGTACAGTCTCAGAAAGTTGATTTCCCTTGAGTGTTTGATTTGTCATGACATCACGTTATTTCTAACATTCTACCTTCTTCGTTCTTCAAATAGTGCCACTGGATTCACAACACGTTCTGATATCGGGCCTGCTCGTGAGGGGCCCACCGAAGCGTAAGAGCGTTTTCTCGTTCGAATTCTAGAGCTAATCGGTAGAACTTGGGGTTTACTACTCTAGTTGCTAATTGATCTCCGTTCTTTTCAATAGTGACATTGCGAAGCTCCAGGAGCAGGCAAGGAGAAAGGCAGCAGAGGACGGAGACGATGACGACGAGCGCTATCAAGATCCTGATAACGAAGTTGGATTGTTCAGCTCAGCGCCCTATGAAGCCGATGACGAAGAAGCAGACCAGATCTACGACTCCATCGATGCTAAATTGGACGAGAGGCGAAAGGCACGAAGGTATGGTGTATAGTCTGACATGCATCTTGACCGACCAAGGATCCGTTTCGAACATTACTAACGTTTTTATTTCATACATGCTTTAGGGAGGCGCGCGAGAAGGAGGAGCAGGAAAGGTTGAACAAGGAGAGGCCCAAAATTCAGGACCAGTTCGCGGATCTGAAGCGAGGGTTGAATGCGGTCTCTGTCGAGGAATGGGAGAATTTACCAGAGGTCGGCAACATCGCGGGAAAAAATCGCAAAAAGGCCAATTTGAGGGAGAAGTTCGCACCTGCGCCGGATTCCCTGTTGCCGAGAGCGCAGGAGGAGATGGCTACGACTTTGGATGCACAGGTAGGCTTCAAGTTGTTTTTGTTTTAGAGGTGGACTGGTTCGCATTTGTTATTTATACTGTACTTACTATAGCCACTTAATGTTTGGATAGCCCAATGGTCTGGCCACGCCCGCGCCAGGAATAATGACCAATTTCAGGGAGATCGGAGAGGCCAACAAGCAGGTCCTCGGAATGCGACTGGACCGAATGGCCGATTCTGCCTCTGGAAAGACGACAATCGATCCCAAGGGATATTTGACAGGACTCAACAGTGTCGTTGTCAAGAGTGCAGCCGAGATTGGTGATTTGAAGAGAGCCCGCGATCTGCTCAAGTCGGTCATTAACACTAACCCGAAACATGCGCCAGGATGGATCGCAGCAGCACGTTTGGAAGAGCATGCAGGAAAGCTGACGGATGCACGCCAGATCATTGACAAGGGCTGTGCAGAATGTCCAAAGGCAGAGGACATCTGGCTGGAGGCTGCACGATTGAATAACACGGATAATGCAAAGAAAATTCTGGCGAACGCAGTCAAGCAGATCCCACAGTCTGTCAAGATCTGGCTTCATGCTGCACAGCTCGAAACAACACCCAGGGCGAAAAAGACTGTCATCAGGCGTGCGCTCGACTATGTACCCAACTCTGTCAAGCTGTGGAAAACTGCTGTGGAATTAGAGGATGACCCGAATAACGCCCGTATTCTACTCGCACGTGCGGTCGAACTCGTGCCGCTTTCGGTAGAGTTCTGGATTGCTTTGGCGCGATTGGAGACTTATGAAAACGCACAAAAGGTCCTGAATCAGGCGCGTACCAAGATCCCAACCTCACACGAGATCTGGATCACAGCCTTCTGTCTACAGGAAGCCAACAATAAGGATGTGGAAAAACTGGTGGCGAATGCAATCAAGAAGCTATCCATGATGGAATCGGCGCTTGGTCGGGATCAGTGGTTAGAGGAGGCTGAAAAATGCGAGAAGAATGGGTTCATTAACACCTGTCAGGCAATTGTACGAGCAACTGTCGGCATGGGTATTGAGGAGGCAGATTTGAAGTCTACATGGATGGAGGATGCCGAGAATGCTATTGCACACCAGTCATACGGCACCGCACGCGCTATCTATGCTCATGCACTGAGGACCTTTCCTTCGAAAAAGTCGATCTGGCGACGTGCAGCCTTGCTAGAGAAGGCACACGGTACTAGGGAATCTTTGGAAGAGTTGCTTGTGCGATCTGTCAAATATTGTCCGCAGGCAGAGTTTTTGTGGCTCATGGGTGCCAAGGAGAAGTGGGTTGGAGTAAGTGTCATTTGTGTCCATCCTTTTATTATGTCGCTGATTATTCTCTTTATTGGGGCTGTATATTAACATACCTTTTTCTTTTTCAAAGGGCGATGTTCCTGGAGCTCGCGCAATTTTGGATGCTGCGTTCGAAGCTAACCCGAACAGCGAGCAGATCTGGCTTGCTGCAGTCAAATTGGAGGCTGAGAATGGCGAGTTTGGACGTGCGGAGCTGCTTCTGTCGAAGGCAAGAGTCAAGGCGGATACTATGAAGGTCTGGATGAAATCTGCGGTCCTGGAACGTCAGCTAGGCAAGATTTCAGAGGCACTTGAATTGCTAGATGTAGGATTGGTCAAGTATCCGACTGCTGACAAGCTGTGGATAATTCGAGGCCAGATTTTGGCGGATCGCGGCGACGTTCAGAAGGCGAGGGAGAACTATATCAAGGCCCTGAAGAGCTGTCCCAGGTCGGTTCCATTGTGGATCTTGGCATCGAGGCTGGAGGAAAAAGCAGGACTACTGACCAAGGCGAGAGCTCTGCTGGACAAGGCACGCTTACTGAACCCCAAGACGCCCGAGTTGTGGTAAGCTGTTGTCGCTGCTGCTTTCTTGGTTATTATGTGATGTAAAGCAATTGGAAATACAATATATCTAACACTTGTGATTAATGTACTAATGATATAATGTACTTTCTCTCTCTTTGGTCTTTATTTCGACAGGCTGGAGTCAGTAAGGATTGAGTTGCGAGGAAACAACGCCAACTTTGGTAGGTCACAGATGGCCAAAGCACTGCAGGAGTGTCCGTCGTCAGGACTGCTGTGGTCGGAGTCTGTTTGGCTTGAGACGAGAGCGCAGCGCAAGGGCAAGATTGTCGATGCTCTAAAGAAATCTGAAAACTCAGCTCATGTCCTTATCACGGCGGCGCGTTTGTTCTGGTCAGATCGACAGGTGGAGAAGGCACGGTCCTGGTTATTGAGGGCAGAAAAGGCAGACTCGGACCTGGGCGATGCGTGGGCCTGGCATTACAAGTTCGAGATGGAGCACGGCGACGAGACGAGGAAGCAGGAGCTGGTGATGCGGTGCAAAGCAGCGGAGCCCAGGCATGGCGAGTACTGGCAGGCGGTGGCGAAGGATCTGAAGAATGCAGGGAAACCCTTGGAGGAGATTCTTGTACTTACAGCGGCATCATTGCCGCCAAACACGGTGGCATAGTAAGAAAGCGTCGCTTTTCATATACAAGTCCCGCATGTTAGATGGATCTTACAAATACATACCTTGATATATACAATACAGCATACACGGAAGCTGTACAGTGCCACCAAATGTACTGCTAGAATATTGGCTTGCTGTAATCCATTTGAGTGGCAATCGCGAGGAAGAGGGACGAGGGAGGTACATCACTCATGTGTGACAAATTAAATGGCATTTGAACACTCAGAAACGAAACGCAGAGAAGGCTGGTGCACTGTGTCTTAAAGATTACCAATGGATCGATAAGCGAGCGAGCGTGGGATTTGACGGCGGGGTCTCCCTCTTAGCAGCGCGTGTATAAAGTCCCTTCTTTCCCATCGCTCATTCCTCTTTCTTCATTCGCTCCCCAACACACACACTCTCAATCGACTTTTTTTCTTTTCATTTTTGTCATTCACTCTACAAAGAACCTTATATCATGTCCTCTGCTACTGCCGCTTCCAAGAAGGGTGACGAAAAGCACCTTTACACCGTCGTGGGTACGCAGTGATCAATCCTGTCTCCGTGTCTTTTTGTCCTGTATCAAACGGGCTAGACAGGCTCAGTAAGCGCTTAAGCTAATCAACCAATTGCCGCCGTTGTCTCTTTGCTGTGCTTGATCGTAGTCCTTGGTGCTTCTGGTGATCTTGCCAAGAAGAAGACCTTCCCAGCGCTTTTCGGTCTCTACAAGAACAAGTACCTCGACCAAAACACACACATCATCGGCTATGCTCGCACCAAGATGGATCGTTCCACTTTCGAGGAACACGTCTCCATGAACATCAAGCTGAAGACCGACGAGGACAAGGCTGCACACAAAAAGTTCCTGAAGCTGTGCTCGTACCAGTCTGGCCAGTATGATCAGGATAGCGATTTCAAAAGGCTTGAGGACGCCATCCGCGAGGTCGAAAAGGCATCAGGTGCGACCGCAAGACTGTTCTACATGGCCTTGCCTCCTTCGGTCTTTATCTCTGTTGCGAAGGGTCTGAAGAAGAACAATTACACCGAAGATTCTCTTGTCCGTCTTATTGTCGAGAAGCCCTTTGGTATGGACTTGGATAGTTCGCGCGAACTGGCCAAGGACCTCGGTAGTCTCTTCAGTGAGGACGAAGTAAGTTGATGGACATACACGCCCGCACTGGCGCCCAGGTTTACCCAAGAGGTCTTTGCAGCGTGCTTTATATGTTTATGTGGCGATAAGCTGACACCTTCACATCGATCTCCTACTCGTTCAGATCTACCGTATCGACCATTATCTCGGCAAGGAAATGGTCAAGAACCTGATGATCCTGCGTTTCGCAAACGTCATCTTTGGTTCCGTTTGGAATCGTCACACCATCGACAACGTCCAGATCACCTTCAAGGAAAAGCTCGGCACTGAAGGCCGCGGCGGCTACTTTGATGAGTTTGGCATCATCCGCGATGTCATGCAGAACCGTGAGTATCTTGGCTCTATTTCTCGCAAGCGTCATTCTCAAATGGTCATCCTTCCCGATACTATTGTTTTTCTAATGCTTTGATCTTGATCATATACACAGATATGCTTCAGATCTTGACCTTGGTTGCGATGGAACCCCCGGTTTCGCTCGGTGCTGAGGATGTCCGTGATGAGAAGGTAAGATGGTTGTAGCATAAAGCAAATGATGACGAAATGGAGTACGAGCGTGTGTTTGAAACTCTATTACAACTCGCTTCGATTTAATAATGCACGGTAATAACATTTTTTATACTTGGCGCGACATAACCTATCGTTTAGGTCAAGGTACTGCGCTTCATCCCTCCAATTGTCAAGGATGATATCCTGTTGGGCCAGTATGGCAAGTCAGAGGATGGCAAGGAGCCTGGGTACCTCGATGACAAGACCGTTCCCAAAGACAGCAAGACCCCGACCTACGCTGCCGCCACACTCTTTATCGAGAACGAGCGCTGGTCCGGTGTTCCCTTTGTCATGAAGTGTGGCAAGGCCCTCGACCAGCAAAAGACCGAGATCCGCATTCAGTTCAAAGATGTGGCCGGACACCTGTTCACCACTCTGTCACGCAACGAGATCGTCATCCGCGTCCAGCCCGACGAGGCAGTCTACGTCAAGATGATGAACAAGGAGCCTGGCCTAGGCACAAAGACCATCATCTCAGACCTAGATCTGTCGTACTCGAGCCGCTTCAGCGACTCGGTGATCCCCGAGGCGTACGAGTCCCTGATCCTGGATGTTTTGAACGGCGACCACTCCAACTTTGTGCGCGACGACGAATTGGACGCGGCATGGAAGATTTTCACGCCCATCTTGAAGCAGATCGACAACGGCGAGATCGACCCCATTCCCTACGCGCACAGCAGCCGTGGACCCAAGGGAGTGACCGAATTTGTGGCCAAGTACGGCTACACGCGTGAAAGACAGGAGTACGTTTGGCCACAACACTCTGAGGCCGGATCGGCCGCTGGCAAGGACCAAAAATAATTTTCATACAGCGCGATGAACAGCGCGAGCATAATTCTGTGAAGCAAATAAACGATTGTACATTCATGCCTTCCTTTTGTTTCAAGACTACACGTGATGTTGAAGGGCAGCTGTATCCGCTTCGCTTTGCATGCATCCACCTTGTTCCTCATTCACTGTTCTCGTTTTAGCATGAGCTCACCACAGCTGCTCGAGACTATCCTATATGATCCCAAAGGTAAGTAGTGTCGTATTTTGTCCTCTTTGGATCTTATTTGTTTCTACCGGGGTCATGGATACGCGTCTTACTTGCATTTCCTTCTCGAACACTACCGATAGAGGGCATGTTCCTCTTGGACTACCATTGCGAGCGCATGATAAACTCTGCAAAGACCTTGGCGGTGTTTTTTGCTAACGACCAGGAGCTATTTCTACGGGAGCTTATCCCTACCCCTTCCGAGATATCCAATAAACTGGACGTGGCTATCAGGAACGCGGGAAAGGACACACGGCAGAGGGTATGTCCCATTTAGCGCCAAAAGAAACCTCCATCTTCGTTCTCGGCGACTGTAGATGTCAAGGCTCATGGGAGCCCACCGGGCAAAAGATAATGACATTCGCTAATTGGCATGTTTTATCGCTCTCTTTTGATGCCGCATTTCACTCTTTACATAGTTGCGGGTACTGCTCGACTTTGACGGGGCAATTACGATCCAGTCAAGCCACCTGCCTTCAGAGACCAAGGACTTTTCTGGTACAGAATCCCAGCTCGCGTTCATTTGTCATTGAGTGTGATATACGTTCACATGTGGGAACAGCAAAGCGTTAAAATCTAATGCTCCCTTTGATGTGCGCTACCAGATGCTTCAATTGTCGTGGTTCTGGACAAGGAGCCAACCCCAAAAGACAATATATTTTTGTACCACAAGACCACTGAACGCGAAGTCTACAATGAGGCACGGCAGCGCCTAGGTAATGAATGAGAATAATACCCCTCCTATACTCACGCGCTCGCTTCTGTTGAACTGTTGGATGTTGATACTATAACTGGTGTTCTCGTATACGTAGGTCTAGGGCCGATAACGGCCCCCAAGAACTCAGACAAGCCATTTGATGTGATCTTGTATAACCTCGACGAAGAGATCATGGAGACCACCATTGCGAATATCGCGATCGAAGTGAAGAACCCCGACTCAGGAGAACTGGAATGGGTTACACCGCCTGTGTCTTCGGGTAAGACGAGCGGGGATAGAACAGATCAGCGGTATATGAACCAAGGTATCCTCATTCACATTTGCTTTTTTTTTTTCTCTCTATTACTTTTTTTTTTTTTTTTTTTTTTTTTTGTAGGATTGCTGTGCGGGACGATGCGGCGTAAACTATTGGAGGAGGGGAAGCTTAAAGAGAGGGTCATTACGGTGGACGACCTCAAGAACGCAGCATTGGTAAGGCCATCGAACTTTGGTGCATCTAATTATACTCCATCTCCCTTCTTTGTTCTCTGACTCGTCCCTTCTACTCTTATGGTCCCACTTACAAACAGGAGAACAGAAGGATAAAGTGCTTCAATTCTGTCCGGAAAGAGTATCTGGTTACGCTGTGGATTTAAACACTCCAATCAATACAAGTTTGTAATACCTATGTATATGAGCGATCATCTCAAATAACTCCATGCAGTGAAGGCGCGCCCAATTCACGTTTATTGTCCTCGGAACGAACATCTAACCCATGCTCGCTTTGCTAGCCGTTCTGGGTATCCTGATTTCCTCATGCGTCATGACTGTGTTGCGTTTCCATGATATGGTTTTCGCTTGTTATTCATAAAGAAAGACGACAAGACCGACGGCACCCAGGAGCGCATATTTGAGCATTGGGTAGTCCGTCATGAAGATGGTGAACATGCCGAGATAAGGCAAGAACCCTTGCACGCGACCCACAATGTCCTTGGGTTCGATCCACATCATGCCCCTGTTTGTATGGAATTCCTGGTAGAGTCCTCGGTCGTCGACGTTGTTGTTGTCGCCCTTTGTCAACAGCAGCTGCGTACCAGCCTTTGGTCTAAGGGGGAATTATCATATTCAATGGGTTAGTCATAATCCCTAGGATAAACGCAGGCGAATCGTCCTGTAACACAATATTGCTTACGAGTCATGGCGGTCAATGACACGATGGACAATTGGGATATCACGTCCTGGGATCTTGAAGACACAGATCTCGCCGATTTCGATGGGCTTCTTGGGATTGCTGAGGAAGAGAATATCGCCTCTTGCGAATGCAGGCTCCATACTCTCACTGAGGAGGCGAGTCCATTAGAAATGAGGGGCGAATCGATCAGGGGGAAGGTATAAAGCCACATGAAGATAGCAGTCGGGTGTTAACACAAAATCCAGTCTGCTACGTGGCAATTGAAGGTAGTCCGGAGTGGAGCCCATGAAATAGCGCCGTACCTTAGAACCACGACCAGGGGCGATTCGCAGCTGGTGTAGAGACCCCATGCCTTGTAGGACATGAAGACTCCAAATAGCATCATCAACACATTGAGTGAGTTGGTAAGGATCTAGGAGAAGAAGGATATGGACGAGAAGGAGTGGCCGTCGGTCAGTCCGTTCAGAGTTGGCGTAAAAAGAGGTCGATCGCAACAATGCAATGTCAGCACGCTAACGACGTACTTGTCTCAAGTTCATGGCGAATTCCTTTATCTGTTTTCCTTTGCCGCTATTCCTTTGTATGTTGTTGAGCCCGAGACAAGAGGAAGAGGAGGCGATGTAGTGTTCGAGAGGAGGATGAAACATTAGAAGAGAGAATCGATGATGCAAAGAAGGCGCGACCTGGTCTGTCTCCGCACGTGATGCATTAACCAACGAGTACTCTTAACCATCAGTAAAGTCTTTGCGCATCACCGTTTCTTCACTCAAGAACTCTTCCTACTCCCTCTCCATCAACAACTCGACAGCCGCCCATGCCTCCACCACCACCACCACCACCTCCTCCACCACCAGGCGGTGGACCACCTGCCGCAGCACCGGTCCCTAAACCATCCAAGGACAGAAATGCACTCCTCAGCGAAATCCAAAGCGGAACCAGACTTAAGAAGGCTGTCACCAACGACCGCTCCGCTCCCATCGTCGGTAATACCCTCGTCCCTTTCTTCCTTTTCTTCAGTATTTCGTTGTCTGGAATATGCATATTCTGCCTTCCTCGTTTACTCATAAGAACGAGAGAGTCGTAATATGTGTTGGTTTATCTCTGAGCGTGCAAAAGGATTGGGCTATGACGTGCTGACACGCTAAACGTATTTTCTTTGTATCTTATCTAATGCATTGACAGATGCGCCAAAGTCGAGCATTGGGGGCGGCGGAGGATCGCTACCACGACCACCGCAAATAGGCGGTGGTGGCGCAAGCAATGGCGGTAGCGCAGCGGGGGCTGGAGGCGCACCACAGCTAGGCGGGCTGTTTGCAGGAGGTATGCCCAAACTCAAGAGTCGAAGCGGCGGTCTGGACACAGGAGGTAAGATGTGGGCTGTTTCTGTATTTTTTCTTTCTTTCTCGCTCGTCCCTTGGCATTGGTGCTTCTTTTTGGTTTGGTCTCTTGGAATGGCGGCGACTAAGCACATTCGGAGGAGGCAAGGAGGCGATGACAGCACGACAATCGCATTCGACGCAGGCAAGGCGAGGGTAGCAACAAGCAGCAGCTCGATCGGACCGAAAACAAGACGATATGGGTTATATTTACACAACATGGTTATTACAATCCGGAAAGAGTGGTAGAGCAGCTCTCAGGCAACTTCGACTTGTCTTTGACTCAACTCAACTCTTATGTACCTGCGCTCTCGATTCTGTCTTTGCTCTGCTCATGTCAGGCTGCCCGCATCCTGCCGCTAATGCAGCTTGTTCTCACGGCATGCTCGCGCAATCACTGTCGACTCGTTCTTGGGCAATGCCATGGACACTTTTTTCGACGCTGGAACAGAGGCGCTGACCCCACATGGATATCGTCGTCGTTATGCAACATGGTCCAAGTATTAATATCCACCCCCTCTTCTTTTTGCGCTATAGCCGATCACAGCGCCAGCAACAACGTCAGCAATGGAACTCCCGCTAGAGGACTTCCAAAACCACCCACGTTCAACAGCCCCGCCAAAGCGACACTGCCAGTACCAACAGCGACACCTCCCAGTGTACCAGGAAGGACACCACCGCCCGTACGTCATGCACCTGCCACTCCACTCTCTGCTGCAGCGCCATCTAGTTTATCTAAGGGCAGCTCACCCTCCAGATTTGTACCTGCTCCACCATCCGCCAATGGATCGCCTGCTCGTGCGGTTCCGGCGGTTCCACCCACTCCAGGACGCCCAGCATCCACACTTCCACCTAATCTCTCCCGTTCGCCCGCCCCACCTGCTCCACCACGAAAGATAGGACCACCTCCTCCATCACGGCCCAATGGAACAGCTCACCCACCAGCAACACCATCACGACCAACACCTGCACTTCCAGGTCGTGCACCTCCTCCGCAGCCGGGGCGCGCTACTCCCTCAACGCCTTCTACAGCACCTTTTACGTCTAATCCACCATCCACACCTCCGAACAGGACACGCCCGCCGCCCAGCACCCCTCCACCCCTGCCAGGGGTAGCCCCCAGAGCGCGGTCTGGTTCTGCCCCAGTCAAACCCGACATTCGTCCTGCTGCATCTGTACCAGAGCCACCAGCAACAGAAGGTCGGTGGACATTTAGAACGGCCTCGGACTTTCCTGCACCTCGGGCAAATCACAGTACTGGATCGAAAGTGTATCCCAGCGGAAACTCTACGGGAAGCTGTAAGTTGCATGAATCGACGTGCGATCACGCTGTAAAGGCATGCAGGACATGATACTTACCCTTTTTTTTTGCTGACTATCATTTTTTTCAAATTCTAGCCGTCCCGTTGGATTTCTCGTCATTAGCAGGCGTATCAGCAGGAAGAGTGCCGCCCCCTCCACCTATGGGGGGTGGCGGTCGTTACCGCTAAAGAACAGCTGGAATGAAGAGAATAAAGAAAAGTATCGAGGCATCATATCGAATCAACATGTCATAAACCGCCCCTGTTGAGCCAAGGAATGGTCTTGTGTACGACAGCAACCAGTTTTAATAATAAACGTTGGAGTTCAACTTTGTACGATAGAAATTATGTTTCCTTGCCAAAGTAGTTTAAACATGATGGGGATTGGGTATTCTGGATTGTCTAAGCGTCCACTTCATCGTCATCATCGATCCCAGGACCTTGCTCAGCCAATTTCCGATGCTGCTCCTCTGCGTCAGCAGCCATTTGCTTTCTTCGGATAGAAACGGCGTCCAGTTGTTTTTGCAGGCTAGCGATCTGTTCCTGAAGCATTTTGATATCATGCTGGGCCTTGGCTGTTTTCATTTTACAGAAACAAGGTGAAGAAGAGAATGAAATGATATGAGTGAACCGATTGATCGTTGTGTGCTTCTTTCTGAACAGCAGCAGCAGCAGCAGCACTTTGGTTGATGCACGTTGTGCTTACCTTTGACTTCAGTCACCGGCGCAGCATGGCTATCGACAATGGGGCCATACTCACGACTGCAGACCTCCTTAGTGGCGCTCCATTGATGTTCCTTCTGAACTGCCTCTTGGGCCAATTGATCCACCTCTGACTGCAGATCTGATCTATTCACAAGAAAAAAGAAAGAAAATGTAGAGCATTAGCGGTGAGCGAACGACAATTATGTAAAAAAAGAACAAGAGTCGACAACATCTGTGTTCAGACTTACCGGCTGTTGTCCGACTGATCCAAAGAATCCAATTGCTCTTGTTTCTCCTTCAATTGAGTCCTGACAGCAACCAGGGCTACAGTCGATTTCTCGAGCTATTATTGACACACACACACACACACACATATATATATATATATACAAAATAAGATATGTCAGAAAATTGGATTCAGCTGCTTGAAAAATGGGGGGGGGGGGGTTTTGCTTGGCTGAGAGAGGACAAATGTCTTGCGATGAGCGATTGTATTTCTTACCTCCTCAAGAGCCACCCTCTCAGCATCTGCGCCCTCGCGCTCTTCTCTGTGATGATGAGAAGACATTACGAATGTCAGTGAATCAAGTAGCAAAAAGAAGTTCAGCAGCATTATGAAGTCTCCAGAAGAAAAAAAGGAAAAAAAGAAAAAAAAAAAAGAAAGAAAGACACGGTCTGTAACTACCGCTCTAGACGTACTTGGCAATGGCCTCCAAGCGTTCCTGAACAGATTTCAGTTCCGCGTCCAGATCGATCGTCGGCAAGAGCATCCTGTTTGACGGGGTGATTTCCAGATTCTCAATGATATCGGCAACAGCGTTCACATCGACGACTTCAGGCTCGGTGTTCTATGAAAAGAGAGGCAGAATAAGTTATGGGCTGGTTTCACAAAAAAAAAAAAAAAAAAAAAAATGCATGTCCGCGCGTAGGACGAGCGTGTTACCTGGGCTACAGATGGCGTGTCGACTACTGGTGATGTGCTCATGGTAAACGTTTCGTTGTTTTTTGTCAGGGTAGTAGTAGTAGTGGTGGTGGTGGTTGAATGAGTGAGGTGAATGAAGGGAACAAAGAAAAGGGGATCACACTCCTGAAGTTGCGTTTCCCAACTCAAAAAGAGGGGGCAACGAGAGGCGGGTCACAGAGCGTTGCCCAAGCATGCGCTGTGCCATTGCCTGCAGCGGGTTATTATTAGCCTTTCAAAGCGCTCTCTTTTTTCCGGCCTCTTTACATCTCCCGTAAAGTGTAGAGCAGATCAACGATAGACGCGTCGAAACTGGTAACCTTGATTCCCATAAAACGCGGTTCTCCAGATCGAAGAGGGGGATTTTTTTTTATCTTTTTCTTCTATTTTTTTTATTGGCAATCAACTATAGCGATAGTTGCCCTGCCTTGATGATCGCAGCTCGCAACTCATCTAGTCCATCTTTGGTCCGACTACTGACGCCGAGCACCATAGGGAAACAACAGATCGCATCTCTGACCAATTGTGCCTCGATCTCTGCCTTGGCAGCATTGTACTTTGTCACTGAGAGTCGATCCTTTTTGGTCAACACCACTTGATATGAGAGGCCCGATCCGTCCAAGAGTTGCATGATCTGGGTATCACTCTCCTTGAGTCCATGGGATGGGTCCACAAGAATATATATCCTCCTCAAGCTAGCCAAGCATGCAGGGTAAACACATCGGATTTGTTAGCGAACAGTTCCCAGAGAGTTGCTTGTTTGTCGTTTAGAACGAAGACAGAGGTCGGTCTAGTGATGTCTACTTACTTTCTCCTGTTCTGCAGGTAGTTGAGAATCATGCCTCCCCATTCATCCCGACTTTTCCAGCCGTATCCTGGCATGTCGACCAAGGACAGCTTCTCGCCCACCTTGAAAAAGTTCATCATCCGCGTGTGGCCCTAGCCGATCGACCGAAAAAACATAGCCATGTTAGATCAGGGCAACACCGGCATTTCCGTAGAATAAAGAGAAGTGTTCAGTGGCGAGGAATAGATCCTAGAAAGCAGCACGTACAGGTTTACTTGAGGTTTTGACAAGTCCGTTTCGATTGACAAGGCCATTGATCAAACTAGACTTTCCAATGTTGCTCCTGCCGATGAACGCGACCTACAGAGGCACATATCACAGTTAGTATATGAGCACTTTAGCATCAAATAATGGAGGTTCATGCAGCCCAACGACATGGTGCGGTGCAAATTACCTCCGGTATAACGGTGTTTTCGGGTATCATATCTATATTGGTTGCACTCTTGACAAACTCCGCAGGCAAGAGAAAGAACTTGTGTGCCTTCGCCAACTCGCTCGTCGTCGCGCCTGGGACGAATGGAAACGCTTCGAGCTTCCTTGGAAACTTTTCTGGTTTTGTCTCCTTTGAACTGTCAGTCTTCGAAGCTTGATCTCCTGTTGTATTGAGTGACGATGCGGCGGGTTTGTTATTGAGGTACCTAGTTTTGGGTCGTGTTACTGGTTCCTCTGTGGGAAAACCTCGTTGTATCCGCTTGTTGGTGGAAGCAACGGGTGCATCTAAAGCTCGTTGTGTTGTTGGCATACTTGCCGTCGGGACGGCGCGTTTTAATAATTCTGAACCAGCATCTGTTGTTGTACTAGCTACTACCGGCGATGTCCTCAGCGACGTCTCCTGAGGTACAGGTCGATCGGCTGACGGGATAGGTCTCCGTCGAAGTACGGCTTTTGTCCTGATCTCCCGTACAGATATCTGGTTCCAGAGTACGCAAGTATTATTAAACGAGCACCGAGCCGCTGCTGCTTTTGTTGCTGGTAGTGACCATGGTTGAGCCAGTCTCTTTGCTATTCTTGCGGCAGTGGCCATTCCTATAAGGGTTGTGTTGCTCAAAGTTGCGGGGCCGGCATCAGCTTTCTCTCGAGTTAAAAAGGGTTCCCCAGTCCTTTGACCCAAAAGCCACTCGATTTTGTCAACACGGAAAGCGTTCACCCCGCCCATTACCGTTTTCGAACACTCTCGACTCCACCTTTTGCATCCCATCCCTTTCTCGACTGCATATACATTTATTCACCATGAACCACGAGACAAAGGAAGCTATTCTCAAGGCCACCGAGGTTGTCAAGACCGTCGTCCACTTTGGCTTCATCCCATTCGTGATCTACCTCGGTACGAGTAACGCAATTGTTTGATTCCCGCTACTAATATACCTTTCCTGCGGTTACCACTCTCACAAGTCTGTCTATCTGTCTGTCTGCTAACTCGACCCATTTTTGTTTTACTTGCTTATCTATAGGATTTACCCGGTAATACTCAGCAACACCGTGTTCGCATTGATGCACAGAAGAAAAGAGCTGGAGCGACAAAGCCTACCAATGGCCTCTCTGTTCCTTTGCTTGGGGATAATGAAACACTGCGTGCTCGATAGGATACAGGGACATTATCGCCAGAATCTGATTTTCGACCTTTTTTTTCCTTCCGGAAACTAACATTGAACTCTTTCTTGCATGGTCTCTCACTTTGAACAGAAGCGACCCCAAGCCCTCGTTGATCCGCCTCATCCTTCCCTTGGCTTAAATATGTACAGGAGCTCAGGATGCGACGACAGCGGGTAGCAGCAAAAGGACGAAGACGAGAAGGAGGAGGAGAAGGAGGGCATCCAACATCTTATTGCAGATCATGATGGAGCCATAACAGAACTTTACTGGACACCCACCGAGCAACTATCTATGCTCAAAATAAATAAAAAACGACATTCGCACAGAAGTAGACCACTATGATATCATTTTCTGTCACTAATCGAATGGATTTCTATAATCACATTGACTTCAGAGCGTGATAGTTGGCAGCTTCCTGTGCCGTTCACACATCGACAATCTAACTATCAGGATATACTGGCCATTCTGATTACTACTTTTTTTTTTTTTTTTGCCAGGGATTGGCCTTGAACTGAGGATATTCGGTTTTCTGACCCCTTAAAACTAATTATTGATATTCAAACTCAAGACGGCACTCTTCGAAAGTGTGACATGAATTGTTCGCTTCTCAGCTTGCCCATTGTCTGCCTGTTTGCCTGTTTGCCTACCACTTGCACGCATTCTTTCCTTCAGCAAACATAAGATCTATCTACAAGTGCGTGAATGCCGCGGATAGGTTACAGGTCGGTAAGTTTAGGGGGGAGGGGAGGAACTATCTTTTAGGATACAAAAATAAAAAAATCTGATCGAGATAAGATCCGTCAGATCGAATATCATGGCCCATGGGCTCGGACCCAAGGTAAGGGTAGCCAATCGAAAACCTGGGGTAGACGCACGGACCAGAAACGGTCTCGTTCCACCAAAAAAAAAAAAAAAAAAAAAAAAAAGTTTCGTGTCGATCAGTTTTGTTTTTTCCTTCTTCATACATTCAAAAACACCCTTCCATCTCTCTCGCATCTCCATAGGCAGTTCTTTTCCCCTTCCAGCGCAACAGCAGCTAGCCCCGTCGAATAACCGTCCATCGCTTTTTCTTTTCTTTCTTTTTTTTTTTGCTCTGATCCCTGAAGACAATCTTTAGGAAACAATATGAAGCATATTGTGCATCCAAGAGCTTGCGTAGATCCCTATTACTGCCACTCAAAGCGATTTCCTTCTCGTTCTCAAGTTCCCAAGGGGATCCATTCTACAACCGCAGCAGCCGGGTCAACCAACAAGCAGCGGCACAGCTCAATTTTTCAATCATCCCCAACCCCAACATTGTCGTCTTCCCGCCTGGTACCCTTATGCGCGTTTATAAAACCTGAAGATTTCACGCTAAACGAAATGTATTGCCTCGAAAACACAGAGATGCCAGCCAGAGTGATCGGCACTACGACCATGCCGGACTTCGCGACCGAGCTATTGAATGGTGACTTTGATCAGGAAGACCTTGAAGATCACGACTTGAGCGATGGTTTCAATAAAGGCGATAGTGACGGCGACGAAGGCAGTTATGAGGACCAGGACGACTCAGGAAACAACAGCAATCACTGGGCATCATTCGCTCCTTCAAGGACCTATGCACACGGAAGAGAAACGGATCCCGCACCAAGTGAACAGTACCAGACATTCAGTGCAACTTCCAGCTACGTTAATTCTGGAAGCAGTGGTGGTGTTGACAATGACTGGATCTTTGCTACGGTACCTACGCCTGCAAAATCCGTCTCGACAGCGTTCACAGCCACACCAGTAGCTACTACCCCTTCTAGTGAAGCCGTAGAACGAGAGGCAAGACGAAGACGGTTCGAGCGGCATGCTTCGAGGGGATTGCAGGATGAAGCCTCATCTTCTTCTCCGGAGGCACTCTCGTATGCTTGGTTGTATTTTTCATTCAGGTCTTTATCGCCCTTCTGTTCTGAGGACTCTTAGTATTAATGACATCTAACGAATGCTTTAAAAAAAAAAAAATGTAGGGCGCTGAAGCGCAAGAGGAGGAGAAAGGGCAAGGACCTTCAGAGGTATGTGTTGCTCAAGAATGCACAGCTGTTGGACTGAGTCGGATAGTAAACGACAGAACAAAGGGCGTCTTGCGGGTCAGGAGTGGTGGAAGACAATCGTTGCTGCCAGCATCACTCAACCAACCATTTACTCACAAAAGCGCATCGCGTTTAGCAGCGAGTAGCACTTTTAATAAACCCACCATCTTGCCTTTGCTCTTTTCTTTTTCTTGAAGACTGTCGTGCCGCATTATGTGGCGTATCATTATAGTTTTATTACACTCACCACGACAGTAAAGGGGAAAAAAAAAATGCTAAGCTTAGGCCATAGGGCCCATCGATTCCACAGATTCCTCCCGATGTCTAAAAAATCTGCCAATCGTGCTCAGTCCAGGAGTCGAACTGCCCGAGGCCACGGTCGAAGAAACCATTGGCCCCGACCGGATGGACGATGCAGAATTTCCCGTGGATAATACAGCACCTCCAATGCTTGTAAGGGTCCAAGGACTGGATCCACCGCCACCAGCGCTCATATTGCTGGGAGGACCATGAAACTGCTGGAGGAAGTTCTGGCTCGTCTGCATGGATGCCTTACGCTTCCGATCCTCCTCAATCTCCTCCAGTCGGGTCATTGCAAAGTCGAGGCGACGCTTCGCCTCCGCAGCTTCACCCTGCCTCCTCAATTGTGCCATTCGCTCGCTCTGCAACATGGTCCTCAGTGCCCGGGTCTGCAGCCCGAATTCATGAGTCAAGATAGCGACCACGCATGTCCCAGGTGCGTTGTTCGTGTTCATTTGCTGGTGTATGGCTCTGCGCACAAGCTGCTGCAGTCGCGTGAGGTCGTAGAAATGGGCGACGAGTAGTAGACCCTGAAGTATCTTCGGCTTGAGCTGATGAGGCGTCACGAGGTCGTTGGTGTAGATGTATTGGAGGAATCCGACCAGGACAGGCGTCGACTCCCGAACAAGAATCTCTGCTGGCCGGTCACTGAGATACCACTGCTTCAATGCCAACTTCTGTTCCAAATCCACCTCGCTGGTGTCAAACGAGTCCATCCTGGCGCTCCATTTCTTCGCCTCCAAGTCCTTGATGTTGTTGCGCTCCTCTATCAACGCCTGGAAATATCCCCACCGCTGACCGACTATACCCGAGTTCACCCGTACGCGACCACCATCGACTGAACTCACAAGGACCGCATCCGCGCCAATTCCATCCCTCAGCATCTCCAATCCGAGCTTCAGTCCGCTCGGTCCTACCGAAGGCTCATCCACCCCCGGACAAATCTCCAGGCCCTCCAGGTCGACCTTGACCATGTGTGTAAAAAACGCCACGGCTTCGGGGCAATCCATCTCTGCCTCGGAAGTCGCCAGATCTCCCCCTGTCGACTCCTCGGGGTATTCCTGGCTATGATCCTCAGTCCTTTGTCCAAGGATGTAGAGAAAATTCGCGTCCCGATCCAAGACAGACTGAACCCATTTCCCATCACGCAAGTTCTTTGACAGTTCGAGCTGAGTCCATTGGTGACTGTGGAAGTGGTGCATCCAAACTGAATATGGCTGCCGTTTGCCTAATGGTGGGGTAGGCGCAGTAATCCCCGAAGGCGGTTGTCCCGTATGGGATGAGGAAGAAGCAATGGCGTTTTCGTCGTCGTCGACCGAGATACCCGACAGAATGAAGCAGTGGCCCACGACCTGGGTCACAGGGAAGATCATCTTCGGAGGAATCATACCCTCAGCTCCACCAAGAGCTCCCGCCCCAAGGTCCAATGCCGTCCACTCTGGTCGGAAGTCATAAGTGATTTTATCAGGATTAGGTCGGTAAGATCCTTTTGCAGTCTGGACCTTGATGAAATCTCGCTTCATTTTGTTGTCGGGTGCGGCATAGTTGGAATACATGTACAAGGGCTGGGATACGGGGGTAGGAATTGGTCGAGACCGCAGCTGCTCAATTGTTCGTTCGTCTCGTTCGTCTCGTTCGTCTCGTTCGTCTCGTTCGTCTCGTTCGTCTTGTCCGTCCGAAGTAGAGAACCTTGATAAAGGAGCTGAATCCAGGAAGCTGTCCAGCGATCGTCGATTATCGCTACTATCGTCACCATCAAAAACACGGTGTATCCCCCGCCTTCCCTGGCTGTCATCGACGGTCCCCGTGCTCCTGCGACTCGAAGTCGAAGCGGTGCTATTGCTGTTGCTCCTTCTGATTCGAGGCTGCGTCTCGCGACTGACCGGTCCACCCCTCAACCCATCCTTTTGTTCGCGAGCGATCGTTGTCGCCAGATTGTCGAGATCGAACATACTGCTGCTGGATTTCGCGAAAAACTTCTTCGGCACCGCATGTGTGACAGGCGGTAGAGGACTTGGTGGTGCTTGCCCATAGTGGTGCTTTGCCGAGGAAACGCTCGACTTTGAACGCGTCCTCGACTTTTCAGATCCTGAGCTGATAGTACTCATATTTGAGGACGTCAGTGTCAGTGCCGTATATGAGCTTGCTGTGCTTCCTGCAATGGATGGCTGTCGCACCCTGAGTCCATCATCGCGGTGACCTGTAGAATTCGCTGTGACTCTGAGATGCTCGTTATCCGTGCCTGAACTAGCATGGCTATCCACGTTCGAAGTGCTGGCGCCATCTTGACCCTTTTCTGGTCTGATCCGAATATTGCCATCCTGCTCCATTGAAGACGGGGGTCCAGAGTTGCTCTTGAACCGCTGGGGGTGCTCTGTTGAGACGACCAATGGTTCGAATGGATGTCCCTCACCTCGATGCCAGGAGTTTTTGCGTGGGTTCAGCAGAGGTGTGATCAAGGCTGCCGGGGATGGTAGAGGGGATGGTATCGGTGTTGTAGTGTCGGTGGAAAGAGAGAGCGATGAGGCGGAGGATGACGGAGATGATTGATGGAGCTGTTTTTCTGCTGCAAGACATTCCAGATACCGCCGTCTACGGCGAGCCATTGGTCTCTCCTCCACACTGGTCAACGTCGAACGACTTTGGCAGGAATGTCCGTTGAGTTTATTGCCATGAATCCAGACGTGGGTCTTCAAGTCGAGGACACTGATCTGCTGGATGTACTCGTTGTCATTCCCTCGTCCGCCAAGGACGACCATGTGGTCGCCTGTGAGGGAGACAAGGTGAGCGAAGCGGGGCTCTGGGATGTGACGCTGGTATGGGTTGTGTCTAGGCCGAGTTGTTGTTGCTGTTGTTGACGATGATGATGGTTGGATATGCTCACTTTCCGCATGGCGTTTGCTCTCGAGTGGGCTGGATGGACCGGTTGGCTAGAAGGGCATAGAGGGGCATAGAGGGAGACCTTTGGAGTTAGTCCGGGTAATCTCGGTAGCCCACTGCGTCGCTCTGCTGCCAACAAAAGAAGCGACAAAAAAGCTCGGCCGAGAACGAGCTTGCTGGTGTCACGCGTGCCGTTGTTAGCACTTTCTTATTTATTTTTTGGTGCTTGTGTCACAGCCGGACATTCTGCCTCTCATCACCGTGCATACAGCTCAATTCAATTCAACTCACCTGCACAGAGTCATCTGCACTGTCTGTCGTCGTATCATCGCCCGCGGTGCTGGCGACTGTTGCGGCCGTGGTCGGCGGTGTGGTTGGCGGTGCGGTGGAAGATAAGGAGACCGAGGGTGCGGGTGTGTCCGTTGGTGAGGTTTCATCCGCTGCCATGGGGCAGCCTAGATTCAGACTAGAGGGAATCCACCGCAGCGTCTCCAGGTCCAAAATGTGGGTGTCATTCAAGCAGATCTCCGCTCCATCCGGGCCACTACTGCTGCTGTCGTCATCATTCTTGAGAGCGCGACCACCAAAAATGATCATATGAGCCGTATCCTCATCGCCCCATCCTGTTAAAAGCCCCTCGGCACTAACGAGTGGTGGTGCTGTCACTAGGATCGCTGAGTGGTAGTATCGTGGCCGGGGCATGGATGGTGCTGCATCTTCATGGCATTCTGTGCCGCAATCTAACCCCAGAACAAAAAAAAAAAAAAGGAGAATCTTGATGAGACCAGCCAGTCCTTGTGCAGTTCCATTCCTCATGTCCGTTATCTGCCTCATAGGCGCTTACCAGTAGCATCGGCTTCTAGGGACACTGCGTGTGATGGTTGGGCATGAGACGAGGATGGATGCTGTTGATGTCCTACGCCAGATATCCCTGCATATGCCGAGTACTGGACCCCATTTTTGCCTTGCTGCTGAAGATTTATTTGCTCCTGTTCCTTCACAAGGGTCCAGACAAGCGTTTCCAGGTCGAGAACAAACAAGTCGTTGGAAGGATCCTTCCCTGGCTGTCGACCGCCAAATAGATATAGGCGATTGCTGTGGATGACAGATGTCGATCCGATGAGGGGCGGAGGTACCTGGCCTGTGGTTTGAACAAGGCTCGATGTTCGATCCGACAATGTGAACGTCTCCTTCTCAACTCCAGCGCTATGGTTGGTGCTGATAGGGCCATGACTGACTCCTGGTGTCGTGGGCATTGAAGAACTCCGAGCCGCCATTGGGCTGAGTGGGTTGACGTGGGTATCATAGGGATTGGTGTGATACACGTTCGAGGGAAGAGCCAGCGTAGGGAAGTTGATGTGTCCGTAGCTCTGGTTCCGCCGATGGTTTGTCGGGGCACTGAGTGGTGGTTGTACCGACATGGTAGACGAGCGAGAGATGGTGTGCGGCAGGAAGTCGAAGGGCTCGGGAAGGTTGTCGAGGGCTGGAGGGCGGATGGGTCTGGACAGGGTTATGTCTGCGGTGGATATGTATGGGGTGTTCCTGGCTGTAAATCCTTGTTGATCCCTGTCAGCGGCAAGACTGAAGGGATACTCGTCCAGTGCGTTGGGGGCTGCCATTGAAGAGCTGTGTGGTGATAAATAGGGATCCGATGGAGGAGAGAAAGGGTATGTGTGGGTGTATGTATGTATAGTGGTTCGTATATGAGTGTGCTTATTTTTCCCAGGGGGGAATGGGTCTCCAGTGTGGGGCAATAGGTGTGAAATATTAAGGATAAAGGGATAAAGATAAAATGTGGGTATGCCTTATGGAAGGAGGGTTATGGATCCCGCGGCAGTTGTACCCATGGAGAGGGAATGAGGAGGAGGGAATGAGGAGGAGGAGTGGATGCAGGCGTGAGGGAGTGAGATGCAGTTTTAGGAATCAGCTCAAAAAAACCTGCGGGGGAGAAGGGGCGCCAAAAAAAAAAAAAAAAAAAATAAGCTTCAACGTGGTTCCTGGTGCGTCTATCTATATTTCCACTTTGGATACGATGTCTGAGTGCCGCTGCCCGTGAAACCCAGCCAACCCTTTCACTATCGCTCATTCGCCTTCTATTTTCTTTTTGTCCAACCCGATGCGCCTGCCTTATGCATGGCCACGGTCCATCAACCACCCGACCGATGAAGACGTGTTCGCGTTGGTCGTCCTGCGGCCCTCTTGCTTGCTTCAGCACCAATCTCAGGCCCCCTTCGCTTCTCATGCATCCTATCGCCTGCGCTGTTTGCTCAAAATCCAGGGTGCTCCATCTAATCACACTTTTTGTGTCAATTCTAAAAGTACTATCTGAGCTGCCACAGTAGATGGAATGAAATATCTTGTGCCGTGGCATGGCAAAGCCCTCCTTCTTTCAGGAGGATGGAGCTTTTTTTTTATCACATTTAGACGGCGGTCTATTTTTCATCTTCGTTCTCCGCTTCCTACACGCATCTGGCGACGGTTCAGTCGTCCATGGCACTGGGAGGGAGGGGGGGTTTTTTTTCTTTTTTTTTCTTTGGATGGGGGACAACTAGGGGATGAATAAAGACTGCATTGCACTTCGACATGTTTATTGTCACTTTGGATGCGTTGACATCAAAACGGCTTCCGCTATGAATAATACATGGCCAAAGTATGTAGTGTTCTTGGACCAATGCGTACAAAACAAGTGTACTTCATCATAGACCAAAATGAGTGAGGTTCATGTACTGCGCTCTCTACCCTGCGCCTTGCGCCTTTACTCCGCGGCCAACCCACATCTGCACGCCACGAGAACAGCAATCCTGGACCCTCTTCTCTTGTTTTCACAAGTACTCTACAAACGATTCATCCGAAATGACCGTTTCCTTCATGATCCCAAGGGCCTCAGACAATTGCGCTGCCAGGACATGTTCGCACTAAATTTGTGAGATCCCTATGGTATTAGCCACAACAGCACGAGAGAGAACTTGGTATCATTCAAATGCAGAGATCATCCATTCATACCGTAATAGCATCGCTCATCAGGACTAGCCCACGTAGGATCATAAAGAGCATAAAAAAATCGCATTAGATCGCTGTTATTTAAACATGCGTTTCCAGCCTCTGGTTTAGTAAATCGCTCATACATTGCCACCAATATCTATCTGTTTAGTAGATGAAACGCAATGCATATTCATCATTTATTGCGTGTATACCTTGGACAAAGCGATCGCAAGTGCAATGGCGGAGTGCAGGTCTACACGTCAACGAGATGCCTGATTCCAGATCTCTAACCTAAGTCGAGGATGGTAGGTAATTGTGGAAGACAATAAAAATAAAAAATCGCATTCATGCAAAGATCAATGAAGAGTTTTGCGGAAACACGACGCGTTTCGGGTTTCTATAGTACCTTGTATATTGTCCTCTCCGAATCATGCGCGACTAGCCTTTCAACTAGCAATGTTACATTGTTTGCAGAAGTCAAGATCAGCGCCATGCTTGCCTTATACTATAACACAATGGGAATTGCAAAGAACAAATAAACAAACAAAAAAAAAAAGAACTCGCCAGAGTCGGGAATATCCAGCAGACGCAAGGCACCCATGACAAATGCTGTTGCAAGATCTCCTTGGTGACCACACAAGTGCATGAGTGCCATCAGATGATCGTTGTTCACTGTTCCATTGGCGATGAGAATAAGAGGGTTACCGATCCGTGGTTTCGACCCGTGTGTATGATGTCAGTTACCAGGCTTACATTGCTTGTCGGCTGCGATGGACCTGAGAAGAGCATTCAGCGTGTCGACTGATGTTCCCTCCATTAGGGGCTCCATTGCTTGTGAGGATCAGAGACGCGAGGATGTCAATTGGTGGTAAAATAGGCCGAAACATTTGTGCGACCACCCCCTGTCGCCGCTGACAAAACACACAGCGGACGAGACGCGACGCGCCGCGAACGCGACACGCGACACACTGTAGACAGTTTATCTGCAATGTCCGTACGAACGGCCAAGTAAGCCAGGCCAATAAGGAAGGTCCCATCCCCTCCAGCATCCACTCGTCAATGTGATCCTTCGCGACTCCTGGCCTCCTTCTCTCCTATTTCACTCCCGTTTTCATACGCCAGCTACTGCCTTCTGACCTTGGACCTGGTGTATTGCTTTCTTGCCTCATATTTTTTCTTCTTTCTCGCCTTTTTTTTTTTTTTGTTTCTACTCCTCAGTCTTTTGCAATATCCGACGGCCTGGTACCAAATGGAATCACGCAGCAAGACACCCTCAGACAATCATCTATACGACACCTGCCATTATGAGGGCCCATCGCTTCATTTGGAGCATACAAACATGCCTTCATGCACGCGGCACCCCCGCTGGATCACCATCGGCTGTATCATCTTTTCTATCATGCTGTCATATACTATTTACTTAAGTCAGAACCGGCAGCCTCGTGGAATTGGTTACTCGGACTTTGGACAGAAGTGGCAGTGGCAGTGGCCAGAGATGGATCCGTATAAGGTCATGACTCAAGAGGACAACGAGAACAGCAATATCTCTTCGGATAGTTTTCAAGCAACAAAAGGCCAAGGTAACCCAGATGGATCTTTAGGACCGAGGATGGGCGATGACAGCGTCAGTAGTAGGATGAACTCGGCGATAGCAAGACCGGGGATCAAGACTTGGGACATCGATGACCCTGCCCTCACACTCGCATACTTTTTCGGCTCACCAGAGTGGAAGAACCAGACACTCCAACCTGCGTCCGATTTTGTGAACCTGCTTCGCGTACTCCGACCTGCCGACCACGCATTCTTCATCGCCTTGTTCATCAATCAAGCACCCCGTCCGCTGCAAACAGTGCTTGAGGACCGCAAGGGCACTTCGCCAAAGATTTCGACAGTACCCATCAAGGGCCATCATAATTGCGGTTCTTGGATTCCCAACTATGTCGAGTTCCAGAACCAAGTCATGGATAAGACCCTGCCCTCACGATATACCATTCACACCTGCTCAAACACGGTTCGTCCTATGATACCAGCTACTGGAATATCGACATTGGCGGTCCACGATCCACAACAACAGCAATACCAACCCTGCGGCAATGTGTTCTCGCAGATACTAGCTATGGCATCAGCGTTTGCTTGGTCCGTAGCCGAGTCCCGTGCATTTTTTTCCAATCCGGATCAACTCAAAGATCTGCGGGAGAGCTTCGAGCCGTCGTTGTTCCTGCACTGGACATCTCCGCCAGCAGCAGACAGTACAGCCAAAGTGGATACGGCGGACATGACTAGTCGCGACCTCGGTCAATTGTTTCAACTCCAAGACCCATTGTTTTCAAATCATGAGGATGGCCACAGTGAAAACACGAATAGTTCTATTGGCAGTAATAACGGAGCACAGGATGGTCAAGTAGCGGATGAACAGCTGCAGGATCGACTCTGGGGGCTGAGGAGCAAGAGCAGAAATCGAGTCGGATTTGAGCGACAACTGACGCCCAATGACCCAGCGACGAGTGACCTTCCTCAGCAACGACGAGGCCGTCAGCGACGTCTGGGCCAGAGAACGAGTCCCACCCGAATGAAGAAACTAGTCGCTGCCCTTGACCAGGATGGCGTCGAGCTCGTCCTGGACCACGATATTCTGCCTCAATTCGTTAACACAACCAGGACCCTTCGTTTGTTCCTGAATCTGAGCCTGCCCCTCCCAGACCGCCTCATCCAACAGAGTCATGACCGTCTTCGCCTTCAAAACAACGAGGCCATCGACGGAGCCAACCTCGGGTCGGTCAATCTTGTTCGTGCGCGCGCTCCCACCATCCACGCACCCTCCGCGCATGGCTCGCTCTTCACTTTCGCCTCTGCATCCTCACTCTCGTCCGCGACCGCGTCCCACGAATTCATATCGGCCGCATTCCACACCGCGATTCACGACGAGCGTGACGTATCCAGGACTCATGCCGTCCCAAAGACCTTCGGTTGCCTTCTCGATATCCTGATTCAGCCAAAGATCGAGCTCCAGCAGCTGATCCACCCTTATGCCACCCTGTTCAAACTCCCGGCCATCTTCTCCATTGGCATCTACATCCGTCCAGGACAGTCTGGCGCGGGATTAGAACAGCAAGACCGAGTGAACAAATCATGGAAGTCTATCTCCAATGACCGCAAAGCAATCGTGGATCGATACATGACCTGCGCCCGCCAAATTGCTCGAGAATTTGCTCCAAAGCGTAAGGGTCAAAAGGTCATCTTTGTCGCCGTCTCCGAAGACCCTGGTATGGTCAGGGTCATGGAATCGCAAGAAGAATGGGATGAGGAGGTCATTGCGCCCAAATGGATATTGCCAAAGGACCGGAGCCAAACCAAGCAGCCACAACACCCTTCGATATCGAAGCAACAGCAGGCCGTACTCGAAAGCTGGATCCTCAGCAAGACCGACTTCCAGGTCGTCTCGGATCACTCGGACTTTGCAAAAGTGACAGTGTGGAGGACAAGGCGCGAGGGACGAAGTATCGTGATCCGCGAGAACGATGCGATCGAGCAAGAAATGGCGAGCAGGAAGGGATACGTCGGCATGCTCGACTGTGGAATCCTCCTCAAAAACCTCATCGTCACTGAGACAGAATAGTCTAGCATTCCATGCCCTTTACCAGAAAGTTTGGGCTATATACATATTCCTCTTTGTTCAAATGCATCCTTCTTTTCGTTCACAAAAAATTATAAATTATCCACCTAGGAATATCCTAATATATACCATCCCTGGCAACATAACAAACGAAAACACGTTTTTCAAACGCATCATAAAAAGGTTTGAAATGTTCGCAGGAGATTTATTCAAATTCCCAAGAAGTATTTTAACGGGAGGTGTTGGCAATGGAGACCTTGGCACCCTTGGCGCCCTGCTTGGAGAACTTGGGCTGTCCACGGGCAGCGCTGGAGGCGTTCTATTATTATTAATAATAGCAAAAAAAGAGATAAAGTAAAGAATTCATGATTAGTTCACACTGCACTGCATCGTCCCGGCCTCGAAACAATCCTCGATTAAAGCAACACCAGCGATCTGACACGCACCTTAGCCTTCTCAGACTTCTTCTGGGCATCCTCAGCCTTCTTCTTCTCCTTGCTATCACGGAGGGCGGCAGCACGGGCAGCAGCACGGACCTCGGGCTTCTGGTTGCGCTTGGCGCGGATGGCCTCCCAGGAAGCACCGACGACAGCACGCTGGTGCTTGACAGTGCGGCGGGTGCGCTTCTTGGCAACCTCCTCAGAGATACCCTTCTTGTGCATGCGGCGGAAGAGGACGGTCCAGGAGATCTTGCGGGGGTTCTTGCGCTGCAAGAAGAGGGACTCGGCCTTACCGTTGACGAAACGGAACGACTATTTTTTTTTTTTTTTTTTTTTGGAACAGGAGGGTCGTATGAGATAACCGCGTCTTAATATGATGATCAATTGTCGGTTCCGTTCGTGAGTTGAGTGTCGAATATGTAGCAATATGCTGTTTCCGTTTTAACTGTTGTAATGAAGCTATTTGTCCGATTGATCGCGTTATATGAGGTACATCATGATTACAGCCTTCGATAGCATGCTCTTAAGCATTCCTATGTTGTCGACAAGCGCGTCCTGGTGCATCCGACTCCTTTGTATGGGAACCACTTCCTAGTCCCAAAAAAAAAAAGGAAGCCGTCGTCCATGCTAAACGTCGCTTTGATTTTCGCCTCTGATATGTCGCGTATCGGTCCCAGGCGGTAGAAAGTATGTCCATGATGCGATCGTAATTCATCGCCGACGTATTGCTTTACGTACCCTGCTGTCGACGCGGACGTAAATCTTGCCCTTGCCGGGGTAGATCTTGGCTCCAGAGAAGGCACAAATCTCGATCCTGATGAGCAAGGGAAAGGAATGGAGAGACAGAGAGCGTCAGGAAACTGAAGCAGTACAGCGATTTTCAGTACGAACGAGTAGATGGAAGGGGGGCGACGTCCGCGTGATGTTGGCGAAGTCCTGTCTGATCCTGCTATTGATAACTCATAACTGTGAGGACACCGGCAGAGTCCTGTCACCAGGCGGTCTGACATCAAGGCCACGGTGTCAAGCTCGCCAACCTTGCCTCTACGCTCTTTAAAAAATAGTCCATTCATGATGCTGTTTGTTGACGTCCTGGGTCGAGTTGGTTATAGTTCTGTTGATGTGCCATGGATCAAAGGTTCCACTGAGATGTCATCAATCATAATGTCGAACCAATATTACATCCTGCGCACGCTCAGCTCTGGGTTGGCTTCGTCTCAATAGTTTTGCTAGTAAGCACTCAATTGGTGCTGCCTCCCTCCCTTCAGTCGATTGCCATGATGTCGTTCAACAAGTACACCATCAGATGCAAAGTTGATGTCGAAAAAAGGATATTCGCCTGCTCGTAGAAGAATGCTGCCGCCAGTTGCCGAATGACATGGTGACGAATTGCTAGCGATATTCGTGTCTAATGGTGAACAATGTCGATCGATGGATGGATGCCCGTGTTGGATGGTGATTTCCCTGGATCTCTTTGGCACAAGGTATTACTTCATTTTTGGACTGAGAATAAATTCGAAAAGGAAGATCCATTGTGGGCGTGCTCCGCCCTGTACTTTATCTTCAGTAGGGCCCTTAATTTATGTTCACCAGAGTCAGTACCATGCCATATATATATTACTATATGGGCCATTTGTAATCTGCAGTTGTGAGAAGGCGGGTGAGTAGAAAAGGAAAGAGAGAGGAAAAGAGAGAGAGGGAAAGAGAGAGAGGGAAAAGGCGTCTACAGTCTAAAAGCCTATGGCGCCATTATTTTCTCGTCGGCCGCCCACTCCTGACATGAAATACATTATCTTACAGCAGTTTTTCGCCGCCCCAGTCTAGGTGGTTTATGAGAACAGTGATCAGTCACTGCAAGATACGAATGAAATAATAGTTAGATCTCGGGGCCTTAAAAGTAACATCATTCCGCACATCCCTGACCCACTCCTTTCCTCATCCACTCCCCTATCAGCCCTCAAGCACTGTCGCATATCCTTAACGTGAGTCTTGAATGCTTCTGCAAATGGATACATATACCAAATTTGATACTCATTAACTGTCTACTTTGACTTGGTCTTTATCGTACCAGATGGGAGTCACTGGGCTACCCAAAGCTATAAAAGACACCGAAGGAACGCTAGCTTATGATCTGCAGAGCAAGAAAGTTCATGTCGATGTCTTGAGTCTGTACTTTGGATTCTTGCAAACAAGGACCTTCAAAGTGACGTGTAAAAGAGTCGCCAAGGAAGCGAGATCTGAGGCAACGGCTACGACAACTACCAGCGCATCAGCGCCTTCCATTCTAACAGAAACGACGACCTTTCTCGCAGTGCCCACAGCCCCCGCAGTGCTCACAGCCCCCGCAGTCTCCACAGCCTCAGCAGCACAAGACGCGCCTTCTGCTGCAGACGCCAGCACTAGCAGGAGAAGCGGCATCAAGCAGCGCGCCCTGAGTTTCTCCGAGGCTCCATCCAAGCGAGGAAAGGCTTGCTCTAGTTATGCGAGCGAGATACAGGCTACCGGAGTGCAACATCCTGCACTGTTCATTGGCCCTAATGGACGATTGACACCAGACCGACCTGGAACAACAGAGCAGGTAATTAAATGTGCCAATGGTTTCGTATCAGCTTACGCAGCATAGCAACCAAGTGCTGACACATGTTCTGTTGCTTCGTTTATCGGCCCCGCCTCATCTCTAGTCACAGAACTACGGCCACATAGCGCATGATCTCAACAAAATCATGTCAAAGCACTTTGGCAAATCGACAACAGTTTTACACTTTGACGGAAAGGCCTCGATACAAAAGTCTCAAGAGCGACAAGATCGGGCCATATCCCTCAGCAACCGGATCAAGACTCTGAAGGCGCGAGCTGACAACGCCATAGGAAAAAACAGCGGCTCTTTGGCCCCCCTGTACAAGCAATGTCGAAACGCGTACAAGACATCCAAGCAGCGCTGGCAGACATAAGAAATGGGCTGGAGCCCTTGGAGTGGCACACCTGTGAATGTCCCTTCCAAGCAGACACGCACATTGCCGAGTTATATCAAGCTGATAATAATAAAGACGACCTCGCAATCATTACCGCCGACAGTGATATGATGGTATATCAAGGTGTTAGAGAAATCACTATACCCGTCGGAAAGTACCGAGAGCTTACCACGTACAAGAAGGCTGACCTGCTCGAGTCTCTGGACCTCGCATACGACCGTGAGCTGTTGCTGGCATCAATCGTTACTAAGAACGACTACTCTAAGGCACTCCCGTGGCACGGCTTCCAAAGAAACACCAAGATCATCCGAGAGATGAGGACCGAGACCGGAGCAGGCGATGGATCAACAATGGACGCGCCAGGATCCAAGACGACTGAGGCTGAGATTATCAAGGAGCTGATTCAAGAGTATTTGCAACGGGCGAGAGGAGGACAAAAAAAGGGTGTGGACGACTACACCCACGCCATTTCGGCTTTCGTTCAAGTGCGTGAGGACTACCTTGACTCCGCTACGCCATCGTGCACGACCCACGAGAGAATACTGGGCATACTCCAGAAGCTCGAGAAGTGCAAGCTGCAAAGGAGAAATATGACTCGAGCCTTGCGGACAAATCCTCCAGCCGATACACTCACCAGCGACACTTCTGCAGGCTTGGCGTTTTCTTCCCCTGTCCGGCACAGCCTGCAGACGCCTGGATAGCAGATGATTCTTCAGACCCGACGCCGTCGCCGCAGACACGAGAAAGGGAACGCCCAGCAACGGAGAAAGCGACGCCCCAAAGGCAAAACAAGACGTAAAAAAGCCCGGGAGGCAAAATGGAGACGAAGCAGGTATGATTGCCGTATGACTTTGTTGCGAGTTCAAATTCATTACGTCCTTTTACAGCTTTGTCGCTTTGATACAATCATATTATTGATTTTATTTTATTTTATTTTATTTTTGGGACTATCCCTTAGTACAAGAGCAGGAACGGCTCGTTATTCCCCTCGTGTTGTCGTGGACGTCAGCCAGTCATGCCCGGTTGACAAGGTCGCATTGAAAAAGATGTCCACCGAGGAACCGCGCCCGCGGAAGAAGAAGCACGGAAGCATGGATGATAATCCTAAGGCCACGAGTGAAATCAAGACGAAACCCAAGAAGGACGAGGAAAATGATGAAAAAGCGGAGAGGCGAGCCGGAGCTAACCTGACTAAGCACCTGTTCGGGGAGGCTTTCAAGACTACCAAAATGACTGCAGGATCGATCACAGGATGCCTGCACCGCGTCACGAAGCTGAGCGTAGCCCAGACCAAGATCGTCGCGGAACGCATCATGAGCCAAACTCGTATTCTCGTGTTTAAAGCGCTTGAACTTTTTCTCTACAAGGAGGTCAGAGTCGCCACCATATCCAATTCAGATCAAGCGCGCTCAACACCAGACCAGAACTTGGGCATTGATGAAGCAAATGGATCAGGAATCCAGGAGGAGGTCTGCACTGCCACTGCATGCAACCCAGAACAAGCGCGCCTGGCACCAGAACATAATATGGACATTGATGTCAATCAAGCGAGTGCTCCGGAAGTCCAGCACAAGGAGGACAAGAACGCAGACCCACTTGATCTCATTCTGCACAAGGCACATGGAGAAACTATCATCAGAAATCTGATCTCTTTGATTCTGAATGGTCCAGTAGCGCCCCGCGGGAGACCACCTAAAGACTCGGCGGCAATTCAGGCGAAAACAATTGCGCGCTCGATTTATGACGATTTCCTGAGCGTTCTTTCAGATTGCGCACCGACAAAGGACTGCCAAGATATACCCCTGAGCGTCATCCAGGCGGAACTGGCGGTGGAGGTCCGGACCGCGGTTCGGGAGCATTTTCAGACTGCCCAAGTTCATTGTGAACAAGGTAACATTTCCACTGTCCGGAACAAGATATATCTCGCGTCGATTTGCTTCTCCGCTGTGAACTTACGTTTATTTCTTGTTTCTATTAGCTGAAGCGTGCTCGTTTATTCACGGATGATATATCTCCAGTTGAGGATGACGAGAGCTCCGACGGCGATAAACAGAAAGACAAGGTGTCATTTAAGAAGGGACACATCCAAATTTGGTGGAGGTACTTTCTCCGTGTGCCGTCGAAGTTGGGAGACTCTTTCATCTTGTGCTCTGAGGCTGCCATTCTTTCACTTCTTTGGGGCAATTCAAATTCAAAGACGCACCCTACGCGGCATATCATGGAATCTCAAGTCTGCTCTTCCGAGACGGCTCACGAACTTGCATCAGAGAAATATGGGGAGCTTTTCCGACTACTGTTTATCGGAGACAAGGTCGAGATCAAGGCGGTTCCCCTCAAGAACCAGACTTCATATGGCAAGAAAACAACGACCATGAACCGATTGCTGAAGGACCATCCAAACACATACGGCCAAGCTGCACTCGATGGGTACATGAAGAGGATCTTTGCAAATCACAAGGCTAGGAAGCAAGCAGCTGCCGAAGGCACGGAGCCCCCCGTGCCCCCCGACCTCTCAAGTAATGACAGCGTCAAGGAGCACTATGCCATCAGCAATATGATGAGAACAGACGGAGTCCAGCTCCACCTAATGGCATTTGACATACGACGACGTTGGCATTCATCCAAATTTAAGGCGCGGATCCCGGAGATTACATCGCGGTTTCCTAACAAAGGGTCTCTCGCAAAGGCTTTCGATCAAGACCTTCAGAATGTTGTGGTCGTGGGGGTGGACCCCGGTGAAGTACTTTCAGCATCATTTTGTGCGCTGGACCCCCTCCGCCGACCCCAGCAAGAATAACTGTACTGGCCATATCAGTTAAAATTTATCCTAGGTGACTGTCTCTCTTTCCAGTTGAGACGGTCTAAGGGATAGAACCCCCAGCGCGACGCGCTTCGTATTCGGCGAAGTCTGATATACTCAGGCGTACCTCTTCCAACGTCGGCCCCGTACCATCGACCAATAAATGATCTACAAGCACTCACACGCCCATATCGACCATATGTGGCACGACCTCGTACTCCAGACCTTCGGTATCCATTTTGACAACCACGGAATCTCGCAGTAATATATTCTGGAGTAACCATCTCGAGATACAGATATCGAGTCAAATCCGTACAGTTATGTCTCGGTTTAATGGTATCAGGATGATTAGTGTGAGTGGATGAATTCCAATGATCGTTGTCGGCGTTGACACTGTTGAGGGAGAAGCTGCGTAATCGCGTTCTTGACATCCACAATAGTAGACGAGAAGGCGTTGACCTTGGCCTTGACAAACGTATTTGTTGAGCACAGGATTGACCTTTGACAAATAGGTCTCACCAGATTACAAGACGCCATCAATGTCTTATCCGACCAGTGGGATAAGTCGCTGAGACGAGGTGCCGCGCGAGGGGACATACACAGCTTGCTCGTATGTCGGCCGCTTTGGACAAGGAAGCTCCGAATGTTTCATAAACACTTCCAGACATTCAGCGCTGTTGACTCCGAGGTCGACAAGGATGAAACGAGGCCTTGGTGTTATTTCTGCTAGTGCCATTGCCATCCCAGGTTTTTTTGGAGCTCAGGCTGAGATAGCTGACGAGCAAGAGGAAAACTCGGGCGACAGAGAAGAAATTTCGAGCGGGAGTACGAGTGAAGCAACTGAGGCTTTCCCAAGCGAAAATTCCGCTCGTCGATAGCACTGGTTACTCCTCCTGCCTTGCATGCTTGTGTTCATGACGGATATTTGCGTACTTTGATACTCGTGTTTTGAGGCCGACCCTCAGTATTCTTGCTAGAACAGGTGCTCTGTACTCCCACAATCTAGCGTAAGGCTAGCTCCATTTTCTCCCTGCTTGGTCGCGTATGGAAGGCCAGGACAGATATAGCGCTATCGATCAAAATCGAGCATACTAAACTAAACGTAGAGGATGCACCATGCAATCTTTTCTTGGCCAGAGACCCTTAGTAGGTGGGGCCTGCCTCCATTACCTTGCTCAGTGAGCAAGTGGTGACCCAAGGTACTCGTCGGGGGGCGTTATGGCCGTGTTATCCAGGATAACGCCTGTTACCTGTTCTTTCCTCTCAGACACGTTCCTGCTGCATTCCTAGCTATCAGAATATCCACATCGTCAATCTACTGCACAACTCTTTGGTAAACTCTTATTTATTTTAAAATTAGATGGCAGATGCTAGATAGAAGCGATTAGGGGACAAAAGAGAAGGAAGAGAAGGAGTAGTGTAGATTATATTGTACAGAAGTTGGAAGGGGATATCCCTGTCTTTAAAAAGGCGCTCCCGGCACATTAGCCGTTGAGCTGCGTGGAGACGGCGCTGGAGTACTCTTTGGGGACGTCTTTGGCGATGTTCTTGGAGAATTCACGGTCGCCAAAACTTCGATCCAGGATTCGTATCCTTGCCAACCAATCCATGACTGGCGCGACCTTGTTGCTGAGACCCTCTTCTTCTTTCGTGTCCACGATGATACAGTCGTCGATGACGAGATCGAGCGCTCACTACCGGTCGGCGATGATGGCTCAGAGAATGTTGTCCGCGCTACTTCAATCTCGAGCTCCTCGCGTGTTGGGATGGTCACGACGACAACGCTGTTCATCTCCATGATATCCACACCGTTGTCCTTGAATGATATCTGTCCACCATGTTCAGCGTCTTCTACCTCGTCATGTCCCATGTTCCAAGACTTATCGATGCTCTTACTTGGTCCACCGTTGCTGCTGTGCCTAATGTCTATCTCCTCCTCGTCGTCTTCAGGCGCGTTGAACAGGGTTTGCTTCTCCTGTCGGTTCATGGCGTCGCCCAGATCCTGGAATTCCCTAGGTTTGCTAAAGAGCTCAGGTTCCTGAGGAGGCAGGACCGGCGGCAAAAAGAACGAGCCGATCCAAAAGGCAATGACGGCGTATGCACCTCCGCCAACGAGATCGACAACATAATGATGACCGAGATACATGGTCGCCCACCAAACCCAGAGGATGTAGCACAGCGCAAAGGGGATCGATCTGGGACCAAAGACGTAGACCAAGAAGAACGCGAGTTGGCACGAGACCGCCGAATGGAGCGACGGAAACGCGCCAAAGACCAGTGGCGAAGCAGTGAACGTGGTTTTGTACATTTCGATACCCAGGATATCATCAACACGCGCCAATCCACCGGGATCCCCGGGCATGGTGTACGCTGCTGGCTTGAAACCTCCATAGCGTGTTTCGTACCCTGTTTTGAGATAGGGAACACATTACGTTAGGGTTGATATACACATAAACCAAGGATAGAGTAGCTGTAAGCACCGAGTTGGTTCCAAAACGGGACAAAAAAAGTACAGCTGGAGGAATGAGAGGACCAATGCTCTTGCATTTGCTTGCGTTTGCCTCATACAGTTTCTTTTCAAGAAAGCTGACCCCTTACATTCTCCATTCAGTAACCATCTGGCGTAATTCAGACCCGTTTGAACATAAAGCCAGCACTGCAAGCTTCATCAATCGCTTAAAAAGCGATGGGGTACACAGGCAGATATGAGCGGGGAATTTTTGAATCATTGATAGCTCCATTTGCCTTAATACGGAGAAAGAATAGAGACTGGTGCTGTTTCGTGTGTGTATCAGAAATCAATTGATACAGGAGAAGGGAGCACATTCCATGATACCCAAACTCATGTAGCCCAATGGACATAACAATTAAACGCATATCACATCCTTAGCCACAAGCCAATGAATACACGATCTGATACGTTGGGCCGTATTGAGGCAGGAAAGGCAGGAAAGGCAAGAAAACTAGGGAAATGGGGGAAAGGAGAATATGCCGGAAACGAAAAAAAAAAAAGATCGGCTGTGCATGGCCTTTCAAATTTCCTGCATTGCAAGCAGCGGCAAGCATCTCAAGCATGACATAAAACTTACATGGAGGCGCACAGGGGAAGAGGATCTGAGTAAGCACTCCCGCCACGTTCATGTACCCAAAGGTCCTAGCATAAACAGGCAGAGTCCCTGGAGGTCCAAATACGACGATCAAGATGGCCGTGACGATGGGCAGGACGTAATGCAACACACCGTAAGGAAGCCAGGCTAAGATATCCTTAGTGGGTGTGGTCGTTGAAGCCAACATCTCAGAGATACTGCCTCCATAGAGAATGTTTTCGAGCGCAGGCAGGACCGAGGTGAAGATATGGGGTCGCCATTCCGAGGGAATGAAGCGGCAGCAGTAAAAGAGAATCAGCCAGGCGGCGACGGCGAAGAAAGGCAGCATAAAGAGGCGAGTGCGTCGTGGGATCAGCAGGGCGATAGTCGTCAGGGCAATGGGCAATTTAAACCAGACAGGCTTGTCCATAATCCAGTAACAGAACGAGAAGAGGACGAAGAGAAAGACGTATTGAAGATCGTAGAGAGAGTACTGGTACTGCTGAAGAGGCCGAAATGTGGAGACGAGGGCTGCCCTAAGAGCTCTATGGAGCCTGTGGAAGGGCCGGGGGATGGGTGCAGCGAGCACCATGTTGTTATGCTTTGCCCGAGGAGGAGGGTGGTGTGAGTGGAGAGTGTGAGTGGAGTGTGTGAATGTGAGAGCTGTTCCTGTCCCGCAGATTGGATGGGGTCTTATGTTTCGCCACTAAACCGGAGCTGGCCTTGTATGATAGGTGGTGAGTGTGGACCAGGGGAGGTGTTGACTGAAAATGGCAAAGGGTGAAGAGTAAGAAAGAGAAGAAAGCGACCCCAAGGATGGGACAGTGATCGACAAAAGGAGGAACGAAGAGGAGCGAAGAGGAGCGAAGAGGAGCGAGAAGAGGGAAAGGAAGGGAGTGTTTATCCTAGCCCAAAGGAGAAAAGAAAGGACGCCGGAGATGGACAAGATACACAAGATGCTCAAACACATACCGCACAACTCTGTCTAGAAAAAAGCACGATGCAACAAGGAGACCCTTGACTGTTTATCTCCAAACCTGTATTGGACCCAAACTACCCAGGGACACCAGCGCCGTCTGAGGATTACAGACTGAAGTTTCTTGTTTCACTCTTGTCCAATCTTTCAGGTACCAGAAAAACATTGTTGGAATCTTTTGCTTCCACTCTTTTACAAACTGAACCTGTATTCTCTGTTTTTTTGTTTTTTGTTCTTTTTGTCCGCAAGCACCAGGCGAGGCCCATAGTTGCTTGGATTACTAGTGCCTGTTTATTGTTTGTTTGTTCTTTCGTGCGCGTGTGTATGCTCTGTTTACTGATATACAACATGGTGCGCAGACTCACCAAAGGAGTGAAAGGTTGCGGGATTACGAACTGCCGACACCTCTACACAAACCATAAACAGGTCTCGATTATTGTGCACACGATCTTGGCCTCCAGAAGCTATGTCTTCTTTAGGCGTTGTATGTATCAAACACTTGCGTTGCACACGGCAGAGAGCAGAGTGTGTTCTTGATCCTTGTTTGCCATGGAGACAAGCAAGCATAAGCATCCTCGAAGCAAGCACCAGGGTGTTCGGTTTACCCAGGATGAACTGTCAAATGTATTTAGATTTAGCTACAAACGTGAGCACTGGGTCCATAGTCAATTTCTATGTTCTTCCAGCAGTGGTTTTTTTTTTCCTCCATCTCCCACGGGTGAATATCCCTCCATACTTGCCTGACCTGCTGGTTGTTCCCGATGTCTGCTCTAACCAGCACGCCTCATTCATGAGCTCCCCCCCCCTTTTTTTTTTCCTGTGGACATTGCAATATTCAGCCGCGCCGCAAAAAACCTTTCTGTCAGCCATAACCCCTCAAAGTCTGCACATACTACAGCAACTTTCTGAAGAAAAAAAAAGGCAGGGATCGTCGGTAACAGGGGAAAAAAAAAAAGAAGCTAATATACCGCATGTTCCAGAAACCGGATTCGTTGCTTTACTACTTTTGCTCTCTTTTTTTTTTTTTTTTTTTTTTTTTTTTGGCGCATTAACTCTCTTTATGCGCACAATCTCACTTCTTTTTCCACAGCGTAGTAGAGCAGACTGCGCTCTTTCGAAGTTGAAGAACTTTCTACTGACACACCAAACTCATAGGGGTCATTTTTGGCTGTTCGCGTGGGATATGAGGTATGCGTCTAGCACATCAACAGGTTTCGCTTTTTTTTTTTTTTTTTTTTTTTTTTTTTGCTGCAAAGAGTAGTCCTCATACATTGCTGTTTTACATATTTTTTTTTATTCCATTGTTCACAGCTACGGGCTATCCCCGTGTCCGCTATCCCGTCGTGGTGGGTTCTCGCGCACACTAGCGCTTGTAGCATTCGTGGACGCATAAGAAGTTGAAGGGTCGATGATCAAATATGCCTGATCGTCATGTCGTGGTGGTGGCAACATGAACTCGGGAATCGATATCTTCCGCTCATGCTGGCGTTGAACCTTCTGGGGCTGGTGCTCCTGCAAGCTTTTGCTGGCCTTGCGTTGCTTGTTTGTTGAGCCAAAGGGGGCCTTCCGATCTCCAGAACCCGTCATCGTCGTCACCGAGGGTTGCAAATGCGGGTGAACAGAGTCCAGTGTTGGATTCGGCAACAGTACTGGTGAAGAAGGGGGAGAGTGTCGAGAGATCGCCGCATGTTTCTGTGGCCGCCGTTGTGGTACCCTCTGGTGCAGCCCAAGCTGGCCTAAATGATCATCCACCCCGTCTTCCTCGTCCTCGTCGCCTTCATCGTCCTCGTCGCCTTCATCGTCCTCGTTGCCTTCATCGTCCTCCATGTATCCATCGCTCTCGACCTCATCGTCTTCTTCCTCATCATCAGCATCGTGTCCAGCAGGCGACACTGGTAATGATGTTTCTTCTGCCGTCATCCAATCGAACTTGGAGGAGACTGACGCCCTACTATGATCACCAGCTGGTGCCTGGACATTTCCACCATCCAGTGATAGGCCGATAGTGAGAGTATTGGCATCTGTGGCTGCAGCAGACATTTGAACGTGCGCACCACCATTCAGGTCTCTGAAACTCTGCTCTCCATCCAAAGCTGATCCTGATGTGTCAGAGGTGTTTGCTGCTCCCGCATTCAATTCAGAAGACCGAGAAAGCGGCGTGATAGGCTGGGCAAGAGGAGATGGAGTTGAAGTCGAAAAGAATGTGTAGTCGCTTAGCCGCGGCGCAGCATCGGTCGACAAACCCGCAGCTTTCCAGTAATCCTCTGTCACGGCCAGGGTCATCGGATCCTTGTCGACCAAGACACGTACGCGAACCTGACCCTTCCACTCCAAGGCCCTTAGTATATACAACGTGCGTCCCTCAAGACAGCACCACCGTCCGGCCTCCCAGATCATGGTCATGGTCGGGCATTCCTTGGCCATATCCCTCAGTCCGGCCTTCAGCTTGCGGATTGATTGAAGCACCTCTGCATCCTGGTCAAATTCTTCGAGAGAGCCATTATAGTGAATCTCGGAGATGTCGAGTGAGATGTAGTTGGGTACAGGACCTGCTTCACTGGATCCAAGGATCTGACTCCAGAAGCTCCGCTCGCTCTCGTGTGGTGAATATGGTGATGTTGTAGATGATGGACTGGATAATGTCAATGGAACAGCGATAGGATCTAGACTTGAGAGGGTGTCTACGGAGGGTCCACGCAGTGGGAGTGAACGGGCACCAGTCTCTTTTCCCAGAAGGATCAGTTCGTCCGAAGGATGGTGAAGCACTTCCAATGGATTCACATCAGAGAAACCCTCGGATGCGGACCGGTGCCTTGTGCCGGAAGGCAGTAGTGAACCCGGGTCATCTTGATCCTCTTGCAATGACCGGCGCTGTGAATCATTCTTGTCGTACTGTTTGTGAAGATGATATTGTCGATAGAGATGGTATTCGTGGTATCGCTGGTCCTTATGCTCTTCGAGGAATTCGGGCGGGCTGATAAAGACATATATCCTGGTCAACAGCACTAGTGCCAGCGACACGTAGATGACCGTCTCAGTTGCCATTGCGGTTATAGTATGTGTAGGTAGTCAATTGACTGGGCCAATTGAGAGAAAGGGTGTAATGTAGGCGAGAAAGTTGTCTGGGCGCAGCAAGGGTGCGATAAGTGTAGGAGGAGGATCAAGGACGCTCGATAGTTCCTGTCAATGAGATCAAGGTAGTAGTAATGGTTGAGCCAAGAGATGTCAGAGCGTAGCGAGGGAGAGAAGTAAAGACGAGGGCTGAGTGCTGGAGAGTGTCAGGTTTGGTTGACGCGTGGGTACGGCGTTTGTGCGATTGTTCTGTTGTATGAAAGGGTGAGAGAAAAGGACTCGGTCAGCGGCCAACATTCGGATTTTGGAAGTTGTTTATATAATAGGGAAACAAGGGCACATGTCAAACTACTCAGACAAGCGGCACGCGTTCTCGTCGCTGCGCTCCGCTGCTGCTGCAGCGTATTTGTGTCGGCTACAGAAGAAGCAGGGTACAGAGTGGATGTCCAATGGCTAGAGCTAATGCGCGATTAGGTCTTCTTTGGTGTGTGTGTGTGTGTGTGTGTGTATGTAAACAAAACAAAGGAAACTTGCAATATGGACAAGTGTCAGGCACAAGAAGGGAATATGTGTGCGCGTGAAGGCATGGGAGAACGCGACAAATAGCAGGGGCAGCACAAGAAAAGAGGAAAGAAGGATGTGGGTACAAGGGGTTTTTTGGTGTTGAGGACAGGAAAAAGGATCCATACTAATATGAACATCCGTCCAATGGCAAGGAGGCAATTTGTTGAGGAGAAACCAATGAAATGAACAGCTTCCCGCCGGTTTGCATATTTGGAGGACCTTGCAGAGGAGGACGCTCACTCCCCTTACATTCTTCCGGTCATCTTCCTTTGCCTTTAAGCCCAGTGGAGGTAGCCTTGGATATCAGGCATGCCTTTGAGGTGCAGTTGGTCGAGCTGGAAATACTTCACACCTCCAAGGAAAAAATATTTTTTTGTGGGCGGAATGTGATGTAGCAACAATAGTCAGTTGCGAAAAGTGTAGAAAAAGTAGAGCAGCCTCATTGCCATACACAGATCGGATTCTGCGAAAGAAATCGAGCGGATGAAACAGGAGGATGAATGCTCGAACGTGAATGCGATTTCATAAATGCATCCACTGATTGTGTTGCGATATACGATATAGTGCACGTTGTAGATCGATAACTCGATCCTATATGTTTATACCATCTCAAATCCCGCCGCCTTTGTTAATGTACCCATTGCACAATGATTGATGATCATGATGATAGTGGTAGTAATAATAGAGTGATATGTGATGTGGAGAGAGCACTGTAGGATGATATCGACTTGATGCTCAGAATGGAAAAAGAGGGTTTCCTCTCTCCCCCCCTTCCCCCCTTCCCCCTTCCCCTTTCCTCTCGCGTGCGGGGATTAATGTAGAGGCCATGCAAGGTTGTCCAGGGACAGAATCGGTGCTTGAGAATGAACAGGGTGGCAAAGCACGAAAAATAAAAAATCACAGCACAGCAGAATCATGTTTTGCAGCATACCTTTTTTGTTCGGAAATTGCCTGCGACGTGTCTATGAAATCAGCAGAGGAACGCGAGGAGTGAATGAGTAAAAACGAAGAGAAGAAAAGGTTGATTCTGGATGGAAAAAAAAACAAAACAGAAAAGGGTTTATATGAAAAAAGAAAAAAGAAAAACAAAAAACCCGAGGAGGAGAGCGATCACATACAAGATAGGCTATATTTGCTACTCGAGCAATGCGTGTGCTCTTTCTCTGTATCTTGTCAGATGGAATATAATGTCGAAAAAAGGAAAAAAAGAAAATCCTTTATGGGAAACAAGAACACCAGCGCTGACAACTAAAGATGTATGGATAAAGGAAAGGGAGGCAAGGATAGAAAAGGGCCTAGGCCTGCAATTGCAATTGCACGCTCCTAAAAGCAGCTTGCAGCTCTCTTCTGAAAAGGAGAAAGTCCTTCAGAGCGAACAGCCATCCCGCACTGCGAGGCTGCAGTTCTCTCACTCTGCCCGCATTCTATGCATGACCACATAAGCAATAGAGGAATCCCAAGTTGCTTAGCTGCCGATGGCTGTCCTCGAAAGCTCAATCTCTCACTCTATTATTTCTAACCCGTATCTCGGACTATGCTCCCCTGTTCTTTACGCGCTCATCATATCGTATCATGACAACCTTGAGAAGAAACAAACCTCCATCAATACTCCTTTGCCCATCACCTTGCTATTGCCCCTCCATCCTTAACGCTCCTTCCTTTTCATAGCAAACACAATAGCATTTTCCTTTGTGTAATGCTGTACTTTCTGGCTAGTCTTGTTTACATGTCCTTCTCCCCTCTGAAGAGAAATTGTTGATCAATGCACCAGTAGGAAAACATTACGAGAGCGCAGCCCTTTTGTGTATGCACAAATGTGCAGCATTGCCATTGGTGAAAACGAAAAAGAACAAGAAACGGCGTTCAAGGATGGTGAGGAGGAGAATGCAATTGCTCATTTTTCGTGAATAAGTGTGTCTAGTTTAACGAGACACTAGGCTAGCTGTGGCATGCATTTTCAGGAACATGTAAAGGTATCCATCAGGAAGACACAATTTCGGTAGCAAAAAATAAATAGAAAAAAAAAGAATAGAGGATACAAACAAACGAGCTATTAAAAGGCGATATGTAAGAATCATTTCATACGTTTGTTGCTGTACAGACTGATAGGAGCGATGGAGGGATAGATGATAACGATAAACAACAAGACAGAGGTGGTATGAGAAAGAGAGAGAAAGAGAGAGAGAGATAGATAGCTAGATAGCTAGAGAGAGAGAGAGGAAGACGAGAAGTGGGATCCAAGTTGGGCACAAACCTGATTTGATTGATAAATGAGGCGTCAGTCAGTCAATGGTGGTCCAAGGGTTTGGCTGAGAGGTGATCAGATAAGCTGAGAGAGAGAGAGAGAGAGAGAGAGAGAGAGAGAGAGAGAGAGAGAGAGAGAGGGAAAGAGAGAGGGAAGGAGGCAGGCTCTAATGGGGCAGCAATGAACGTAGCGATGGTCCCTTCAGTAAAAAATAAAAAAACAAAGGATTGCGAGTTGAAGATGCTCAGGAGGAAAAAGGGTTCCTCGTCTGGCGTCGGGTTGTCCTTTTTATACACTTTAGTGTTCGTTGGCGGCAAACCATATCGCACTGAACATTGCCTGCAGCGACATGTGTAAGCAAAAAAGACATTTCTCCAGAAATGAACTGCAGCGTGAACCTTGCCTTCCTTCCTGCCATGCAGTGCAGACAAAAGAAAATAAAATAAAATAGAATTGGGTCTCATCCCTCTATTGTTACCTTTTCACTTTCGGGCGTTGTTTTGTCAGCACCTATTTTTCATCCTCGACATCCTCGACATCCTCGTTCTTTTCGACATGGTTCTACCCCCCACCCCCGCCAGTTTGCTCAGTCATCAATGATGTGCGTGTACCTGTCCATCCTCATCTGTAACACTGTTCTCTACTGTGCCGATCGTATCAGCAACCCGAGTAAAAGTCGAAAAATAAAAAACCGCTTCATCGGTTCAACCGATCTTTTTTTTTTTTTTTTTTTTTGCTCATCCTATCACAGAACTACGAATCTTATTTTCCAAAAGTCCGTCTATTTGGCGCGAACCGCGGTTCGTGCGTCATTTACATCCTCTCTTGTCCCTGAGCTGATAACCCAAAAAAAAAAAAAAAGACTCTACACTCAATGCCCGGTAGCTTTCTTTTTTTCGGATTCCTGTACAACCAGGGCTGTCACCTTTTTTATTCTCCAATAGAACTTGCTTCGACTCTTGCAGACAAAAACATTTACTCTATCCCTTGGCTGTGCGAGAAATCCAATTAGGTCCCTCAAAACGCACATGCCAAGCCTGGGCTGTCTTGCATACACACACACACACTTTGCTGTATGCAAATATGCGAATAAAAATAAAGAGTTTACGCAAATTGTTGTATGTGAAGGTCACTCATGTGTGCTCAAGAATGCCTGGTGGGCATGAAACGATTTGTTAAACATCATGGCGTAAAATGGCAATCTGCCCGATGAGAATGCATATCCAACTGGCGCCCATGTTTTACATATACATTCAGGATCGGCTAGTTCCTACAATCGCCCTCTGCATTTTGCATTTGATCCCATATGAAAGTTATCCATCGGTTGTAGATGATAGAGCTTCATCTCGGCCTGTTGGCGATCAAGAACATACGTTGAATTTTGAATGTAACAATCTAGATATTATTTCTATGATGGAGGGATATGTTGAATGAGATGGGTGAATGCAATATGATTGGGTTTATAGATGCACGCTGCGCGCTGTTTTAACGTCTCTTGTACTTCTTTGAACTCTTGAACGACTTGTTGCCACGAAGTTTGCCCAATTTACCGCCACGTTCCTTCTTCTCATCCTTCTTGTCCTTTCCAAACTTCGATCCGCCGCCCAGCTTCTTGGCAGCTGCGACGCCCTGTTTCGAGGCATCAGCCAGATCTCTACTAAAATCAACGTCCTTCTTTTTCTTTTTCTTCTGACCCTGGGGTTTCGTGGCGACCTTCTCCGGTGCCAGTTTGGGAATCTTGTTGGGTTTGAGCGCCTTCTTTGCGGACTTGATCGACTTTGCGTGAGAGTTGATGTCCTGATGATCCTCCTCCGTGAGCTGCAGACGTCTTCGCTTAGCGCGAGACATGCCTGCGAAGCGGTCACGTTTAGGTGCATCCGCATCGACGGCCTTGCGCTTCTTAGGGTCGTTCAATGCAGCCTTGCCCTTGTCTAAGGACGCGATAAGAATAAACGTGTCAGCAAATCATAAGATTGGTATGGTATGACAAAATATAAACATTTGCACAATTACGGAAAGAGACGACATAGCATACCTGCAGCCAATTTCTTCTCATCTGTAGTTTGGAACCACGTCTTGGCCGGTCGGCTGTAAATCTCGTCCTCATGCTTCAACAGGTTCTGACTCTTCTTCATCTCCATCTCTGCCTGGCGAAGGACCTTGTCCTCCTTCTCCTCTGCCATAATCTCCTTCACGCTCTCCGTCAAGCCCTCGACGCGCTCACGGTACCGGGTAATGACATCCTGAGGAATCACGCGGTGCTTGACCGTCTTCTTATCTGCGTTCTTGATCGCCATCTTCAACAGCTTGCGATCATTCTCTCCTGCCAGGGTCACAGCACGACCGTTTCGTCCCGCACGGGCCGTACGACCGACACGATGCTGGTAGATGGAGTAATTTTGGGGCATGTTGAAGTTGATGACGGTATCGATACCCTTGATATCCAAACCACGAGAGGCGAGATCCGTGGCCAACAAAAAGTCAACGCGCTCATCCCTGAATTCCTCCAAAGACGCCAGACGCTGTTCCTGCGTGAGATTTCCGTGCAACTCTGCCGCACGAAGTCCCATGAGTCCAAAAATCATCTTCATCTGATGTGCTGCTGCCTTGGACCTGAAAAAGATAATAACACGACGCTTGAATGTACGGGAGCACAGCGCCAGCAATACTGCTGGACGATCCTCCTCACGATGATGACGGATACGGACGAATTCCTGAATCAGGCGTGCTGCTGTGGCGTTGCTGGCATCGATTTGAAGACGAACAGGTCTGTTCAGAGACATGCGGATCAGTTCGTCAACATTGTCTGTCATAGTGGCGGAGAAGAGCATCGTCTGTCGGTTCTGAGGGCAAGCCTTGACAATTTCGGTCAACTCTGCTGAGAAACCGTCCTCGAGCATACGATCGGCCTCATCCATGATCAAGATGTCGATGTGGTCGAGGGTGAAAGAGCGCGAGTTGAGGATATGATCGATCAAACGACCAGGGGTGGCGATCAAGACATCTGGGCGCGTGCGAAGCTGAATCTCCTGAGCACTGCGCGACAAACCACCGACACAAAGTCCAAAGGTGATATCCGTGAAGCTGGCGAGTTTCTGAGCGACACTGTGACACTGAATGGCCAACTCACGAGTCGGACAGAGAATCAAAACACGCGATGTTGCTGTCTGCCTGGATCTGTAAAGGAGACGCTCCAGAACGGGGACCACAAAGGCGGCAGTCTTTCCTGAACCAGTAACGGCACCACCACAGATGTCCTTGCCCATCAATGCCACAGGGATGGTTCTAGCCTGAATCTGAGTAGGCTGAACAAATCCGACCTGCGCCAACCCTTTCAGAATAGGACGTGAGAGATTCATGGTGGCAAATGTCTCGGCAACATCGACGGGAGTGTCTGATTCCGGAGCGAAGTATGCTTTTTTACGCTATAGTTATTTAGAGGATACAATTGTCAGTATCCGTGTACAATGACCATGTGTCAAAGTTTAGCATAGTACGTGGACGAATACGAACCTCTTTCTGGTACTCTGTTTCCTCCTCCTCATCATCACTATCGTTCTCCTCTTCCTCTTCCTCGTCTTCTGATTCTGATCCTTCCGACTCCTCATCCTCTGATTCCTCCTCACTTTCATCCTCCAGTTCAGCCGCTTCAGCCTCATTATCTTCAAGTCCAGCATCCTCGTCACGACCAGCGCCAAAACCATCATCATCTATATCCATAAAAGTACTCATGGTTAGTTCAGCTCATTTTGATCGCAGCATCATCAGATAGCACTTGTAAGAGTACACTGCAATAAAACATACCATTATCTTCATCATCCTCGTCAAACTTGATACCCTCCATGTCGTTTTCATCACCCTCCTCGTCCGAATCTGAGGCCTCTTGGAATTCTATTGAAGTGGGCACAATGCAATGCAGGTTGCAAAACGGGTCAGCGACACTGGGGCATCCATTGACGCGCTGCACTTGAGCCCATGTCGGATATAGATGAAGAACTTACCACTCTCATCGTCCTCATTGATCTCCTTCTCCTCCTCCACAGGCGCAACGATCTTTCCTGACTTCTTGGCCTTGACCTGAGCACGCTTCCGTGCAATAATTTCGTCTAGACTCAAGCCGGGCTGCATCTATTATCGTATTTAAGCAATGGCGGGTCAGTACAATTCTTAGTACCGATATACTGACTTGAAGATGCAGTCCGATCTGTGCTCCGTGCATTCCCATTGCCAGAGATGATGCACATAGGAACGTCTTTCTTACCTCGTCCTGAGCGCGCAGGGCAGCTCTGGCAGCTGTGAAGTCCCAATCGTGGTGGGCGCCCATATGTCCACCCCCCTCGGTATCAAAAGAAAAGTTTGGATCAAGGTCTCCGGTATCCTTGGGAACCTGGTTACTACCCTTCTTATTCTTCTTGCTCTTCTTTTTGGTGACGACTTCCTCCTGGTCAAGCTCCTCCTCATCGAGGAAGGGCACCGACTCGTCGTCGTCGTCGATGGTCATTACAAAGTCGTTGGACATCTTTGTGCTGCTTTTTCTCCTGTGCTCCTTTTGCTGGTGGGGAATATGGGTGAGGTGGGGGGGAGAGAGCGCTGTGAAAAGAGGAACCACGAGAGAAGAGTATATTTACAAGGCGGTGCTGATACCCGCTGGAGGTTGTATTTTTTTTTTTTTTTTTGTGTGTGTTTACATTTTTTGGCATTCGTGACTGAACTAAAATTCTTAAGGGTTTGGGCTACGCCCTTTCTGCAAGGGTTCTGAACTATGTAAGTGCCTGGAACTCAGATACCATGGCTCCGGCGCTCAGAGTCTTTCTGCTGATGTTTGTAATGGCCGCTCTTGCCACCGGTCTTCTCCAGCACCTTGATCTCACCAATCACCATATCCTTTCCGACAGCCTTACACATATCAAACACCGTCAAGGCCGCGACCGTTGCGCCCGTCAACGCTTCCATTTCCACGCCCGTATTGCCCATGCACGCCACCCGGCTTTCGATCTCGACTCGGCCTCCTTTCAATGGGCTCGAGTCACCCTGCTGTTGTTGCTGCTGATCAGCGCTACTATTGGTCTTCGGTTCCTCGGAATCTTCCACCAGCTTGAGCTGCACTGATATATGTGTCAGCAACAGGGGGTGACACAACGGGATCAGGTTCGAGGTCTGCTTGGCGGCCTGGATCCCCGCAATCTGTGCAACTGTGAGGACATCCCCCTTCTTGTGCGCGTTCCTTTTGAGCAGATCAAAGGCGATCCCTGGTAGCCAGATCGAGGACACTGCGAGCGCCGTCCTGTGGGTCGAAGGTTTATCCGCCACCGAGACCATCGAGGCCTTGCCGGTTTTCGGATCCGTGTGTGTCAACTGTGGTGGATCTGATGACGAAGAGTTGGAAGGCGAAGACTTTGCTGTTGATATCGACGTGGAAAAGTAGCGTGTTGACGAATGTTCCCGGAGAGATGTGTTTAGCGTCCTGTAGTATAACGCCTGAATAGTCGATGGTACTGCTGTTGATGTTCTTTGACAACATGACGATTCAACGGTACTATTGAGTGTGAAAGATGTCGCGTCTGGCCTCGTCTAGGTGCAGAGATGGATTGCTATTGAGGTCAGTAGTATTCGACGCGTAGCATGTATAATGGTACCTTCGCCCTGGCCTTTCTGTATACCTGGCTGACGACAGAAAACTGTCTGCATACGGCGCTTAGCGCCATGGGCGAACGTGTTCTCATCAGCATGTGCAAGGAGGACATTTGTTTTTGGATGTGAATGAATCGAGTGGTCGAGAATGAGATCGACAAGGAGATATATATAAGCTTTGCTCCACCCACTTCTATAGGCGCCGTAAAGATCCATGAGCCTGGATCAATTCTTCCCCGCAAAAAGTTTTTATTTCTATGCGAATGCATTCAAGTCTATGTGCTGTGGTTTACTTTTCGCTTGGCTCGCAAAAATCCTGTCGGTCCGCATGTGTAGTAATAGTCGTCGGTGGCTACAATCTGCGATACACCATAGGCCTTGACCTGAAGTGCAAAAAAAAAGGACAATGAGAATCTGTACTTCAATGCATAAAGCTGTGGGAGAGGTATCCGCTAACTCTTCACTTACCGGAATGCGGTCAAATGTCTGGAACTGGAATCTGTTCCTCGCTTGCATGTTGCCAAAGGAAGACAGCTGCTCAAACGTCTCCAGGTTCCACACCTACAGAGCAAAAAGTAGAGGTTAAATTGAGTATCCAGCAATCAACGATGATGTGTACACTGGACATCCATGCACTCTCGATAACGCACCTTCATGTCACCTTCCCCAGATCCAGAGCAAAGCGTCAGTCCAGCCTCGTCAATGTAGAGCGATCTAACATGCATCTCGTGCGCCTGGATTGTGTGCAGTAGTTTTGGCTGACGAATATCAAATATGCCTAGGATTGATCACAAGTGCGAACGACAGCGTGAGTAAATCCATCGCAGATCCTCAAGCATTGTCAAGATTAGCACAGGGCAAATACTCACAAATCTCGCCATTGCGTCCCCCAGAGACAAGTAGCTGGTGTCGCTTCGAAAATGCAAGCGAATACCCACCGCGATCATGGACTTTGTATGATTGAGTGAGTGCCTTCTCCTTTGGCAAGAGCGTGTCCCAAATGCCAAGATTTCTGCCGTCGCTTGATGTGCCCGTCGTAGCCACAACACTGCTCGACCCCAAGAACGCAAAGTCGCGAGCGATTTTGTCATGACAGTTCAGGGTCAAGAATGGTTTTGAGCCTTCAGTGTTGGAGTCGAACCTCCAGAGATGCATATCGCCCTTAACATCCGTCGCGCCAAACTTTTGGCCATAGGAATCAAAGTGAACACTATGTGTGTGTGGAGAGCTAGTTAAACAAAGTGCCATGCAAATATACGAGTGTATTGCCCATCTAAGACGCTTCTTTGAGCGATAATTGAAAGCGTACCTGATCACTTTGGAGGTGGTTCCTGTGTAGCTGTTGAGCCCCTTTGGTTGACCAAACTGCCATAGTGTCACGCAAGGGTAATCTAGGACAGGGTTATGGCCCGTCAAGTACAGCGGGAAGCTTGGATGACTGTCGGAACAGGTCGCGATGACATCCGCCCTCACAACGATATTGTCCACCTCATTTCCTTTTGCCCCTGGTGTAGTACCAGACATGTTCAGAGGAGGCAATCCTTGTGATCGACGCAAGTTCGCGTCAGTGACAGCATGGGCTAGACCGCCATGATGGGGGTCGTACGCATAACCAGCGTGTCTGTGTCCTTTGTTGAACAAATTCTTGAACACGTTCTGCAAGCTGACCTGACTTCCCACGCGACTGATGTTTTCTTCTGAACTCTCGGTTGCAACCACGCTAGGCGCTTTGGATGTGCTGACGGACCGATCAATTACATTTCCCTGAGCGTCCAGGAAATCACCCTCGTCCACCTCCACATCTTCCTCGTCCAGATCCATTTCAGACTCCATATCGCTCTGATTTGCGTCAGAGGTATTCATCGTGCGTTGGAAATCCAGAGCCTTCGAAATGTCAATTTCGATTATATCGGATCGTGAGCATATGACGACGATGCATCGCTCGACAGGATTGAATGAGAAGGACGTGATCACTGAACGGGTCTTAAATAACACTGTCGAGTCCTCGGCCGGTACAGGAGAGGAGTCCCGGCACTGACGATGAGAGTCCAAGAGTGCGGCGACCTGAGGGAGCAAATGTCCACCACTCTCGAGCCCGCTGAGCAGGACCCAGTATTTCTTTTGCCAGCTATCGAGATATCCTCGCAGGTGCTCCTGGAGAGGCGACTTTTTCATGAGCTGAATGACATTCTTTTCCTGCTCGATCGCAGATCGCGTCAGTCGGTCCAAGAAGGAGCTGGTGATAAACTTCCGTGTCTCATTCGACATTCTATGGCCGTGATCCCGTAGTAGCCCCTCCAGACTCATGACTAGCGCATTCGTCGTGGCCGCATTCAGCAAAACTTCTTGCAGCGTTTCTCGATCCGATTTTTCTCCATCCTGGCTGAATGAAATTGCGTTCACATCCAAAGGCTGAAAGAACAGAAGGATCAAATAAGTTGGATAATATGTGATCGTTAGTCAAGAAGATGGATATCCTCCCATTCCTGGAACGTTCATCAGGAAAGTAACTTACCGAATAGAGTTTGCCCCCTAGTACCTCAGCGATGACCTTGACGGCACCGCCCCGATCTCCGACTACAAAGCCGCTGAATCGTCTCCACTGGAAAAGCATTCCTGCTAAAGCGGCATAGTCCTGCTCCTGTAAGGACATCAGCACAAGCATGATATAACTTGCAAGGACCATCTGCTCCCATCGAGGAAGCGCTAGCTCGGTCTTGATGACTGTCTTGGCCAGGTTAAACCATTCGCTAGACGATACTAGGACACCTCTATTGAAGAGGAGGTAAAAGAGATTGTGAGTTTTTCTGTAAAGCACACTGGTGCAACAGCCCTGAGATTTAGAATAAAATGTCATTCCGCCTTACCTAGCATATTCCTTTATGTGCGATTTCATGCAGCCGGTCAACCGCTCAGTGAGGACGATACCAACCATGGAATAGCATGACTCTGAATAATGCGACACGATTGCAGAAATGGGCGAACCTGTGCTCATGGTCGTATTCAACCAATGAAAGCAAACAGGAAGCGTGTCGATCTCGATACACTTGGAGATGAGTGCCTGCTCCATAACCACGCTTGATACGTTTGCATGCTCCGACAATTTATCCCAACCATATTTGATGTTCTCGACATATCCCTTGAAAACTGTGGTCACCAGTAACTCCGGTTTCAATGACACGGTTCGGAGAGCTGAAGCCATAGGCTAATTGATAAAATATCGATATAAAGGAAGTGAGTTGAGTAACTACAAAGGTTCGGTAGCAATGCTTTGAACTTTGGGCCAGCTAGTTGACTTACAGTCAGAAGCTGTACGACGAGTGTAGTAATGTAGTCGTTCAGCAACTCTTCGGTGCCTCGGATATGGTCGTTATTGGATGAAGCGCCCTCCGAATCATCGTCACCTTTTGTCCCATTCATACCAATAGATCTTGCGTTCAACCCGTCATCGGCTGGAGGGGCAAAATCTGCAAAGATATCCCTCGCTTTTGCTGGGGTGCCCAAGTTCGCCTTTGAAGACTGACCCATTGATTCGAATGCATCAAAATCCAGCGCCCCGCTGTCGATGTTACTAGACGGCGCTGGAGACTTGAAGCCGCCCATGAGTGTCATGCCAGTTGATTTTGGTGCATCGGGTGTATCGCCATTCGGCTTCTTCGAAAATGAACCGAAGCTCTCAAAATCCAGCACGCCGCTATCAACTTGAGATGATGGTGTTGCAGGTTTGGATCCGCCCATCAACGACATTCCAGTGCCAGGGGGCTTCTTAGCTCCTTCGCCAAAGTTGGAAAAGTCGAAGGTTCCGCTGTCGAATTCTGGGGGTGGCCCAGTAGACTTGAACCCACCCATAAGGGACATTCCGTTCGATTTCGATGGCTCCTTCTCAATGGACGGACTCTGCGCAATCTCTGGTTTCTTGTTGGCGTCAAAGTCGTCGAAATGCAGAACGCCTGTGTCGAGATTGGTTGCTTGGGTCTCTCCAGATCTGAATCCTCCCATAAACGATGAGGTGCTTGTTGATCTTGGAAGGTTCTGTATGCTCTGCCTGCGGACTTCCAGCAGGTTCTTGACCTTCTTTGTGCTCTTGCTCGACGAATCCACCGGCATCACATAACCCCAGTGCTTGAGAATCACCAGGCTGAGCAGCGGACATCCATAATGCTCATACGCTTCTGCTGCACGAACCACCGCCGAAAACTCTTCATCACCCTCGTAGATCGATGCATTGGGCGTGGTTTTGCGGAGATGACGATATAGAATCAATAGTGAAGGATCACGATGTGAACGTGCTGTTGCACTGTCGGGAGCAGCGCTGCTAGGCTCATCACGCTACTCGCAAGCAAACGCATAGGATTAGCATGCTGGTGAGCATATCTTTGCGTACTATATGATAATAAGAAATAAAATCATGACTCACCAGAGTCACTTGGATTGCGTTCAACGGCTGGCCAAGCATCGAGTAGAACAAACTGAGAAGCCATGGGTCTGTCGTTGTCTTCACCAAATCTTGGAGTAGTTGCCTCAATACCGGACCTCTCTCCTCTAGAGACATTGGAAAAGCGGAAACGGATATCAAAAACTATTAAAGTCCATTCGGAAGACCCATCATATATCGGCATTAGATTGACGATTACCTGGTTCATAGACGCGACAGATGGCGATTGCAAGCTGAAAGTCATTAAGATTCTTCACACACACGTTCACAGCATCCTGAAGTCTGTTTGCGAGCAGAAAGAATGCAGCAGCATAGGCTGAAGCGTAGGAGGTTTGCAGCTACATGAGTTAGCGAAACACGCCATCTATCAAATTTGTGAAAGAGCAGCCATCATAACGACAAGGTCCCTACCAAAACGCTGTTTTCCTAGAAGGGCAAAGGCGTTCTTCAGTGCAGCTGTCCTCCATCTGTCCTGCTCGAAATCATTCGATAAGAACGTCACCATTTTTCCTTGCTCCGGATGTCCGTGAGACGTTCTCCATAAGCCCACTAACAGCTTCTTCTTCCTCATGGCGATGTAGAACAGTGTGCAGGCGACAGGATCCTTATCATCCTTTCCCATGTACTGGTTTCTTGCAATGATCTCCATTTGTTTGTTCTATCAAATTTGCATTGAGCAATAATGTTCATCTGTTAGGCACACATTTTAACATGGTGTCGCAGCGCAAAAGAGGCCTCGAGTCCATACCATGGTTTCTTTCTTGCGCATCCATAGGAAAATTCCAAGAGATTTCGCTTCTGTCCAGTTCATAGGAGTTTTAAGCAAGTTCGAACAAAAGTCCAGCAGCAGATCCTAAGAATACGGATAAACCGATAATGTCAGGGGCAACTTGTTTTTCGACACATTATCAACATCCGCACTCAGGAGGCACCTGAAGTGTGTACCTGGGATTCACTATGATAGCCCCAAGTGATGTCGCGATAGCTCAGCATGCTTGGGCGTTGATTTGGAGGCAAGATATAGGACAGATAATTGAATCGTCGCACTGCGAGGAGGAACCTGAGACCGCTGTCGTCAATTGATCCGTGCTGCTTGTCAATCTTGTATGAACACAGGTGTATTGGAATTCGATGGTTAAACCAGGTTCGTTTCAGTTCGTATGACCTGCGCAGATCCAACTACTCACCTTCTCGAATCCCTCGATAAAGGCACTGAGTAAGAGTTGAGCACTCTTCGAAAGGCCTGTCAGCGGAACTCTTGTCAAAAACTCGATCATCTCCTGAGCTGTCCTGTCGTCCAGGAACTTGTTTTCATCCGCACTATGAGCATTAGCATCGAATCCAGTTAGTATACAAAAATTCAAGATAAAACAATCAACAAAGCGAGGGAACATTGTTAATTCACAGTACCTTTCGTAGTCGTCATGGCTCATGAATAGGTCGCTGTGTTCCGCTTTCATGGGCTTTGCGGCCTAGGGATGGCATATTCAATATTAGAAACGGGCTTCTTACGCCTTCTGCACTTCAGCCACGATAAATAAAGAGCAAATAAATCGCATTACCACGTCTGTTTTAAGGATAACCTCCAGTGGGATCGGCAGAGGACCCGCTGATGCATCTCCGCTGTCATTGACATAGCTCATATAATGATAGAGGTTGAACAGAATCTTTCGGACCACCTCGAACTTGCCTATGCAGCGAAGTAATGCGGAAGTTTTCTCATCAACATGACAAACGAACGGTTAACGGGTCAAATATTAATGATCGTATCACACACACCTACCCCAAAGGAAAAATTCCACCAAAAGATTGGGATGGTAGTCGACAAGAGGGCCATGCATTGAGGAAAGGGCTTGATGAAGCGTAGGTGCAACACTAATGTCTTCGAATCCCGGCGCGACAGTCATGTAGTCCTCGCTGAGCCATTTGCTGTATAAAAGCATTGTGCCTCCAGCGCCGACCGATAGTGTGCCCATGTCGAGCCAGGCAATAGCCGAGATCGGGTGGTTGATAAACGACGGAATGTTGATATCGAGAAAACGCATCCAGATCGGAGGGCTGGTCACAGTTTCTGTGCGCTGCTGTGCATACATGGATACTGTGTTTCTGAATGCCACAGCAAGATTATGTCTTGCATCCGCCGTGACCATCCAATCCAAGTCGTAAATGGGCGCAAGTCCAGGGAACAGCATCTCCAAACGACCTGTCGCTCTTCCGCCGACTGAGCCCCATATTTCCAAATCGCATGTTCCATTTGTGTTCTCATAGACTGTCAAGAAAACCAGACACGATGAAGGTCAATATGTATAATTCACATCGAGGTTCTATCGTCATTTCACAATATAGTCATTTTTCATACCTATGGCAAGCTTTCCATTAGCTCCACACTGAAAGAACTTTAGATTGTCTTTTGTTGGAATGCGTTCTGCCCTCTGCCAAAGCCGCTCGCCTTTGTGGAGGTGAAAGTCGTGTCTGCACTCCCAGTAAGATATATTAGTCTGCTCCTTTGAATATGTAGCAAAGACATTGACGTGTGTCGAATGAAGCGACTTCGGCAGCGTGCCTGCAAAGGATTCCACTGCGATGGCATGTGAGATTGGCGATGGAGGAAGGTGCTCTTTGGAGAAAAGTATTGGTCGCCCGCCATCAGTTCGCTGCCATGTGAACACAGTGTTCTCTTTTGCACTGAAGCCCAGAACATAACGTCGCCATGAGACGTCAGTTGTCTTTCCTGAAGGTCCAGTGATTTCGATTAGGAATGGGATTTCAAAAGAGTCCAGAAGGATAAGCGGATAGCTGGGGTCATAATTCGGCAAATCAAGTGCTTCTGTGCATTCTGCATTTTCCTGTGCAGTATAAAGCGTGACCCGTTGGCCATCGTAGACCATAAAGGAGCCTCCTATTCACCAACAATCATGAAGAAGAGATGCGACATCAGTACTAGTAGCAACGTATTTCTAGAGCGCAAAGAATATAAGCGATTGCAACGTACCTTCCCACGCTGGCGTTACTAGCTGAACATTTCGTGCGCGGACTGGAAGCGATCCTATCTCCACCAGACCAGCAGCTACCCTATGGCCAAACTATGGTGGGCATTAGTTTTCAAACAAGACAAAGCAACACCAACAATATCCTCCAGTATTGATATTACTCTTGGTGTCTTTAGCTTCCAAAGCGAAATATCGCCTAGGTCTCCCAGAGATATAAAGCAAAGCTGCCGATGGTCCTTTACGATGGCCGTGATGCGGCTTTGCTGACCCGTCCACGATTGCCTCAGACTGAGCCCAGCCAAAGTGTTGCCGTTATCGAACAACTCCATCATATTGATTGAGAAGCAGCTGACGCGCCCTTCGTAACTTTGGCCAACAATAATAACATCCGCTGGCGAACCTAGAGGAGAAAAGATTTACAGCGTCAGCTACTATGCTTGCAGGCCAGTTGGAACAACAAAGACTATTTTCTGTATATAGTATGATACCTCTGGATCGTGCCAAAGCTGTGTCATGATAAGCAATGATATTCCTCATGAAAAACGACGTTTCTTGAGAACTAACCGCCTGAGATATACGCAGCACTAAGAGCACGCGGGGCAATCGCTGCGGGACTTGTCCAAGATTCTATCCCGAGATGAATATCTGGCCCATTAGTTCCTCGGCTGCTACATTACAGCGCATGACTGTATCCGATGTGATATGACATACCTGTACGCCCCATATGATCATGGAGCCGTCGTCTTGAACCTGGAAGAAGAGATCAGAGGTATCTCTGACTAGCTCCTTCAATTTTCTCAGTCGAATACTGTTCGCATCGTTGTTCTTCTCAACCGTCTTGCTAGCAGCGTACTCTACTGCCATTGCAAACTCCATGCCGTCGAGCGCGTGAATCGGATATTGAATAGCAGACTGTTGTTGAGATACGAGCCATTGATTGGGGTCGATAATGGCACATATTGACATCGATTCCGGCTGAAGAAGGATAAGGGGTGACCAGATACGACATATTCCGTCCCGCGCCATGGTGAACAGCACATTGATAGGAGAATCTGGAGATCTGTATAGGGAGCATGCAGGTGTTCATTCTGGTCAGGCCGCTTCAGTCTTTCCATATGCAGAATTTGGTCCGGAATATCAGATATGGAGCACTTGCGTTGAATTAGTCTTTTCTTTGCGCCATGAGAAGTTCGTTACAGCTCGCGGATGTGGCAAATAAAGGAACCCAAAGTTCAAATCCTCATCTATTATGGAAACGAAATCGCTGGCAATTAGATGCTTATGTTGATCACGACCGTACACTTGATTGAACACGTCTCTGGACGTTACCTGGTAGTTGATGCCAGATCTTAATCAGGCGGTCGTTCTAGAGTCATTAAACAGCATTAACATAAATCCAATGCACGAAGAATTTGTTCCTGTGTTGATGCGACTTTCTGACGATATCCTGATTAGCATAGGATAGTATACCTTTGCCATGGATGCGAATAGTTTTCCGTCGGGCGAGAATTGAATGAGATCAATACATAAACCCTGCCTATGACAGACCGTTGAGCACATGCGTTGTCAGCTGTTATGACCAAGCACTGGTGGCCATTATCTGGAGAAGAACACCCATAAATCACGCCATCATTACTACCTCTGCTGCCATTGTTGAGTCCACTGTCCATCCTGCTGTGCCCATAGTGTAAGATGGTCGCCTCCGGTCAAGAGATAGCCTGTAAATAGCAGAAGGATCATCAGTCATTTGACCAATTTGTCTCAAGAAGCTTTCTTTCTCGGCCGACCTCATTGAACGAACGGTGCATCGGAACTGGTTATTACCATCGTTTCTCCAAGCAAGTGAGGCTACGCCTTCGCAGTTCAGGGTCGCATGTAAGGACCATGATTCGATCTAGAGTGGATACAGATTTGGCCACGGTCAGAATATCACTGGGAGCGTGGAAACGAATGATTATGCGTACTCAAGTAATAGTCCTGGTCTGTCCCCCAATACCTTCTCGCCCTCTCTGACTTGGTTCGTGGGCGCGTAGACAAGTACATGATGTTCAGTCGTGACTGCAATCTACGCGAAGAATGCGGGGTAGACGAGATTTTAGCGTCAGAGACAGGTGCGAAAAAAAAAAGCGCTTGTGCTAACTGGGTTCTAATAACGGAACGGGCAACAAGCGAACCAAAGAAGTCGTTCGAGAATGAAGTTTAGGCACATGCCTTTCCGTCGAATTCAGACATGACCACGGCCGACACGATCTGATTCTGTCTTTCCTTGGAGTCACTCTGCAGAAATAGGATTTGAATGGGTTTGAAGGACGCATCGCAAACGACGATCGAATCTGTTGCCGCGTACAGCTATACCAGCGAGAGAGTTGTCGGTATTTAGTGAAAGTGATATCTCGAGTGAACAAACGTATCAGTCGATACTGGCAGTTGGAAGCAAGAGTCGTACAATGTATCGTCCCGAGTTGTACCCGACAGCATTGATGCTCTGCAAGGACGCGCTTGTCTTTCCTGGACAGACTTGTTGAAGCAGCATTGTTCTCAGGCTGGACACTGGAAGAAACGAGATCTGTTTTTCGTGTGGAAGGTGATGGTACAGGTATGGTTGAGTTGTGGCTAAGGGATTCGTTAACAGGAAGAGGGAAGAGGATGAGTCTGATTTCTAGGTGAACAGGTGGAAGGGCAAGAACAATAGTCGAGTCGACAGGACAGACACACGCAAGTAGAGACCGCAAGCAATTGGCCACTTTGGAGGGACTGCCTATTGGTGCTGGCCCATGCAGCACAATTAGGTTCTTCAGAGAAATTGACTTCCAGGGACAAATGTTTGAATAAAGAGTGTGCGGCCTTATCCCACCTTGTCGTCGCCGTCAAACCCCACCCCATTGGCATTGGCATTCGCATTCCAAGGTGTTTTTTTGCTGGGATATACCCGGAGCAGTTGAGGAGGCACTTTTTCAAAGTGGCACATTTATTTGCGCACAAGACCGTGGGGATCAAGTCATCTCACGTTGGACAAGGACCACAAGGACCTCAAAGGAGCCTCTACTCGGTCACAAAAAGGGGCATGAGCAAGCATGAAGCTGACCGATAAGATGCTCACCTCCTCTCTGTTTCTTCCAGTTTGTTTTTCCTCTTCTTCTTCTTTTTTCACATCCTTCTTTGTCTCTTATCTTGTTCTCCTCCCCCACCTTCATTGTATATATTCCCTTTAACGAATTGCAACGCAACCAAGTAACGAAAGTAAAATGTCCCACTCAAGGGCCAATAACGAAAGCGCCGATCTGGAGCACCTCGAACTGAGTGAGGAAGTCGTCGGTGCCTCGTTCGACGACATGCGGTCAGAGCCATCCTCAGAAGCCTTGCTAATCGACCCTAAACGCGTCTCCGTCAGCTCCGTGAACTCTGCAGGCTCGAGCTCGACTGTCAAATATCATCCATCAACTCCCCAAGAGACAACCTCTGCATCGTATACACGACCTTCCGTCAACAGACATGCCTCCGCCAGTTCGGTGGCGTCGACCCCGGGTTCACGACGACCAAAGTCATCACCTTCCTACAGACATTCAACTGCCGGCACTCCTTTGTCCTCCTCGTACTCCAGTCGACGACGCCGATCGCATGCGAGCAGACCTGAATCGACGCGGTCCTCTGTCCGCCATCGAAATCGGTCTTCAGATATTGAGGAGGAAGATGAAAGTCCTGATGGCGACTCTGACGATCATTTTGTAGGATCACGCCCCAGCTACAGCAATATGAGACGTATTAGCTCCAGACGGTCGGTCCGACTCCATCCCGATGACGAGTATGATGTGCGCTCGTTCGACGGCCGTGAGCCGTCCTTCCATTCTGGCGATCAAAACGACGAGGAAGAGAGCGACCTCGAGCCGTTGACACTCAAAGACAGACAGGAGGTAAAGCTGAGCAAAATGGGTCATGTCGTCATGTTCCTGAGCCGTGGCTCACTTTCCCCTTTTTTTAATGTTAATGCGGCACAAGAATATGAACACATGGCTGCTGGCATTCCCTCTCACGAGTCGGTGCTAATACGACCACCGACATGGGTCCCCCTCCATATCATCACTGCCCCTTTTTTATTTGAGCTATAAAGCTCTCGTGATGCTTTTGTGCGCTGCATGTCTTATATAATATCGCGTATAGTTTAGCCAGTCCCTTGTGATCTTTGTCTGCGGAATACCCCTGTCCCTGATAGGAGCATCCGATCTCTTTTTTTACTCGTGGCCCGTCGTCACTTCAAGGCCTTTGGCAACCTAACACATTGCACTGTCTTCTCTATTGAAAATAGACAATCAACCAAACGCATCCCTTCGGTTTGCCCCTTTGGAAGCCCGCCCTGTACAAGAAGACACGCTCTGTCACCCAGCGCGCAGACTCGGCCCTGCATTCTCAGCCATCGTCCGATCTTTACCTATCACTCGGGAATGTGCTCTGGACCCTTGTCTTTGGATGGTGGCTGGCACTGATCTGTTTCATCGTTGCCATCGTGCTCTTCCTGACACCTTTCGGCGGCAGCGACTACGGAGGCGTGGTTCTGGGCCTCAGCTATTATCTCCTGTGGCCCTTTGGGCAATACGTCGAACGGGAGCTGTATCCGGGAGAGGCCAAGACAGATGGAGTGCATTTCTCAGATGCTAGCACACATCAGCGTGCCAGCAACAGCAACAGCAGTAGTTATGGGCACAATCACGCCAATGGAAGCACCAACACAAACGGACGACTTAGCTATCTTTCACCTTCAGGGGAGACACGACCACTGCTCCCCCGAAGCAGTTCGGTATTGGATCGAGAACGCACCCGTCCACGCTTTTCGCTCGCTAAAGCCATCAGGAACTGGCCACGGAGAACAGCCCAGCTTGGACTCGGTGGGATCGTCTACTACGCTTTTTATTTCCTTCTGATCGGTTAGTCCAATAACTCGATATGGATTACTGTTTTCTCGACAAAAGGAATATCCATCATTCTTCTGTACTCAACTCTGACAAACTGATTTTGATCATTTTTATAGGGCCATTGCATTTGTTCGTTTCGTGTCTGTGCTGGTTCATGGTGATTTCGATCCCCATGGGCAAACTGACCTTTGTTCTAGCAACCCACCTTCACCAGCATCCACTTCGTCTCCGCTTCAAGCGAGGCAGCTCGCTCAGCCTGTCGGCGCAGAACACCGAGATCCTTCTCTGTACCTATGATGCCATTGGATTCCAGTATTACAAGTACACTTACGACGGAACCAATATCATCTTTATCAATTTGTTGCCGATCGTCCTCTTCACGATCTTGGACGAGTATGTGCTGACCCATGTTCTGGGCCACGATTCCTGGCTCACCTCTCCGGCCGTCATTTTCTGTCTTGGACTGTCCTCTGTGATCCCCTTGTCCTACTTTATCGGAATGGCTGTGTCCTCTATCTCGGCGCAGTCATCCCTGGGGATGGGCGCCGTTATCAATGCGACATTCGGTTCCATTATTGAGATCATCCTTTACACTGTGGCATTGTCACAAGGCAAAGGCTCGATCACAGAGGGTGCTTTGATTGGAAGCTTCCTTGCTGGTCTGCTGCTCATGCCCGGTGTCAGTATGATGAGCGGCGCTGTCAAGAAAAAGGAACAAAAGTTCAACGCCAAGAGTGCTGGTAAGCCTTGTACAGCACGACCGATAATTTGTAATGTCATCCTTGTTTCTAACAGCCTGTATTATGTCTAATGTTTGATAGGTGTCACCGCGACAATGCTCATCATGTCCCTTATTGGAGTCTTGACACCCACACTGTTTTATAATATTCACGGGCGGGTAAGGAGGATAAAGATACAACAATTGTGAAACAAATCCAACTTTTTTTTTTTATGCACTGACTCTGGATATTTCCATGGGATTATAGTTTGAGTTGCGTTGCACTCCTTGCCCTGAGTCGGAGCTGTTGAACGCCGATGCATCTTGCCAGCGCTGCTACCACTACCAACCCAATCCGACCAACGATGCCTTTTTCCAAAAGAATGTTAAGCCGCTTATGTACTTTTGCTGCATCATCCTTCCGTCCGCCTATCTGATTGGTATCTGGTTCTCGCTCAGGACACACGTCAAGCAAATCTGGCAGGACCCTCAGCCACGCTCCGTCCGCGACTCCTCGATCTACAAAAAGCTGCTCCCAATGCACATCCTGCAGCAGTTTCTTCACTATGGCACTGGAACTCTCCATCCAGCCAACAATGGAGCCAATGGAAACAGACCACATTCAGGAGGGGACGACGCCGAGATGGGAAGGTTCGCCCCTTCAAATTCTGGACTTTCAACTGCAAACTACCACTCAACGTCCATGAACGGTGGACTTGAAGAGAGACGTCCCCCTCATTCAGCTTCCGAAGCGCAAGAGGCTGGAACTGGAGCTGGTATTCATCCAGCGGCTCAGGGTCTGTTCAACACCCTCTCTGTGGGACACGATGCACTCAAGAGCGACCACGGAGATGACGAGGATGACGAGGACGAAGCCCACGGTGGACACGACTCGCCCAACTGGTCTAAAGCAAAGAGCGCCACGGTCCTGCTCGGATGCACTGTTCTTTACTCCATCATTGCAGGTAAGAAGTGCTTTGTGACATACATAGATGTGATATTACAACAAAGGCAATTCCTAACAGAAGTTTTTTCCGCTGTTGATAGAAATTCTGGTGGACAGCGTGGACGCAGTATCCTCGATTGACGGAAAGTTGCTGGGCTTGACCTTGTTTGCGCTCGTCCCCAATGTGACCGAGTTCATGAATGCGATCTCTTTTGCCATGTACGGCAACATTGCGCTCTCGATGGAGATCGGATCTGCGTATGCACTGCAAGTGTGTCTGATCCAGATCCCCGCTATGGTCGCGGTTTCGGCGTGGCTGAGTCATGGAACGACCTTGGCATCGAACTATACCTTCAACTTGGTCTTCCCTCGATGGGACGTCATTTCGATGCTCTTCTCCGTGTTCTTGCTTACCTACACTTATATCGAGGGCAAGAGCAACTATTTCAAGGGCAGCATTTTGATTCTGAGTTACTTTGTACTCATGGCAGGCTTTGTGTACGCCCCTATCTCACCAGGTTCTGGCGGGGTGGACTTTAAAGACCTCCTATAGATCTCGTACTTTTGGTTATTGTTAATTTTTTCTATTTATAAAGTCTTCAATGGATTGCTTGATGAAATTCGTACATGGATTCTGTAAAATGGTACGAAGTAACGGAGGATCATTCCTTCTTCAATTCGCGGCCAGAGACACATCTGGATCATGAGTACTAGTGTCCTTGCTCAGGGTAAGGTTTCGTGTACCTATTATAAGCCTGTGCACCGAAGTCGCCCTGGCGTAATCTCGAGTCGTTTCTCCGTAACGTGCTGAACAGAGGTGAGAAACTTGATGATCAATGCAGCATGGATCCTTCAGTCCCCTTTTTTTTTTCCCGGCAGGCATCGATCATTCCGGATGAATCAATGAATCAATGAATAGAAGCGAGGTATCGCTCCTTCAATAGTAGTAGTAACTGTGTATATTGAATTGATTACAGAAATGACAGACCTACGTACGCGAGGGATGTATTTGCTCATGTACGAGGCGATCGGCCCATCCTTGATTTTGTAAACCTTTGAAAAAAGCAAGGAAATGGAGAAGTTAAAAAAGTCTTTGGAACAAGAGAATGGAGCGATAAGAGATCAAAAATTGTGGCTGAGTTTAGCCGTTTGTGTAACCTTAAAAATAAAAGGCGCGATGCCACAGAGACTTCCTTTTCTGGCACACGCGTCCGTCCCAAGTCAACATTTTTTTTTTTTTTTTTTTTTTTTTTAATAAGAAATCAAGCGATCATGAGCGCATTTTTATTTCTTCAAGTCTATGGTACAGAGGTAAATACAAGGTGCTTTCGCCAAAAAAAGACAAAATCGTCCCACACTTCAATGAAATTGCCATGCCATAATCAACGTGGCGCGCATACACACATACACACACATACCATCCCTAGCATCTTGATTTCACCATTCGCAGACACCTCCTCCGAGGCATCCTCCCGAGCACACGTTCGTCTTGGCAATTGAACTCGACCCTTTCGCGTGTTGTCTGGTCGTATTCGCTGTCGATGACGATTCCGGAAAGAAGGACCGTCCAGTTCTCTGGCGTTCGATCACAGGCCAGTATGACTGTCCGCCCTTGCACATCCTCATCCCGGAACTCCATAGCGGTTGCTGAGATGGTCCCGACGGCGTCGACGGTGTCGTGGGTGAGGGCAAAGCAGAATCCAATCCTGACATACTCAACTCACATTCGAAATCGGTCCTGACCACCGGTGGCAGATGTCCTGTCGTAGCTCCGGGAGGGGGCGCGGAGGAAGCCGCCTTGCCTGCCTCTTCGGCCTCGAGCTGCTCGCTAGCAGCCTTCCAGCAGGCAACTGAGCAGAATCGCACTCGTCTTACCACGGATGGATGTCCCAAGTACGATTTGACGCGCACAGAACTGACCCACTCTTTGACATATGGTCCTCGACAGAGACCACAAGGTCGGGCACCTGGTTGAAGATAATCGATCACGGCTTCAGGTATACATCCGATCGGCAACGGTTCACTGTTGTGTAGCACTGTCCTAGCAGCCAGCTCCTTGAGGGACGGAAAATAGCTGGGCGTGAATATGACAGAGGAATCAAGGCCCACAACAGGCGAGGCTATCGGCATCTGGCTCAGTAGGGCTTGATTCGAGGTATCTACAAGAGCGTCTAAAGCTGTGTTCTGTACAGATGTGGGAGTGGGAGAAGGAGCGGCCAATGGAAACTCGTTCGAAGGTAGCACTGAAGGAGTGGACAATGAGGTGCCTTCAAAGATGGAGGGCTCGGTCACTGCGGCCCTTGGAGATATCGCGGTCGTGATCATAGTGTTGGTACTGTTGCTGAGGGATGGATAGTCAAAAAACGAATCGATGTCCGAAATTACAGCCTCCATGTTGACCCTCGGCGTTGATGTGCCAGTTCCGGGGCCATAGGATTCCATCCACGAGCCCCCATGGGAGTTGCCATAGTCGCTACCGACTCTGTCAGCTTCGTTCAGGCTGCTGACAGATCCTGCGCGTGAGGGTGGTCTCGATGACAGTGCATGACGGGTATAATACAAATGATAATCAAGTCTTTCGTCCTGGTCCATCTCATAGGCGCCTTCTCCTCCATGCCCTAGTCGAGGGGACTCTCTTCCGCCTGCCAGATTCGCCAGTGTCGGAGTGTGTGTTCCGGAGGAAGAGGTCGATGCTGCAGAGTTCAAAATGGCCCGTCTCGAAAGACTCTTGAGCACGGCGGCATACCGTTCCTCGTCGGGGTTATAGTTGACTCCCAGACCGCCAATCTCGCTGACAGGATTCCTACTTGCATCACAGTAGCCACGCGTGAATGGGTTTCCAGTGAGCAAAAGCGTTGTCTTTGTCAAAAAGTCCGCCACGTCGCCTGGGATGACACATAGCAGGTTCTCGCTCAGATCCAGTGTATCGAGCTGCTTGAGGTCTGCGATCTCTGTCGGCAAACTCGTCAGCTGATTGCGTCCCAGGTTCAGGCTTCGAAGCTCTTTGCAAAGGCCGATGGACTTGGGAATGGCCTCCAGCTTGTTATCGGACGCAGTCAATTGTCGTAAGTGTGAATGCACATGACCTATGTCTGCGGGTAGGAAGCACAGCTTGTTATGGCTCAGATCCAGCTCCCTGAGCGCAGACATGTGCTGGATGCAGTCGGCTGGGAACGCTGTCAAGAGGTTGCCACCATAGACAGAGCCCATGGACAGTGACTCCAGCTTGTTGAGACGCGCGAGTGTGTGGGGCAGCGATGTGATTTGGTTCGCACAGAGTCGCAGAGTCTTGAGCTGAGCGAGGCTCGCACAGATCTGGGGTGGGACAGGACCTTCGATGCGATTCTGGGACATGATCAGCGCTTGAAGGTTCGTAAGCCGACAAAGCTCCATTGGGATTTCCGTAAATTGATTGTGAGAGAGGTTGAGGTAGCTCAGATAAGGTACTAATGAAGTCATGTCTGCTGGCAGGGCCTCGAGCCGGTTTCTTGAGAGGTCGAGTTCGGTCAGATGAAGAAGGGGGCTCTGGAGCGTACACATGGTTCGGGGGTCAAGTGTTGGTAGCAAGTTCTGGAGATAGTGTTCCAGTTGCGAACAATCGAGTCGTCTCCGACGCAGGATCAGAGATGTAACCGGCGCATGGGACTCACGTTCTTGTTCCTGGATAAATGTCGCAGGCGAGCTGGGCCGGACGACGTTGATATCAATGTGGCTCTTGTCAGACCGCTTGGACGTCCTTCTCTTGTTGACATGACGGCCAAGCGGCGCAAGGATTGGGTTATCGATACAAGCTTCGATATCCATCACGTCTTCATCGGCCTCTGCTGCTCTTGTGCTCTTGTAGGCGGTTGTTTGAATGCCGATGATGTTACGAGTAGCGGGGTTGGAGGAGTCCTTGTTCTTGGCCATCAATGAACTGGAGAAAGATGCTGCGACGGAGGTCCCCCTTGTAGGTGATGGGCTTTGTGGAATTGTGCTGAAGGACGGGATAGGGGAAAGACAGGTTGACACTGTGGTGGATGATGGTGGATTTGGGGGATAAACAAGGGATGGTGATGACGGACAATCGCTGACATGCGCAAGATGTGTGGGTAGCGCTGAGGAGCTTCTGCAGCGGGTCTGGATGGTTTTTGGCAACGGTCGTGTATCGGGATCAGCTGTGGGGTTGGCACTCCTGTTGATGTGGGCGCCATGGCCGCAGTAGCTAGAGTTGCTGGTACTGTCCAGATCACCCTCCGCGTCGGCGTTATTGACGAGGGATGAGACAGACATGGCTGTGGTGCATACGCCTGGGAAGGTGTTCGAGTTGTTTGTGATGGGGAAGTAGATATCAGTCATGGACGAGGTGGGACACGATGCTAGTTCTGACGTTGAAGCAGAGTCCGGGGCGGTGCTGGGTGCCGGTGCCAGCGTCGGTATCAGTGTAGGTGTCGGTATCAGTGTAGGTGTCGGTGTCAGTGTCGGTGTCAGTGTCGGTCGTGGTACAAGGGTACGGAAATGGATGTTATTGAGAACAAGCCGAGGACGAAGAGATACTTAGAGGGTGAGAAGGGTGGGGTAGTGAGAACAAACAAGTCGCCTTCAGCGCATCAACATGGAAAGCGTCTTTTCTTTTCTTTTTTTTTTCTCTTTCTCTTTCTCTCTTTCCTTCTCAAACTGTAGAAGTGAGACCGGGAAAAGTAGAAAGTAATAGAGAGGGAGAGAGCGGCTGTTGTCTGTCGGGCTGACTGTCCGTTCCGTATTTATGCCTTTCTAGTCCATAGAACATAGGGAAGAAGAAGAGAAGAAAGTGAGGATGGGATGAGCTACAGGGCAACTTGGGACATGAAGACCATGCACATGCGCGTTTGTTTAAATGGGATCTCTCTTTTGTCACACACACTCACCAATCAGGTAAACAAGAGTTGATGTTAAAATAAAATAAAGTAAATCAGAATGAGCGAGGAGCGTTAGAAGGACTGCGTGCTTGGTGTGTTCGGCAGATGAAGGTAAGGGCGGAGTTGATGGGGATGATGGATGATGAGTAATGGAGAAAGAAGGCGCTCCCCGGCTGAAAGATCACAAAATAAAAAGAGAGATATCTCCGTTACGAATAAGACTATGGGATGACTCCATTCAATCTTATTTTTTCTATTTTTCGGAAAAGAGAGGGAGAACTAGTTATCAGATGCAAACCTTATCAGATCATCCCACGATCAACTACGCGGGGTCGCGCGGGGTCGCGACGTCACCCTATTTTGCTTCCCCTCTCTATTTGCACGCATCTCTCATTTTCTCTGAGTCGAGAGTCGAGAGTCGAGGGAAGGGGATCAAAGAACCTAATCAGCATTCCTTGACCTGGACTCGGACAAGCGTGGATTCGACTTGGGCAGAGTCATTTGGAACAGAGATCACTATCAGCTCGTACCTTCTAGCAGACGGAAGAAGGAAACTCAGGCATCATGGCATCCAACTCAGAGCTGGAAAATAAGCTGCGGCCGATCTATGGTACCCATCAACCATCTCAGGCACAGATTCACAATCGCGTCAAAGGATCAACCAACTCTAACCAGCAATCGCGTCACCTGTATTGAACAGATGCCATGGAGGTGGGCAACTATAGGGAAGGAATCCAGTTATGCAACAAGGCACTCAAGAGACAGCCCAACCTGCATAGCGTCAAGGTACGAAGGGAGGATATCGACTTTTCGAACAAATTGATCCGTTCCCGCCTGGTGTCTAACAGCAATAACGATTCCTTACGCGGATAGGCGCTCAAAGCGCTGGCATTTGAGCGGAGCGGAAGGATGGGCGAAGCGTTGGTGCTGTGCGAAGAAATCATGTGGGCAAAACCGAAGGATGAGGCCACTTTGAGGACGCTGTCTATGATCCTCAGATCCGGAGGCAAAGGTATTTACGAAACGGTTTTTTTTGGATAACACACATGGACCAGGATATGGACTGGACACCGATTAACAAACACATTCTTTCCCAATCAGATGAGCAGATGGTTAAGTTGATCGAGCTATATAAGGAGGCGTCAACCGCCAATCCAAAGAATGAAAACTTGGCCACACAATGGTTCATGTCCCTTGCTCGCAGACTGGACTACAAAGGACAGCAGCAGGTGCGTTTGCACCGCACTGAACAGAGCGGGCTGAAGAAAAGTTAGTCATGGTGTAACTTCCGCATTAACACCCACTTTCATTTTACAAACTATAGGTTGCAATCCACCTTCACAAAACCTTCAAAAGGAGCAACTATATGTTCTGGGCGATCATGAGCACTACTCTTCAGGTACAGGAAACCTATGTTCTGGATACTGAGCGCCCATCGAGTTCAATACCAAGGCAAAATGCTAACATGGCTCTCTCTAATTACTTCCGTAGGGTCAAAACGCACCTGCCGGTCAGTCAACTATGCTGTATCAATTGGCTGAGCGCATGATGGCCAAGTTGAATGCAGAGGGCAAGGTTGAGACCATCGAGGGTTAGTTAAATTACTTTTAACCTGGCACCATACAAAATATCGTGGACGCAATGTTAGCCTTCCTAACGCTTCACCACTACAACTCTATACTGCTCTCGTAGAACTGCAACTCTATCTTATCATCCTACTTGGGCAAAAGGATCGTCATATTGATGCGCTGGCCCTCCTAGAAGGCGACATTGGCGTCAAGACAAAGGCGATTGATAATGTGGAGCTGCGTTACTTGCGCATTGAGTTGCTTATCAAAGCTGGACGCTGGAACGATGGCAGAGATGCTGCGGTCCAAATTCTCCAGGAGATCAACTCGGATGACTGGAGGACCATTCTCCAGTATTTTGACACGATCTTTCTTCCTGTCCAAGATGTCGACCTCAAGACCTCTGACAATCTCAAAGAGGCGCGTACATTTACTGCTGCGCTGGCTCAGAATGAGGGCAAAAATCCTAAGCGAGGTCCCTTTCTCGCGCAGATCGAGCTGGAAAAGCGAGTCCAGGAAAGGATTGGTGAGCAGCTGCGGTCCCAGGTCTGTGTATCAAAATGCGATTAGACCCCTTTCCAGTAAACTGACAGTCATTTGTGTTGAAACTAGGCAACAATAAGGAAACCGTCATGAACCTTCTTGTGGCATACTTTGAAAAATTCGGCTCGAAGACATGCTGCTTCGAAGACCTCTCGCCCTATATCGTAAGCGTGGACAAGGAGGATGCTCTTGAGTTCTGTAGGAAGTTGAAGGAATTGTCGGGCGAAAAGGCAGAGACCATCAAGGAAATTGCCATCCAAATCAACATTGCGAGGTTTGAGCGCTCAGTGGGCTTGCAGGCCAAGCTTAATTCTTCTGAAGCCATGGCTCTTGTCAACAAGTTTTGGAGGCTGTACGAGGAGGCATTGCCTTTTGGTAAGTTCAGAAATTGAGATGTTTCTTCTAACGCCATCGATTGCACAGGCATTCTTATTCATAGTGCCGCTCCATTCTCATGTCTATAGGAAAGGATCTGGAAGAAACTGAGCGCCAATACGGAGACGATTACGCAATCATGGCTGCCCACCTCCTCATCGACATTCACAGGGATACTAGTAAGGGAGATATTACACACTGCTCATTCCCCATAGAGGTGACGCTGTGCTCAATAGGATACACTGAGTTCTTACACGCACACCATGCCTTCTACATTGTCATATAGAATCTTATTTCCCTCTCCTGAACGCGACTTTCATGTTGGAGCATGCATTGAATGCAAGCAAGCACAACTACCAGATAAAGCTTGTGTTGATCCGCATCTACGAGCTCCTCGGTAAGGATTGGAATGCACGCCACCAATGTTTTGGTTCTTGTTTCTGCCAAATAGATACTAATACTAGAATCAATGTCTTCATTCTTTTAGGTGCCTATAATTGCGCTATCAGCACCTACAACACCATGTCGATCAAACATGTGCAGCACGATACCATGTCCCACTTTATCACGGATCGCGCTACCAACTTTGGATTGTTCAGTGAGGCGCTGGCACAGATGTATAGCGCGCACGAGATCTACCACAGCAACGAGGCCGAGACACCCGAGATGATCTTGCAGGCATACAAATACTCGACCTTCTCGAAAATGCAGGAGTTTATTGAGTTTCAATCCAGACTGGAGAACTCGCTGCAAAAGATGATTGCGGATCGGGAGATGATTCGACTCGAGTTTTTGAAGGAAGACTCTGTCAGTCGTGCGATTACCTGGCTTCAGGAGCTCGAGATCGGCAATTTGAAGTACGACGCTGCATTTTGCGAGTCCAGGATAGATAACCGCGACACGAGCGTGATGTTGAACTGGAACCCCAAGGAATCTGCTTCGGTCGAGGTCCTGACCCGTCCTGCTGCTCAGCTAGACCGTGTCTGGTTGACGCTGTTCACACTTGTGCCACGGATCCTCAAGCACATGGCACATCTTTCACCCATTGGCGCCGAATACGAAAATTTAGTAGCTGCTCTGGAGAAGATTTTGGCTACTTCTTCCCCCTCTTCTGAGTTGGAGCATCCTCCAGAACTGACGGCCGAGGAAGTCAAGCTGGCCAAGATTATTCACCATGCTGCCAAGGCCTTTCAGGCTTTGTCTCTGGCGGTCGTGGCCCAGAACAGTAATAGCCCCACAAAAGAGGATCCCACCAAGACTGCGGCGACGGTCAAGGAGCATCTGAACGCTGTGGCAGCACTGCTGAAACGCGATCCCATCAAGTCCACGGGCATACTTTCCTGGCAAACGTTTCACGTGCTGACCAACATGGTCGAGACGGTCGCGTACCTTAATGTGGTCAACCAGTGCCTGCTCAACTTGATTTCTACCAAGGCAAACAAGAAGGCGGCCTTCAAGAGTGTAAACAGTACCATTCAGGATTTCATGGGACAATGCCGCCAGGCTCTGCAGGCTGTCCAGACTGATGTTACCGCTTTGAGGAACGTGGTCAAGCCAGATCGGATTAAATCTGGCTTGCTCTATGAGATCTGCGATGGATCCGCGGTCGATTTTGTTCGTTCCTCGAGCCACCAGGCCTTGATCGAAGACAAGACACTCCAGATTGGATCCAGCTGGATGAGGAGTCTTGTCAACTTGCAACAAGAGGCTGTCTCAAGGATCGTTTAGAGCGGAAACCCCCATTTTTTGAACATATTCATTGTTCACGAATAAACGCAGCGAGAATGATGATAAAAAAGCAATGAGTATATTGATTTAACGAGGGAATATCCAAACGGTGCAAGGACTTCCTAGTTCATCTCCACAGAACGTCCGATCTCCATGCGGCAGATCTCCTGAAAGATATTTGTGATCCTTGCGTCAATAGGTTCACTGGTCTCGGGATCGACCGAGAAAACAATGGTCTCGAGCGTTGCTGAGAACGTAGCCACTTCTTTGGAGTACCGACGACCCAGCTCCAGGAACCAGCCAAGACCAATCTCCCATGCCCGGCTCTCTTCCACACTCTGGTCCGAGGACTCGATCTCTCTCAATTTGGTTTGGAGCACACCCACGAACTTTTGGTACAGCGTCAAGAACACCTCCTTTTGCTCGCGGTTGACGATCGACAGTGTGTTCTCGACTCCAATGACAACCTCCTCCGTCTTGGTCGGTGGATCAGCCTCGAACTCCTTGCGGACCTCAACCAGCTTATCCTTAACCTGTTGCACTCTCGAAATGACCTTGTTCAGTGTGTTCTTCAGGATGTCCCAGACAAAACTCCTGTGCCACTCGTTCTGCCAGACCTCAGGCTCAAACACCCACTTGACAATGGCAATCGCGTCCACCACACGATAATTCAGCATCTTGTCCAGAAGGATCCCCATGAACTGCGTGTTATTCCTCCAGAACTGTGCCACAATCTTGACCGTGTGCAGGCGTGCCTCTGGTGTGCCGTTCATCCGCTGCAAGATCGCGAGGTACCGTTCAATCACATTGAGAACGTGCGAGAATGATTTCGATCCCAGCATCAGAACACACTCCGTAAACAGTTCCCGGATGAAATCCTCGCGCTCGTTCGGTGTCAACGACTCTAGTCGAGGTGCGTTTTTCATGCTCTCCAACGTTTGTTCAATCTGCTCAGTCGAGCTCTTGTTGCGGAGCGAATTCAACACTGCGGATGCCATGGCATGGTATGGGTGCTCTATACACATGAGGTTTAAAAAGCAATCGGTGTGAGTTTCCCATGTTCCCCTTCCGCAACTGTCAATCTACTATAACATTCATAAGGCTCTGTGCGACATAGTACCTGGTGACTCGAACTTCCAGCTAGGACCAGGCGCTTCCGATGGCATGAACTTCTGGAATTCATCGGGCAGAGCCTCTTTGATGCGTTCAAAGTAAGACAAGCGGATCGTCTTTTCCAAGGTCTCGCGAATAAAGACGCACTGTGCATGATCAGGTGGCAATTCCAGAGCCGCAGACCTGAGATATAGCGAGAGAAGATGAAGGAAATGATCAAATCGGTCAGTGGGTTGACAAAGGTAGGATACCTGTCGTTTTTACACTAGTAAACGCAACCATCGAATATTACCATTCGACCCAGTTCCAGAGGTATCCGAAATTACTGAGGTGGTGACTGAACCAGGTCCAGAAGCGGTGAGCACATTCGACATCCATAGAAGGAAGTCTTTCGTACAACTTCTTGATGGCCTCGGCTAATGAAGTAGGGAAGCTGTCTGGGAAGGATTTGCAGACCTCGACCAAGAGCGAAGCATAGTATACACCCTTGAACTCTTGCTTGGGCAGCTTGAACATCTCTGTGAAGATGACCTCCGCCAACAACTGGTCTACAGACCAGCTTGGCCCTGCCGGTGTATCCGTTTCCATTTCGTTGGGTGCTCCTGTTGCTGCTGTGAGTGCCGAGTCAGCAAAAGTCCCAATGACGTATGAGTACTGGACCATGAACAGGTACTTTGCACACTCCTTTCGGTTGATCTCAAACAAGCAAAGCACGTCCGTCAGATTGTCGCGGACGATAAAGTGTGCGATAGAGTATGGGTCAGGAAGTGAGTTGTTCTGCTCGCCCTCGTCGGCCACAAAGATCCTGAACAGCGGTGCTGGAGTGTAGTAAGAGCTTGCGTCCACATGAGGCGGGAAGGCGAATGCAGGCAGCTCGTGCTGGGAGGCCATTCCGAGAACAGCATCAAAGGCCTGTGAGGGCTTGATCAGAATCGTCACATCCCAGTCATCCTTTTGCAAGTTCTGGATCTGTTTCCACAGCAGTGTAAGCGGCTTTTTTTTTTTTTTTTTTTTTCAAACAGATGAAAATTGTGTGTGAGTACCCAGGCCATGATCCAGAAATCTAATGAAAAGATATCGTTATTGTATCGGGACGTACCTCCTCCTGAACGTATGGGCACTGCTCATCTTTGAACACCTTTGTAATCTCAAAACCCTCAGCTCCACCGCCCTCCTCTCTTGCCATCATGTAGTCCTCGATTCGTCCCAGGATCTTTTCAAAATCGTGAGGGTTGCGGTCACGCATGTCGGCTGCACACCAAGGTAAGGTCGCCAGGACACAGTAGACAGCACAATCAGCGCGAGCCTAAAATAGTGGATCAATAGGGGGCCGGTTTTAGATACCCACAAATGAAATTGTCTTGAGAACCGCAAAATGACAAAAAATCCACAAGATGTCCTCTTACTCTCAAAACCGTCTCCTCGTCCAGAACGCCCAGCAATTGGTCCATGACGTTGAGCAGCGTAGTGGGCAAAATGACGTTGGAGTTGACCAACTCGCCAAAGAATCGCAACAGCAGCTTGACGTTTCTCCATTGATATTTGAGCAAGCTGTCCTGCAGCAATTCGGATGCCATGGCAACAATCGTTCCTCCAGTTTGAACATTCTTTGCGTTCAAAAGTCCTGTTAGCGTTCCGTAGATGGCAGACTTCATAGGAAGCTCCAAAATACTATTGATGTCCGTTTGCAAAGCAGGCGTCATATCCAGGTTAGTGCTTTTGGCAACTTTCACTGCAAAAATCGATTAATGGTTGCCATGAATCATCATCGTACCAAGCCTTCAAGGACTTGAGAATTGTAGCGGAATGCTTTGCATAGTCGTTGTCCAGAATTCCGGCCAGTGTATTCAGGTTGGTCTCGAGCGTTGGCGTGATCTAAATACGTTTGGTACAAGGAGCAGATGTAAGTTCATTCACGCCCGTATTTCAAGAATTAACAGGTGGTACTTCGTAGAGACGGAAGCAAATATTGCTGTCAATACCTTGTCGCCAACGCGAATGATAAGTCCACCCAGACGCTTTTCAATATCGCTCACTTCATCCTGCGCGCGCTCCTGCTCTCTGTCACGTTGATCGTGCCGTTGTCTATCGTATGGCTTTCTGTATCCGCCACCTCTTCCTCCTAGAAATAGAACGTCGATAACAACACGGATCAGGTCTAAGTGGATAGCAAACAAAAGGATCGGACAACCGCTGCAGATTGGCCAATCGTATGTTTATGTACGCCTTACCTTTGTCATGACGGTCTCCACGATCGTTATAACGTCCGCCTCCTAATATCCAAATTTATTTGCCAAGACGCAGCATATGTAGGCGATCAGTATCCTGTACAAACGTGGACGAACTACATGCCTGTTCTTGCGAAGGAATCTTTGCTCGTCGCGCATGTCATGAAATCGCACAGGAGAAAAGTAGTGAAATGCACTCGGCCTACCATGGTTGTTCCTATTCCTGTCAGGTCCGCCGCCGCCTCCTCCTCCTTGGTTGTTCCTT